CCCTGGAGAGCGTGCCCTAGAGAGAAGTGCCATGTGGAGCGTGCCCTGGAGAGCGTGCCCTAGAGAGAAGTGCCATGTGGAGCGTGCCCTAGAGAGAGTGTATTGGAGTGATTTCTCGAGCTCTGTAGGCAACTTAGCGTTCGTCGCAGCTGTTACTCGCTATGTATATTTTTACTAAGGAAAGCGATTGCTTGTGTAACGGAAGGGTCGGAGGACGGTGGGATAGCCTGTAGGTCCTAGAGAGGAGCCTCGTCTAGCTCATCGTCATCGTCACGGTCGTCGTCGTCGATGTCGATGGTGGTGTTTACCTTCTCTTCAGCCGGACCTGTCTCGAAGCTATAGCTAGGGTTGAAGATAGCGACGAGGAAACTGAGATTATAGAAGTAGGAAATAGATCTGACATTCAATCATGTCTTTTAAAAAGTCCAGTCTCTCAAGGCTCTTAGTTATCCCTTGATAATCTAAGTAAGGCTGCTGTGGTGCGGGACGATTTTGTAGATGTAGAATTGCCTGTCCGGGCCCGGGTGATGAAAGGTAAGAGGTAGTATTCTCCGAAAAAGATCTGTTCTGAGGGTGGCTGAAGCTCTGTTGGTATTCTCCATCACGATAACTTCCATAACCGGGACTTCTAGGGCCTCGAGGAGGGTTGAAGTGGGTATCTATGTCGGTGTGAGCACGCGACCGCTGCTGAGAGCTTTCACGGGATACATCATCATGGAGGGATTGGGGTTTTGATCAGTTTGAGACACGTTCCGAACGTGATCTAGGGCTTCTGTCCGTAGGATGTAGATAGAAATGATGGATACCTAGTAAGAACTGATTAGAACTATGACTGATGAAAGCCTCTATTTGAGCATGGAGGAGTGTAGTTGTGTAGTTGTGTTGGTAATTAGTTGAGAAGGAAGGAAGCAGTTGTGTGCTAATTTCCAAGGGAAGGTGCATTCGAAATGGATTGATAATGACACACCACCCCTGCAAGGACGATCGACTTTTCGCCGGCCGGTCTTGCCTCGGAGCAGCAATCATCGTTCGGTCACGTGCCTCCGCCTTTCCGCCGCAATTCCTTTTGGGTCGTTCTTGCCTCGGCATTTTCTCCAGATTCTGTGCCACCTGCCAAAATCTCACTTCATCACATCCACATGATGCCATAGTCATTCTCATCTTCACATCTACCATCTCTACCACCTTGATCTACATCTTCTTTCTACAACCCTTCTTGACAAAGTTGCTGTTTCATAACCATCCCTCTCCTCGTCTGACTTTCTCACTCTCACCCTTAGAAGCCATCCTCTCGCTACCTACTTCGCTTGAACTCATCCCACTTTCCTATCAGGTCATCATGGCCGACGCCCTCTGTGGCCCATCCAATCCCCTCCAGAACCTCCAGAAACATACTCAGATCGATCGTACCCTCCAACAGGATCGTCTGGTCGCATCAAGACAGTCTCCATCCCAGGTATTATTCCTTCCATTCTTCCGGCGCAAGCCATCAAGTACGCCCTTTCTGACTCACTCCAGGGGTTTCGTACCCACGATCCACGTACAGGCTCTCTCGATGCCGATTTTCACGCCTTCGAACACTCTGCTCCTTCTCCGTTTCAGTTCCAGCAGCCAGACTTTGCCAATGCTTTCCCTGCTTTCCGTCCCCCTTCTCAGACGCCAGCCCTCGGAGGATGGGCCAACGACTTTAAGAACCTCAACATCAACGAACAACCTGTACCTGCTCAGCACTTCCGAACCGAAGCTCCACTAGTTCGATCGAGTCACACCGGATCATGGCACACCGAATTCATGCATCAACGCTCATCTGCCAGCACTCCCACCACTGTCTCTCAAGGCAAGCAGGCCATACGTGAACCACAATTTAACAACTACACCCCTTCTTCAATGATGAATTTCTCTCAGCCCTCCTTTAGCATGTATCAACAAAACCAGATGCTTCCCTTTCAAGACCAACAGCAGCATCAACAACTCAACCCCCTTTCAACGGACCATCAAGCTCAAATGTCTGATGTGGATTTTGAAGCCGCCTTTGCCGACGCACTTGCCCACGCTCAAGAGATGGATCAGGCCAACCTTCAAAATCAGAGCCAAGAAGAACCCATTTCAGAAGTCCAATATCCAGAAGAAAAGATCAAAATTGGATCTGACGCCATTCTATATCGAGAGAAGGATCAACGGACAGCCGACCAGGACAAGCTCGACGCTGATGAACTGGCAAGGACGGCTGGACAACTCCTCACTTCGGTCCAGCACGACACCAGTACCAAATTTCAGAACTCAAGCTTCCTGGATCTAATGCGGAGGATTAGAGATCGAGAGGTCGAGGTACAAAACAATGACTTGACCAATGTCATGACGGGTGAGGCTGCCGCCTCTTCTGCGTCAACTACCGTACATACCCTGTACCATAACCCGGAAACTTACTCTCAGGTGCCGTCCGATGCTCAAGATCAAAATCAAGAGGAACAGCCCTCTCAGTTCGCTTTCCCTGACATGGATACTGTCTATGCTCCAGACCCGTCGTCTCCTGAGAATGAAACATCCTGGAATACTGCATACCCCCCAACTACTGCGGCCCCTTCCCAAGCGCCTTATACCTCTTACGCCGGTGATGATGACCAACATTCTGGACCCATGTCTCAAATGCAAGCTCTTCATCCGGGTGGTCCCTTTTACCCAGAACAATCACCTCGTCAGCGACGGGCTGAAATGGAGATGAGCATGAGCGGAGCCATTGATGTGGGAGCCCCTATGGGAAAGCGAATCTCAGCCAATGATTTTGAATATGTTGATGAGAATGCTGGTTTGGCGAGACGATTTCGATAGATTTTCCGATGTATGAGCCTTGCACTCTGTATGGGCTCATGTAGAACATGACGATTTCACCGGAATAGGTCGACTACGACGGCGGCAATGACTATAGTTGGATCATGTCAGGGAAAGTAATGAAGAATTGGACCTCCCGCTTGAATCCGTTTTAAACGTCCTTGAAGCTTTGATTCTAGCGATGCAACGAATTACCGAAAGACGTTGTGGAGATTATGATACAAAAGATTCATTGCTCATTTCACTGTTAGGGTTCATTGCGATCTCTGTCTGAAGACCTCCCAAGATCTTTGTCTGAAAATCTCTGCTCGAGCTCACTGCTCGAATCTCCAAACTGCCCACTGGCCATGCAAATAAATCGATATGCAAGATAGGAGAAAATGTCCTATGCCAAAACGAAGCTCTGACTCTCCTCTCTGTCTCTCCAATGCTTTCCAATTGAGTCGAGCGCATTTCATGTCGATGATGCGTCTTAAGACCAAAACGCAAACGGGCCTCTCTCCAACTTGACATTCTTCACCGATCGTCGTCTCCTCGCCGCCGCTGAATTCGAGGTCTGCGAACTCGATGCAGCACTCGCTGAACTCTGTCCACCACCACCACCACCACTTGCATTTCCATCTGCGGCTTGATCGTCTTGATCATCTTCCGGTCGATCGACACTGTATCCAAGTTCATCGATTTCAAGACCAACGCCCGCACCGACACCGCCACATCTCCACCATCGACCCATCATGATCTTGCCGCCAGGACAAATGACGCCTTCGTATGCATACGCATAATGAATGTCGGCCCAGTCAAGTGCAAAGTCCGCGTGGAAGTTGTTCTCCATGGTCATGATCTCCTCTTGGTTCATGTTGGCATAACCTGGGTCGGTGGTCAACTTTCTCTCGAGATGTTCTTGGATAAGGCGTTCGATTTCTTCGTCGTCGAGACTCGCGGCATTGGCGCCTGCATTGTTGAGGATGTTGTTGACGACAGTGGCGTTGTTGTTGTTGTTGTTGTTGGTTGGAGCAGTGTTGCCTGTCCCTGCTCCCGTACCTGATCCACCTGCCGTAGTTACAACTTGGGCCTGGCCTTGAGTAGTATTTGGCTGTCCTTGTTGCTGCGCTGCTGCTGCTGCTGCGGCTGCGGCTGCCGCCAAATTCATCTGAGCCGTCACCGCCACTCCAAAGGCATCGCCATAGTTTTCCTCCGCATGTTCCAGAACTTGAACCAAATACCGCGGTGAATAGCGGTACATGACCATAACGACGCGGTTCCAACCTGGAATCTGTCGATGGTTCTCGTCTTGTTCATCAAATGCACCACTGGCACCAGTGACACATGCAGCATCTTCTGGTTTAGGTGGCTGGCTTCCAATAGGATGGACCACGCCACGAACTCGGAGGGATAGGTATGGATGGTATTTGAGTGCCGGAGGAGTTGTCGAGGGCAGCTTAGATCCTAGAGTAGCCAATTCAATGAAGGTCGCCAATCCTTTGAATACCGTGCATTTGCTGTCTGGCAAGTTAGCGTCGGGCATTGTACGATCAAATGCAGGGATGCAGCTGAAGATCGGTGGCCAGAAACCGTCCTCGGAGTTGGATCCACTGGTGGTTAGCTCGATTTTCTGTTGTGAGAACGACGAATGATCAGCTTGGTTTTGGACAGTTGAATAAAAACGTGGGATTTCCGATTCACTCACCAAAGGATCGACCGAATCCCAGTCCTGTGCACTGGTCTGTCGATCGTCAAGATCCCATTGAGACTTGGGCCATGGATGCATGCAACTGTAATGACCGTACCATTGCGTGGCCAAGTCAGCAGAGGACGACGTATCGCGCAATAATGACTTTTCCCATGCCTTTGGAGCGAAGCCAGCTTGACTGAGCGCTTTTGCCATGTGTGCATACGTCGTCTTCTCGCCGGTCCAGTTGGTGCGTGCCTTGGAGATCTCGCACTGACCTTCACCAATGAGGTGACGATGCCAGAAATTGCGGATATGGAGAATAGAGTGCATGTCCAGCTCGTAGCGAATCTTGGGTCCTTCTGGTTTGGCCTTCGAATTCGGGCGTTTGAGATTAGGAAACGTGGGACGTCGGCCATTCGGTCCCTTTCGCGCTTTGATATGCTTGGGTGGTTCTGGCTTCGCCTCCTCCTCAATTCGTTGGTACAGGGTGGTAAGAGGTAGCTTCCACAGGTAGACCCTGGTCATATCATAGGTGTCGCGAGCTGCGCCGGTCACATGTGCCATCTTCGAGGTGGGAGAGAGGAGGAGGTGAGAGCACACGACTTGAAGTGTGTCAAACAGCGCTTGAAGCTGACTGTCGCCAGGAGCAGGGAAGACTAGGGCCGAGAGAAACTTTTGCATCCATGGCGAGTTCTGAGGCGAGTCAAAGGCCGCAAGGTTGCGGGATTTGGTAGGCTGCTTGTTCTGATCTCTGGGCGTGTGGTAGCTTTCTAATAATGGAAAGGGGCGTTTGTTAGTAGGGGTTTCCAAAAGCACAAAGTTCTCATATGACACTTTGGGAAAGATCAGCGTACCAAGAATCATGTCGTGGATGATATCGAGCTGGAGTGGAAGTCGAGGATCGTTATGTTTCTTAAAGGCCACGAAATTGCCCAGGACGTGGCGTCGGAGCTTGTAGGCGATGGCGAATTCGGCATGTGTCGTGACGAGCGGATAGTCCCAGAGCCAGAGAAACCGGGTTTTCTAAACAGGAGTCTCTTGTGGCAGAAGAGCCCTCGCCAGCTGTTCGCTCGACTGCGCCAGGTTGGTCAAGTCATGATCGTTATCGGTGAGTTCGGCGATACGATGAATGACCTAGATCAGATCAGTTAGCGAGGCAAGACTGTTTGCTTGTAGGGCAAGTGTAGATTTTCACCTCATTGGGGAGTCTCTCGATGGCAGAGAGATCCTTGTCCAGTCTGGGCTTCTTGATAGACAGACGAGCAAGACAATTTGGGAGGAAGGTGTCCTCGTCCTCTTGGTCTAGAGGGCTAACCTCGTCAGAGGCTCGCTTTGCCGGCTTCTTGCCCTTGCCTTTGTTCTTCGGCATGGTGGAAGAGCGTCGCCGAGGTGATTTGGTGGTGCGCTTGATGACGCCCGAGTCAAAGTTAAGTTCTAGATCATCAATGTCCGAAGGTGGATCACTGAGATCAGAATCAGAAATGGATTGCGAAAAAAAAGAAGAAGAAGAAGACATGTTGGGACTGTGAAATAGAAATAGGCCAGCGCCGAGATGAGTCTCCTGGTCATATGATATGATGTCGACGATGTCGCAGACGAGCGCGATGAGCACAGAGAGCGCGGTGGTGAGCGCGGTGGTGAGCGCGGTGATGGAGTTGGTGAGAAAGAGGCCGCGAGAGAGTTTGGAGAGAAATGTCAACTGAAATAGAAGATCTGAATCTGATCAAGATAGATGATCTTAAACTCTTCACAAATGATCATCAGTAGCATGTGCATTTTCACACGTGGTCCTTTCTATGGCTTGTTGTCGTCTTGGTTGTCGACAATAACATCGGTTAGTGTGATGATGGGCTGAAGAGTACCTCAATGATTATTAGAGTCGTGGTAGGTGCCGATGATAACAAGAACTGGTGCGATGATGTACTGAAAGCTTCTTGATGAACGCCCTAAAGCTATACTGTCGCCGTGGGTGTCGACGAAAACAACGATTGGTGGGATGATGCACTGAAAGCACCTTCATGATAACTCTGAAGCTGGGTTGATTGTGTCGTCGTCGGTATCGAACACAATACTGATTGGTGTGATGATGTGGTGAAAAGCGCCTCGCTAAACTCCCTAAAGCTGGTTTAGTTGATATTATAGGTGCCACAATAACAAAAACAGGTGGGATGCTATGCTGAAAAGCGCCTGGATAAACACCCTGAAGATGGAATATGAATGATAGGCCTGATCGTAGAAACAGTGGCTCAAATGTGAGGTTCTGAGGGAAAGAATGAAGAGGGTGTCGGTAACAAACTTGTAATTGTTTCGTATACATCCTCAGAACATCATAACGTCCTGTGATCACAATACACCGCCACCTGTGACCGTGGTCCTTTACCAGGATCCCACAATTGGCAATGTTCTATTTGCTCATATATCCGCATTTGTTAAATCAATCAAATCACCAGACAAAGAAAGCCAAGACGGACAGAAGGCAGGCGGCCAAACCACACAATCTGGCCTGGCCGTGCAGAGGTAGGCCAGCGATATCAGGCTCACCAGACCCGCCATCACCGTCACTGTCACTGTCACCGTCACCACCATCATCGCTGTCTGCAAGCTTGGTGATGAGGTAAATCTCCCCGCTGGAATCTGAGGTGAGATATATTCTTCCCTGGGCGTCAATGGCCATGGCAACGGGACGATGGCAATTGCCCGGACATCTCGACAGATCCTCATTTCCAAAGATATCGGTCTTGGCGGTCATGCTGTCTGGAGGATCGGTAGGTTCTCCATCTTGTTCCCAGGAAACGACAGACAGAGCATAACCGACTGGGTCGTCACGATTCCAGCTTCCGTGCCAGGCAATCCAGGCTTCTTGGCCAGAATTATTGAATTTGATGTCTAGAGGTGCCATGTGGGCTTGGAACGACAGGCGAGGAGGGGCAGTCTCGGCACAGTATTCGTCAGTGCGGTTCTGGCCGTTGGCTTCGGGGGTAGAATCAATGGCAAATTGACTACCAACGGTGAGATTCTCGTTCTGAGGAAGTTCCTCCACCTCCCAAACTGGAAAACACCAGGGATAACCGAAGTTAGCACCTTGATACTCATATTCAGTGCCATCGAGGTAACCCAGAAAGTTGATCTTTTCGGCGGGATTGTTTCGGTGAATATCAACGCCATGGCGGAAAAGTTCGTCGGCCGAATTCTCGATGCCCCAAATTCCACCGCTTTCTGGATGCTCTCCAATTCCGACTTCATTCCGCAGACCCCAACCCATGAGAAGGCCTTCGTTATTGTAATCATATGGATCAGTGACGTTGGTAAGGTTGAATGCCTTGACCTGAGAACTTCCGGTCGAGACATCGTATGCAAGAATATCAATGTTCTCCATGCTGCCCTTGGACACCACCATCATGCCTTCGGTTTTCCTCGACAGAAGCAGAGTTCGCGTTGAGTGGCCTACGCCGGTTAGATTGGTGATGAGGGTATTCCGGTTGGAGACGGTGCGTGTGGAAGGATCATAGGTCCAGGAGAACATGTCGTCGGAATTGGACGCATAGAGGGTGGTCCCATCTGGAGACAGTTCGATGCCATGGTTGAGCTAGAGACGAGGTTAGAATAGGAGGTGAATGAGTACGGAATGCAGGGAAGCATACGCGAACGTCACCAGTCACGTCTGTAGAAGAAGCGATTGAGACACAACCATTCTCTTCTTCAAGGGTGTGGGCAGTCACGGCACCCTTTCCTCGTTCAACGACCAGAAGATTGCCTTCAGTGTCGATGTGAATTCCGCGAGGCCTAGAGAGGCCGGTAGCGACCACCTGATAGGTATAGCCGGAAGCTATTGACGGTCGAATGCCATTTGAAGGAGCAGGACCACAACCTGACGATTGGGCAAACGCTAGAGAAGGGAGGAGGAGGGCGGCGCCCAAGGTGGTGGTAATGGCCGACCTCATCTTCTTTCTACAGGGAAGCTCTGGAGGTGGTTGTCAGTCTACGGCGGTGACATGCGAGAGGAGAAGTCAAGGTGTGGGAATGTCCATTATGAAACCCAGAAAACCCATTTCCAAGAGAAAATAGCATGCATGGGCTGGTTTACTTGGATATTCGTATTTGCGTGGTCGGCAGGCGAATGCAGGACGTGGGTTGGCTGGGGCAAGGAGCAGCTGCGATGATGAGATCATTCCAAGCACGCAAAGTCTTGGACAAATCTTGGTGGAGGACAAAAGCTCCGCAGTTCTGCAGGAGCTGATGGACGTGGCCATTTGGAGAGCATGGGCCCCGAGCGTCTGGTGCTAATGAGCAGACTATGGGAAGCCACCGAACGTCTTCTGGATAGAGTGTCCGGGGGATAGCCGGGCCAGGCCCAGCTTAGGTACATATTGACACTGTCGCTTATGGTTGATGGCAATAAAATTGGGCTAATAAAGGGCCGTTGGGGGACGTAAGGGGCGCTGCCAGAGATGTCGAATGTTGGTATCAACTTGGTTGCAAGCCTGATCGTGGCCTCCAACTCGCATAATGTCCAAGCTACTGGCTTGAGTACACTACCACACTACTACTAACTCGCGAGGTAGGTTACATACGAACGGGCACCCAAGGGAAGCTAAAAGCTATAGGAGATGGAAAGACACAAAAGAACAACATGAACACTCTTCTCATCGTCATAGTAGTCAACCGTGCGTGCCATGACAGCTTTCCTCCTGCCATGGCAGCCACGCTTCCAAGAGAAAGATATGATCCGGATCGACGTACGCTACTCCAATCTTGCACCGTGTGCTCGATGAAATCAAGTGGTTGGACAAGAACTGTGGGACGCCGCTGCATCATGCCAAGTCTGGTAGACGCGTCGACCTCCATCCTCAAGGATTCGATGTTCCAAAGTCGAGGTTCCCACAATTCTTACTATTGTCGCATCCCAAAACATGGTGAAACGGGCAGTCACTCACAATCACCCTTGCTCCTGCCAAAGTACATTTCAACCTCATCAAAGCCCCGGTCACGTGAGAGCCAGACACTGCTTGACAAGATGTGTTGATCAGATACATGTACATGTACTCTCATGCACTACTTACAGATTGTAGGCAATATGTAAACAGGCTCAGGCAGCTTGTTATCTGGCTATTCAACGCTATTCCAACCCATTTTCCATTCTTATCACTGTAGATCATTGCTGATTCCGCCAATTGTGACCGACTTGATAACAGTATACTCATCAATGCCGTACTTTGATCCTTCTCGACCAAATCCAGATTCCTTGACACCTCCAAATGGACTTGCTGGGTCCGAGATCAACCCCGTATTGACACCAACCATACCCACTTCCAGGGCCTCGGCCACTCGGTAGATCCGTCCAACGTCACGAGAGAAGAAGTAACCCGCAAGTCCAACCTCTGCTGCGTTGGCCCATGCGACCACTTCCTTCTCAGTGTCAAAGGGAAAGATACCCGCCACCGGGCCAAATGTCTCTTCACTGGCGATCGCCATATCCTTGGTGGCACCAGTAAGCACTGTGGGAGCGAAGAAATTGTCTCCCAGATCGGGAAGTCGTTGGCCACCGACAAGCAACTTGGCCCCTTTGCTTGTCGCGTCTTTGACATGAGATTCAACCTTTTCAATCGCACGGCTGTGGATGACAGGTCCATGGGTCACCCCCGAGTCAAAACCGTGTCCCACCTTGAATCCCTTGACCTTTTCAGCAAATTTGGCCACGAATGCGTCGTAAATGCCTTTCTGCACGTAGATCCGGTTTGCACAGACACACGTCTGACCTGATGATCGGAACTTGGATGCAATGGCTCCATTGACTGCAGCCTCCAAGTCTGGGGCATCGTCAAACACAATGAATGGGGCGTTACCACCCAGTTCAAATGACAGTTTCTTGATAGTGCTGGAGGATTGTTTCATCAGAAGTTTTCCCACGTTGGTGGAGCCAGTGAAGGACACCTTTTTGATGCGAGGGTCAGTGGTGAGAACTTCTCCGACTTCAGCAGTATTCTTAAGTGCTGTCACAATGTTGACCACGCCCTTCGGGATGCCAGCTCTCCGCGACAGCTCTGCCAGAGCAGCGGCGGTATATGGTGTTTCTCCGGGCGACTTGGCCACCACGGTGCATCCCGCTGCAAGGGCGGGCCCGATTTTGCGGGTGATCATGGCAGCAGGGAAATTCCACGGAGTAATGAGGCCAGCCACACCCACAGGCTGCTTGAATGTCATAATACGGTTTCCCGGGACAGAAGCGCCGATAGTGTCACCATATGCCCGCGGCGCCTCTTCACTGAACCAGAGAAAGAAGTTGGCCGCGTAGGAAACCTCACCCTTGGCATCCGCCAGAGGTTTTCCATTTTCCCATGTGATAAGCGTTGCCAAATCCTCCGCGTTCTCCTGCATCAGGTCATACCACTTTCGGAGCCAGTTGGCTCGTTCGCGAGGGAGGGTCTTGCGGAAGGTCGCAAAGGCGGTCGTAGCAGCATCGATGGCCTTGAGGGTGTCGTCTCTGTTGAACTCGGCAACCGAACCGATCAGTTTGCCTGTAGATGGATCGTTGACGTCAAAGGTTTCGCCAGAACTGGCATCGACGAACTCGCCATTGACAAAAGACTTGCCAATCAAGAGGGAGGGGTCGTTGAGTTTGGGGACCGTGTGAACCATGGCTGCAGATGTGATTCTGTATGATGGGGGTGAAAAGGCGGGGATGGAACGTGAGAGTCGAGGTCGAGAGGAATGGAAGAAGGAGCGGATATATACAGGTGAGCAAAACGAGCGAACCATGGTGTTATAACCCTGGCAGACGAAAATGATCAAGCTTCGGAGCGTGTGGCGGGCTCTTGCATGTCGGGAGAGGAAATCAAGCTAGAGATCTAGGACGATACTCCGTATTTTGAGAAGACAAGGTTTGTAATCACCAATTGGGGCCAGGGCATGTGCTTCGTCTGGGGTTGTCAGAACAAGGACGACAAGCAGAATACGCCCTTATTACCAGGATATGGCGAAAGAGAGCGTGTCTACGAATCCAAGACAAGAAAGCTGCTTCTTTATTCGTGTGGGGACTATCAAAGGCAGGAGCGATGAGCGCGTGCAAGACCGCAAGTGAGGAGAAGCCTGAGGGGAAGGACGGGAGTCTTGCGTCCGACATGACGTCAATTTAATCCCTGCAAGACGATTCAAATGACCACTTTTCTCGCTGAAGAAGGAGCAAAAGACATTGTGAAACATATCTTTTCCAGAATTCATACCAGTAAAAAGGAAATGACCGGCATGACCACGATGACTGACCGGACACTTGACCGGCTATCTGCTGGTTATTGTCCACAATCAGAAAATGATCTCGACGAGTTCTCAGGGTGGATTTGAAAGCTTAACAATCTGTCCTGACTGGTGCTCACACGGAGCTGACGCCGACTGAGGAAAGGCCATATGTAACCGGCACGGTCTCACTTTCCCACCCAGACCTCCTGCCAATCGGAAGACAGGAGCCACCCGGTGGGACTGCCTGAGAAGGTATTGCATCCTACAGGCAACCACGGATTTCTTGGTATACTTAGTACCACTCAAAGGCAAAAGATATTTCGGCGAAATTGCTGCACCCCGCTGGTGCGGACACCGTGATACCACACGGAGGCAGGAGTTTGTCAATACTCCATGCCAACCATCAACTGCTAGATCTTTGATTGGGTTTGTTCGATCAACAGTCGAGACGGTGGCCATGGCAAAATTGATAGAAACTGTCAATGCCTTGTCCGGCCCTGAATTCTTTAAACAGTACGCCGACATTGGCACCCTGCTTGTGGACGAATTCCCCGGGCTACGTGCATCCACCAGCATTGCCAAAGACCTCGCAAAGGATACTTTGGATGCCTGTCTGGCTCTAATCGAGCTGACAAGTGCTCAGGATTATCAAAACTCCGAGATCAAGTGGTCAACGTCGAAAAAGCGCAAGGAGATGAAATTGCCAGACATGAAATATATCGTCTTGTCCGACGCACAGTCCGGCAGCCTCGCCGGCTTTATCTCCTTTATGGTCACCTACGAGGATGGGTATGAGGTCCTTTATCTTTACGAAATCCACTTCACCCCAAGCTGGCAAGGTAAAGGTGTAGGGAAGAGGCTGATGGATGTGATTGAATCCATTGGCAAAAGTGTTGGCCTCGAGAAGGTCATGTTGACCGTCTTTAGATCCAACACTCGCGCCGTCACCTGGTACCAGACCTTGAACTATGTGGAAGACGAGTATTCTCCGGCCCCGCGCAGGTTGCGGAACGGCACAGTAAAAGAACCGACATATATCATCATGTCCAAAAGGCTCAAGGATTGAGTTCAGTCTTTGCATCTGCGCTTCTTATATTTGACGCACAGTCTTGCCCCTCAATTCTGGCCTTTCCATTTCAAGTTCGTCACGCAACACGGCAAACAATGTGTCGCCCACGAGAATCGTCAAGCCCAGACTCCAAACCAGTGTAATGGCATAGAAGAAATTCGCGTTGCCAGAACCAGCATAGATCCATAAGTAATAAAATGCAGGCCCAAGGAGGGTCGAGTACAGTAAGATGGAAGCGGCAATGAAGGTATATCGAGTCACTATAGATGGTCAGCTTGCAAGGTCGACATGAACAAGATCTGGAATGTCCCACTTACATGGAAGAATATGTTGATACAGCGGCAGGAACCCCATATACAGAGACACATCTGCAATGCTAGGGTACGGCTTGAAGATGGCAAATAAGCCTAGCAGAGTGATAACAACAAAAATTGGTTGAGTTTGCAGGCGAAAAGTCAAGGCCCCCACGTAGCCGACCAGGTGCAGCCAGAACACTCCAATAAAGAAGTCTCGAAAAGAATCGAAGATCTCAATGAAGAAATACCACCATAAACCAATATTTGGCGTCAGGTCTGTGATAGTGATCTGTGCTCCGTAGCAAGATGAAAGGAATTCCCAAAACCCGCTTGTGAGGAGGGGGGTCGCGCCCACCGAGGTTGTCAAAACTGCGAGGTAGGTGGCGATGCAAGAGGCGACCATGGAGCCTGCCGTAGCGACAGTCTTGCTCTTGCAAAGTAGAAGAATAACAGGCGGCAAGAGAAGCGCCGGGTACATTGACAAGTAACTGCCAATCGCGAGTGCAAACATGGCTCTCACAGCGTATCCTGATTGAGCATTCAGCACGGCCTGAATGATGGCGGTGTTGGTGAAGATATTTGTACTTCGTCCGAGACATGACAAAATCGTGAACGGATTGAACAGGTATGCTGCCGCTATCAAAGTTCCATCCAGTTTCCGGAACCTTGGAGTAGATAATTGGAGGTCATTGGCAATGGAATGCAAGGACCAGGCGTTCAATATGTCGAGGGCCACAAAAACCAAGGATGCTGGAAGAATGTCAAAGATGACCAGCAGTAAAGGTGCCTGGTGGAAGACTCCGCCGTCATATGGAGACAGTCCATGCTGATAGAGGAAGAGACCCTCTTGGAGACGCTTGAAGCTGGATATTGGCGTCGAGATTTCGACTTGGGAGGTGAGGAAGTCTGCCAGGCTTGGAAACGAGAGGAACACCAAAAGTCGGATGGCAGCTGCACCGGCATATATCGCGACCGTCTTTCGATCCAGCGATATTGCCATTCTGAAGGTTATAACCCGGCCTTGTCGTTGGTCATTGATCGAGTCTGGGGGGTAATAATATAATCAAAAAAGTCAGACGAAAGGTTGAGATGTTGTTTACTCTGTACTTTCGCCGTCAGGAGTGTGGCTTCGTGGCTGTGTGCCTTATGTGGCTAGTGACCTACCCTTCGGCAAACTTCCTTCCGGCAGAACTTCGGTATGAATTTTCTCCAGAATCTCCTCTCGAGACTTTTTTCCTGCGCCATTGAACAGGCGATCCAAACAGCCCACCATCACCGCCGTTTGAGATTACTTCTCGTCTATCGTCTTGACTGCATCGTCATGGCAAAGCAAAAGAAAAAGGGCCAGTCCGGCCAGGCTAAAAACTACATCACCAGAACCCAAGCTGTTCGGAAACTTCAAATCTCGCTGCCCGACTTTCGAAGATTATGCATCTTCAAAGGAATCTACCCTCGAGAGCCGCGGAATATTAAAAAGGCCAACAAGTCGGCCACTCACTCGACCACTTTCTACTACACCAAAGACATCCAGTACCTCTTACATGAGCCTCTGCTCGCCAAATTCAGAGAACAGAAAGCCCTCTCCAAGAAGATTGCACGGTCGTTAGGTCGCAATGAAGTCCAAGATGCGGTCCGCCTGGAAAAACAGGCCATGCCCAAGATCAAGCTCGATCATATCGTCCGCGAAAGATACCCGACTTTTATCGATGCTCTGAGAGACCTAGACGATGCGCTTTCACTTCTCTTCCTCTTCGCCAATCTTCCCTCCACCTCAACCGTTCCCCCAAAGATCATTGCACGATGTCAAAGATTATGTCTCGAGTTTGAACACTATTTGATTGCCACCAACTCACTCCGCAAATCCTTTTTGTCTATCAAAGGCATCTACTATCAAGCAACCATCCAAGGTCAAGACATCATGTGGCTGGTTCCCTACAAGTTCGTCCAGAAGGTCACCCAAGACGTCGATTATCGGATCATGGGTACATTTGTCGAATTTTATTGCACCCTGCTAGGATTTGTCAACTACCGGCTATACACCTCAATTGGTCTGGTTTACCCTCCCAAATATGATGGGGCCAGTGACGACCGAGGTGCCGACCTAGCCGCCTTCACCTTGGAGGGGAAAAGTGTTGCTGCGCCTGAAGAGCAGAAGTCGTCAACAAAGAAGCTCACAAATGGACACGCCCAGTCAGGCAACTCAGAAGCATTGCAAGCACAGATTGACAAGATTGCAAAGGAGGCCACGCAGGAAGAAGACCATACACAGCAGGAGGCTGAAGTAGATGACACTGCGGATGAGACTGCCATCGATGAGTTCACTGTTGCAGCCCCAGAGGGCGACACTCTTCCCCAGCCAGACATCTCAGGCGACCAAGCATCGTCCCTCTTTGCGAACCTGACCGTCTATATCTCCAGGGAAGCCCCTCGACATTCCATTGAGTTTCTCCTGCGAGCATTTGGATGTAAGAGAATCGCGTGGGACATTGTTTCTGGCGACGGTGCCTTCACACATGACGAGACCGATCCTCGCATTACACATCAGATCGTCGACCGACCCATACCAGCGCAGGCCCTCCCCGCTGTCCAAGGGGCTGACGAAACGGGTGATCAGAAGACTCAAGTCGTCAAACCTGGATATATCATCCCTGGGCGGCAATATGTTCAACCACAATGGGTTTGGGACAGTGTTAATGAAGGCAAACTTCAACGCACCGATCTGTATGCTCCTGGTGCGACCCTTCCTCCGCATTTGAGCCCATGGATCAAGCCAGGTGCCGGTCAATACGATCCTCGAGCGACCCTAGAGGAACAAGAGCTTGAAGGCGAGGCTGACGACGCAGCGGAGGCACTTGAAGGCGGAGAAGTGGATGACGACGAATCAGACCAGTCCGAAGCCTCGGCCGACGACAGCGATGTCGACGTCGATGAATCAGACTCTGGATCCGTTGATGCTGGCGACATGGACGTCGCAGCCACCGATTCGGACTCGGACGACGACACAAACGAGTCGTCAGCGTCGTCAATATCCGGCGTCAACGTCGATGACCAAGTCTCCGAGGACGACTCAGACCTAGATTCCGAAACACTGCATCAGAAAGAACTAGAAGCCGAAGCACAAGGCAAGGCTCTGCCACTAAACTCGGCATCAGGCCAACAAGACCCGCAACGCGCTGCTCGTGCCAAGGCCAAGAAACAGCGACAGGCCAAACAGACAAAGCAGCAAGAAGAGATTGAACGTCAGAAGATGATGATGAGCAATAAGAAACGCAAGCTATACGAGAAGATGCAGCATGGCAACCAGAAACGTGACCTCGAGGCCGAGAAGCTGCGTGCCAAGAGGAGAAAGTTGGAGCGTACTGCTGCTGGCGGTGCCAATGCGAAGAAATAAGTCTTGATGCGTTGTTTTCCTCGCGGGAATTTTGCAACATGGGGTAGCTCTTCAGCTGTTCCTAGAACGAGAAGTCGTGCTGATCCATGCATACATGGCGAATAGGGACAAAAATGGGTGATTATAGGCAGCGGTCTCTTGTCTTCAGCAGTTGGATTACAAGTCCAACATCTCAGGAATTACGTTTCCAGGTAGAAAAGTCGCTTCGGTAGGGCAGGCGAATTGCTTGGTTGAACGACGTGATGATTTTCATACAAGAATCAAAATTCAGTTTTGCACACTGTGATCTCATGATTTCATCTGTCTCGATCATGGCTACCGCTCCTTGTGATATTCTATGTTCCATTTTTCGATGGAGAACGATAATCGTCATGCATTGCTCTCTTATCTATTCTGTTGTTCGAACGCTGGCAGGTCATCAGGGTGACCTCTTAGATCTACGACTGAACTGGCCATCCTCTATTGGATGGATGTAGTTTCACTTCACTGCAAACAGAGCTCTTGGAGTTTGAATTCTCGATGATTTTCATCAGCCAATAGCATTTATCTGTTAATCCTAGCTAGTCAGTAGCCAAATTTGATTGTTTAATCTGGATCATCAGCCATCTGCCCCTTGCTGTGTTTAGACACCGCCTTCACCTTGTTCGAAAACAGTATGAAGCCAACTCAGCTTGACCAACAGACCTGAATATAGTAGCTCAGGGATGTCAGCTTCGAGACAAGAGACTCCACATGTTCTTTGCTGTCATAGGTAGTTGAGGCTCGGTGAATTGTCAAGGCATAGCAGCGTCTCAAGCTATGGGTCTTGACTTCGCCTGAATTTACCAGTATCTGCTTGTAACACCAATCCTCTGTCCTCCAGCGCCTTGATGCTTAGATCAGACCATATTGATCTTCCGCCATTTGGCGCGCAGTTGCGGCTTCTTCGTTGCATCGTCGTTCCGCCGTCTTAAGATCCAAAAGCATCGTTTGAGCTCTCTGTAAGAGAACAGGATCAGTCTTGACAAAATCTTTCTGCTTCTTGCGCATTTTCACGTTTGCAATGTCTCCTTTGACTGAATTGATTTGGTTTAGGAGGCAATTCCAATCTTTTCACGTGCAACTCTCAGTGCAGCCTTGTAATCATCGTAGACTCGATGTCGAAATGATCGGACAAAGTTATCGGAGGCAACATAATCAAGCAGGATACGGTATTGTTTTTTCGTTGACCCTTTTCCTGCTTCGTGTCAGTCTCACCATTCAATGAACAGAGTAAAGTGCATTCTTACCATGTGCCCAAGAGGCCTCAGCGTAGCCTTGTTCCATCAACTGTTTAACGTAGCAGGCCTGATGCATAGTCATGGCATCATACTGGATCTTTGCAATGCTCTCGTCATATTCCCGCATTGAGTTTCTGATACAGTCTTCAATGAGGAGCAGTCTAGTGGTGACAGAAATGGCGATCGGAGAGCCTGGATCGACGCTGGAGCATTGCTGAGAATAAGTCTTCCAGTTCAGCACAGATTGTAAGTTGAAGTCTAGAATATATGCTCTAGTTTCTGCGGTGAACCTCGCCCAATTGTGTTCGAGAACGTTGGCGAAACACTGTACGATATCTCGATTCCAACACGCGTATCCTCTGCCGCGGGTGGTGTGCGTACCTCTGTGAATGATCCAAGCTCTGAACGAACTGGATTTCCACCCGTTCAGTGGTTGAAGAACGTCCACGCACCTATCTTGGATATGGGTTTGAGATCTTCGCAGAACAGAGTTGACATGTTTACTGTAGGAGTTATCAATCTTGTCAAAGCAGCAATGCAGTTGCTGTATGCTGGCCTCAAGTGCCTGAGCCTGAGGTGCCTCCTTCCGTTCATCAAGCCGCTGATCATTGACGAGACATGTTATAACCCATGTCTGGACAGACGCGACACTTGCTGGAAAGTCGTGCCTCAGAAACGAGTTCTGATGCTTAAAGAGTGATTCATGGGGAAGATCTGTGAGAAACTCCCGCAGCTGGTGAATACCACTTGTTTCCCGCTCAGTCTCGTTGTTCAAGTCGTCGTCCCAGTACAGTGTATTGTCGACGCAGAAGATTTCCAAGCGAGCATCATACTTACTCTTGAGTTTGGCTGAAACTTCTCCATTCCGGGCTTCAATTAGCATTCGCAGGTAGTCTCGCCGCAGATTCTTTTCTTGCTTCTTGTAAGCTTTGACAGGCATATCTTCGTTCTTGGCCAAGTCATCGAGAGATTTGAGTAGATGCATGAGTCGAGATTGATTCTTCACCTTCCCACGCAGTTTTTGCTCTTCAGAATTGGTGGACAGAACCCCAGAACGTGTGCAGACTACGGCAAGGTGGCGTTTCATGTTGCCATTGTACGTAGGCTTTTTCATGACCATCTGCACGGTCTCCTCGACCAGGCTGTCATCAATGGCCCGTTTCATATCCACGACAGCAAGCAACAAGTCACACCTTGACTGATACCTCATCGCTGAGTTTACTCTAGCGACATTGGTGTCTCGATTTCCGGGTAGATCAACCACCACTAGGTGGCGTCCCAGAGTTTGAGTCTTTGAAGTGATCTTGACTGTCTCCACGATCGGCCAAAGACCCGAGGTGATGATCAACGACTGTTTCTCATTGAGGCTTTCTGTTGTGTTTGCCTCTCCACGCCAAACCCCTTGGGCATCAGTACCTTCGGGATACTTCAAAGTTTCCGCCAGGGTAGTAAGTCTAGCCAAAGCAGGCTCCATGTTATGGTCTGCTCCAATGGAAAGAGTGGCGCTTCCGTACGATTGCATATGGCCGAACAATGCATCAAGTATGTTTTTAGCTTCAGCCTGGTCTGATTTCATTTCTGCAAACATGGAGGGGTCCATATTATCCACATCTTCTTCCACTTGTTCCCGATGATAATTTCGGAGCAGCTGGGCGAGGTAGAGGTGCAACGAATCAAATGGCTGTAGCTTGGCTTCGAAAACGTACTCTGCCTGCTGATCACTTGTTGATTGTCGATACTCGATAGGGTAGTGTGTAACAGCGGTGCCACAGGCTTCTGCTTTGGCCAGATCCTGTTGGTCGAGGACAGAATTGATAGTGCTCGACTTTCCAACACCAGAAACACCGATCACGCCTACCATGAACTCGGTTGGATGTTCATCGTCTGCAAGCCTCTTCATCTCTTCATAGCAGCGAAGAGGTTTCGGGTCTGGCCACTGGGTCAAAAAATCTCGGGCATCACCGCAGGCTTTCCGTGCGATCTGAACTGCGGAAACGAAATGAGGTTCTCTATAGGGCGGGAATTGGGGAAGTGTTGGACTTTCTGTGGCACTGGCCTTCAGTAAGGCAGCAGAAGCCATGATATTGAGGTGGAATTGTCAAGTACACCAAACTTGAGCTGAACTGATGGAGCGATCAGTGATGGAAATGTGCTCACATTGAGAGTTCAGGAGATCAAGAGCCGAAGAGATCGAGAGGTGTATGGATGGAAGGGGTTTCAAGACTGGGAGAAGAAGAAATTGTGAGATTAGGAGATCGAGAGACGAAGAGATCGAGGGATGGAGGACCTCCAGAGTTCTGGAGATGAGCGATCTGAAATTTCCACCCATTGTTAGCAGATCTTAGATCGGTGATGTCTAAGGAACACCCAACCCCTAGAAACTAATGAGGAACGTAAACCTATGATGCCACCATGGAAGTCCATACACGCCGTCACTATGAATGGAAAGAATTTTTTGAAAACGACCGTGCCACTGTAGGTCCTCCACGAGCACGCCTATAACTGCGTCTAATCATAAAGCTTTTTGCTATGCCTGTAGATGTATTCGCCATATCCTCTCGTAGTTCAGACTTTTTTGACCGGAGTGTGTGCTGTAGGATTCTCAAATCTGAGATAGTAAGACAGTAACATGGCGGTTCCACCCACCACAAATATCATCACACTAGATGTCTTTGTACTTATTAGAAAGTAGTAAATGGGAAATCACGAAGGTTACTTACCACTAAGGGCATCCGATTCTCAAGCTTGACTATTCGTGACTCTATATTCGAATGGAGGTCACCAAGCTTCGACTCGAGGTCACTCCTCTGCGCATCGGTAGTTTCGATGAGGCCTTTCATCTGGATAGTAATGTTATTGGTGAGGCGTGTCATCTGGATAGTAAGGTTATCGGTAAGGTGTGCCATTTCGGATTGAAGTTGTGTCATCTCTGACTTGAGGTCTGATTTTGTCACGAATGGGTCTAGCCTAACCGCTGTCAACCGGTTATTACAACAGTCGAGTTTGGCTTCGAGGGATGGGCTGGAGCGAGAGGTAGAACTTGCGTTGCTATTAGTCGTAATCCGAACGGCAGCTGCTCGAGAAATCCGTGGAACCTGTGGGATAATACGGCGTCCTCTAAGGCGGAAAGCTGGGCGTAGTATTTGGAGGACTATGTCTGAAGAGGAGTTTGAAGTACCTAGTGTTAGGTCTTGTGATTGTGCGTGTAAGGGTGAGGGAGTGAGAGCTGAAAGAAGAGATTTAGGTGAGCGGAGTTAGGATACATTCAGCTCTTTCAAACTTTAAGGAGAGTTTATGCGGAATATCCTCCATGAGAATTTTCCGGGTAGTCATGGAGTGCCTGAGAGAGTGCCCTGGATAGTACCATAGGGGAACTATATGGAGGGTGCCCGAGAGAGTGTGGGCCAGAGAGGAACGCTCTATAGATGTGTCAAAGATTGAGGCGAATGAGTTGCTTGGGCTTCCTCAATGCTAAGGGGGAAGCCTAACTATCTATAGCCAAAGGTAAGGCTCTGTGTACAGGAGGCTGGGAGATGTTACCAACCCTTATGCAAATTTGTTGGCATCCGACAGGAGGGTGCCCTATAGAGAGTGTATTGGAGTGTGTTCTAGCACTGTGTGGGCGACTTATGGTTGGTTGTAGCTGCTACTTGCTATGTATATCTTAGAAATGTATATATATGCCCCCAGCCCTTGAGATCCGCGTGTTGGGTTGCATCCATCTCGCCCTACCCAAGCCATACACGTGCAACACACGATCCATCATCCCCTCGTACCCATCCTGACCCTGCATTCCCTTGGCCGACAACACATTGACTGTAGACCCTCTGTACTGTAGCGAGGACCTCCAGAAAGGTAACTTTGCATCCCTCATCAAAGGTCTTAGATGCCAGGACGCTAATAGAACATGTGTTCGAATCCTTCCATGGTTAGCATTGATCGTCAAAACCAAGCGTGAGATGGCAAGACTTTACCTCAATCATCTGCGACGACCCAGGCCGGACAAGCTCACTACTTCTTGCAACCATCCTGGCCATACCATTGACACAATCTTGTGCATTGGGCGTGCGAGTAATATCGCAATACACGAAGCCTGATTGTATCTCTTTGCGGTCGTGGTCTGAGAGCCTCAACATTTTCTTATAGGCATCCCAGACTGGCGATTGACGGGACAACCGTACCCCCTCTCTGGCGAATGCTGCATCCTGCACTGAATCTGGCAACAATTCCAAGGTAGAGCAGTCGTGGCGTACGAATGCGGCGATACCGCGGATGACCCTCACACCGTCCGGGCCCTGAGTGTCATGATCGACTAATTGCAACGCACACGCATTCGCTGTGGTTCGTTTGTGTTTTTTCTTACACTTGTTCTTGGAACGGATAGCCTTGGTGTATGTCCCACAACTTTCTCTCAGTATTGGAATGAAGGTGAAATACCCACACTCATCTGGAAGTAGTTTCTTTTCCAGTCTCAGGCGTGGACTCACCCCGTCCTTGTCGATATATCCTCCAGAGAGGCTATTCAGCATTAGCCAATTGTCGATTGACTCGACGCGATGTAATCTCTTACCCATCATTCAAACCTTCCATGTTAAATTCTATATTGGTTGAAGCCCTCCAGCTATAAACCTGAGTTGTTTTTTCGTCAAGCACGCAAGTTTGGTTGGATATACACTGAGGTGTGAGATACGGCTGTTCTTGTCCGTAGAAGAAGTTCGTCCGCATTTGGCAAAAGCTGGAGCAGTCTCCTCGGTCAGGTTTGCGATCTCCACAAGTACGATCCTTCGAAAGGTAATGGGCTGGTGGGCAGTCGACAAAGTCGTATTGATGATAGAGCTGGGGAGTTACGCCTCGCCAGGCACACAAATCGGCATTGGCAGTGGGCTCTGTCTTTGAGCTCAGAATGAGGCAGAAGATAGTCAGGATAATCAGAGACCAAGACATGGTGTTTGGGGGGGTGGTGCTTGGTTGGGAACGTGGTAGTTTAAGAAGATGGACGAAAGATTTATGCCCAGTGGTCAAAAGACCTTTTGACTGGATAGACAAGTGTTCGAAGCTGTCACGACAATCGGATCATAGTCTGCGGTTAGCAGCCATGCGTCAGATCACCATGATTCCTGATAATAGCCAACAAACGGCGCTTCAAGGAAACGGGTTGACCCGCGTCATTGCAAGGCCTTCTCTGCCCACCTCATGCCTTGAAGTTCAGGATTCAATTAGGGGTTCTGTGCCCACTCCATGCCGAAGCCAGTAAATTTAATGTTCCAAATTGTTTCTCCATCATAGATTCCACGGGTCTGTAGACTGTCACTCGTGATTCTTCAGCGTTTGGTACGTTGCAAAACATAATGTAAGGATGTGAGGACATTGAAAGTATCACCCCTGACTTCGAGCGCCTCGCGTCACCAATGCCAAGATTGATATCACATGACTTAACTTATAGCAGCGCCAATCTAATCCCGTTCGGGTCCCAACTTCTTTCCCATCTAGAGCTCCAAGGAAATCACAAGCTCGAAGTTGCTGATTCAGTCCTCAGCTCTTCATCCTCGCCGCGAGTTTCATTCCTTCGATCTCGACCTGCTGAGTATGGCAGTGCAGTCAAAAATGCTGCGACTCGCCCGCCCTGTGGCTGCCAATGTGCGCCGTCAGATGCTCGCCCAAGCTCAGGTACCAAAATCTTCTTTCCATCTCAACAGCTCACACGACTGACCTTCTCCAGCGTCGCACCTTTGCTGATCGCAAAGACTCGCTCCTGAGCTCCGACCCGTCATTCGCCAGCTCCCCAGCGCCTGTCAAGACCGAGATACCTCTTGGACCTGGAGGCCCTGGTTCTCCTGCTCCTACTCCAGCGACCCCTTCGTCCGCCTCAACCATTCCAATAGAGAATGTCCCCAAAATCCCCCCTTCTCCCGCCCAAGTTCAATCGACTCCTCCAACAACCCCAGCATCAGTAAGCCCACCTGGCCCAGCCACGGAACCTCCTCCGCCACCACCCCCCAAGGCTGTCGCTCCGCCAGCTCCTAAACGCTTCCGACGCTTAAGATTACTCTTTTGGCTGGCTCTGTTGACCGCATTGGGCTACGGAGGCGCCGTCTTTTATGCTCTACGAAGTGACAATTTCCATGACTTCTTCACCGAGTATATTCCTTTCGGGGAGGACGCCGTTCTCTATTTCGAGGAAAGGTCTTTCAAGAAACGCTTTCCCAATGCTAGACACAACGTTGCCAAACTCCCTCGAGTCGATAAGCCTGAAGATAAAAAGGTTACCATTCCCTCACGATCAGGACTCTCATGGAGAGTGGCAGAAGACGAGAAAAAGGGAAGCGATGTGACACAAAAAGGCAAACATAACAGTGCCACGGATGTCAACAAGACAGCACCATCCAGCACCAAGGATGCCGCCAAGCAAGACCCAAAAGCTGCGAAGGGAAGTAGCAAGTCTGCACCGGTCCAGGCTGTCAAGAAGGATCGCGACACCAAGGCTGCCGATTCGACTGCCGACTCCAAAAACGCAGCATCAGAGTCTTCATCTGTACCTCCGAGCCCCGCAACTCCAAGTCCCAAGTCTGATCCACGACCACCCGCCATCGCTCCTGTCACTGCTGTATCCTCTCTGTCGGTTCCCAACGCCGAGGAGCCTGTAGTGCAAGAATTAGTCAAGATTGTCAACGACCTCATCACGGTGGTCAATGCTGACTCACCCGACGCTGCCAACAAATATTCTGCACCAATCACCAAGGCCAAGGATTCCCTTGCTGCTGTTGCCAATCAAATTCTTACCATCCGTGATGCCGAACGCAAAGCTGCCGAGGAGCGCGTGGCCCAGGCTCACCAGGAATTCGACGAAGGAGCTAAACAGCTGCTGAAACGCATCGAGACCGCCCAAGCTGAAGACGACGCCCGGTATCGAGAAGAGTTTGAGAGCGAGCGTGCGCGACTGGCTCAACTTTACGAGGAGAAACTCAGGACAGAAATCGAACGTAGCACTCAAGTCGTCGAACAACGCTTTAAGAATGAAATGTCTGAACAAGCGATTGAATTGAAGCGGAACTTCATTGCACAAATCAAAGACCTGGTTGAATCCGAACGCGAAGGTAGACTATCACAGCTTTCTAACCTCAGCACTGATGTTGATTCCCTCACCGAGCTCACCTCCAACTGGAACGGCGTGATCGATACCAATCTGGCCACTCAAAAACTCCAAGTCGCCGTTGATGCAGTGCGATCCGCCCTCGCTCGATCCGCCGCATCAGACGCCAAACCTCGTGCATTTGTGAGGGAGATGGCGGCCCTGAAACTCGTCGCTGACGGTGATACCGTGGTGGACGCTGCCGTCGCCTCAATCAACCCTGCCGCCTACCAGAAGGGAATTCCATCCCAACCACAATTGATCGACCGCTTCCGACGCGTGGCCTCGGAAGTCCGCAAGGCGAGCTTGCTGCCAGAGGACGCTGGAGTAGCTTCGCACGCGGCCTCCCTGGTTCTAAGCAAAGTCCTGTTCAAGAAACACGGACAACCGACGGGTAACGACGTCGAGAGCATCCTAACACGGACCGAGACCTTGTTGGAAGAAGGCGACCTGGACTCAGCGGCCCGGGAAATGAATAGTTTGAACGGGTGGGCCAAGGTTCTCAGCCGTGACTGGTTGAACGATGTCCGCAAGGTCCTCGAGGTCAGACAGGCTCTCGACGTCATTGAGACCGAAGCCCGTCTCCAGTGCTTACGAGTCGAAGGAGGAAAATAGAGACGACGGCGTCCTTTTTTTTGGACAAACGTACTACCTAAGGTTCACGAGGCCGGGATCCATAGCTTTGCAAAGCCGGTTCTTCTTCCCACGCACTCGTATGTACATTTCCGGCGAGCTTAGCTCACACAAGCAAGTCACCTTGACCATTTGTGATATACTTGGTGTGGTGAGGTGTTGTCCGAACGGGGGATACACGTTATCCATTCGAAGGACAGTCCTATAGGAGCTTCTGGCTCGCTACATGTATGTCGTTTTGTACCATGGTTAGACAAAAAACAGAAAGAGTTGACCTATGTAAGAAACTGGTTTGAGCGCCAAACTGTTACGTATTGGGATTAAAATTAAAATTATATACCTGTTGGTGATGAATATCTGGGTTCAAATGCTCCAGAACTCAGCGCTCATGTAATATATAGTGCAATATAAACGCTAATGATTCGGACATCTTAGACGCGTTCCATAAGCTGCTCAACTCAAAGAAACCGATCAAGGACTGATTCGCGGCTGTAGAGGGCCAAATCTCCATGTCGTGATGCACCGACACAAGCTCCATGCTCCACGAACTCAGCAACGCCTGGCTGGTCAACTCAATCAATCTGGGTATCCCAAACCAAATCAATCGCGGGGTCTCGCCATCTCTATCTCTCCTACCTCCCAAACGCAAGGATACAAAATATGTTGGCCAGAATGTCCCCCAATGCTTCTCAGTAGACTCTGAAACCCGCTTAATCAATCCAGAGTAACCACCGAAACACTCGGTCCACGGTTCTGACACTGCCCAAGACAAGTTGGAAGGTACTCACGATTGCCCAAATGCACCAGAGGAGCCCAACAACCATGTATTCAATGGTGGCGAACCATACCTTGCGCATAATCCGCACGCCTCGTTTTCGACGTCGAAATGCTGCTTCGATAGAATCATTCAATCCTTTGACCGCCAGTGTACTGGCTGTGGTTAAATTGATGCTCAATTCTCCTGTGGCATCTGCCGTCAGACGGACTTGTGGAGTCAGCGTGTTCTCAACCTTGTCTTCCAAGGTCTGAAGCTGCTTGTGAAGCGAAGGCGCAATCACAGCGCTAAACGAATGAAGCTTGTAGTTGATAGTTGACGTATGCCTGTCCAACGTTTCCATGATATTCTTTGCAGCGACAACATGATGCTCTCGTCGCTTGATCCGAAATGGCTCTTGGGCATATAAAGTCCTGTTTTCGGGTGTGAACGAATCGAGAAGGAACTTGGGTGCATGAGTATCCGGATCTTCTGCCCTGAACCCGATTTCTCTTGCCTTAACCGTCTGGCTAAACAAAAGCGCTTCAGCCCGTCCAATGTCCCGCCACGACACGGCGCCCGGTTCGTCTGCTTCGTGTTCTGATTGATCTTCTTGTCCTAATTCGCTCGCTGACTTTGTTGACTTCGGACCTGCTCGGCCGTTGATGGGATTGATTGCGGCATTCAAGTAGTCCGATGCCTGAAGCGATCGGCTCATGTCCAAGGCTTGTCCGAAGCCATAGCTTTTCCGACGCTCATGGGCGCCTGAAGATTCGCCAGTACTGGTATCGAGCCTGGGCAAGCCCAGCCTGAGGCCAGGAGAGCGAGATGGAGGACGCTCATTCCCTCCCAAAGCAGTGATATGGTCTGAAGAGTCGATTCTGGCTGTCGTACTCGGGGCGAGCAGAGACTGCTTCTTTTCTTGTACTTCTCTATCTTTCTGAAACGGTGATGTGAAAGAGGGAAGATTTGGGTTGTTGTACTTTGGCCTCTCAACTGAGGGTGAGCCAACCTTGGTTCCCGCAGAAGACAGGAGCTCACTCTTGGTGCTGGAGATTGTCGAAGATCTGGACCGGCCAGTGAGAGCTGGGGGTGTTTTCAATAAAGAACCATTGTGTTGCGGATCGATCGCAGAATCTGACCCAGGATATGACCGGATGCTTCCATCTGAGGCCGAATGCCCATGTGTGTAGCCGTGCGGCAGGTCCCTTTTCCAAATGAAGTCACCAACTCTTGTTACCTCATTGCCCACCAGTTCCGCTATCCGGCCTCCCTTGAAAATGCCCCGCAATCTGGAATGCTCGCTGGGAGCTGGTGGGAGGTGTGTTACTCGTGTGCCGGTCTTGGCCGTGGAAGTCAGTCCGTGCTCGTCAGTTTGCAAAGCATGATCGTCCTCTGGACGTGTTATTGACGAACGATTCTTCGAAAATGGGCTCATCCCTCGCGAATCAGGGCTTGTAGCTCCAGAGTCAACTGCGGGCGAGTCTGATGACCTTTTAGGCTGTTGGTGGTGTGGATGGGAGTTCGCCGCAAAATCGGTCACACTAGTTGTATCATGGTCTTTGTGCGTCCGTTGGAAGGGATGCAACAATGAGGGTCTAGCTTTTCGCACAGGAGATGGCCCTCGACTGGGCGGAGGAGACAGGTTGATGGCGATGCTAGGCCACTCAACAGCAGCTGGGGAGGTTGGTGCCGTGGTGTCATAATAGTCAGCAGAATGACGTGGACCTCTTTCGTTGTCAAGGCTAGACCGAGTTACAAACAATGCAGAACCAGGACGTGCCGACTGCGCCCTTCGTGATTTGGGTATGGGAGAGATTCGTTTCAAACTGTCTTTAAAAGGGCTCTTGCTGAACGCGGAATGGTCGAATGAGGATCTGTTGGAGGTGGGGGACGTAGGGCGCAGTTCATCCGTATGGTCTCTTACAGATGCTGTCTTGTCTTGATTACGAGATCCTGAAGTATGCTTTCCCGGAGATTGGCTCCCTTGATCGTGAGATTGGCGCCTTTTACGCCTCAGTCGCTTTCGACCGCGTTCTTGCGCGTTGCCGTCATCAGAGCCTGGACTTGAATCGGTCAAACCCGACTCGCTACTGTCTCGGAACAATCTTGACTTGATGCGGGATCGCTCCCGCGAGCTGCTTGCATCCTTTACAAGAAGAGCATCCTTCAACTTGGCTTTATGCCGGCCTGCATGGGCATGACTATTGGGGTGATAGGCAGATTTGAATGTGGGTAATTCTGGCAGGGCCGAAGGAGGCTCGTCTGCATGGTGTTCTTCGGGAGATTGGGGTGGGGAGGGTTGCTGCATAGTGGTAGGCAAATCGACTGGAGTCTTGTTCCGCCATCCTGAAAATTGAAAATGAGTGTCTGGCGGGTATATGACATTGTTGTCTCTGTCTTGTATTTTCAATTTGTTCAAGCCCTGCTCAAGCCAGTAGGCATCTGCCAACAGGTCGGCGGGATGAGTGACCCAGTCTGATCGGGGTCGGCTGAGCTTTGGTAGAATGTGGTCCGGAAGTCTAGGGGAGGCGGCCTTCTTCATCTCATCTGGACTCTCGTCAGGGTCATCGCCGTCGGAGGTTTCAGCGCGTTGGTCTAAGGGCGGAAGGCGGAGGCACTCGTCCGGTTCGTGATGAGTTTTGGCATTGCTGGAGATGACTGCGTCAATCCAAGCTCGGACTTGGTTGACATCGTACCAGCCATCCAGTTCACTGTGAATTGGTGTCTTTTCCCACACACGCAGCTTTCTATTGCGGACATATTGTAGGGGGTTATAGGCTCTCTGCATTAACTCTGGGCGGTGGGGCATAAAATTGGTGGAGGGTCGTCTGATAGGTGGCAGATGGGGGAGTAAACGGCGATGTTCATGGGCTAGTTCGAAATATACCTTTGCTTTTTCGACTCGAGACAGAGTGGCAGGCGAGATACTATCGCTCATGGTGGAGTCACCTTGGTTTGTTTCAGGGCGTGGGGTATCCTGTCCTTGAACGGACGGCAGAGGAGACTCGTGGCCAGGGTCGACATATGAAGGTGTGAAGCTCGGCTTGGGGGATCTATTTCGCGAAGACTGTCGATTGGCAGCCAAGAAGGGCGCAAGAGAGGATGTTCTGAGAGTGGCTCTAGCATCATGGTTTGTAGTACCAGTCGAAATGACGCGATGTTCGGCAGGGTCGTTAGAAGCATACCTGCGTCCTGATGCAAGACGTCGACGGCCCTCGCTCAGGGTCAAAGCCATATTGACGATCTGAGCGGGGTCATCGTGACGGCCGACGTTGTGGGTTGACGAAGGGCGAGGCTCATTCTTGCGCGAACTCGAAGCCGAACTTGCTCCCTGACGACCGACTTTGTACGAGGAGGACATGGAACGGCGAAGGTCGGACGCTGTAGATGACTGAGGTGGAGTGACGGTGGCCGGATCGTGATGGCCGTGGTTCTGCTCAATGTGCGAAGCGAGGGGAGAGCTTCTGAACGTAGTGATTGGGATTCCATGATGATCGTGTGGCTTCTTGGGGACGACCAATTCCTGCGATTCGCTTCGTCTGTTGGCTTTGGTCTGCGAGGATGAGGAGGCCAAAGAGTTGGGTGATAGTCGGCGTGATCTGGAGAAGGAGTCAAGAAGAAAACCCCCAGAGCGACGGACTTTTGGTGAATAGAGGTCGCCACCTCTATGGCTGTCTCCGTCCCGATCTCTGCGTTTGTCCTTTTCCTTCTCTTTATCCTTGCTCTTGTTCTTCTCCTTGCTCTCTGAGCCACTGCCAGTGGTTGTGCCCATGAGCAAGTTCTCAGACTCGACATGACGGTGACGGTTGCCGGGGCGAGTCTTGGGAGCAGAAATGTCCGAGTTTGATGTTGACAGCGACGTCCTGGAGTCGGCATGGACCGATGTGAAGGTGGGAAGAGTCAACAACGACTTTTCATGGCTGGTATCAGTGGCGAGGGAGCCATTAGGCAGAATGGTAGAAGACATTCAGGCAGCTGCCCATCTGGCGCAGCAGCTGCGGACGTGGCACTATGGCAGCTTGCCGCGTGAGGAAGGAGCGACGGTCATCGCAATTGCCTGGACGTTCTGTTCAGTTTGGGGAAGGAACGAAGCACGAGGGGAAGGAGCCCTGAAGAAACAGCTGGGGATTTGTATTGAGAGGTGGGATGGGATTGTGGAAATCCAGATGGAATTCTCGGCTAGTAATTCCAAGTCAAGTGATGGTGGTTTAATGATGGTGATTCGAGGATTGTGCTGATGAGGAATCTTGTGCCAAATGGCGACAGTGGATGACGGAGACACACTGAACACGTGCTGGCCAAGGGCTACAGGGTTAGTCACGCTGGCACCCGAGAGCCCAGGCTTAGAGGGCGCTAAGGCCACGATCGATGGCGCCCAAGAGGGCCGAAAGTGTCCCTAATACGCTTGGAATTGAGCCTAGAAGGCCTGTGCGATCTGGGGGTGCCTGTACTAACCAATTTAGTTGGACATGTACTCGTTGTATATACTTTTAGATGGAGAAAGTCTAATGATTGGTAACAACCAAGGATTGACAGGCTGACAGCTGCTGCCCGCCGTTGGGCTCATTGGGCTCCAATTCAGAGTCCAAATGCCACCTTAGGTGTAGATTAAGATTCTCATATTGTACGTATACAAGGTGCCGTTTGCAAATCTTGTCATACATCACCCTAAATAGGTACTCAGTCTATACATCATGATCATCTTCCGAATCCAACTCAATTTACACTGAAAAATCTCCTAATAATATCGCTGTGAAGGTCTTTCTGCCAATTCTTCCCAAAATGTTCAGCTCTTTCTATGCGTTAATGGTGCGTAAGATCGCTAACTTGGCATGTTCACTGGTGGGAATCCGATTGTGACCGCCATGGGAGACTCTTTCCCATCTCATCTTCTTCGACCCATCATCACTTTGCCATTCTTCGTAATTCAAGTTGCGAGTCCAGTCGATCTCTCCCCGGTGCGCCGCTTGAATCGCCCGCTCCCAACTGGCTCTTCCCTCATTCCAAGGAATCTCCCAATCATCTCGAGCATGCAGCATGATGAGATTCAGCTTGACTTCGGGGTTTCCTATCAGAGTGACCAGTCTACTGCTGGTATCCCACTTATCCACAATCTTTGAGACCATATAGTCGCGAACTCGAGGATACGCAATCAGAGGAGACAGAATTGGTGGGGTGATGCCTTTGATGGAATAAGAGTCGAGAAGGTTGGTCAGAGAGCTGAACCCTGCGACCAGCATCAGGGCCTTAAACGGCGCTCTCCCAAGGCTGAGTACCCATTCGTGATACAGTGCTGTCGACACGAATGTGCCCATGGACTGGCCAACAAGAATGATACGGGATGGATCGACGGCCGAGGACCCAGTGTTGGTGTCGTCTGAGGTGGCGGTAATGGCTGACAAGAGTGACACTGAGTCTTGAATGACACCTTCCTCTGTGGGGGATCCCGTACTCCAACCAAATCCTCGGTAGTCAAAGGCAATGACGTGAACCGGCTTCTCGGGAGTAGAAGCACCCAGAAACTGCTGGTAGCTGGCTGGGCGATGAGCAGAGGCTAGGTGAGCAGCATTGCCATGAAAGCTGACAACAAGAGTCGCCTGTGGATCGTCCAGCAGTAACTTTAAGCCAATCGTTTTGGCAGCCTCCGCGTACGGTTTTTGCCCAAAATCCAATTGACCTTTCAAAGCATGCTCATGTTGAAGATAAAGGTGAGCCGGGAGAATATGCCATGCGAAAATTGTGGCGTTATCCGGCGTAGTGATAGTGAAAGGTTGGATCTGGTGATGCAGAAAACCATACTGTTCAACATTTGTCAAGTTTTGCCAGTAGGCTGGGTTGAAATTGTGGGCGTAGGTGGCATTCCGTTGAACGGTAGGATGTGTCAATGCTCCCAGCGCCAGAGCGTAGATGAGCCCAGCCGCGGCGAGAGTCCAGTAGGCTTTCCGAACGAAGCCGTTGATGGCCATAATGGCGGCTGTGTTGACTGCCTGGCTTAGACTACTAAAGTCCTCTGACACAACTCATATGTCGTGGCCCTCGATATCTGAGCCCGATTCAGCGTGTGTCTTATTGTATCTATCGTGTACGGCAAGATATACCAAAGCCTCAAGTACGGAGCATTGATTGATGTTGAAACATCAAGACAGTTCCAAGATACAGAAAGGAGGTCAGCCTTATCTGATGTTGACGCTTCCGGACGAACCGGACCACCGCAGTAATCTGTCGCTCCTTCCTTCTGGCCTGTCGCGGGGGTGGAGGATCACGTGTCGCGCTCCGCCCCTTCCTCCATAATCCGCCCTCGCCTAAGTTTCCCAAAGTGGAAAACATCGAACCGCGTTTCCTCCGCAGGCTGTCTTTGAAGACAGGGCTGGAAACGAATTTTACCAATATCTCGAGACCTCGCAGGTCACTCGTCTTGCATATGCAGGATCTGCAGAGGCCATGGTAGACCCAGGTTTCCAGAAGCGACAGCTGCCTCCCAGGGAGCGACGAGAAGCCGCCAACAAGAGAAGTGCAACTTCTCTCGCCACGCCTGTGCCGTCCTCCAAAAGAAAACGTTCCAGCCAGCTTCGTGTCGAGAGTCCTGCTACCCAGTCACCCGTGCCAGAACCGCCCGTCGAAAAAGATGTCCTCCCTACTAAGATCACATCCGGTCAACCTCTGCCTACCACAGCGCACCCACAAGATACTCCTCTGTCCAGTCACGAGTATCAGTCTATTGCAGAAAGCGCCGTCTTAGCCACATCACTACACCAGTCCCGTATGCGATGGCTCTGCGATGGTGTTTTCAAAAAATACTGGGTTAAGCCGGTGAAGAAGAAGGGAGTCGAGATCCCAGCCGACAATCCAGATGTCAAATCCATGAACAAGCTGGGTGCTGCCACAATCATCATTGAACCTCACACTTTCGAGGCTATCTTCTATACAGTTCGCGATCCTGCTGCTCCACCAATTCCATTCCAGCGCCATGCAAATCAACATACCACCAAAGCCCTCCTATCCCCTCTTCCCAAGGCGTCGCCGAAGTATCCTTCACAACCAGGTCCTTACCGGCCAAACCTTCCTCAACAACCCACCAATATCAAACCAATCTCTGCTTCCAACCCCCTTCCTGTGGCCCCTCAACAACTACCACCATCAAAGCTACCGATGGCGCACCTTCATCCAAGTCCAGTGGCCTTTACGCCCACCACGAAGCCGCCGACCGTGCCAGCGCCGGCACCAGCACCCGCAGCTCCAGGTCCAGCGCCTCCACCTGCTCCACAGGATCTACACCCCCCTCCGACGCAGCAGTCCCAAGTGATCAATGGTCCATATGTGAACCCGACCCAGAATCCAGTCATCCCCTCGCAAACTACTGCTACGCCTGTATCCCCGGGGCCGCCGCCCCCGATGGGTCCCACTGGTCCAGTGTCAAATTCGAGCCCGAATTCTGCTGGCATGCAACCACCAGTTGGTTCAGTACAAGCTCCTCCGGGTGCACAGCCTACACCGCAACATCAGCAGCCCATACCGCCGGTCTCTACGAATTCAGCCTTGGGATCTGCTCAGCAGGGGGGCGCGAAATCAAAGCCCTCTGGTACATGGCCACAAACACCGAATTTGGCTCCAGTTGGCAATCCCCCGACAGCGGAACATGTTCCGAAAGCAGACATGAGCCCAAAGCCTTTTGCTCCTCCGACACCGGCACCAGGGCCTCAAGATAGTCGAACACCCACACCGATAGACAAATCAGCGAGCACTTCGAATCGACCGGCAGGCACAGGGGATCCGGTGATCCAGATGCTAGCCGCACGTGCAGCGTCGAGCCCTCGGTTGAAGGACTTGATGAAAGTAGTGGCCACGTCCAAGGCATCATCGGAACAACTCAAAGAGTTCCAAAGCCACATTGATGAGATTAATGATCTTATTCGCAGGCAAGAGTCCGATCGAACGATCGTGAGAGACGACACACCGGCGCGGACAGGGCTAGGGGCACATGGATCGCCTCAGTTGGACCGTGCTAATGAGGGCAAGCCCAACTCGCCAGCTCCGATGCAAACAAGCACCCCCCAGCGAGCTCCGACACCACAGGCTCCTCCACCGACGAATGTGAAGCCGCCACCAATGCATAAACCTCCTCCACCTCCCCCACGGCAGCAGCCGTCACCTTCTGGGATGTCGGCGTTGCCTGGGGTTATGCACACATTCTCTCGGCCGCTTCCGGCGAAACCTTCAGGCAACGGCCCCGGACGACCCAGTTCGGCATACATGGGCTACTCGACACCGCCACGGCCCGAGCCAGTGGTGAAACACGTGATTCTAGAGTTGACCAGTGCCCCGTCAGGGGCGCAAGGCCCATGTCAAGATCGCTGGTTGTTTCCCGAGTATGCGGTCCTTGAAATCCGGCCGTCTGGACTGGAAATGGTGTGCTCATTTCTGGTGGAGCGCAAGGGGTCGGAACTTGTGGGAGACAAGAATGACGCATCAGGCGAAGAAAGCGTCGATGTGCGACCACGGTTTGACAAAGACAAAGATTACTTCCAGCCAGTGACGATGACGATCAAGGTGACCAATCACAAGACAATTGCCACGATTGCACAGGCGGCCAAACCACTGCCGGCCGTGCAGGAGTACCTCAAGCAAATACTAGCCACCAAGGAACGGGCGCCAGTCGTGTACCTTGCACATCAATTGCCGCGTGAAGACGGCGGGACAAAAGAGGCTGACAAGGAGGCTGAGTCTGGATTTGAGGACAGTGGAGTTGAGCTTGGGGCTGATTCGGCTGGGGAAGAGCAAGAAGAGGAAGAAGAAGAAGAAATCCGCGATGTCTACGGGATCGTATGAGGAGTTGGCCGCGGACCCAGGCGAGGCATGAGCAACAGCTACGAGATGTGTATTGTGTCGTTGATACTGTCCACGGACATTGCGCGATCGAGCGCGATGATGGGAGCTAGTTGCGACCTACCTAACGCTGACATGAAATAAGGATCGTCATTATAGTCTCGCCATCCCGCTACTTGCACTTGCTCACTTCACCCCTTTTTTCCTGTCATAGATCTTCACACGAGAAGCCAAAGAAACACTGGAGAAGGTCTGGCAGAGAAGAGCTACGAGTGAGGACGCACTCTGGACAACGATTTTCAAAGAAGAGGGATTTGACATGTTAATAAACTAGCGTGTTGTTCCTAGTTATATCTTTGGCGAGTTTCACGACTTACTCTAATTCATGTCTCAATCAGTGCTTGACGCTGCATACTTTGGTTGACTAGGAAGGAATCTTGAATGTCACGTGCATGTGCATTTATAAATTCACGTGACTGAGATTCATGTTCATCTCCTTGTAGTAATTGCTTGGCAGCGTACTGGTGGATCATTCTTGGTCGTGGCATCTTGACCATGGCCTTCGCTTGACATAACATAATCTCGTATCTACTGACTGGCGTCTTGACATTCCTGCGACTTGTAACAGTTATGGACATGCAATTGATAACGGAGTGCCAATCAGGTCCTTTCTCTTGAGCCGCGATGACATCGTGCGCGAAGTTGACTGGGTAGATTCGGTGCTATTATTTGAGGAAGCGAGTTTGAGTGAATTGTGCTTGACAATTGTCACTTGTGGGTGAGGAAGGCTTAGGACCATTATTACTGGGGAAGATCGGAGATGATGGTTAATCATCGGCCTGCACCACAAGCAACAACGAACACCACTTCCATTTCCATCTCCTTGTCGTGCCCTGTGTCCAATGCTCTGGTGTCCTGGCATTTTGGTGGTCCCTCCACTGCCTCTCACTGTCACTGTATTGGGGGAGCAAGACATGATGACGGCCAAATTAAAGTTTGGGTTTTCAACAAAGCGAACGAACGGGCCGAAAGACAGGGCAAGCCACCCGGACTTCATTGGCACTTCTTAGGAGGCACTCTGGGCATTGAGTGGCCTGTCCTACGCCTGAGACTTTTGACTGGACTGGGTGCCTGGGAGCCTGGCTTCCGTCCAGATATGATGGTCTCAACTCTAGTAACTTTCCGTATGCATCTTCCTATTCATCAAGTCCTTGAGTCAACCCAAATAGCCCAAAGTTGACTTTTTCATCACGGCTCATTCAACCGTCAGGTTGCGTATGTATTGCAAGGGGCCAGGCACCCCAACAGCACCTCTGCGAAGGCTACAGGGAGTGATGGTCCCCCCTTGGCCACTCTTCTACTAGCCTACACCTGCCTACACCTGCCTACACCTGCCTAACACTTTAACCTAGCATCCACACCGGCACCTTCAGCCGCGGGCCCCTCGGCCCCTCGCAGGCCTACGGAGTACTAGGATGTTACGGATGCACCACGTTGATCAAGCTCTCGCCTGTGGCGTCAACCATGTCGATAACCCACCGATCTTCCTTTCATTGGATTTGCTATTGAACCATGTTCCTCCATCCATTGCCTGTGACGTGTGCCTGCAGACACTCAACCACACTCTACGGAGATAGCCACAATGCCTCCAGTCGACTGCCCTGGCCGCCCTCCTCGAGATAGTAGGATAGGCACCCATGGGCGGCATTGTTCACGTCGTTGTCGACCTGGAGGGATTCCCTGGTTAGGCACAGCTCCTTCCCTCCACCTTCCATCTCCTGGCCTTGGCACTCCCCTCGCCTCCTTCCCGCTGCGACATCTGCTACGCCGTCGCTCACTGATGAATCAGATTCCCACCCACACCCACATCCACATTCTCTTCTTCCACGGCCTTCGCATCCTCTAGCAATTTACCCACCACGGCACCACGGCCGCCATCCACACCTTGCTTTGACGCCACCTCCCACTCAACTCTATTTGCTTGCATTGAATACTGGCGGAGCGAGTCCCAGTCATTCATTATTAGCCAATTCCATTCAACTCAACCCAGGCTATCATACCATCTAATTATTATGTGACTGTCTCCATGTCGCTCTCAACACCCGACCCTCCTACGTCTCTCTCATCCTCTGCCTCTCCTTCTCACCCTATCTCTCGCCTTCCCTCTTCTTCCTTTCCTCCTTCACTCTCCTCTACCTCTCCTCTCCCTCCTCCTCCTCCCACTCCCCCCAAGCCAACGCAGATCAAATTCTATCGGGCTGCCCAGATGGCCCTCTTTGCCAACTTGGCCACATTCCCTCCACTTGCCCAGGTCACCACCATTCCTCCTACCCGCGAACCTGTAAGTCTAACCCAATGCCCTAGCCCAGTGTCTGTTCTCTTGCATTACCCCGCCAAGCCATGGCTTTGCCGACATCCGGACCCCCTCTTCCCCATGCAAACGTGCTTCGCTACACTCGTCCCCAACGCCACATGACGAACCATCTGACTTGAATTAGTTCAACTTTACAGTCGTGCTCGAATCTTCTCGCTCTCTGCCAGAAACTCCCTGGGAGGTCTCCATCTGGTACGACTACGGCAGTTATATTGGTACCAAGGCACCCTGGCAGGCCCTCGATCTCGACCAAGTTGATCAAACACCCACCGTCCTTACTGACGATAACGCCCAAACCACATATCGCTACACCTTTTCTGGTCAACTGGAAAGCCCTTACAAGTCTCATGATAAAGTATACAAAGGTCGTCGAGTCCCCTTCACCGTTCGTTACCGCATCAATCCAGCTTCAGAATGGTCCTGGGTCTTCCATAACTTCGGTGTCCACGATGGTGAACTGATTCTACAACCACCTATCGATCCCAACTTTCTGGGCGCCTCTCCAATCGATATCAAAGAGGGATGGGTCTCCAGGAAGATCCCCAGTGACGCCCCAGACGCCCGTCTCTATAATATCGAATCCGCCCACCCGATTCCTGTACCCGAGGACGGAAATGCTTCATTACAACGTCTCACCCTGGGTCGGGTCCTTCAAACCTCCCGTTGGCTGGCTTTAGTTCGTATTTGGGAGCCCTGGCTGGCCCCTCGCCACGGACGCGCCCAATTCCGTCTCGAAGAACCAGCAATTTTGCTATCCTTCCTTCGCACCGATGGCCTCCACGTCGTTGTTCTGGCAATCAACGGTGTTGATCAATCTCTTACTCAATTTCGTTCGTCTGAGGAAGGTGAGATTATCGTTGAGGCCCGGAATGACTCCGGTACAGATCGCAAATTTCGAATCTTGGCTGCAACCGCCTGGAATTTTGAAGTCGCCAACTGTGCCGTAATGTACGAAGCCCGCAAGCTCGTCCGTCAATCTTCGGCCTATCAGGAAGCCCTCGAAGGTATCACTGGGCACGTCCGATCGACATCCCTCGACTCAGAGACCGCCCTCGTATCCGTTGAGCAAAAGCCCGAGGTAAATGGTGTCCACCCTCAGTGGCTCGAGTCGTGGTATGATGGCCTTGCCTATTGTACCTGGAACTCTCTTGGTCAGGACCTGAATGCCGAAAAGATCATGGCCGGCCTAGACTCCTTGGCCAAGAACAACATCAAAATTGCCACCTTGATTATTGACGACAACTGGCAGTCCCTGGACGGAACTCAGGGCAAAACCTCTCAATTCCACCGGGGATGGAAGGCTTTTGAGGCAAACTCGGCAGGATTTCCCGAAGGTCTCAAGGCAGCTGTTGCGCGAATTCGTGAAAAACATCCAGCGATCCATGATGTCGCAGTCTGGCATGCTCTGATGGGATATTGGGGTGGTATCTCTCCCGAAGGTGACATCGCCCAAAATTACAAGACCCTCGAGGTGGAGTTTCGTGAGGGAACTCCTATGGCTGGTCGTCGCCTCGTTGTCCATCCTGACGATATACACCGACTTTACGACGACTTTTACCGCTTCTTATCAAGTGCTGGTGTTACCGGGGTCAAGACCGATGTTCAATTTGCTCTCGATCTTCTTTCCAACACCAGAGACCGCCACTCATTCACCAACGTCTATCAGTCTGCCTGGACTCAAGCGCATCTGAGACACCTTTCAGGCAAAGCTATCTCTTGCATGTCGATGATTCCTCAGATTCTTTTCCACAGCTTCCTCCCTACCAACACCCCAAGAATCCTCCTCCGCAATAGTGACGACTTTTTCCCTGACGTCCCCACATCGCATGCCTGGCATGTCTTTGCCAATGCCCACAACGCGCTTTTTGTCCAACATCTCAATGTCCTTCCAGATTGGGACATGTTCCAGTCTAGCCATCCTTATAGTGGCTTTCACGCCGCCGCTAGGAGTCTATCGGGAGGCCCAATCTACATCACGGATACGCCTGGCGAACACGACGTTGACTTGATTCATCAAATGACCGCCATGAATCCGAGAGGCCAAACCGTGATCCTTCGACCCAGTAATATCGGAAAAACCATGGGCGTATACGACAATTATGAAGAAAAGGGTGTCTTGAAGATTGGTGTCTACGATGGCAAATCCGACATCGGCACTGGAATCCTTGGTGTCTTCAACATTGCAGACTCAGAGACAAGCTTCATCATTCCCATACAAAAGTTCCCCGGCGTCAACCCCCCATCAGAAAATTCTGGCCCGATCAGAAAATGGATTGTCAGATCCCACATCTCGAAGCGGATCACTTCCCCCATTTCTCCTACCAATCCAATTCGGCCTGACAATCTTCTTCAGGCGAAGTTACCTGTGAGAGGCTATGATGTCTGGTCAGCGCTTCCGGTACACACATTCAATCTTCCAGAACATGGCCCCATCCTTGACCTTGCGGTTGTCGGTCTCCTAGGTAAATTCACAGGCGCGGCGGCTATCATCGAGGCAAAATTCAACCTCGCCGAGTTGAAACCCGAAGGCTCATCAACCCACACAGGACAACGTCTGAGACTCCACGTTCAACTAAAAGCACTTGGCATTCTAGGAGTCTGGCTTTCAGACGCTAAATCGCGTAAGGTGGAAGATCTGTTTGTTCTGATACAAGGGCGACCAATCCCTCAACACACAGTCACTTTCAACAATGAAAATGACCTCCAGAATGGTGGAATGCTTGAGATCGATGTTGCCAAGGCATGGGAAGAGAATAACCTCGATGCCGGTTGGAGCAATGAGGTTGGAGTCGAAATCTTTCTGGCGTGAACATTTGGATTGTGCCTTAATTAGCAAGCAATGCCTCCACCTCACCTCGTCAACTAAGCTATACTCCATCACAAGATCAGAGCTGTGCTGAAGAACCTCGAAAAGACACTTCTCTTGATCCGCTAGAGGCCCGTGGACATTACAACTTTTCAACAGACCTCCTCACTTCCTAGCTGCCCGACCAACGGTGATAGCGACCCCAACAGACAATAATGACCAAATCTATCCAAATGGTGTGCAAGTCCACCACACCAAGTGTCTGTACAGCCCAGTCACCACTGCGACTGGATCGCATGTCTCTGGCCACCGACGCTACAACGCCCAAATCAATGCAGTCTTCCAGCAGAACTCGCTTCGAATTCATTGGCCACGCCCACAACAGAGTGGCACGGGACAAGAATGCTCTTCCATCCATTCGACTATATGTCAATCATGCCGAAATAGCTGACAATCTCTGCCGTCAAATCATCACTATTTCAGCCAAAATGCGGCTCATCTATGACAACGAAAATAGCTCGAATGCGGTACAACCATATATACCTACGCAACAGTAGCTAGATAGGAGACATGACAGTCATTGTTTCTGCAGAATAGATCGCAAGAGCCGATCATGTTGGACTAGAGTGAATGCGTAAGCGAATAGATCATCTGAATAGAATGCCACATGGTGACATGAGAAGACCATCACAACCACCACCACCATGATCACGATCCTCGTGAAACTTACCAACACATGTGTGCTAGAGGATCCATGCCTGTTTATTCAGATAAGACCTTTATTCTTAAACTTCCAATACCCGAGGACATGCGTCTAATTTAATTTAGTGATGGTGAAGAGGTCACCCAACCGTGAACAATGGATGATAGATGATAGATGATCCATCAACAGACAAATAGATGGATGACCACGGGACAATAGTTCGGTAATTTGGTTCAGAGGATCAATACACAGGAGGAAAGAAACCTCTCATCTTAACTCTTGGAGAAATCTCATGGCATAGGGATTCATATGTACAAGAACGTGAGCTGCATACTATGATACCATGGCAGAAACACCAGTTAGGGTCAGGTTAACATCGGTTTGTCAACCAGCAGCTAGCCCGACACCCTATAACATGTTCTGACTTTGTTGCACTATGGCACCCTCAGCAGGGCTCCTCAGAGGCTCTATCTGCCTTTTGATCTGATCCGATCCCGGTAGAAATTTGTATCTCCTGCATTTGTATCCCGGTGGCTCTTGGGAGACCACGCGGTCTGGACTCGCAGTTGCGTATTTGCATCTTGTGCATCTGAAAACATTCAACAGCCCAAAAACGCCGAAAGGACACGGTGATATGCTGATCGAATGGCCGGCAATGTTGGTCAGTCGTTCAGCCCCACATTGCTTGACTAGTTGGAGTGGTCTCTGCAGCCGTGCAGTGTTCCAACATGGTCAAGAGTTTTACTTTGATTCGTCATAGAACCCTTCTTGCTCAAGTCTTCTCCGGGCCTCTTCTAACGCCCACGTTTGTATCCTGGTGAGACACCACAGGTCAGTAAGCCCCCTTGACCAAGTTCACAATATTCGCAGTCCAGTCCAGTCATGACTCAACGTCTCCATTTTCAAATTCCAGATACTGCCAATGGGGAAAGACGGGTAAAACTCACGATGTGTCCTCTTTCATTGTATAAGCCGCCACCGCAACCACCCACGCACCGACAAAGACATAGGCCAAAGGTTCCCAACCTTCCTTCTCAGCCTTTTCACCGGGTCTGATACCCCACAGCCAACCGCCGGGAGGGTCGAAATGGTCATCATGGCCATGATGTTCATCGTGTTCGTGGCCACCGTCACTGCCCTTGAGTTCGTGGGCGGCGGAATGAGAGCTCGCAAGACGGAAAGGCTGGGCAGTCCGAACTTGCAGAGGTTGTTGCATGCGGAGGCGAGAGACCAAAGGCTGCGCTGAGCGCGTGGCGAGACGGGGGACTCGGTTCAGCATGATGATGGTGGCTATCGGAGAGGTAGAGATCGAACGGGTTGAAGAGGGAGAGAGGGTGATGTGGCATGCACAGGAAAACGGTGCCTCTGTCGTGATACGGACGTGGTGGAGGGAGGTGGACGATCAGACGGCGGGATCTGAGGTACTCAGAAGCTGTATCTCGATCGAAAAAGGCGGACTACGGGGTGTAGAGAGTTGTTTGAGAGCTTCAAAGTCATGTAGCATGGGGTTGATAACTGTGACGAGGTTGACTCGGTCGGAATTGGCTTGCCAAGACATTCTGAAGCTCGCCGGGCAAGTGCGACTCAAGTTTCGGGGAAACGGCAAGCATGACTCGGACGTGTAGGTTGAAGCGCATTCTACATGACTCGCATTCATTACTCTTGTAAAAAAGGAGTGCATGAGGACTTCGTTGAAATACGGTACACAGCGAATATCCCTCTCTGACATCTCATCCTCACTCCTCTCTCGGCGTCGTCAATCTGTACACGCCATGCAGTATCATTCACTCTTTCTAAAGTAATTGTCGTCATCGCGACATTCTCTCGTCAGATACAAGTCAGGAACAATATCCCATGTCCCAACACTCCGCATTCATCGAGCTGACAGCCTATGGTCCAGTAGCCCAACAATCCAATGGACCAACTTATCCCCTTGTTCCCTACTCAAGGCGAGTCAAAATCTCTCCAACAACACGAGTCGGCACCTGTCATGCACAGACACCCACCGTGGCCCCCCTCCGCCTCTCCACCCTTTTGTGGCTTTTCCATTGACTCGACGAGAATCGTGAACATTCATATCCCAGTGATTACAAGCTTTTCGCCCGCTCTTTTTTTGGTATACCCAACTCTACCGCCACCCTGTGGATCCAGAAAATGCGGATGACGGCGCCTCCCAATGCAACACTGACCGTGTCATCAACGCCATGCCATCGTATTGTACATTGTCAAACAAAATGAAATCCGTGATGTGATCCTCTCAGTTGGCCTCCACTGCATTGGAAAGATTCAGCGAAGGCATAGCATCGTGGCCACTATTGTTGCCGCTGCCGGCTCCATCAAAATAGCTGTTGGCACTCTGACTCTTGGGGAGATTGGGCTTCTTTGATGTCGGGCTAGACGAGGTGTCTGGTGGTACGAAAATCTGACGGAAAGCAGGATCCTGGGAGAACTTGGATATCGAGAGTCTCTCTGGACTGGTCGCAACACCTTCTGCTTTTCGCACAATCTCCTTCAACGCACGTGTGATGACGCCAGCTCGAACGACAAGATCTCGCAAATCTTGAGTATCAAAGGGCAGCTTGTCTCGACCCTGTGCAGGGGAGCTCACCACCGAAGGCTCAGCCCCAGATCGGTGTGAATGGATGGTTTGGAGAAAGGTCTTGGTTTGAAGGCTTTCTCCGCGTGATCTTCCGTAGGGAGGTGTCGCAGGGCTCGAGATCGACCGTCGGTTGACGGTTCTAGTGCTGCCTAAATCCCAATTACGGCCATGATCATCTTCTGTTAGCTTGTGTTGAGGTGGTGTCTCATCGCCAAAAAACTCCGAGGAGACTGGGGAAGGTGGGCGCAGATTTGTGTCTTCCTCCTCATTCACCGTGGCCAAGTCGATGATGCTCCCTGCATCTTCCCATAGTTGTCGTGAATTCCCATCTATTAATCCGAGATAAGTGCCTTGGACCCGCAGTCGTTTGAGCTCTTCCACTAAAAGCATGAAATCCCGGACTTGACCAAACTGAACATGGACACTGTGTTGTCGATCAATGATGGACTGAGGCACTTTGACGCTCCGAATGGATTCCCGCTTCCAAGCCTTATCGTCTTGAACTTGGTCCTGAGGTTCTTCAACATCCTCTAGATCGTCAAACTCAAAATCGTCGCTCCATTCCTCGCTAACAGGTTTCGTTCCGAGCGCCCAAGTTCCAAATTTGGTGGCAGACGAGGGCACATCCGTCTCGGTCAAGCTGTCACGATTCGTGGGCACGCTTTGACTGCGAAGGTGCAATGCAGCATTGCTTTTACGGCCAGAAGCTCGGCTACGGCCAGCCTTGTTGCTTTGCTTGCCGTGGACTGTCTTCGGGCGAGGACTGACTCCATTGGACTGCTCGCTGGCAAATTTCTGATGCTCTGACCAGTCAAAGATAGAAGATCTTTTCGTTGAGCGTGGCTCGTCAAAATCGTCTTCTGGCATGTGGTCGAACCGGAGAGCAAAGCCATTTGATGCAGGTGCCGATTGCTTATCCCGGCTTTCCTTATCGATCTCTGGAGACCAATCGATGTCAGCATCGTCATGGGCTGCCTCATCGTCAACGTCCATCAAAGAAGGTAGCTCAGGTTCTTCAACTTCGGTTCGTGGCAGTCTCCCCATGGACGGAGGAGAAGAATTCAATATGGCGTCATGGTGATGTTTTCGTCTCGGTACTGGGGTTGTGATAGTACTCTCAAAGCCCACTCGAGGCCCTCTGACCGGGGTCAACATTTCTTCCGAGGAGCCGGATTGATTATGGTCGGTAAGCCCAATGATCCCCATTCCAACGCCAGATGTGACCTCATTAGCACCATCTAGCTTCATTTCGTGGTCACCCAGTGTGGCTCTTTCCATCAAGCTTTCGAGTCCCGGCATGTGGTCGGGCCTGGGTGAGGCTGGAACCTCACTGAAGATGGTCTCAATCTTGGGTTGGCGGAAGCCGGAGTGACTACTCGCAGTGGCACGCGTAGCCAATGTGTCATAAGCCGAATCGCTTTGCATATCCATGGAGTCATCATCGGTAAAGACTCTGAAGTCATTGTCAGAGCTTGCGGTTGTGGGATCAGACGGGGCTGCCGACACAGAGTTTGAGAATGTAAATTTGTGCTGTGACAAACTGTGCATCTGGGGGCTCGATGTGAAGATAGGAGTACCGCGGGGCATTTCGACCTCAAAGTCAGAGATATTTGACAGAGGCGAGAGTTGGGAATGACCTTTTGGAGAAACAATGTTACCATATGCTGCATCTTTGTTTACTCTTACGATTGGATCAGTGAAGTGACGTGGGGGTAAGGCTCTCCGAGAAGAACCAAGATTACGACGGATCTTATGCCGCCGTATTGGGGGAACGAATAACTGGTCCGGAGACGCCGAAGGGCGGTCTGATTCGTGATCAATTGTGACTTGAGGTTCTACAGCGGCAGCCATCAAGAGTGTTGCTGGACGCTGGGGAGTACACGAGATCGTCCGAGGCGATGGCTCTCGTGGGCCGCCGGACGAAAATCTCTTCCTCGGTATATTCGATTCAAAAAATGGTCTCCAGGTGGATGATTGTGTAATATATCTCTGCTGCTCCGCAACCAGGACAGACTCGGTTGTCAAGGGACGTGTGTATGGAGCACCGGAGAAGGTTGCAGAACGCTGATGGCTGGTTGCTGGACGCCTCAGCAATGCTGGTGTGTCACGGTCGCTGCTCATGATACGCCTGGACGTCGACCGTTTGACGAGCTTGTTAGGCTGATGCATCTCGTCAATGGGAGGCGTAGAAGTTCGGATGGGCTCGTCCAATTTGGAAGAGGAGGACACAGGGCGGCCATGGCTTCCACGAGAAATGCTTGATATCCGTCTTAGCCAAGAGGTAGGTCTCGTCTCTTTGCGTTCGGACGAAGAGTCCCTGTCCGAGGACCAGAACGGTAAGACACTATGTCTTGTGAGAGAACTTTCCCTTGACTGTGCTCCGTTACTAGCCGTGGAGGAGGACGGGGTCATGGCCCTGACGGTCTTTCTTCTGAGGATAGAGGTGGACATGCGTCGTTCGGCGGGCTCAGGGCGGGGAGGTGGTCGGGAGGAAGGATATGAGGTGGCCGGCCGGGACAAAAAAGAGGGATCAGGCGTCATAGGAGAGCGTATAGTAGGATTTGAGCCAGGGGCCTTCCTCTTGCCAGGCTTGATGAGGTAGGATTCACCATCTGATGTGCCGAGGGCCAATCCTGCGGCTGCTATGCCCATGGTGCCAATAGCACATAGCTAGAGAGTAGTTAGATTCATGACGGTGTAAAGAAGGGCAATAGAGTTTACCGTGGCAATGTGTTCCCCGGGTTGCTCCATTCAAACGTGTGAGGCCAACTGCCCTCGAGGCGGGTGAGCCCTGTGTTGTCGGATCACGTTCACGAGGAACGTCCTCATGGCGGGATAACCATCTGAGGTGGAAGATGAGAAGCAGGAGTGGAGAACGAGCGGCTGAGGTACGATTCGAGTTGTAGAGCGTTGGTGGATGGCGAGGAATTTGTTGATCGAAACCGACGCGGGCAGGGACTAGAGGAAAAGGGCGAAACACGCGACTTGACTGCGTTGCATTGGAGAAGGCGTGGCAAGATGAGTAGCAGGAACAAACATGAACACTAGACGAAAGACAAGGCGAATAGCAAACGACGTGCCGATACAACCTGAAATGATGTGTGAGGATGTGCAAAGTGAAAGAGGGAGAGAGAAAATGGAGTAGTAGGTGTATCTCTGAAGCGTGAATATGGAGAAAGTGATGGTGGAGGGAGGGTGAGAGGCGAGGATGAAGATGGGATGGATGGGGTGGATGGATTGGTGTGTTGGCTGGTGCGGGAGGAGTGAGAGTAAAGGCAGTGGAGGAGAGAGCCTGGGAGCCTAAGAACCAGAGACGAATGGGTCCTGCCCAAGTGATAGACACATAAAGTGCCTTGATTGGGGCTTGAAGTGTTAGGCATCTAATCAAGTCAATTTAGGTGCTGTTGGTCCGCCTCCTCGGCGTGGAACTGCCGCCGGTGATGCACTTGGCCCGCCCAGGTGGCCCAGGTGGCCCTGGTGGCCCTGGTGAACGGTGGTAGACGTGAGTTGGTGAGTGACGGATGGTAGTACTGCAGCCAGCGCCCAACTGGATGGTGCAACAGAGAGGATGGAGGGGTGGCTGGTGGAACTGGGTTGTGCGGGTTGTACTAGTTACATCGAGTTACGGAGCGCCTTGCAGCACCTGGACAAACAAAGTTCCCACCAGCTGGGGCGCCTTGTGTGGGCGTTAAGTCATGCGGGCGAATTTAGGCGTCGAAGGCGCCTGGGGTGCCCATCGAGTCAGAGGTTATGCCTAATGGTGTACCGAGCGGTAGCTAAACTGAGGAGATTACACACCCACCATACTCCCAATTCCCGAACGCCTGACAACGTTTCTCCTAGGCTTGTCACCCCCACGACTTCTCGTTCGGACAATGAACAACACCTCCCTAAGGTAGGTACTTACTGTTGTTGTTTTGTCCGTCTTCTCTACCCAAGTCAGTGGCCTCAAGACCTAACATCGAGTGCACAAGGAACAAGAAATGACTTCTCAATCACGGCTCAACCCACATCAGGCGCGTTTGTGCCAATCCCACTCTCCACCAGTCCCGCATGTGCCAACATTGCACTGCAATCCATTTCCGAAAAGTAAACTTTGAGATGTCTTGACTTTAGATCAGCCGTGCCATGTTTTGTACACAGGTGGGCGCCACCTCAACGGCAAGAAGCCTGTGCTAACCCAGTCATGTTGTTTAAGTAGATCTGTCAACGGGTCTTGATTCTTGACCCGGGAGCCACAGCAGGCCCGTCATGCCTAAAAATGGGCTACCTCCAATCCAGAACTACAACTGACAGTTTGACAAGCCAACACAACATCAGGGGCCCATCCATTTGGCGTATATCGTTCCACTCTTGAGTCTCCAACCTGCGCGGTTGCGTCAATGCCTGGAGCCCAGTGGGGGTGGGCGTCAACAATGCATAAGCTGCGGGCTGACTTGCTCATTTGCCATATAGACCTTGACCGCTTCATCAAATCACTTAATTGACGGGCTGGCACAGATTCAACAATGCAATGTTGCGAGTATTGTTCGTAGAAACCTAACGGCATTGCACCTCAACCGCCTTTCAACCAACTGCCGTGCGACCGTTTCAGAAGCTCGACATGCGGGGCGCCTGTTGAGGTCCACGACGACTTGTGTCTGCATTGACCCAAACACGGCCTTGGAAACCTGGAAACCTGGAAACGTAAACCTGCAGTCGACTGTTGGGCGCCTCTTGACCCAGGCTAGATACAATACATACAATACATCCGAGAGAAATCGAGCTTTGGGGCTCAACGACTGGCAGCTATGCGAAGGACCCGGCCGCCGCCCAAGTGGACCTCGTCTGTACATTTCAAGACCAACCGAATTGGTCGCAGCTACGTACGGAGTAGATGTAGTGCGCACCTGGTGTCGAATCTGAGTTTGTTCTAAAGGATGACAGTTGTTTGCCTCCTCCATTTTCTTTACAAGTGCAAAGTCTGGGGTTGATATCCCTCATGCTAGTGCCGAAAAGTCTGAGACTTAGAAATCGTTTCACGACTGTTCGCGTCTAGAATCCTTGCTGACTTGCGCCATTTGCTGTCTGATTCTTTACGGGAAAGGAGACTCACAGTGTCGTCTGTCTTCTCGATGGCCACCTACATTACCCTGGCATGCTGGTTGAATCGTGGGTACCCCTCTACACACGCAATGCTCCCTGCTTTTCCTAAAGACAAGGAAGTAGCATCCGGACATAAGCAGGTTTACGCATGTCGCTTCTAGTTCTCTCAGCCGCCTCTTTGCAAAATAGTCTGCCGTCTCCCCTCATTCCCTGTTCTGAGTGCCATGCCCCTCGGTGCGGATGCTGAGAGTAGTAGTAGACGGAGACATGCAGATGCAATCGTGACAATGCAGCCGAAGCGAGCAGCAAGAGACTTGTAAATACGCAACCTCTGGATGGAAAGCAGGCTGGGAGTACAGACCAAGCGTGGTAGCGCGTAATGCATCAAATCATGCATGTATGAAGCATCCACATGCAAGGCCAGCAGGGAACGCCATTGTCAGTTTACGTGAATGGCTGACGAGACGGATGGTAGATCCTGGTGTCAAGACGCCAGCCACGACCACCAGGACCCAGATTTGACCTTGACGATTCGGATTCTTTGCCTGTTGGCGTCGGGGGAAGAAGCTTCCCAAACCTATCAGACAGTTTCAACGAGCCTTGACATTATCTCCTCCCACGCTGGCCGGTAGGAATGCCCCATTGGAAAATATTATTATGCTGCATGACTGAACTGATTTTGTAATGTAAGAAAACAGTGGGCAATCCTTGCCTCTTTGCCCACAAGGATTTGCAAGGTCTTGCTCTTTCGAAGCTGTGGTGGGTTTCCCGGCCTTACCCGGCAGGTCGATTGTATTGTTAGGAGGTTTAGAAAAAGGGTCGATGAGTGTTGTGATACGTTGTAGAAGGATGACAAGACTTGACGCGAGTCCCATCAGTGTGACAAGGTTCAGCGGATGTTGTGCGGGCCAAAGTCAGATGTCGCGTCGCGTGTCCCAAGCTTGGACTTTCAGGTGTGGCGTTCGCCAAAGACACGACACAGCCGATCGAGAAGAATTTCCGATACGCAAACAACAAATTCAAGATCACAGTCGTCTGCATCTCGAGCTTTTCTCCCGACTCGCATAACAGCCATAAGCTGTCAGTGTGAGTCTTTGAGTCTGCCTAGTGTCAGCTAGAGGCACAAGTTCGATGACGAGAGCTCCTCACTCCAAACATATCTACACGAGATGGCGTGACACTTGTTCGAGACGGGACTGGGATTGCCTGCTCATCGAACATCGAACAGGTGGAATGTTGTGCAGGGATGCGGGCACAAGCAAGATCGCGTCTAAGATTGGTGTTGGTAGCACAAGAGCGGAGACAGCCTGCCAGTACCCAGGCTGCCGGTTCAGCACAGACCCAATCAACAACAACTGCCAACGAAACCTCTGACTTGTGAGAATGACATTGTGAGAATGACATGGCTTATTAGAGATCCATTGCTAAAAAGATACTCAGCTTACTAGACCCCTAGAGACCAATGTACTTGGTTGTAGGATCAGGACGTGAAGGTCACCAAGTCAACAAGTAATCACAATTTACAACCAGACTCTCTCTCAGTGATTCTCAGCTGTGCTCCAGGTCCGAGTTAGGCGGGGTTTGGTGGTCCTCGGCTGTTATGGGTGTGCTGATGGAAGCCATGGCGTCTTCCTCAAAGGGCTTAGGTGCCTGCATGTCCTTCTTCTGACTGCCGATAGAGCCTGCCAGTGGTTACCATACCAAGGGCTTAATAAATTATAGTCATGGACAAGAGCAGCGCCCTGGCGATGCCCACAGGTCCCTCCCTTCTTCACCGTGCGGGGGTCAGAAACTCAAACTTAACCAAAGCACCCAAGCTACCTCGACGCGTCTACCATCCCATGCACCTAACACATCCTACCAACCTAGTGACTCACTCATCTGTATCAATATTGTCATGTCCAAAGACTCAAATCAAATTCATCCACAATGAATCTGCCTCTAGAGCTACTAGCTAGCTGTATTTTCAAGATTCTCGACACGACAACTTCAACGGCCAACACGAGCAATATCACCGGTTTCGGCCAATTGTAAATAATGATCTGCACGTGTCCGGATCACACTGACACCAACAACCTTGAAAGTCAAGCTGTCAAGACTGGTCTGGACAATGTCTCCAAACAAAGACAAATTATCACCGGAGCCGGCTGTTCCCTCCTCGACTTGAAAGCTGACAGCCGAGACAACAGCCATCCTCCACCTTTGGCAGACTGAAGATGTCAGAGTTATGCTTCCAAGTCATGTTCCTTGAGTCTCAATTCCTCGGGTTTGAATGCTTGTTTTCTTGGAGTCGCAGTTGATGCTTCCTCATGACCCAGGCATAGACGGGACGTCCCAGCCGTTTGAGTGGGCGTGGTTTGAACTGTCCAGCAGGACACCCGGTTTTGGCCCTGATTAATTTTCCCCACCCCACCTGTTGCTTACGCATATGACGCGTTTTGAGCAAGAACTTTGCATTTTGGCGATGGATGGCTTAATTTTCTTCGCGTGCGTATACTCCGTACGCATACGCATGCATTCCTAGGCGAGGTTCCGGCGAGACAATCCCGGCTTCTCGGGGTGATTGGTGCAAGAGACGTTCGCGTGACTTCCTCCTTCAGGTGCAGGTAGGATCTGCCAAGATCCCATGTGCTAGGCCAACCAGGGACTAGTGTCTCGATAACGCCAAGCCATATTTCAAACCCGCCACATCAACCGCTGATCGAGGCATCAAATCCGAATCATGGTAACCATTTTATGCTCCATGCACCAAGGGAGATCCCCAGATTCGAAACTTGTTCCGTCCTGCAGTAGAGTCCGGCGTCTTTCGGACTAGAATTTGGTTTCCAGACGTACCCAACAGAAATGGTCTGAGACCTCGCTTGAAACCCAAATATATTTCACACTCCAAGATTCAAAATCGATCCAGTTAGGTAAGCGGCAGTAGACAACGAGCGGCCTCATCGATTGTGGAATCTGGCAGGTTACCAGAATGGAGGCTGAAATCCAGGCTCAAATTCCCAACATTGATCACGTCTTGTCTGAATACTCCGTGGTAAGTTCTCTTGCCAAAATTTCTGCATCATCCCACGTGATTTGAAGTTTGCTTGTCCGACTCAGAGCCTTGGGCGGCAGGCTTTCTCTGGTAGACATCATCTCAACGATTGCTAATACACTCCATAGGGCTATCTTCATCATGCTTCAAAATTATACACATCTGAAGAGGACGCAGCTGCCGAGTCACCGCTCGGTGAAGCTCTTGAAACGATAACATCATTATTGACCTCAGCGTCTGGGGATTTCTCTGAGCAAAATGAACTCGCCATCAGAAACCTCGTCGAAAAATTCATCTCCAGACTTAGTGAAGCCAATGGTGTGGACCCGGAGAGACGACAACTACCATTCACTGCGAAGAAATTGGAACACAGCATCCAAGTCAGTTCGCAGAGGAATATTTCGTCCACATTAGGTTTGACTGCCGCTGCCGTGGACCTCGAGGCCGCCAATTCCCGCAAAGTTGAATCCAAGGTCGACAAGAAGAAATTAGAAAAGGCCGAGCGTAAAATCCGGGCCAAGCAGGACAAGAAGATTATGAAAAATGTCGAATATGAGGCTTCACGGTTACTTGACCTGCCAGATGAGGCACAGTCATATGAAGAGTTCTTCATGGCCGTCAATCCTCTTCAACTTGGTGCTGACGCTCAGTCCAAGAGCAAGGACATCAAGGTCGACGGCATTGACGTATCCATCTCTGGTAAACGCATTCTTACCGACACCAATTTGACTTTGGCATATGGCCGTCGTTATGGTCTGGTCGGCCAAAACGGTATTGGTAAATCTACATTACTCCGAGCTTTGAGCAGACGTGAGGTGTCCATTCCAACCCACATATCCATTCTCCATGTTGAACAGGAGATCACTGGCGATGACACACCTGCTCTTCAAGCCGTGCTTGATGCAGATGTCTGGCGCAAACATCTGTTGGCTGAGCAGGACAAAATCACCAATCAACTGGCAGCACTTGAAGCCGAACGTTCGAAATTGGCGGATACATCCAAAGACGCCGGCCGACTGGACCACGAAAAGGATGGTCTCGATATCACTTTGGGAGACATACAAGCTAAACTGAGTGAGATGGAGTCAGACAAGGCAGAATCTCGAGCTGCAAGCATTCTAGCAGGTCTAGGCTTCTCAACTGAACGTCAACAATTTGCCACAAAGACCTTTTCTGGTGGTTGGCGAATGAGATTGGCACTCGCAAGAGCATTGTTCTGTGAGCCTGACTTACTGCTTCTCGATGAACCTTCCAACATGTTGGACGTCCCATCCATCACCTTCTTGTCGAATTATCTCCAGACCTACCCAAGTACCGTGCTCGTGGTTTCTCACGATCGAGCGTTCCTAAACGAAGTTGCCACCGACATCATCCATCAACACTCTGAACGCCTCGATTACTACAAAGGAGCAAATTTTGACTCCTTTTACGCGACCAAGGAAGAGCGACGCAAGACGGCCAAACGTGAGTACGAGAACCAAATGGCACAACGTGCTCACTTGCAGGCCTTTATCGACAAGTTTCGCTACAATGCAGCCAAGTCATCCGAGGCCCAGTCGAGAATCAAGAAATTGGAGAAGATGCCTGTTCTTGAGCCCCCTGAGGCTGAATACCTTGTCCACTTCAAATTCCCAGATGTGGAAAAGTTGTCACCTCCAATTATCCAGATGTCCAACGTGGCATTCGGGTATACCAAGGATAAACCTTTGTTGCGCAACGTGGATCTTGACGTCCAGCTTGACTCTCGGATTGGTATCGTTGGTCCCAACGGTGCGGGCAAAACGACGGTGTTGAAACTGCTCATCGGGCAGCTCACCCCCACTTCTGGACTGATATCCCAGAACCCGCGATTAAGGATAGGCTTCTTTGCCCAACATCACGTCGATGCTCTCGACATGAACACATCAGCCGTAGGGTTCATGCAAAAGACCTACCCGGGCAAAACCGACGAAGAGTATCGACGACATCTCGGTGCTTTTGGCATCACAGGCATGACTGGCCTACAAAAGTTGGAGCTCCTTTCTGGTGGTCAAAAGTCCAGAGTTGCATTCGCATGTTTGTCGTTGACCAATCCTCACATCCTCGTCCTGGACGAACCATCCAACCACCTGGATATTGAAGCGATGGACGCTCTATCGACGGCGTTGCAACAGTTCCAGGGCGGTGTGTTGATGGTCAGCCACGATGTCACCATGTTACAGAACGTGTGCACCAGCCTTTGGGTATGTGACAAGGGCACGGTCGAGAAGTTCCCAGGCGATGTCAATGCCTACAAGAAGAAAATTACCGCTCAGGCCAACGAGGCTGGTGTTGTACAGGCACATTAGGCACCCTAAAGAGAACGCAAGGCCTGCCTGTTGGGTGCAACGCATCCGACCTAGATCGCCCGAGCAGTCCGAGCTTCCATGTGAGACAGAGATTGAGAAACCGGCCAATGAAGTCAAACGCACAACTCACCTGCCTATACAAGCTTAGCTATCGCCTTTCGTGCTGGCGAACTATGACTATTCTATTTCACCTCTGCATGTAGAGCGTTTCTACGAGCCGATCGAAGCCTATCTTAAAGACGAGCTCGGACAAGTCCGGCCGGAAGCGTTGTCGGTGGTAAAATTTTACATATTGTCGGGTACACTTATGCATAGATGCAATATATCGGCAGATCCTCTGTGACGCCGGCTTTTCGGGTGATGGACGACGGAATCTTTTTCATGGGTCACTAGAAAAGCCCATGCGTCATGGCCCGATTCGACGTAGCAAGATAGACACTTGGCAAGGTTGTAGATTGGGTTCTGGGCTGCCTTCTCGACGATAAGAGCGATTGAAAATTGGGCGTGAACAATATGTTCTGTCATTTTTTCGTGGACATGGCCCGAACAATGTGATCCGATAAGCAGATAGGGTCCCCGGGTTTCTTTCATGCAGGTCTAGCATGGCTGTGTGCTAGGGCATTAGCGCGAGCTGGACGGACGACCTATATACATACGAGTACTCCGTATGCACATGACCAGTACTATGGCCCGAGAAGGATTTACGTTGAGGGTTTGACCTTGAAGCGAACTCGCACAAGAACCGTGGCACCTGCAGGCACGTCACGCAAGCCCACAGGGACATGGAGGAGGTTGGGATAGTTGGTGTTCTATCTGTTGTCTGATACGTACGAAATAATGCCGGTCGATCATGGCACGCATGGCTACAGGGATTGTGTGGTTGCTAAAGAATAAACCTGCGCCGTGTCGAGGGCAAGAACCACGGATTCTTTTCCCAAGCACCCAAGTTGCGCCTTCCTCCCGCCGGAGACGTGAGTAAAAGGTTGGAATCAGGCTGCAAGGGCGTTATCAATGGAAGGAGCGATCCACCTTGTTATCTAAACCTGATGATTGGCCTTCCGCTCCGCTGCCAAGACTTTGGGGTGCATTAATCAACTTCACTTGTTCACTTCTACCACGTTGATCCCATGTTGCCCGCTCTGCTTCTTATCTTTCGCGATCCGGGGAGTGATATCATTTGACGATGACTTACGTGAGGCTCGCTGGCTTGGCGAACACAGGGCTACTGCAACGCTCGGCTATATTCGGTAGGTGTTTACTGAGCTTCAAATCTATTGTGTCGGCTACTGGTCCTAACATCAATTTTCGCGAGGATGGCAGTAACACGGCTAAGCTTACCGCACGCGATTGGACTCCAGAGTTCGCTAAACATTGATTCGCTAACGGCCAGTCAAACTACTGTAACCACTATACGCTATTGACCATGATGCACAAGCTTGTATTCCACGTGGGTCGGAGCAAACTCTCGTAATAGTTGGGATCAAGAGCTATCTCTATACGAAAACCTGGCTGTAGGTTTGCGGCGGCGACAACGATGGTGGGATTCTCCGACCGAACCAACCCGGTTGGGACAAGGATTCCTGGCTACAGTGACTCCCGACATATATCTAGAGACAAGACATGACGGGCCTGCGCTGGGAAATTTTGACCTTCACCCCGCTGAGGCTGTCAAACGTCAAAATGCGGTTCCCAGTCTTTCTCACGTATGGCGTCGCTCTTCTGACTACCTCTGTCCCAGTCTTGGCCATCCCCAAGCTTCAAAAGGAGTATCGCCATCGAAGGCTACCTACCGACCCTCTTGTAAAGCGAGACACTGAGGGGAGTTGCACGGACACGTCTGCATTCGTGGATTCGTCGGCGCCAAAAGCAAACATTTTTTATGGCTTGTCAGACCTCGAAGTTGCCGATGTTGCTAGCTGGCTTTTTGCGCAACCTGATTTGAACTTGACTGTGACTGCCAATGCCACTGATTGGGACAACACCATGTAAGTTGATGATGCGGCTTGAAGAGCTGGCCGCTGACGCCTTTTACAGCACTCTGATTGAGCTTCTCCAGCCCAACAAGACTGATGCTCTAGCATATCTCGATGGAGACTCCCCACCCCCGACACGGAATGCACACGTGATTCTTTCCATATCTTCAGTGGATGAACCATACTATGCAGATCTGATTGTCGGTCCCTTGCCTGCTGTGGAAGGGACGACCACCTGGACTCCTTTGGAGTATATATACACAAAGAAAGCGGGTGGCAAAGTTCGCAATCTGGACGCTGACTATGAAACTGTCTATTATGAATGGGTTAGTGTCATCACTGCTAGTGTAGCAGACATCACGGAAGACCTCATCGGGGGTAGTGCCACCGGCTCCGAAAACGATACCCTCTCCGTCTGGGGAGTAGATCCGTATTGGCAGGATGATGGACGAGTCGTTCGATGGGATTCCTTCTTTGGATATCCAGAAGGAGACTTTGACAGCATGACCCTTCTGCCGCTTGGCCTGTATTTCAAATCTGATGTCACTGGACGTGATCCAGCCGAGTGGGAATTCCAAGGATGGCTCTACAACAACATCTTTTACGAAACGACGGAAGAATTTCGAGCAGCATGGGAGTCGCCAGATTTCGTCAAGATTCCCATCAACACCGATGGTCCATGGGGTCACACTGACCAGCAAGGCCCAGTTCTGCCCATGGATGTGTCACAGCCACCAACTTTGGTTGCACCGACTGGAGCTCGATTCACAGTTGACAAAGATGCAAGGTTTGTCAAATGGATGGACTTTGAGTTTTTCATATCCTTCAATCGTGACACTGGAATGCATCTTCACGACGTCAAATACAAGGGCGAGCGAATCATCTACGAGCTGGGTCTCCAGGAGGCCCTGGCACATTATGCGGCCAACGATCCTTTCCAATCCGGAACAGCCTACCTTGACAGCTACTATGGCTTTGGGCCTTATTCGTTCGAATTGGTTAACGGATACGATTGCCCCAGCTACAGCACATACCTCAATACCAGCTTCTACACTCGGGAAACTACTCGAACACATCTCAACTCCATCTGCTTGTTCGAGCACGATCCTGCCTACCCATTGCAACGCCACTCTACCGGTGACTATGTCAGTGTGACCAAGAATATTATCTTCACGGTTCGAAACATCTGCACAATTGGAAATTGTAAGTACATCACTAGTCTTTTTGACAGTTCCCTTGCATTCAGAGAGATCAGTTCCTCCTCGCTGGACACACGCATTCGTCCGTCATGGTTCTCTTTCTAACTAGCTCACTAGACGATTACATGTTCTCGTACGAGTTCTACATGGACGGCTCGATCGGAGTGGACGTGCGAGCTTCCGGATATATCCAATCGACCAACGCGGCCAACAACGGAGACTATGGATACAAGATCACAGGAGAAAGCGTGTCAGGCTCCATGCACGACCACGTCATCAATTTCAAGCTGGATCTCGATATTCTGGGCACGGAAAACACAATGGAGTTGACGAAATTGGTACCGACGACCGAGACATACGCCTGGTCGAAGAAGCCACGCAACACGATGAAGCTGGAGCGGAACCTTCTGGAGACTGAAGACGACGGCAAGATCTTCTGGGATCCATTCACGCAATACTCCATCATCAACACAGATCAAGTTAACGAATTCGGCGAGTATCCTGGATACCGAATCCTGCCAACCGCATCGACCGCTCACCTGACGATCCTCAACAGCACCAACTTAGAAAACGCCGCCAATTGGGTTACCCACGACTTGATGGTGACGGCACAGCACGACACCGAACCACGCAGTGCCCACCCATACAACAGCCAAGACGTCTTCGACCCACCCGTCGATTTCGAAGCCTTCTTCAACGGCGAAAACCTGACCCAGACCGATCTCGTCCTGTGGTTCAACCTGGGAATGCATCACGTACCTCACACGGGTGATCTACCCAACACTGTCTTCACCACCGCCCACAGCGCCATCATGATCACCCCACACAATTACCTCGCCACCGACGCGTCTCGCCAGACCGTCCAGCAAGTACGCATCAACTATGGCGGCGGGAACGCCTCGGAAGTCACTTCCTTCGGCCAGGAACCCGCCCAATGTGTCGTGGGCGTCTCGTCCGAAGACTACAACCTCGAGGGATATTTGGGTGATGTGGTCATTCGAAAGTTCCCCTACGATCCTACTGATCCTTGGTATGAAACCGGATGGATCGGCAAATAGATTTGCCTGATATTACGAAAAAGGGAACCCGGGGCAAGCAAGCGAGCGAGCTTATGTGCATGCATATTCGATTCGCCCTGCCTAGCCCCTGCATGAAATACGTGCAGCAGAAATCCATATATATATATACAACACACACGTATACATAGTATAGTATACGGTGGTAATAAAAATATAATCTTGGCTTTTATTTATGTAAAGACCCTGCGTCTGCGTCTGCGTCCGCGTCTGCGTCTGCGTCTGCGTCTGCCTCTGTTGCGCCTTCTTGGTCTGGATCTGATTTTCACGTCAGAACAGTGATGTGAAGGGGAATGTATTATTCCAGAAGAACGTGTTTCTAGCCTACTGATGATGATGATTATCTAGGTACCTGCTGTCTTATTGACAAAAGAAACAAAAGTGACGTCCTGCAAGCAATCAATCTCGAGGTCAATTCCGGTAGCCCAGTTCTCTTTCCGCCATATCTGTTAAGCTTCCTTGCTCCCCAAGCAAGCATGAAAAGGCCAGTTTGCGCACTCGTGAAAAATGATTCAGCATCTTGATCCATCTCTCTGATACAAGATCGTGATAAAGGTCAAAATCGAGGACCGTGTCCCATATTGCACAGTCTCAGCCTCAAAGTCTCGTCAATGTCAAGAACAGAATCATTTTCTCTTGTTGTTCAAGATAAACTCTCAGCCCTTCCCGCAATCAAGTCAGCAAGCTAGGTACTTAGAGCTGTCTCGCCCGATTGTTCATCAGCTTTGTCGGCATCATCGTTGTCAATCCAACCGAGCTCTCGAGCCTTCTCTTGAATGGGGATGATCTCTTGTAAGAGGGAGGCACTCTCAGACCGAATCTCCGAAAGTCTCTTTTGGATCTCGTCCCGCTTCTTGGGATACTTGGTGAAGTATGGTTTTGCGTCGGGGTGGTTTGATTGGGTCGTATTTTCAGGAGCGATGAGATCAATAGCGTGGTTGACGATCGCGGTAAGGTTGGCTCTTGTCCTTTCCTTTAATTTATCACAATCTGTCTTAAGACGTTGGACATATTTTGAGACAAATTCGACTGTCCTGACTGCGTCGGCCAGTATGGCAATTCTTCGCTTAGTGGCTCCTTTGCCTGTGATATGAGGTTAGCTTTTTGACATGCATGACTGGTCATATTTCGCTGACTGGACTGACCTGATTCTTGATTGCAGCTGCGATAGAAGGCGTCCAAGTAATTGGCGACATAAGAGGATGGTCCGCCTGTAGTCGCTTTCGTCTTGATAGCACTTAGCTTGACCATGAAATCAGTCTTCTCAGATCGCAGCCGCTCGTGCAATCTCTTGATTGATGATTTCAGGAGTTCTAAAGTCGCCAGCGGTGCTTCAAGCTGTTCATACTGTTCTTGATGCGAATTGAAAGGCGCTAAAATTGCAGCGATTGAGGCTGTCCAATTATCTTCCATAGCCTGTTCCAGCTGTTGCCATTTCAGGGCCGAGAATTTGTTGAAGTGCTGTACGAGCTCAGCGTTCCAACAGACTAATACTCCTTTTCCACGCCCACGCCGGCCGCAATGAGGCCCGAATTTTCGGCAATGGGCTCTGATTGTGGAAGGTGGCAATTTGCAAAAGTCTTTCTCTACCATTCTGCTTGCAGAATCATTGATTGCCGGACATTTTTTCTTGAGGGTTGTCAATAACTTGGTGACAACACTCTGGAATCCACCGTGCCACATTTTGAACCCATCCTTGCTTCTCAGATCACCGCTGCTTGGCAGTTCGAGATTAACTAGGCCATCGGCCTCTTCTGCGAGTCTCTGAAACCAGTCCTTCATAGAGCTGAGGAAGGTAGGAAAATCGTGCTCCATACATCTATTGTGGACACCGAACCAACGTTTGGACATGCGACTTGCAGCGTACTCCTGGAGTGGAACGATCCCACTGAGTTGGAGACACTCACCGTCCTTCCAGGCCATGTTGCTGTCTACACAGAAGACGTTGAGTTCCTGCGGGGCCATCTGTTCTTTGTACCTCGCTTTCAATTTTTCTGAGACATTCGAGTTTCTCGTCTCCATCTTCAATCGCAGGAGATCGTCTTTGGCTTTTTGCTTCTCCTCGTGGCTGTTGGCTTCTGCGACTCGCTGATTTGCTTGGGCAAGCGCCATTTCTGTGCCTGCTAGTGTAGCTAAATCTTGGTCTTCAAGAGGACAGCCGTCAGGAAACACGCCTGCATTGGTGCAAATAATAGTGATCTTAGGCTTTGAGCATTTCCCCACGTCCGATGCTTGAGTATTGCGGGTTTCAGGGTAGTATTGGTCAATAATGGTTCTGATATCAAGGTTGGTAATGGCACGGGTAATGTTTGCCACCAGCCAGATTTCGTCTGCTGTACCGATATACTCACGAGCGGCTTTGGCTCGAAGATAGTTGGTGTCAAGAGATCCAGGGACATCGCCGATGATGAGGCCGTCTCGGAGGACTTCTGAGTCAATCGCAACACTAAGCGTGTGCGTGAATGGCCATCGGGGATGGGTTTGTATCTTGACCACCGCATCTCTGCAAGAATTTCCTGATTCAAAGATTTCCCGGAAGTGTCCTTCACCACCTTGTATGCCTCCAGGGAGCATGTCGAACCAGTGAAACATTCTTTCGACCGCGTCATTGCGGCTGATGTCGCGTTCTCCGTACATCAAGTCATCCAAGTTGAACTCCAGCAAATCCTCGAAAAGGGTCTCAAGAATTGCTCTGGAGTTGTTGTGGTTTTCTAAGGCCGGTTTGTAGTCTTCGTCTTGCTCATCAATCTTGTCAAGATCGAATCTGCGATAGTCGTCTAGGATATTCTCGAGCAAATTTCTGACTTCATGCTCTGTATGATATGTGCACTCAACGGTATATGGAGCATTTTCATCAGGTGCCCGTTGCTTGATCTCCTGGACGATATTTGTGACTGCAGCGCCACTTCCCCCCGTCTTGGTAATATATGTGTCCCCACATAGGGCGTTGACTAGGGTACTCTTCCCAACGCCAGCTGGGCCCGAGAGGGCGATTTTGACATTCTGATCCAGGATAGGCGTCAGGATGTAGCTGATGGATTTCTCCATTCTCTTACGTTTGGGGCCATTTGGGAAAAGTTTGACCACAGCCAAAAGATCAATCGCCAGACAATGTTGGCGTTGGACAGCTTGCTGATAAGCATTGCTTTTCAGTGGATTTGACTGACGAAGCCGATTCTGTAGCAGGGCAGAGTTCTGGGACACCATGTATCTGGGTGGTGAGATCTCCATGAAACCATCACCTGGACCAGCAGACTTGCCGAGAGATTCGAAAGACATGATGATTCAATGACTTCCACGAAGTAAAGGGTGTATGTGGATGTTACTGTAGCGGCTGATGGATCGGTGTGTCCGATCTAGGTTGACCGAGGAGATCCAGATTGACAGAACCAGAATGGGTAGTACCGTAGGGAAAGTTCGAACAGAGACTGGGAGATCAAGGTCGTGTGAAACAAACAGAGATCATCAAAGAAATTGATTGGTGTGAGAAGAATGCCTGAGAAGGACTCGATAGCGAAGGAAGAGGTAGGAAACGCGGCGAGAAGGGAGAGGAGACACCCTTGCGAGGAGTGTGGCTTGGACAAAGGGTCAAAGTTCTGAAATATTGAAAAGTAGATGATCAGCACTCGTCCGCGAGAAAGTGCGAGATCAAAGAATGAAAGAGAGAAGACAGAGATTCGGTGGGAGGAACTGGCAGAAGAGAACGTTAAACATCGGCTGAGATAAGTTTTTGAGAGAAAGAGAGAAGTGAAGAAAGTTGGAGGCGTGGAGGAGGCAGAAGGTCGTTCTTATATCCAGTGAGGAAGGGAAGCAGCATGTGATATCCAAGGATAAAAAAAGAGAAATAGCTGGAGTGAAGTGAAGAAAAGACACGAGGAAGATCGAGCATATGACAGATGGGGAGCAATGCAACTTGTTTGGCGATGATGACCCTGGTTCTGCTCTTCTACAAAGAACGGAGCATGTGGGAACATGTCATTTATCGCTAGTTCTGAAGTCTCTGTGAGACAGTTAGCAGTCGTGAAGTCTGGACGGCGAAGACTCTAGACAGAGGATGATCAATATCGGAAGTGAACTCGTATGGAGAACTCATGCCATGTGAAAACCAATGTTAGGCTGCTCTCAATATTCAGATATCATGAGAACCCAGAAGACACAAAAGCTTCTCAGAGCGGCAGGGCAGACATGTGCCTCCAAGAGTTGCAAGGTGATTGCTTTTCAATATTAGTACACAGCAATGGTAAGGGACAGATGTTGACCTTAGGAGACAGGTACTATAAGCCATCGATGCTTGTCCTTGGCCGGCTTCTCACAACTGACTGGCTTTTTAGTCCCCATCTTCCCAAAGCCAACTCTTCCAAACTCTTTGCCTTTCCCGCTAGGATCTGGCCTCGTTTGGTGTTTTCTTGTACCTCGGGGATCCAGAAATGGGTGACTACGGCACCTAGAATCATGCAGATGCTGAAAACAACCAAAATGGTGCCATAGCGTTTGGTCTGGGCATCACCGGGCGAGGACGAGCCGAACTTGTAATATGCAGAAAAGACTTGGACCAAGATTGATCCTAATTTTCCTGCTCCGGCACTGATGCCATGACAAGTAGCTCGATATCGCGTCGGGAAGAGTTCGGCAGGAATGATGTATGTGGTGGAATTCGGCCCAAAGTTGAAAGCAATTTGGCCGAGGATGTACAGACTAATTGCGAGAGCACCCTCTTGCTGGACTGTGATGAAAACCGTCCCCAGTGCAATGAAGAGTGCCGCTAGCACCAGGAATCCGTACTTTTGGAGACTGACTCTGTTGAGGCGATTGGAAAGGGTGATCCATAAGACTCCTCCCACAAAACTGCCCGTGTTGAGTATAACTAGCGCATGGACTGAGGTGTCGAAGAACGTCTCGTATATGTCCTTGTCCGGATCGGTCATCCAGGGTGGTGACGGAGCCGTGATTGCCAATGTCCCCCACGTTTTGGCTAGAAACTGTGGGCTGGAAAGACCAATTCCATAAAACCCAAAGTCTAGGAGAAGCCATGACATTGAAGTAGCAAAAAGAGTTCTCCAGTTTCCTTCCACCCAGAAATACTGCTTGATGTCCGCTCGAGATAAAGCCCACGACGAGTTCAAAGTTGTAGGTCGTGCGGCAGTGATGACCCAGTCTAGGTTAATCTCGTCAGGATTGATGTGAGCTCCCTGATGTGTCGAGACATCTGAGCTGGCATGTGAATCGTACCAAGTGCTGGTCTCTGTTTCACTGTCGATGGAAGGATCCCCGAACAGTTGTGTGGCATCGAATTCGGCCTTGACGGGATCGTCTTCGATGTCGAGAATAAAGCGGGGTGTCTCAGGTATAGCGAAGCGAAAGACAAGGGCAATGACACCAGGGACAACGCCCAGGCCAATGATCCAACGCCACATCATGTCGACGGATCTACTCACATTCTCCTCGCTTGACCTTCGAGAGATACTAACAACAATAAGGGAGACCAGGTTCCCGGCTATTTGTCCAAGTGGTTGCATGAAAAAGACTGTGGCCATCATCCTTGCTCTGTGGTTTTTTGGTGCAAACCTATCCTTTGTCAACTCGGCCTGATATAAAGGTGGAAATCTTCAACTTACTCGGCGGCGATGACTGCGCTCAATGGATAATCAGCGCCCACGCCAATGCCAACGATGATTCTCCACCAGATGAGCCAGGCGTAAACACTCATGCTGCCGTCGTGTCCCGTGGAGCTCATGACAACGCCGAGGGTTGCTCCAATAAGAAGGACCAGCTCGATACCATACATTTGCTTCCGACCCTTCTTATCAGCCAAAAATCCAAAGAGGACTTGACCGATGAGGGTGCCAGTAAGGGTTGCAATGTTGATACAAGTTAGGCGGAAAGAAGAGACTTCGTCCTGCCAATAGACGTAAGCAATCATGGGCAATGCGATATTGCCGGCAAAGAGCTATTAATTGAGTTAGCGTGGTGGGTGTGAGATGATATGGAATTGAACCAACTGAGAAACCATCGAGCAAAAAGCCGACGCCAGCAACGAGAACGACCACCCACTGATAGGGCTGTCGGTCAATAGTCTCGTAGATCTGGCGAACTCGAACGTGTCGGTCCTGACAGAGTTTAGCACAATCTTATATTGTGTGAAGGCCAATATAGGATAGCCATACCCGTTCGTGGTCGAAATCCCGTGCACGGTCTGTCGCATACAGTCGACCACGCCAGCGAGTCATCTCAAATCGACCCATGATGAGGCTTGTCTGCGGTTCGATAACTGGGGTAGGGATGTTGGAAGATTTGACGGTTATTGCTCATGGATTATCGTTCCATCTCGGTGAGCAGTCAGAAAAATGGCTGCAGTGCAGGGGTGTCTCGAGAGAATGGATGAACGAGAGACTGACGACGGGGTGAGGGTCTCTTTGAAGTTGTTGGAACGAGGCTGGAGAGCTTGTAGGGGGGATAGAGTGAGAGCATCAAGCCTAGAATGACGGTAGAGGTCGGACGAGGCAAAAGGCATATAAGTGCCTGGGATGCACTGCTAGAAGCCAGGCTAAGGATGCAGGCTCACCAGTCTGGTCCCTGGTGGGTGCCATGTTGGTGGTTCCACCGAGCGCCATTGTAGAGATCGATCCGAGCAGAATCAGACAAAGGTCTCAGACCAGGAGCTTACTGAGTGCTTGGTTGTCGAACAGAAGCCAGGCTCCAGACGCAGGACGGTGAGAAAAGTGGGAAAAGTGCTTGAGGGTCACAAGTGTTCTGGAGCAGGTGCAGGGGAGGGGGGGCAATGGAAGAAATGGAAGGTGCGGTGCGTGAGGCATCCATTGAGATTGCGTGGTTGCACCCACGTGCACGAGGAAAGATCAAGGCTTGTAGGGAGACAGTCACGATAGTGTGAGCCTCGCACCAGGCTGGAGGCACACTAACCTTCCGAAGACTTTTTGCCTAGGCATGCCTGGTCGTCGAAGAATTTTCCTTGACGTCTTGTGTTACGCTTGATAGCGTGGGGGATGAATGTGATTGATAAAGCATGGGATGATTGCTAACATGGAGTTGATGTCCTAGGATTAAAAATAATGTGCTTTGTTGTAGTTGATCTAATGACAGGTGCAGGAATGATGAGCATCTGCCTCATTCTTGGGCCATAGCCTTGGCATTAGCACATTCACCAAACCTGAGACAAGTACCTAATTAGGTAGGCCATTCTTCTCGTCGAGTTGCTGGTGTTCTCGACAAATTTAGCCATGAGGCTACCGTGTAAACAAATCCATACATATGTATAGATATATATAATATACACCCCGATCTGTGTTTCGTCCCTCGCCATTTTCGTTCAGCAAAGGGAGCGAGACCGCATTAATCTGGCACGTGACGGAGCATCAGGATTCGGCCACAATGGCACCGCTGCAAAACGAGTACATGATCGAGAATACCCTAGGTCCTCCGCTACACAATCCTAACTTTCTGCTAACCTGCCAAGTTTGGTATATAATCGAGTGTGTTTCAAGCAGCTAAAAGAGTAAAGTGCCATCTACCTATATATACAGCCCAACAAAAAGGACCAGCAAGCATCAAAATCCCGAACACTGGCTCACGTCTTTCCAGAAGTAGACTTTCCCCTGTCTGCACACGTTGAGGCTGTTCATGCCACCAAGTGCATCGACAATCGGAACTAGCCAGGGGCCGGATCATACTCCAAGGGTTGAGTTCGTTTCTCTCCTCCTTGAGATAGCTAGATAGAGAAGACGAGCTTCACAACACAGTGCCTGGCGGCATTCACTGGCACGAGATGTTCGTGTCGATATTTCCTGAGGTTCACCCACCGGGGTCAAATACAGTCCGTCAGTGAGAGGGAGTACGCCAGGAGCGGGCTAGAGCCGTAAGTGAGTAGAAAGGAGTAAAAGAGGAGCGCAATAGGGAGGAAGGGAGTAGAAGAGAGTAGAAGAAAGCGAATGAGGTAGCGAGTTGACTAAATGGTCGCTAATCTGGCGAAATAGCCCTAAGCGACGACGGTTTAGGGATTATATATATATTGCCCATTCATAGGGATTGCAAAGCCTGGATCGAATACACCAATACACAAAACTACATGTTGCTAGGTCACGTCCACGCTTAGGGGTATCTACTCTTCAGTTCGATCCTTCATATCATCATTCCATGCATTATCCTTGATAGCCAACTCCATGACACAGCAGTCCAAAGAACCGTTTTTGATCTGGAGAGCGCCCATGTCAGATTAGCCATTGACCATGTCATGACTCAAGCCACAGGGAAGAAAGAACAACTCACCGTCTCCATCCAGAAACCAAATAGTCAGTGACTTCATTTGCGCCAACAAGTCAAAGTTTGGGCGTAAGTTCATTCCAATAGGCCGTCCATGCTTCTTGCTCTGTTCAAGCCGTTCGATGCAGTCAACTACAAAGCATTGTCAGTCAGGCTGTGATGACCTAGCCAAAGTATTAGCCGGCACGTACGAGGCACCGAGATATATCTTTTCTTCTCTCTTCGCTGTGAATTTGCAAAAAACACAATCGTCTGTTGGCCATTGCGTGCTCGCAGGATCCTCAGGTTCTGGCTAATGCATTCTTCACCACGTCCTTTCGACCTAGCTTCTGCAATTCCCGCGGTGAGAATGATCTGTTTGTCAAGTAACTTTTCCTGGAAACAAATGCAATCTGCTTGATGTCAGGCTTGACACGCACATACTCATGAAGTCAGGAATGTGGCGACAGAACTCACCCTCCCACGTCTCAAAACTATAGTGTGGTTGGGCCTGGAACAACGCTGATCCAATTTGTAGAGTTTGTTCTTCCAGGAATGACACTCGAGAGATATGAGGCTGATTCGATGTGATGGGTTGCTCCAAGTGGGGGATCGGTACTTTGGTACCAGGAACTGTTGCAGTTAGATCCAAATTACTTCATGCTCAACATAGGCTTGAGACCGACAGCAGTGGACAGAAGTAGATTGCAAACCCTCGTCATCAATTAATTCAATTCTCTTCAGATTTCCCAAGCCGTCCTTTTGCAGTGTAAGGATTTGGTATTTTAATTTGAACAGCTTGCTGCCTTTGCTGAACGCTCTGAAAACCGCGCGACAAAGTTATCATCCGGTGCGAATCAAAAAGACCACACTCATAGTGATCGCTCTTGTGCACGTAAAATGACAGGGTTGCTGGGCACTGGAAGCAGGCGGGCGAGGAAATGACTTACATATGAACAGGTCGACGGAGGGGCACGTGAACCGCGTGATCGGCGGTTGTAGAGACAGAAGATTTGCTCCTCTCACTTGTGGGACGTGATGAAATTGGTGTGGGAGGCAGAGGGCAGTGAGAAATGTGTATGCTGGCGAATTCTGACTCGAGGCTTGAAGAGTCTATGCTGGGCCTGTTTGGGAGAGTCCGGGGAGGCCAATCGTTGTGGAGAGCAGTATCTTGCGAGGACATAGCAAGTCAAGAAGTCGACCTCAGTCAAATGATTGACTATTGCCAATGCGTTGAGATGCTCGCGGGAGCAACATTGGCCATAAGGAAAATGGGAAACTGGAGTGAAGACGTTGTTCTCGAAAATGTCACAAATTTCTGGTGGCAGGATTTGTTGACTGACAGAGTCTGAAGAGTGGAATGGATCAGATAGACACAGGCAGCATAGACAGAACAATAAGACTCGCATGAATGACTACTCCGTACGTTATTGTCAGAGCTTGCGTGGGCAGTCTGACCTGGGCTCTGCGACATCTGTGGGCGATAACGGCCGTGGGCGGACAAGACGCAAGCATGAGGGTTGAGAACGTGTTGAAATGGATGGTTTTGAGTTGTTGGGCGAAGTCAGTCTCCCATGCAAGGCAGAAAATCTCGCCAGGGACGTGAATTCTCGGCCACCAGTCACCACGCCATTTGGACACAGGCGATTCGCAAGGCTCCTAGGGGCCCTTATTTAATAAAAACATGCATCAAACACGCCACGCCCAGAGTAGATCGAATGCTGCGAGTGCTATGATTATACAAATAATTTGTAACAATGAATAAAAAGCCTGTGTCCAATGGACGTTTACCAGAATCAAGTCACGTTGTGTTTCATCACGTGCATAGATTTCCTGTTGCTGCCACTGTGTTGAGCAATCATCATGCTAACCGTGGTTCTAATTGCCTACTCAATACAATGACTGCAAATCAAGTGATGAGTGTCCTCCCTAGAAACTTTTGATGTCATGCATAATACCCTGTTGTCGGTGGTGTTCGTTGCCCTGAGGCACTCCGTTCTCGCATTGAGCTCCATAGAAATCTCCCTTGCTTTCACTCAGGGATGCCTGGTCCTCCACCAGGCACATGTGCAGCCGTCGTAATGGCGCTGCATACAAGTCGATCGTAATGTAAAAAGTGCACATAGCCCACGTCGACTCAACGTCAAACCCAAATCCGCCGATCCCCAATGTGAAACTCGACAAGTAGAAAGTCTTCAAGGCACGGTTACTTCAGTCGGAGGGTTGTGTTTTTCCACAGGCTGCTTTGAGTTGTTCCAGATATAGCTTGCAAGCTCGTCACACGCCACCACCTGAAAGTTGCCGGCTTTGCTGACCTTCAAGTAGGGGTTTGAGGTCTTGCTGCAGATGATGCTGATATCCTGAAGGCTGGCAATGGCCTGTTGGTTGGCCTCATCAATGTTGACCGACATTTCCAAAGCACAGTCCTGCGAGCGGTTGTCAGTACGTCACTAGCACTCAACCAAGCCGATCATGATGGGGGTCCAACTTACGCATTTCCAAGTCAAGCGACGATGTGTTTTCGGCGGTTTCGGCTTGATCAATTGATTAATGAGATCCTCGAGTCGGTCACCGCTCCCAGCCTCGGCTTGACCTGGGGGTGATGAGGGTAGCTTGGCCCCTTGTAGAGGTGGCGGCGCGAGGTTATATCCGCGTCGTTCTGGAGGTGAGCTTGGGGTTTGACCTGACCGCGGAGATGGCGCTGGGGCCAGCACGGGAGTGCTGATCGAGTTTGCCTGAGCTGCAGCCAGAGCTAACCCAGCGGTCAAGCTGGGAGCTTGCTGGTGGATCGACGCTGGGCGTGGGGTGCCGTTGCTGGAGAGAGCACTACTGAGGCGGCGCGATTCACGCGGACTGTCCGGTTTTCCATAGTAGTCACCAGCTTCGGATTCGCGCTTTCGTGAGGATGCGCTCAACGACGGTGACTGCTCTGGATCGCGGGAGGCAGAATCCGAAGTGGGTGCATCAGTCATGGCGGTGTCGCGATCTCTGCCCATGTAGGATCGGTCACCAGATACAGGAGGCTGGTCGACGAGCACATGTCGGCCACCTGGACCCTCCTTGATGATGTTCTCCTGTACTGCCCAGTTGGTGAGGTCCTCATCCTCGCGCTCTTCCTTAGCCTCGACAATGTCACGTGAGAAATGACCACCCACGTGTTCCATGCGTTCATTCCAACTGCCTTCTCCTTCGAAAACTCTGCCACAGAAGCCACAAGTACTCCTCTGCGGTGGCTTACGCTTCTCCACCCAACAACGGGTTCTCACATCCTCGAGACTGTCCTCGAATTGTCGCCAATCCTTGGGGTCAGCGTTGGTGGGCGAAAAAGTTGCAGAGCCGGGTCCGGACTCGGGCTTGTGCATTCGTCGGTGATGCTGAGTAAAGAGATCCTTACGATTGAAGTCATTGTAAACCCGTTTATGGCCAGGGACGTTGGGGTTGAGATCGGGGTTACAAGAGCCGACGTCGCAACGATAGAATCCCAGTTGCAAGTGCTGGATGGAGACGTGACGTTTCCATTCATTTTTGGAACTCAATGCGACATCACAGCCATAGTGCGAGAATGAGCAGATGAACTTGCGTTTGGCGGGTTCGGATCTTTTGGCACCAGATCCCGGAGATTTTCGAGCGCGAGGCTTGACTACACGGCCCGGGTGAGTGTCGGAGCCCGAGATGGACTGCAGTGAGTCTTTGCGGGGGCGAGGCTTGATGATGCGATCCGACGGACTTCCTCGTAAAGAAGAGGCACTGATGTTGATGTTTGTTTCGGTGGCCATGACGAGGATGTTGGCTTCGGCTGTTAGGTGCTAGAGCTAGAAGTAAGGTCCAAGTGGTAGAAGGGCGAGGTTGTGTTGTGGTGGGTGAAGTGTGGCGTGGGGAGCGCGGGTGATGGGTGGGCGGGCGGAGTTGACCGAGAATGGACACCCAGCAATAGTGCGCCGCAGGGTCTGGGGCCTTGTGATGTGGCGAGACGAGGCGACACAAGGCTTTGCACAAGATCAACGTCGATACCAATCAACAACTGGGTTTTCTCATGATTTCGGGCACCTGTCCTGTTGCGCAAGTGATCTAGAACTTGTTGAAAGAGTTGACTGTTGATGCGAGACGGCAGAATTTGAAGGAGTGAGTTGAGTGCCAAGGTAGTGATGTCTGGTGAGTAGTGAGGCGAGCGAGGCGAGTGAGGTAGGAAAGAGAAAAGGAAAGAGATGGAGGGGAGAGAAGGCTCTGACTTGAGGACTGTGCTGCAGGTTCGGCCGCACGGCTCAAAAAGAGTAGACGCAGGCAGGAAACTAGCCGTGAGTGGACGAGGCGATAAGATTTTTGTGAAGGAGAAACAGATGGAATACGGGATTGAAGGTGAGTTGGGTGTCGTGGGTGTTTAATTGGGGGGAGTGTGCAAGAAAGAAGAGGAGGGAGGAGGAGCGAGATGAGGGGCGTCGGGCTGTGCTGCGAGTTCTGGGACGGTTGTCAGTAGTCTATCTCTCTGCCACTTCTGAGTAGTGCGTAGTGCGTGTGGTGCGTCTGCGTCTGCGTCTGGGTGAGTTGACGAGGCGAGGCTTTTAGCCGGTAGTAAGGCTGCGAGGTTCTCCAGGCTTGACTCTGGCAATGTGGTCGTTGACTACACAGGGTGACAAGCTAACCTGGCATTGGTCCAGTCACTGACAAGGGCAATGGTGAATGTCAAATGATGGGTGGCAGTTCGGTAGCTCGGTGGAGGCTGCGGAGGCTACTGAGGCTACCAGAGGCTACCAGAGGCTAACTTTTGCACCTAGCATTGCGTTTGGCTCGCTTTGACCACCAGGCTCAGCACCACTCTTCCGATAAGCAGAAGCAGGTGGCCAGCTCCTGCAAGGCGTGGATGGCATCATGAACTGAACAAACGGGCCATAGTTCTCTCGATCTGTGCACACTCGACATCCATCGCTCCGCTGTTACAATCGAGTGCACCCTCATGACGCCAGTAGTAGTTGTGTGTCATATTCATCGTCAGTCTCCTCCTCCTCCTTGAACCCTAAATCTGTTGTGACCGGCGGATCGCAACCTGGGCTGCTATCACCTATGGTGGGATTTAGATTGGGTCGATGACTGGAGGCAGATGGACTCGAGGGAGTGGTGACTGGAAGGCTGTGGGCCTGCAAGGGTGAGAAGATGGAAGACAGTGGCAGGGCGAGAACACAACGACAGCCTGAGGGGGCCCGAGGGGGGCGCTGCGGTGGTGGCCGCATCCAGTTAAGATCTGCCGAGGCTGCCAAAATCAGCAGCGTGGACATAGAGTTTGGCTGATCCTCTGATCTGGCCAGTGGAGGTCCACCCGCGACGATTTGGGCGCCCGGGGGGCCCGAGGAGCCCACAGAGCTACTCCGTACATACTCCGTACTCCCTCACCCACTCTGGCCACGCACCAGGAACTTTGGCAAGGCTCCTGTAAAGCCTGGCGACTCCATGACTACGCGTACTCGCAGTATCGTGCCTCCACCTATGTAGTTCAAGCCGCTGGGATGGAGAGATACCAAGGATGGGAATGGAGAAAAAGCCAATTACAGCAGTCGAGCATGCGAATTTCCATTTGGCGGCAACGTGTCACCACTTCCGTATCCGTTCACAATCTACCGCCATTGTTTCTGTTGGTGTCATCGGGAACCAAGCAACTGGACTGTTCGGTTGCTGACTGAGGAGAAGCCTCGGCCATCAGCGTTTTGAGGGCACGGAAACGTGCTTATTACTACTTAGGTAGGTAATATTGTGCAGCTGTAGAGTATCGTATTGCTGGTCACAGTGGTGTACCTGAGCAGGAGCCTTGAGGTACCTAAGTAGGCACTTGCTCGGCTAAGACCGCCGGGCGTGCCAGCCTCTCTAGCAACAACCCAAGGAACGTACTACTTGTGGATGACTATTCATCCTCTTATAATACGTGTAGAGAAGTGGTGACCGCCTTTTGCTTATCACCACCATCATCACCATCGCACAAACCAGTGCCCTTCAAAGCAACAGTTGGATGATGATAGACCGACTCTACAGAGAAGCAAGGCTCACAAAGCCTTGTTCCCTACAGCCTGATCCAAATGTCCATGTTGATCATGATTCGCCGTTGACTCCACATGTGTTGCTCGAGCTGATCAGATTGCCACCCAATCACAGCAAGATTTTTATTACTCACCAACAGACTTGTCACTTTTCCAGTCTCCCGGACTTTCAAAAGAAAGAATTCTCCAGAGGGGGTTGCATGGCCGTTGCACAGCCTTTGTGCCGTCTTACACCCGCACCCAAGGTGTACGAGAAGCTCCCCCGAGAAAAAGGTCATGTCAAAGTCAACCTCGGTCATTCTTTTTTCGATTGACAATTGCCGGTTCACGCTGCCACCCACTACCAACACCAGCCATGGTGCTCGCATGGGCAATGGCCAGCAGCGGCGGTGCGTGAACACGCTGAAACCTCATGCATGAGCCAAGTTCGGGCCTTCCTGTACTAGTCTAGCCTTACCCCGCACTTATCCCTTTGCGACCATTGATTCCTGGGTACCTGGACCACGCCTCAACCTTCTATGAAGGCAATATGAGTTTCTAGCTCCAATCCCAACTGTTGACTCCACCCCGGTGTGACATTGTCCGGCCAGGACCTGGCCGTTGGAAATGAGAGTCGCCCATCATCGATTGGTCGGCCATTACGGAGTAGTTCTGCCCATGCAACGTGTGCACCATTGGCCCGTCACGAGATGTGCAGGTGAGGCTAGGATTTGAGCGAAAGGGCTGAAGGGTATCCCTAGGTGCCCTGGAGCCTTGGAGCGCTTCTGTTCTAGTTATTCTAGGTTGGTTCGGCCACTTTTATCTGGTCGCTCGTACTGACTTGGGTTCTCATTGTTCTCTATCAGCTCTGGACGAATCGGCGGTGACTGCAAACGTGGAACCATGTGGCTCCAATGCTAGCCTCGATCACGCCCACTTTTCCTACCCTAAGTTGCCTGGTTCCTTGGTTTTCCAGGTGTTCTGATGGCCTAATGATGCCTACTGAATTGCCCCCATCACCACGCCCCAATCAATCAAAAGGAATCGCTTGATTGCTCCATCCTCCCCTCGGTTCCCGCCTGGCTTCGACGCTTCTTCGGTTCCTGACCTCTTCGGTCCACCTCCATCTCCATCCATCTCCATCTCTATCTCCATCATTGGCACGCGGGTCGCTGCTCCGATCGCAGCCTCGGAAGCCTCGCCTCTTTTCAACAATCTTTGACTTTATCTGACATCTTACGGAGTAGACATTTTTGATAGCCATGGGGTGTGAGCAAACTTTATTGTACAAACGTGCTCTTCTTTACGCGCTTCAATCAAACCCTTGCTTCCGTCAATGGTCTGGTACGCCGGTTGCATGTGGCTGTCACAAGTCAAGTTCTTTGTTCCTGGCCACGGCTTGACGGTGTGGGCACGGCAGAATTGGCAAGACTAGGCACTTGAGAGATTCGAACTCTGCCACTTCTCTATTTGCACTCCAGTCTCAATCCAAATCACGTGTCTGGGTATCGAGTCTATGTCTCTGCGATTGGAATCATGGTTACTACACTTTTATATCATCACCCCTCAGCTTCACCAGATTCGTGCGAGCCCTCTCGCCCTGTATTCTCGGATCTCACATTGCCATCCCCATCTTCCTCCAAATTAGCGGGCACATCCACCATCTCTGCGTCAACGTCTGTTACACCCTTGGAGTCGTTATCCTGCACATTATCTTGTTGTGGTTCTCCACCGCCCTCTTCATCTTTGGTAGACATATTGAGAGCATCTGCCTCGTCTTTGGATTCGGTTTCAAGTTCGTCTTTGACATCCACATCCATATCAGCCGCGGCAGCTTTGCCTGTGATGGAGTTGGCTGTTTCCATTTCGTCGTGATTCCCGTTTGTTTGCTTTTGCTCAGCTTCCGCAGATGATTGAGCGTCCACATCTTCGTTCTTGGGCTCTGTCACCGCCGCGGCCTCGTCTTCAACGTCTGGCTTTACGAGAGCGTCAAGTTTGGTCCCGTATTGGATCTTTTCACAGAGTACAAAACGCCTGCCACTGGCTCGCAGAGCTCTCCATACCTTGCCTGCCTTTCTCTCCTCAATCTCATTCTTCTCGTCGTCGTCCATGGCGAAATCCAAATCCAATTCGTCGGTCTGAATTCCTTTGTAGTAATCGTCTAGCGTGGGCAACTTCCGTCGTTTGCTCGGATGTTTCAGTGCTTCTAACGGTTCATGCTTGGACAAGAATGCGAGATCAGCACTGCCTGGCGGTGCTGTCAACGCCGCCTTGGACTTCTCTGCCTGTGACGACAAATGGTCCCTCGCTTGAACGTACTCCTGGGCTGAAACCCCTTCCTGTGAGATAGTCGGACAGCTCTCGGCCTTCCATCTGACCCAATTCTTGTCTCGCGACAGAACCATGTCAACCATCCGATAGTAGAACTTGCCTTCATTGCCTGACCCACCACTTTGTTGAAGGTACAATGCAATGCTACTGCGTGTCGATACTGCCCATTTGGCGTCCTCTTCCGCCAAGGTAAATCCATACAACACCGACTTGTTGGTCAATTTGTCGTTGGCCGATTTAGCCTTAGATGTAGATGAGAGGCTAAGAAGAAAATCGAGCATTATCAGAGCTTGAACTAGAATGTGGCGACGAAATGATGGATCGTGCAGCTCGAGATCAAAGAGATCCCGGTTTGTGAGGTATTTCGGATTGAAGGTCGATGAAGTATTCGAGGGATCCAGATCTGTGCGTTTCCGCTTCAATCCACGTTTAATGTCGGTGGGGTTTGTGGTAGGGGCACTGGTCTGGGAGATGGATTTGAAGGTGGTCAATGTGAGCTCTATGCCATCTTTGAAGGTAGACATGTTCGCAGGCTCGAAGAGCCGAGTTGGCGCAGAGAAAAAGGACTGCAAGGTCCAAAACCTGGGATAAAGAGCATCGAGGTCTGGGGGTGGGAGGACTTCCTGCTTGGGGTCCGTCTTGATCCCTCTGGGCACCGGTGTGCCGCGTGCAGTAGCCGTAGCAGATTTCACATTGACCTCAGCTGCATCGTGGGACAGTGATGCCGAAACTGGTGTCTGCGCGCCGGAAGGGATGTGTTGAGGTGTTTGAGAACCAGGCTGAGCCGTGGTAGAGGTAGGATCAAGATCCATAGGCTTGATGGCATCTTCAGACTTTTGAGGCGAAGAGTCGAAGGTAGTGACATTCTCCACATGGAACTCCCCTCGCAAGTTGACCGAACTCTTGTCACCTAGCGGGAAACTTTGAAAGAGAAAGATAAACACTCGTCCACAAAAGACCGTGTCTTCGGCGCGAGACAAGCGTCGCAGGAGATCGTTGCAGCATCGCAGCACCACCAAACTTTTTGTCTTGAAATGCTTCGCAGTAAGGCGTTCTCGGCGCGACTCAAGGTAGTCGAAGACTTTGCGACAGCCATCAATTGTCTGCGTGTCCAGGAGGTCCTCTATCAACCATAGCCCAAGGCCAGGATCGCAAAATTCATGGTCGGAGAGGATGGTGATGATATCAAGCAGAATCCACACGTAAGCAAATGCCGGCTCCGAGATCTCGACTGTGGCGACAGCCGTGACTAGCAGATCTCGTGCGACAGACTCGATAATGGCATTGTGGGGGTGCGGCGGTGCAGCTTTGGTCTGGCTTTGACTCTCGCTTGTATCAAGGGAAGGGCGCAGGGAGCGGATTGATTCGAGGAGGGAGGATACGTCTGTATTGTCGATAGGGGTATCATTTAGGATGTCTTGATGGATCTCGCTCAGGGAATTTATTGAATCTTCGAGGAGATCCTTGTAGGTAGTAAAGAGGGGGATGTCGCTGATAGACATGATGACAGATGAGAGGAGGAAGGATATGTCGAAGCTCTGCTGTATGACATTGGAAAGTCAGGACTCGGTTGGAGATTTGGCAATACGATGACTCTGGGGATGGAGAGCTGCTTTGAATTACACGGCCATAAGAGGGCGATACGTAGTAACAGTCATTGTGGCAAAGGACATATGGTCAGTTCTCTGTTGAACAAAGCGAAGCACAAGGCAGAAAGTGAATGAAAATGGGACGAGGCTGCGATATCCCCAGATGTGGCTGAGGGGATGACTGTGGCTAGTGAGAAGTGGCTAATGTATGTGGCTGGTGTATGTGGCTGTTTCCATGCGGAGATTTTTTCGATGTTGCGGAGAGGAAAGCACGACAAAGTGACAAGACAAGGAGAGGAAAACTGTTACAAAACACCAACCCACAAGGCCTTTGAAAGGGTTCCAGGACACCCTGATCTCTCCTTCGTTCATGTCCAAGCCGGCAACATGACGATGGGCCTTCAACTGAGACCGGCGCTTGCCCCTGCTCGCGACGTGTCATCGTCTTCCGCAGACGCAGGAATTCTTCAGTCGCAGTGGGAGGAACTTGCGGCGAAGCATTGGCTCAAGACCATTCCGTCAAAGGTCAAGCCTGACCTGATCAAGACGGCCATATGGGATCCCCTTGAGAACGAATCCTTTCCCACTCGGTCGCTTGTCGCTCTTGAAAACTTACAGGTCCTCGAGAGATTCCTCTGGCCCACCTTCGATCTCGACTCTTCCAACCACCACGTCCTTCTCCTCGTCGTTTTCTTCAACGTCAAACAACGCGCCCACTTACAGGACTGGTCACTGTTCATCGATCGCCCAGAACAATTTTCTAGTTTCTTCCGTCGCGTCCTCTCTCTCAGCCTCGACCCTTCCCTCTCCATCTTCTCCCGAGTGTCCCTCCTCAACTTCATTATCGGGGCCTTTCAGTCGCTGGAAAATGACCATGTCCGCAAAGAGGCTGCCCCTCTCGTCTCAATAGCACTCTGGCACAATTTGCACGATGACGCTGCACGAGAAAAGCTACTGGACGTTCAACCAGCCCGGCGCAAGGCTTGGAGAGCGGCCCAGCGGAGGTATGATGGAGCAGATTCGGACGCCCAGGCTCGTCTAAGATTTGATCGAGCATGGCTATATACCATAACTCTTGATTTCTTAGCGCGACTCAGTGCACCCAAATTGAGTAATTCCCTAGATATGGTCTATTGCGAACGCTTCGTGGAGTTCTTGGTCGACCTGTTGAGCCAGTTGCCCACACGTCGTTATACAAACCCGTTGTTTCAGGACTTGAATGTCCTGCCGATGATTCGGAAGTCAAACCTTTTCGCTAGAGAGGAGGGCGCTCTATTACGAGATCTTGGTATCCTCTTGGAACATTTCCAGACTTTTGCAATCGACGACCTTGGGAACATCGAAGCCGGCCCAGAAGGCATGCGTAAGTCGCATTACGAGGCCCTTGCGCGCCTGCAGAAGGTGGCATTTCAACATTTTGAGGGGAAACTGAAGGTACTGGCCTTGTCAAACTATGGTTCAATTGACAACCGCAAGGATCTGGAGTCTCACTTCACCAACCTCGACGATACCGAGCTCCAGCAACTGTGTGCATTGCTCGGATTCCGAACAAGCTATCCCAACTCTACCGGTCTCAAAGCTGACCGAAACGTGCTTCTGGAGACTTTACTGTCCTCATTTTCAAAGTCTCGCAACTTCCAGGAGCTAATAACTAGGTTCTCTGTCCTGCCCACCGAATCAACCCTATACGATCCTTCCCTACTTCGGAATGACTATTATGACGGATCCAGACCCCTTGCTCTTCCGAAGCTAAATCTACAATATCTGACTCTTAGCGATTTCTTGTGGAAAGCCTTCCAACTCTACCAAGCTGAAGCCTACTATGGGATCCGAAAAGACATGGAGAGCATTGTGAGGCGCCTAAAAGCAAAACCAAGTCGTGAACCTGGGAAGACCATGTTTGAAGGGTTTTCAAAGATGGCCATGGCTATAGACAAGCCCGCTATTATTGAAGTCGGGCCACCAAAGGTCGGCTCAACGAATCCAAGCTTTGTCCGTGCCGAGGTCATTCTCGATGTTAGCCGGCTGAACGACAATGTTAGAAAGGAATGGGACTCTCTAAAGCAACATGATACTGTTTTCCTTCTGACGGTGGCAGCGCTCGATACCAGGCGATCTCTCACCAACGAAATCCTTCAAGCCGATGACGAGCAACAGAGGCCATTCACAAGACTTCGATCAGCCGAAGTCGTACAAGTCTTGGATGAGAACAGCCGCCCACTACGAGACATTCAAGCAAATGGATTTGCCTCTAGACCCCGGCGGAGACGACTTCTCCTTGATCTTGACCCAGTTGCCTTTCAGAACGACAAGCAGCTCCTGGCCCGGAGCAAGCAGGACATCTACGCATCAATCAATGTAATTGCACGGCGATCAAACCGTGAGAACAATTTCCGGCCAGTTCTGGAAACCATTCGAAAACTTGTTTCCTCAAAGGCAGAATTACCATCGTGGCTTCATGATGTGTTTTTGGGGTATGGCGATGCCAAAAGCGCAACATACCCTGCTGTGGATGCTCGTTTGGAGTCGCTCGACTATCTAGACACATTTATCGACTGGCAGCACTTGTCTGAAAGCTTTCCAGGGACGATGATTGCAACCCCCACAGGCGACAGTGCGCCTCTTCAACCTCCCTATGTTCTCAAATTGGGGACACCAGAAAATGCAGAACTTCCGAAGAACCCGAAGAAACGACGCCGAGAACAAATGGAACAAGACTCATCGGTATCCATCTCTGTCTCATCTTACAAGCCTCGCAACACTGGACCCTATCCTGTCGACGTACCGAAAAAGAACGCAATACGCTTCACGCCAAAGCAAGTTCAGGCTATCGTATCTGGCTCTCAACCAGGTCTCAGCCTTGTAGTCGGGCCACCCGGAACTGGAAAAACCGATGTGGCTACCCAGATCATCAATCTCTTATATCACAACTTCCCATCTGAGAGAATTCTTCTTGTTGCGCACAGCAATCAAGCACTCAACCAACTATTCCAGAAGATTGTCGCACTTGACATTGACCCACGTCACCTACTTCGCTTGGGCCACGGTGAAGAGGAGCTAGATACCGAGACCTCCTACAGTAAATATGGCCGTGTGGAATCATTCCTTGAGAATCGCCAAACCTACTTGGCAGAAGTCAATCGGTTGGCTGCGTCGATCAATGCAGAAGGGGCACATGGTGCGTCTTGTGAGACAGCAGATTATTTCAACCAAGTCTATATCAAACCGGCGTGGTTGCGTTTCTGGGACTTGGCGAATTCTGACCAGGCTGGAGCTGAAGATATCCTGGCTGGATTTCCATTCTATAAGTATTTCAGCAATGCACCTGTTGCTACACTATTTCCTGCGGATGGATCCATCGAGGAACTTCGAGATGTTGCAGCTGGGTGCGAACATCACATCAACAAGATCTTCTCCGAGCTCGAGTCAATCCGGCCATTTGAGATATTGCGCAGCAATCGCGACCAAGCCAACCACCTTCTTGTCAAGGAGGCCAGAGTTATCGCCATGACCTCAACCCATGCAGCAATGCGACGAGCCGAAATTGCAGACTTGGGTTTCCGCTACGATACCTTGATCATGGAAGAAGCAGCGCAAATCACTGAGATTGAGTCATTCATCCCTTGTGCGATGCAGAACCCAGATGCACGAACCGGCGAGCTTCCACTGAAACGAATTGTACTTGTGGGAGACCATCTGCAGAATTCTCCGATCATTCAGAACCTAGCATTGCGTGAATATGCCAATTTTGAACAATCACTATTCCTCCGACTGATCCGGCTGGGGGTGCCGGCCGTTCACTTGGACCGACAAGGGCGATGTCGGCCATCGATTGCCGAATTGTTCAAATGGCGATACAACCAGCTAGGCAACCTCCCACATCTCTTGAGCGAGGCAGAATTCTCGCGGGCCAACGCAGGATTCCGATACGAGTACCAGTTCATCGACGTGCCCGAGTATCAAGGCCAAGGAGAACGGGAACCCACGCCACACTTCATCCAGAACTTAGGCGAAGCTGAATATGCGGTTGCGCTGTATCAATACATGCGACTACTAGGTTACCCAGCGCGGTCGATCACCATTCTTGCGGCGTACGCTGGCCAACGGGCGCTGATCGCAGATGTGCTGTCGCACAGATGTAAGAATAACCGACTCTTCGGGCTGCCCAAGATGGTGACCACGGTGGACAAGTACCAAGGCGAGCAGAATGACTATGTCATTGTATCGATGACGCGGACTAAGTCGGTCGGCTACCTCCGAGACGTGCGACGGCTGACGGTGGCCTTGTCACGAGCGCGACTGGGTCTCTACATCCTCGGTCGCCGCGAGCTCTTCGAGACCTGTTTCGAGATGAAGCCCGCCATGGACATTCTTTTCAAGCGTCCAGATCGTCTCGTCTTGACCACAGGCGAAGTGTTCCCAGCATCTCGCTCCGTCTCCGACGACGATGTCCCCAACGTCGCTGAAATGACTGGCGTCGAACATCTCGGTCAATACGTCTATGAAATGACCCAGGCCAAGGTCAAAGCTTTGGGCGGGCAAGTCGTTGTCGATGCTGATGCTAGTGCTGACGCGGTGGGCGACGAGGACCAACCTTTGGAGGAATTGGACGACGAAGAGGATCTTGTTCAACAAGACGTTGCATGATCAGCAGCACAAACCACGGGAAGGAGATAGGATGGTGTTTTGATATATGTCTGATTGTATGAGTAGGTACTGAAACGAAGTTCTCGTCATCTAAGACAATAGATCGCTCGAGATTGAAGCACTGCTTCCTTGACTAGATGACAACGAAGCACAATTCTAGCACGCGATTCCTTTTCACGCGCCCTTCCCTCCCTGTCGATCCCAATCCCATCACTCGAGATGGACTGTCATGACCTCCACTACCATGGTCTGCTGTGCGTCACTGTGACTGCTAATGTTTTCCTGGGCCATTCTTTCCCTCTTCGCCCTCATCTTTTGCCGACTTATCTCACGATCTAGAGCCTCTTGTCGCTGGCCGACAGCTTCCCAGTTCTTACTAATCCAATCGAGGACTATGGCGAACATGTGGTTCTGATACGCCGCTCGCACAAAGGCGAGAGCACGTCCTTCATCCGATGATGGTGATGGTGTCAATGGTGTTTCTTCGGACGTGATCTCTCGTTTCAGTCCTTTGATGGCATATCCACCAGCACAGTTATTAGCCTTCAGCAGCTCACGAACATTCACCCAAAAGTTGTCCCTCCCATGTTTCGTAACCCATTCTTCTCTTTTCGCCTGGAATCGCGCTGAGAAATCTCTTCCGATGACAGGAATCCTCGAAGCCTCAAGCACAACATCCTCTCGAGACATATGAGAACTAGGCCCTGGTTTATCGTCGACATGAGCCGGAAGATAGGATTGGATCCAATAAGCAAACATGTCTCTTTTCGCTACGCGTCGAGCTTCGCGACCGTCCATCATATCATATTTCCGGTCAGTTTCAGCCTTATCTGTCCAGTGCGCTGGATCATGGAAGCGGCATGTAGCTGCATAATCCATGATATCGTTATAATCTGTGAAATGTTTCCAGAATCGGTCGACGTCGAGGCCTAGAAATTGCCGAACGGTGGTGGGATCATCGGTAACTTTGATTCGAGCTGCGGTTCGGTTATGAGGTTCGATCTCGGGGATGCGGACCATGAGGCCTTCGTTGGTAATGGTTAGACCGAACCGGCGGATACTGCTGCCTACAATAGCCCAGAAGTCGCCATGGGAGTGGTGAAATAGGTGCCATTGAAATACTTGATGGGTTGGACAGATGCGGATGTCGGCTTGGATATATATCTGTTTCCGTATCTGGGCATTAGGGCGAGTTGGATCAGGTTGTATGTTGTTGCTTATGCGGAGGTCCTGCACAGTTGTTTCCAAGTCTCGGACCGGGCATTGATCAAGGTCAAAGTCCCATTCTGGCCAGGGCAAGGCGAAGTGGAATTCACTGTTTCCTGGAGTTCGCTTCCAGGTATATGCTCCAAGAATACGTGCGAGAAAGTCTCCTGAGGCACCATTCTCTTGGGATTTCGTTTTCAATTGACAAACCACGATGTCAAGATCGCCGTGGGTAGTCTTGCCTGGAGCTTCTGTTGGGTGGCCGACGAAAGTAAAGTGGTTGCGGAGTTTGGTCTCGACGTTTTGCAAGACTTGTTGATAGACATTGGTGGTCATACGAGGTGTACAGAGGCCGTTTGCGAGAAACGCTCTGCCACCCATGGTGAGAGGATCGGTGGGTAGGATCTGATGTGGGATGGGACGATATGAGACAATGGGAATATAGTGGATACAATGAACGCAATGGAAGGAAGAGAAAGGGTTCGTTTCGAGACGCGATGTGTAGAATGAACGGTGATCTCAGTCAAACGAGGAGGCGGTGTGATGGTGGATTGGTAGAGTCAAAATTTGATCCCCTTCCAGCACGAACATATATAGCAGAGACATGTGTCGTGCCTGCCTTTTTGGACAAACATGGACCGGTCGTGATTCACACGGGAGCTTGACGTTAAGTATGGCATGGTATAGGTACTGATTGAAACGTGTGACTCACTCGCTGAGCAACGTGCTGTTAGGCAAAAGCATTTGATACAATGGACCAGTCACTGATTGCTTGGTTTGTTTGCTGGTGGTTAGAGTCAGCCTTGTGACACAATCAACTGGATGAGTCGTTTTAGTGTTAAAATACTACAGTCTCCTGGACGGGTTTGATGACAGCAGTAGACACCGTGTGAGTTATTCGTGGTGGCGCCACACGCCACTGTGGCAACACATACAGCCACAGCGCAGCACAGCCGTAGATATTCATCTGAAGGGTTTTTAAAACAGCAAGGGCAATCTTCAGAACGGGCATCTCGATCGAGTAAATCCACATCCAATGGATTGGAATGGATTGGAATCTAGATTGAATATTGAAAATCATGTGTCGTGAATATATAGGTATCTAGTAAATCAGCCGCCCAATGGCATTCATTCATTCAACGCCTTTGATAATGCGCAATCATTGTCCCGTTCCCGTCCCAGTGATCCAAGCCAACACGCCGTAGTCACATGGGTTTCCTCGTTGATAAAGTTGATAAAGGTGATAATCGTTGATACAGTTTTCCCATGGACGTTCCTCGACTTAAGCCTTTGAAGTGAAATCAACCTCTCCAGGCAAAAGTCCACCATCAGCTGCCTTTTCACACGTGCAACTTCCCGCAGATCTCTGACCACAAGCGCAAGTCTTTCCACTTGGAGTCACGTTCTCTTGCGAGGCACGGTCACAAGTGCATTCTCCAGCTGGACGGGCACCTAAGGTTGAGAGTTAGTGATACGTTTTGTGGATTGATCAAAAGAAAAAAGAAGAAAAACTTACGACATGAGCATCGTGCACCTTGGATAGTGTTCTCAGTGGCTTTCTTCTCGCATGTACATTCCATGGCGGATTGTTTGCCGCATGAGCATGTGGCTTTCTGGGCACAGACGCACTCGGATGAGCGGCCGCAGCAGGTGGATGGTTTGACCATTTTGGATAGAATTGTTAGAGATGGAAGGTTTTGAGTGTTTGTTTGATTGACGAATGACAATAATTCAAGTTCGTTCTTGAGTTTGATGGTGTTTTCGTGATGTTGGTTTGTACAGACTGCGAGCACGTTCAACCAGGGTCGACTCGATATATGTATCATTTTGGGTATGACGTACCTTAGAAACAACCAGCCGTTGATTGGTTCCTTGTAGTATCGGCCGCGGCCCTCTCAGCCAATCAGATCTGATGCATTTGCAAGCCCAGTCACATGACACTGATCACTCAGACGTGAGGCTCTTCGAGGCTGACCAACTCATGAATGTTTTGACGGTGGCATGATTCACAAACGTGTCAAGCATGCCATGTGGCAACATGTTGGTCTCAAACTAAATAAAAATGGACCCGTATCAAATATCTAGCCTCAGGCCTCAACCTTCTCAACGCCCGTCTAGACTCTTCTAGTCTTTGCATTTTATTTTGGTGTCAAAGCCTAACATCTGCATGTACCAGCGCTGCTGGAAGATCTTGTGCTACTTGGAACCCAGTCATGACTCCTTGCAACTCAATTCACAATGATCTCATGGTCTCGGGATCATAAGCCACTTCATGCCAAGTTCTTGCCATCTAGTTGACGATCAATATCAGGTATTGGAAGCCTATCAGTAACCTCCAATGGAATCTCGCCCACGTCAACCAACTTGCTTGGATAACACCTTGACCAAAGGCTCTCCAGTCAGCAGCTTGCCACATTCATCGCAGCAATCCGTTGACTTGGGCCGTCCACTGAGAATGTCTACCGTGCTCTTCATCGACATCCAGAATTCATTCTTGGGTCGACGATCCACCCAGTCCGTCCCTGTAGCTTCCAAGCCTTCCTCGCCACCCAGCGGCGTGAAGACGACTTCAGACCCCTGAATTCCTATGACAGAGGCTGACAGTTCATCCTCGGCGATTTCTGTTGGGGACTTGCCAATGAAATGGTCTTCGATGAATTGCATACATTTGATGGCCATTCGAAGGGCCCTTATCCGATCCATCGGAGATGGCTTACCACCTTGCTGATAATGGCCCGGTACCGCAGATCTTGATTCGAACCGTCCACGTGCCTCCTCTTTGATCATGTCGGCAATCACTTGTGTCGTGTATGTTGAGCTCGCCCGCTCGTTGCGCAGAATGATCTTGCCTGCTCTGGACGCACCTTGGTCATTGGCGAAGTTCTCTCGCAGGAACTCAATGTCACGTGCAATCATGTGGATATTGATGCCTTCTTCAGGAATGTAGACGGCTAATGCACCCACAGACAGGCCCGCCATGGTTGCCAGATAGCCGGATCGGCCTCCTTGGGTTTCAATAACAAATACTCGTCTTCTCGACGATGACGCAGATTGTCGAATGGCATCGCAGAAGTTGATCAGGGTGTTCAAGCAGGTGTCACTGCCAAGCGAGTATTCGGTTCCGGGAACGTTGTTCGAAACTGTGGCTGGCAACACGACCAAGGGGATTTTGAAGGCGTCGTATTGGGCTCTTGCTTTGCGGAGCTCGCTGGCCGCAGTAAAGGCCTCAAATCCACCGATGAGCAAGAGAGCATCGAATTTGTAGAGCTCAAAGCATTCGGCCGTCTTTTTCATGTCGATACTGGGCAGCCCGCGGTTAGTGCCGATTTCGGAACCTCCCTCGTTCACCCATGGGTCCACGTCAAGCCACTTGCAGACTCGCACCGATCCTAGTGGTTTGTCGTCGTGGTGCCGTTGCAGACCTGGGAACCCGTTATGAATCGCAATGGGAGTGTGTCCTCGCGTCAGGCAATACGCAACAGCTGCCCGTGTAGCTGGGTTCATGCCACCAGCAGGGGCTCCAACGTGAATAATGGCAATTCGACGCCGCTTTTCTTCTGGCAGCCTGAGTTTGGGGTGGTCGGTGGAGGTGGTGATCATGTAGCTGTTGTAATATTCTTTGAATTCGACGTCTCGAAGTCTCATGGCCTTGTCAAAATCTTTGTTTTTGATCGCTTCGGACACGGATTTGGTCAGGGCAACTGCTTCCATCAGATTCGACCTTTCGATCTTGTTTTCGCGAATGGTAATGACTGGGGTGGGCGTCTCGGGAGTTGCATCTAGGACTGCGTTGACGGCTTCGACACCTTGCAGAGTTGACAGCCATCGATCATAGGAACAGGCCTGGCCTCCACGCTGGGTATGGCCAAGAACGGTGACACGGGTGTCGAGCTTGAGCCGGTCAGTTAAAAGGTCCTTGACTTGGTTGGCGGTGATCTTCTTGAGTTCGATGTCGTGTGCGCCCTCGGCAATGATGACAATTGACCGCCGTTTACCACGTGACCTGTGGTTGGTGATGATGTCGCACATCTGGGTTTCCCAACCGACACGGGGAGGCTTCTCTGGGATGAAGACAAAGTCAGCTCCAGTCGCAATGGAAGCCATCAAAGCAAGCCAGCCACAATGGCGGCCCATAACTTCAATGACGAAACCACGTTGGTGTGAAGCTGCCGTGTCGAATACATCGTCAACAGCAGAGCAAATTCTCTCGAGGGAAGAATAGCAGCCGATGGTGGCATCGGTTCCAGACATGTCATTGTCAATCGAACCAACAAGTCCGACGATGTTGAGATGTTTATAGGGCTCGACCTCCTCTGCTGTCAATTCCCCAGTCTCGACAAGCTCCTTCATGAGGCCTGGCCATTCGGATCTGAATTTGTCTGCTCCTGTCAGACTACCGTCACCGCCACAGATGACGAGAGCATCAATGCCCCGTTCAACCATGTTTTTGGCTGCCTTGAGACGGCCCCAACGCTCCATGAAAGCCATGCATCTTGCGGTGCCGATTAAAGTTCCTCCTCGTGATAGGTATCCACGGACATCTTCCCATTTCATCTCTTTGATCAGGTCCCCTCCCTGGACAAGACCTTCGTATCCTTCGTAGATGGCATAGGCTTCACAACCTCTGTAAATCGACATACGAACAACTGCACGGACTGCACCGTTCATTCCAGGGGAGTCACCTCCACTGGTCATGACACCAATCCTGCGTTTCTTGATCGGAGTCGCCATGATTTCGAGCAAGATAAGGGCAGATCAAGATGAGGAGGGCGAAGCGGTGGATTCGGAGACAGTCTGAGAGGGAGAAGAGGACAGGTGACAAAACAGAGGCAAAAGATGTGGTCTTAAGTGTTTGACACAGGCAAAACAAAAGTGTTGAGGAAAAGGAAAGTGACGAGAAACAAGGTGGATAAAAGAATAAGTCGATGTAAAAGAAAGAAGTCGGTGCTGAGATGAGGTACAAGCTTGCAGTGACAAGGTCCAATAGGCGGGGGTAGCGTAGGGATCGGCTTTAGAGGATTATGGGCGTCGTTTGTGATGCTGAGGATAAGGAATAAGGAGCCTGGGAGCTACGAAGTGACGATGCAAGTGAGTGGTCTAAGATAGGATAGAGCAAATCGGAGATACAAGTCAAGGTCAGAGAAGCGAGCACAAGGCACAAGTTCAGCTGCGTCATTGGTTGGGGAAGCTTGGTGCCCGCCGTTGACATTGGAGACTATGAAAGGCAAGACGGACATGATGGGCTAAGGCTACAGATGCAAATCCCTACGGAGTAGGCTTTTTAGAGGGGCATTAGGGGCTGGACACGGGTATGAAGTAACTGCTTTCTGTCACGCTCGGGCCATGAGGTCCCCCGAGAGGCCGGGGTCGGAGCCTAAAGTTTGGTGACTGGATGGCCAACAACAGGGAAAAAGGATGGGAGAGGCTAGTAGGGCTTGACTTGACAATGACAGTGGGGATCCATGCCTAGCGTAGCCTAAGGAGGACTTGAGTGGCCGTGGTGGCTTATTAGCCCGGGTGCAGTACCGCTTACAATGTAGCCTTATCGCTTATCGTCATCAAACATAGCGGGATGCGGCAGATGCTCATCAAAATTTCTCTTAACTAGTATTTCCTTTTTTCAAGTGCTCACGGCATGCTCACATAGGGATAGAGTCTAGACTCCCAGCGAAGGTGATGGATACTGTTGACTGGAAATTCAAAGCATGACCAAATAGGACAAGGACTTCTTCACCATAAAAAAGAACGTCTGCGGCCAATAATCACTTCCCTAGCGTGTACTTTAAGGTTCAGTACTCGTATCTACCGAGTACTATCTACGGAGTATGTGGCAGGTAAGGTACACTTCGCTCTGATGAGGTTCCATACTGTGTGCACATGTTCAATCAAGGCTAGCTAGGTACCTGAGCAGGATACAATGAAAATGCGCTGGCATCAAGTACCTTATGTATCAACACCACCTCCGTGCTCACATGATATGTCCGTCAAACGTGCATATGCACAAATGTCAAATCCAGTACCATCCCAAATAATACCATCATATACAACCCATTCTCCAATCCTCCAATAAGGGCACATCTATAACTTGGGCTTGGCTTTGCCCAGTTTCGCATTCTCCTCCTCCTGAAACTCCTTCTTGGCCTGGTCCTTCAGCAGTCTCCGCAAGATCTTGCCGCTGACGCTCTTAGGGACAGACTCGACAAACTTGAGGCCACCTCGTAACTTCTTGTGGTTGGCCACACGTCCATTGAGCCAGTTGATGATTTCCTGTGCATCCCCGTCCTTGACTGCCTTGAGACCACCCTTGCGAACGATGTAGGCACGCGGCACCTCGGTCCCCAGCTCTTGGCTTTCTACACCAACCACGCAGACGTCGTCTACGTTGTCGTGTCCCGCAAGGTAGCCTTCCAGCTCGGCTGGCGGCACTTGAAAACCTTTGTATTTGATCAGCTCCTTGACTCGGTCTGTAATTGTCAGATTTCCCTCTTTGTCTATGAAACCAACATCTCCGGTCCGGAACCAGCCGTCTTCGAGACATTCCGCCGTGGCGGCGACGTTGTTGTGGTAGCCAACAAAGATATTGGGTCCCTTGACATACAACTCGCCAGTTTCCCCACGAGGGAGTTCCTTGGACCCGTCACTCTCCTCCCCAGGGGCTGGGACTTTGCAGAACTTGGCTAGGACATTAGGAACCAGCTGGCCTGTTGTTCCCACAGCTGTTTGCCAATCTTCCCAGCGCTGCATGAAGATCGTGGGACTCGTTTCGGAAAGACCATAACCTTGCTTGACACGCAGACCTATTCTCTTGTAAAGGCTTTCAACCAGATCCTTAGTCAGTGGTGCTGCACCCGAATTGACCATGCGCAAGCTCTTGAGGTTGTACTTGTCCACAATGGGATGTTTGCATAGCAACAGGACGATGGGAGGCACAATGTAAGAGAATGTAATCTGGTGGTCCTGCACAACCTGGCACCACTTCTCCAAGTCAAATCTCTGGAGAACCAAGGTCTGGACTCCCGCGTAGACGGGAAGGTGGATCAGGACGTTCAAACCGTAGATATGGAAGAATGGTAGACAGGCTAGGACCTTGTCGCCCTGACCCTTTGGTGCGCCTTGAATGCCTGGAGGGGTCTCGGAGCCATCCCAGGTGATATACTTTTCGACTGCATTGACTTGTTGCAAGTTGCTCGTCATGTTATGATGGGTTAGTCGCACGCCCTTTGGTCTCCCGGTGGTGCCACTGCTGTAAACGAGAAAGGCAAGGTCCTCCTTGGGCGCAATCTTGGGAATACGATATCGGCTGGTGCCCGAGAGGTTTCTCACCGAAGTCCAGTGCTTGATGCGATTGAGGGGATCCCGGCCTTCACCTAGCAGGATGATGGAGGACTCGTTGATGCCCACTTCGGCTGCCGCCTTCTTAGCCACATCCAGGACACTGGCATGGGTAACCAAAACTGTTGCATTCGAGTCCTTAAGTTGGTACACAAGTTCGGCCTGAGTGTAGCCAGGGTTGGCTGGTGATAGGATGGCTCCAGCCCAAAGGGTGCCAAATACAATGGCGGGAGTGTCAACCTCGTTTGGTGCAAAGAGACCTACGACGTCACCCTTTTTCAAGTCGTAATTGGAGCGTAATCCTTTGCCAAAGTCGACGGCAGCCTGTTTCAGTTGGGCATAGGTGTATTTTCGAGACGGATTGTCGGCAGACTGAAAGATGACTACAAGGAGCAGAGACGTTTAGTATTCGAGTGAGGCGTACAAGAGGCTCATGATGACCGTTGACAAGGGCGCAATACATACCATGACTTTCAGGGAAGGGGCGATCCTTGCGTTCAAACAAGAAGCTAAATATATCCTTCACCTCCAGTTGGATGTCTGGCCAGTTTGAGGCGATAGGCATTCTGGCTGGGCGATGGGAGGTTGACGACTGCAAACAGGGAGGCTTCGTGGGTGGTGACTAGGCTCGAGAGAGTGCGTTCGATCGCAGAAGGGAGGTGGTATCGATGGATGAGGGAGATGTCCAAGTCCAAAGAGGAAAATTCGTGAATCGCAGGACGAGGGTATTACGGCTTGCGATAGTTGGGTTCCGTGTCGGAGTTGGTGTTGGCGATGACGAATGTGGAGTTGTTGCGCAATATCCGCTGCAACGTCTGTTGTCCTAGTATCTAGTATCCCCAACAGCGGTGCTCACCTCGTGGGCAAGAATGTGAACTATGAGGGAGAGGGAGGAGATGGATGGAGTCAGTTGAAAGATGAAAATGGTAACCCGAAAATTGAAGTGTGAGGTGGTAACAACGAAAACAGCAACTACGACCCAGAAGAATGACGAGGTTGATCCTCCATGGGGAAGGCGAGGAAAAATAGGGTAGCTACCCAGTATTTACCCTTGGGACGGATTAGGAAGTACCTAGGCACAAGGCAAGAATTGGTCTGTATATAGGTGATGAATTGGTGATCCATCGAGGCAAACCAACGACTGTGGAGAGGCGAAGGGTCCAGGTCGTAGTGCCTATTCCGTGCCAGTTCTAGCCATGGCCAACCTCGATTTTCCTGCTTCCTCCCTCGAGGTCGGCATCCTGACACCGCCGAGCTGCGAAGTCCCTCTGTCATTGGTTCCAATAGCCGAATTATGCGGAGCGAGCAACGGCCGGCCAGACCGGTACGGTATCTGCTTCGGCGAAACTTCTCTTCTGGGCCTTACTGGTGAAAGGACGCGGATAAAACCAACTGGGAACAGCCTACAGAGCTTAGCAGTTGCTATTAGCAGAGACTTCTAAGGAATTATTACGCACGAAACCAGGCAGAAAGGTGGGCAGGTTGATTGCTGGCTGTGGTAGCTTTCGTCCGGTGGACTGGCGGACACGTGCTGACATAGGGATGGGCATGACCGGGACCCCCGCCTATTCGTCAGCATGTGGCACAGGCGCCCATTGGCTCCTACGAGAGGACCCAACCACTCCCGTATCTGAGGCTCTGAACTCAACCCACCGGGTATCCGGTGGCTATTCATTCTTCCGCAATTATGAATCTACGAAATGAACGTCAAAAGAACTCGAAATGTTCATGTTGGAACTCCACTCTTCCTTTAATAATGGCTTGATAGTGCATCTCACCACCGCCATGTCGCATCGTTAAGCCCATTTTGGAGCTTGCTACCCAATAAGACAAGTTACATATCCAACTTTAAGGAGCTCAATAATCAATTGTTAAAACTCCCCCCCCCACCACTGTACATCAACAACACAATACGTTTTATGCCATTTATGTCGATATGTCTTTTTTGCATTCTGGCTTTTAAACTCGGATACATCCCGGACGAGTGATTCCATCGGGTATCCCCCAGACTTCCCAATCCCATATTGCCGATGCTCAGCGGCATGCGGCCTCCGTAATGCGCTCAGACAACGCTGAAACGGAGCTGGTTGAGCCTCTGATCCGACGATGCTAGCTCCGTGGAAAAATGCCGAGACTCCTTCCCAGCTCACCCAATTCCTTGGCCTAAAACGGCCCAGCATCAATGTTGTGGAGATACACTGATTGCGTAAGTATTCGTGTCTTCTTTTTGAATGCTATCTCAGACAAGAACTCGAGACGATCTCATGGTTCATGTTATAAATGGCGTATATGATAATTTTTATCGACGCCGCTCTGGCCCTGGATCAGGCCTACCATAATCCAGATCCCATACTGACAGCCTGGACATCGTCCTTGCTCACAATCTCCACAATGACATTGACTGTTGTCGTAATGACCCACACTGCAATCAATCCGAGCCCGATTTTTCGGTCCATCCTCCAGCCATTCAAGGGCACCACAATCAACAATCCGATCAAAGTCGCCAGCAGAGTAATTCCAGAGATCATCAATGTCGTGTTAACCTCCAACTCGTACGGCTTGTAATGGATCGGCTTGTGAGGATGTTTTGCGTGTTGGTGCGACGCATTGTGGATCGTCATGTACATGCCCCCAAGCCCGATTCCCAATAGGATGTTCAACATGGGGCCCCCGAAGCACGCCGAAAGCGCCATGACCGGATACCCAAGTCGAGCAACCGTGACGTCTGCCACCCAATCCCCCACTGAATTTCCCATCGCGAAGATGGTCAGTCCGAGGATTGCATCTGACATGCCAGTGATGACCCCAAATGCTTTGAGCACGCCCACAACCTCGTTCGCAATCATCGAGATCCATGCAATCGCCACCAGAAATCCCAGAAAACAGAACAATGGCCGATAATTGGGTTCTTGTCGTGGCGTAGTCGTGGCCAGCAGCCCCAGCATCATCACCAATGAGACAACCAACGCCCCGAGTACCATTCTAATGTAGAGCCGCACCGTCGCATCATCTTCCAGGTTCAACCACACCGTTGACACGACAAAAAAGGGAGCAGTAAAGACCTGCACAAACAGGAGCCACCTGTTCCACTCCTTGCCCTCACTCGCCTCGGACCTCTGCTCTGCAAGTCGTTTGGCAAAGTCAACCTCTGCCGAACTCACTCTGCTCCCATTTTGGTGTGCAGACGTGTCGTTCGCCTGCTGCCGTGGTGCTATCGCCGGTGTGTCCGGCGCCAGGGCGAGTCGGCTCTGAGATTGACTGCGATACCCTGCACCTGGGCTCATGATCAGTACTTCGGCCTCCTCATCCTCTTCCCGAGGCTCCACCACAGGGAGAGTGATTTTCAACAGGAAGAGGGGAATCGCAGTAATGACCCCAAGGACCTTGTCCGTGATAGACCTCTGCCGCCAGTCATAGAGTGTGGGGAATAGAGTCTGCAGGATGATCTGAGGTGCAACGAGATAGTGGTACGGCCACCATGAAAATGTGCGCATTCCTTCTTCCTCGTCATCTGGCAGTAGGGGTAAGTGGTGGGTGGATTCTGGAGACATGCTCGGAGCAGGCAAATGAATGCTGGGTGGTCGAGAATGCGTCGGAGTCACGACCATGGGCGAGTCGATGTACGGAGGGAAGTCTTCTGCTTGTAATAGTGATCGTGAATGATCGGGGTGAGGGGTCCGCAATAATGGTACCTGGAGCGTAGGCGTACTTCGAGGAGACAACGCTGGGCTGAGGCTATCACTTCGATGACCTTCTGCGTAGTCAGGCCGGTGGAAGGTAGTAGGAGGTGGGGCCAGAAGATTTGGTGATTTCAGCGCCTCCGTCGCCGAAGCACCTGTATCAGGTCCCTTCCGGTGACCCGAGGGCGAAATGACAAGTTTTGGAGAGGGAGGTCTCTCGACAGAAGGCTCATTCAACATACGAAGAATTCCTCCACTCGGTCTCGAGGATCTGTCGGGGGTAGGAGTCAACGAGCCCTCGGTACTAACTGCGTGTTCTGACTGATGATCAGACAGGAAAGTAGTGTCGATGCGAAGCCCGGCAGCGTCGTTGGCAGAAACAGCGCGATTCCGGCTGCTGGTACCAAGGGACCGTGCTGTGTCACGATAGTCCTGGCTCACCGCATGCGCATGGTCGCCCGTGGGTGGAGCGCTGATGGGGATTGGGCTGATGGGAGTGCCCGCGTCATCTGAATAACGTCGAAATCCCAAAGGGATGTTTGTTCCCTTTTTCTCCAGAGAGCTCATGACGGAGCGAAACTCCAGAGCACCGATCAAACTAGGACGAATGGGTGTGATGGTGTTTCGTCGTTCTCCGCGCGTGGGTCGAGTCACTCTCATCTGACTTCGCAGAGTGGCCAAATAGCGATCACGGACTTCGTCATCGTCATCCAGAACCTCGACTTTCCAAGCGGGTGTGTCAGGAGGCTGAAGGGTGGAGAGGCTGCCCCCGGACTGAGAACGCAGTAGACTTGCCCGCTCGCTCGCCGGGCGTGATTCTTCGTCTTCTTCGTCGCCCTCTGGAACATCTAATTCTTGGTGGTGAGGAATATGGTGGTGAAGCCGTGCAGCAGTTTCAGCCAACCTCTTTCTTCGGCGCCGTCCCAGATGCCAATGCCAAACGACGACAAACATGACATAGAAGAAGTAGTAAGCTACCATGGCAGCACACTCCCACAGGCGGAGGCTTCCGTCGGCCAAAAAAACCAAACTGAAGGAGGCGGAAACGGCAAAGAAACCAACATCTCGTATGAAGCTTTTTCTTGCCACCTGGAAAGGCTTGACCAAGGCCATGGAACCAGCAACCACTGCGGTGATAAATCCTGCGGCACCCATGAGCTCTCCTACAGCCAAACTACCACTGTTGGACTTCATTGCGGCAAAAGTGGAGAAGACATCAGGTGAGCCATTGCCAAAGGCGAGAAAAGTGACACCGGTCAAGCTCTCGCTCATGCGTAGGATACTTGCTATCGTGCTGAGGTTGATACACAGAAAGTCGGAGGCAGCGATGCCGATGCTTGTGAAGAGGAGGCAGGCCCAAAGGACAATGAGCATAATCACCAGGGGTTTGGTGGCGGGAGGGGCGCAGTAGAAGAACTGGAGGTAGGATATGAGGCCGGCCTCCTCATCAAGGCAATTGTCTTTGACGAAGGAGCATTGATCGATTGCTTTCTTGACCAGACGACACTAGGACAGCAATGCAGAGTAAGTCTGTGGAGCCATTATATGTGGGTAGGCGAGGGAGCGAGGGGTATACCTGTAGATCTGGATCGTTGTGATCTGCGCGAGTGACAAGTGATTGAGATAAGGAGGATGAGGAGGAGGAGAAGCGATGTTGATCATCGCTGAGATCGCCTCGAAGATAACTGATACAGAGAAGGAAAGTGAGGATCAAGGCGGTAGTGTATAACTTGCGGCCATGGTTGCGAGAGCCGGGCACCTTGCGCAGCTGCGACTGCGGTTCTCGAATTGAAGAGGAGACAGCCATGGCTCTGGCCGAATGTCATAATGATAACATGGACATGGGCGGGCAGCTGTATGAGTGATTCTTCGCGTGACAGTCCCTGGGTATAAAATAGGTACAAGACCTGGGTCCAGGCTTTTATAATCTCATATTGAATGTTTAATGAAAGAGAAGATGAAGCGGGAGAAAGAGCAGAAGCTTGGACGAGGTGATGGATAGACAATTTGCAGTGGGGAAATTCGGGATTTCTTGCATGGCGAAGAGGAAATAATGCTTTCATTATGTATGCCACTAAAGCTGTAGTCGGTAGTTTATTCGCATGCTTGGAGGTATTTAGTCATTCCCAGGCACCGTTGCTGGATTTCAAACGCCTATCACAGCCCGAGGGACCCTATCACAACGTAAACTACCGCCTAAAACGCCCTAGCCGTCACGGCTTTGTACAGCGATGTTTCCGATTTGGATTCTGGTGCCTCATGTCAACCACCATCTCGTGATGCACAGCCTCACTTGCTTGTCAGGATCATGGCCAACTCTTGTGTTGGAAAAGACTTCCAAGTGTCGATCCTGGGCTTGGTCCAGGTTCACAGCTAGATTGCTAGAGTACTGAGGTCATGACACGACTCAAGTGGATTGAACTGGGTTTAATCCTTAACTCGACGGTACATAGTTGCTTTGCTTCTCTTATGACAAGAGGAAGCCATTACTTCTAAAGGCCCAGTAGTCAAAGGAATGGTGCTATCAAGATATGGGTACAGTACGTAAGGTACTTGGCTCTGCAGCTAACAGGCTGTGCAGCTACCTACCTACGATGCCTATAAGGACCCGCTTGGTCTAGTCTGAAGGTAGCCCCTCGGCCTAACTTTTCGCTTGGTCTCCAGGTTTGTCGGTTTGTGGTACCCGTGGTAGCTGTGGCACCCCGACCTCAATGTTAATAAGTGACGTTCGTGCCTCTTAGTCCTTGGAGAACGCTTATAGGGCAACAGTGTCCGAGACACTGGGAGGGTGGGAGGGTGGATAGGCATGTAGGGCCCATTATTATTGAACCCTTGCCTTGACCGCCAATCCAAATAATTAAGACGATCTTCGCAATGCACAAGGGTACGCAGAGACGTTAAGGTACCTCAATGGAATGGTCTGGCAGGTCTTGCGTTGGTCTGGTGAACCTGCAGTCGCCTCATCGTGTGCTTCGTGCGCGTCCAACTCCATCCCATCTCTATCCCACCACCAACACTAGACGATACTCTACTTGCTACCGTATCCCTTGCCATTGACCACGCAAGACATCATCCTCTGCCACATATCGCCGACCTCTATCCCTATTCCTACGTCAATCACTCCACCCAACCCTCTATATTCATTACCTTCGCTTCGTCCGGCCACGAGTCTCGCGTCTTCACACCAATCAGCCATTGCCTACGCCACTCATCCATACATGCGCCCATCCTGACCGCTTGCCACACCGTCCTCATCGTAACATTACTCATATTGTTTCCTTGCGCAACCACATGTCAGCCACACCCGTCGCAATCTCGAGCCATCTCATGAATTCCTCTTCCAAGCCATATCGTCCATCCTTCTGGAGGAATGCAAGCCCAGAGAAATAAAGCAGAGCTTCAATACCACAAGACAAAAGTACACCCTCGCTTCACCCTCAATTTCCTGTCATACTTACTTTTTCCATCTAGCTTGCAAACTCATATTCTGAACTGCTCGAGTAAGCTCAAACGTCCCTCATCTGTCACCATGTCACCCTTCTAATCCACTTGCGCAGTCAGTTTTCCTCCAATGACCTCAAGACCGTCGGCAATTATTCAATAGGCAAACTTGTTGGCAAGGGCTCTTTTGGCAAGGTTTATCTTGCCAAACACAATCTCACCAATGGCTCAAAGGTCGTTCTCAAGGCCTCCAGCAAGCAAGATGCCAACCTTGCGAGAGAAATCCACCATCACCGCCAGTTCATCCATCCCCATATCGCCCGTTTATACGAAGTTATAGTCACAGAGTCGTCAGTATGGCTAGCCCTCGAGTATTGTCCCGGTCCGTTTTCCCTCTCCCATGTCCTCCTCATCCGCTGACCTTGGCTAGGCGACGAGTTATACAATTACCTTTGCCGGAAAGGTGCGCTCCCTCTTGAGACCGCCCAGAAAATCTTTGCCCAGTTGGTCGGAGCTGTTACATATATTCACAGCAAATCCTGCGTCCATCGAGATCTCAAATTGGAAAACGTCTTGCTCGACAAACATGAAAACGTCAAACTATGCGACTTCGGATTCACTAGGGAGTATGAAGGGAAAGCAAGTTATCTTCAGACCTTTTGCGGCACTGTCTGTTATAGTGCTCCAGAAATGCTGAAAGGCGAGAAGTATGCCGGCGAAAAGGTTGATGTCTGGAGCCTGGGCATCATCCTGTATGCTCTCCTAAAAGGCGAACTCCCTTTCGATGAGGACGACGACGCTGCCACCAAAGCAAAAATCCTCAAGCAAGATCCCATTTATCCTCCTGGCTTTCCCGAGTCCGCCAAACTCCTCATCTCCAAACTACTCTCAAAGCGACCCTTGCACCGGCCCTCACTTGCTGAAATCTTGGCCGACCCCTTCCTCGCCGAGTTCGCCCCACAACAACACGCAATCTTGAAGCTCACTCAACCCGCTGCTTTCACCACCCAGTTGGAAAAGGACACTCTGGAACGTATGAAGGCCGCTGGCGTCGATATTGATCTTGTCATCGAGAATGTCTTGTCCCAACGCTGCGATACCTTGGCCGGGTGGTGGGCGTTGCTCATGGAAAAAGAGACGCGCAAACAGGCCAGAAGAGAACGGAAACGAAAAGAGAAGGAAGCCGAACTAAGAATCATAAGGCGCCTCAGCGGCGCCAGCAGTCGACTGGAGAGGATAGCCCCGACCCTCGTAGAGGTTGATGAGGAAGGCGTTCCTCCCAATGAGACCCCTCATCGAAGCGGGAGTCGTGGAAGGACATCACGCCGGAGCACCCCCCAAATTCTGGTGACTGATTTGCCCCAGCTCCCCGAAGGTGATGTTGTACAGTCCCCTAGCACCGCCACACCTCCACCGCCAATCGACAAAGACTCAATCCGTTCCGAGAGCGCCTCCAGGCCTCCATTACCTTCCAAGGAGCGACAGCGTCGGAGCAGTACCTTGCAAATAGTTGCAAATAATCCCGAGCTCCTTGCTCCTTTGAATGGAATCAACAAGAGACGTGGGGGCAAACTGCGCAATCGTCAATTTCTCAACCAATTCACCGCGCTCAAGCACTGGTTGATTGAGTCTACTAAGAGGGCAAGATCTCCCGGCGGCACGAGACTGGACAAGTCTGTTAATGGCAGCTCAACCATCCTGACCCCAACCAAGTTGGCTCACCACGGACGTCCAGGCGGTGAGACTTCACTGTCCAACAGATCTTCTGTGGGATCTGCGCTCACCCCAATCACCTCCAATACCAATCGTCGGCCTTCAGGCGTCGTCACGGGGGGTCACCGAATCGACACAGCCCGGACCCAACGCAATTCCATTTCCCCATCTCCTGTGACGCCTCGCTCCTCGTATCGACGAAGCTCGGCTGGCCTTCGCGGTCGCAAATCAACATCTTCGTCTGTCTCTTCTGTTCGCAGTATGCCTCGACACACTTCACACAGCAAAGCATCTTCACGAAGTTCCAATAGTATCGACACAATGAATAGCCCTGGAACTAAGACTGTTGCACGGTCTCCACACTCTTCTATCAAAGTGTTGCCAGCCACACCAACGACCAACATCTTCTCATCCAATATTCGCCATGGGAGGAATGCCAAGGGCGATTTGACGAGCCAGCCCCGCCCGGTCTCTGGCACGTACGATGATAGCCTACGCCCACCGCTGACTCCACAAGCTAATCCTTTTGGATCTGGTGTCATGTTTGCCCGACGCAAAAAGTCGCCATTCAAGGGCCCTGGACTGAACGCTGCCTTCTTTTCGGGCTCAGGCGTTCCCGCAGCTATCGGCAGTCCCGCCATAGTCAATAACAGGCACCGTGAGGGATCAGACGGGTCAATCAATCGAGGATTTCGGGGCATGACCAACGGACTTCATCGACCTGATACGGGCAAGCGTAAAAGTCAAATCATAGAAGAGGAAGAGGAAGATGATTATCCTGGCCACGGTGGAGGGGGGCTCGAGGGCCATGACGAAGAGGATGAGATTGAGGAAGTTGATGCCTTCCCTGCTGTAAAGTTGGGAAGGGGTGAGCGAGTACAGAGTATCACGATTTTGGATGAAGACGATGACGCCGTAGATGAAGACGTGTTCAACAGCCGAACAACAACATGAATAGCCTAGATTCAAGAACGGCTTTCTCTGGATTTTCGACAATCAGTCACGAATCATGGATGACATTGCGTGGATACGACACCCACACGATTGGGGTCGATCAGATGGATTTGGAATGAGTAATATAGGAGCGATGATTCGAGCGGCTTCTGCTCACGGCAAGAGGAGCTCGAGCTCGATTTTTTCGACGTTCACTTGTAGGATAAGATGGTCCCAGATATGTACGATTGGAAGAATTTGAAGCAAAGCCAGGTCAGATCCTTTACGCTTGCCCTACTTTGACTGCACTCAACTCGTATTCGTATACTTGTTTCTCTTGTTGGACGTTTGCAAGATACCTAATATAACATCATAGGACACAATTTTATTGTCTCGTCTGTAGATAGCTAAGCTAGGCTGTCATTTCAGCAATACAGAAGATGATACCTGCTCCATGATCCTCCGCACATGTCGTCAACTGCATAAGACCCTAATATACATGCCTGCCGACATGTAATGTACTCGTAGCTATAGCTTATCTGCCTCTATCTCATCAACGTCGATCGATGTATTTGAACATGCGTCTTGACCGACTCTGTCATCCCAGCACATCCCAGTTTCCTTTCTGGTTTTTATGCTCGGCACCTACCACATGGCAGTACTTCCTTACTGTATGGGTTGTCTTTTTCTCAGCTTCATGTTTTTAAAGCGGGAGGAATAGTTGCTCGTTGTTGCTAGACGAGGAGCTGTAGCAGGAGCCGGAGCCGGAGCCGGAGGTTGGACGACTGCCTTGTTCGAGTGGCTAGGATGCATAGGAGCTGCTACGCTCACAATCCTGGATTCGGAGATTGATCGACTGCGGATGGACAGAAGAGTATGAGTTCGGAACCGAGTTTCAAGATGTCGCGTGCCTGACCTGGTTGCGATGATTTCAATATCAGAATCTTCAACGTTATCGTGGTGGTGATGGTGGTCGTCGTTCTGATCTGACAATGTCACTGTCGTTGTAGAAGTAGTCAATTCTTTGATCGATGAACTCTTGTGAGTGTAAATCTTCTCCTCCTGTGCATTTGATGAGTGATCGGGTGTGACAGCTCCTTGTTGAGTTTTGATTCTCTTGGCTGCCGTCGCCATTGAGCTCATATCCGACTTGTTAGAAGGGTTGTCTCGTAGTGGTGGTAGCGGTGGTAGCGGTGAATTCCGAAGGGAGTTTATAACCAGCTTGTCTACCAAAGATGGTTTCTGGTCGGCTTTTTCCTGGACTGGCTGAGGTGGTTGCTCAGGACTCAATGTGTTTTCTGCGGTGGCTGCTTCGCTCTTGGTACACGCTGGCACTGTCTCTTGGCTACTCTGGAAGTTGAGTATTCTATAGCTCTGGTGATCATCAACCAAATGCCACTTTAGATCAGATCGTTGCGGTGGTGCTTTCTTATCTGTCTCCAAGCTGCACTCCGAGGCAACATCGTCATCCGTTGGAGGCGTAGTTTCGACCTGGATGCCAAAGTCTGCACCGTCTCTATTGAACTGTGCGTCGAGGAGATCCTGTTCTGGTATCTCGAAAGCATCCGAATCTGTAGCCACAGCGGCAGCTTTGCTATGCTCTTTCTGATTTGGCGCTGACCGTCGTGGAATGTCAACCGAAACTGTAGACTGAATATCCGACCGAGCACCTTTTGTGTTGAGCAGGTTGGTCTGAGGTCCAGCCATGCTATTTGTAATGTGCTTGACCTTTTTCATGGAAGCGCTCTCTCCAAAGGGGTCCCCGTACACACCAGCGACAAAGTCCCTGAACATTGCAGAAGAGGAAAGTGGTAGAGGGGTCCGAACTTGGAACGCTCGAATCATTTTGTACGCGACAATCTGACGATAAGGTTCTGAGATTTCTCTCAGATACTGTAAAATGTTAATCTCGATCGAAAAATGATATCGAGAAGATCTCTCACCTTTGACATGAAGACTCCTGCTTGATAATCAACAGTTTTGTTATGCCTCAGGCATTCCATGCAGCTGGACAGTTCTAGGACTGCATCACGGTTTAATATTCCAACAGCAGGCTCGGTAACAGAACCCCAAGAGAGGAACTTGGAGCTTGGTCAGCTTTGAGTCTGATTAGTTGGCTGGCCATGACACTTCTTACCTCTCCGCGGCCTGTGTAATTCTTTGGCTTTCCTTGGGTCGCTGAGGAATCATGTATTTTGCGTAGTCCATTAAGTCCGAACTTGTCGCAAATTGCTGGAACTAGCCAGATACAAATGGGTCGGCCGAAGCGTGTTTCAACCTCTTCTTCAAGCATGCTGTAGTCTACAACGGCAAGAGAGAGTTGCGTCTTTTCATGTTTAGACTCACAGATCATCTTCATCGCTCGTCTTGGGTTTTCCGCCCAAGAGAGAAATGGAGACGAGAAAGTTTTGTCCTCGGACAAATGCTGTAGGAATAAATCTCTCAAATCCTTCCTACCTTGAGGTGGTCCAGAAACGGGTGTCGATATGTCAAGGAACCTCCTGGCACACAAACCATGAGCAGTATCGAATGCCCGAAAGAGAAGGCGCGGTCTTACCGCGCAAGGTCTTCCTCTTAGATCAAATGCCACTCTTAGTAAAGCTGGGATGCGGCCAGAAGGGTCTAAGTGATCAAGATGTCGCGGATTGTAAGTGGATTGACCTTCCAAGGTTACATCAGAGTCTTCACCATCTGTGTCCTCTGAGTCCAAGTAAGAGTTCCAAGGTTCCACGTCAGCATCTGAAGCATCTGAGTTGGAGTTGGATGGGCAATATGTGGGATCGGAACTTGAATCCCTAGATTCAACGTATTGTTTGAGGGATTCATGGAATTTTGCGCCTGAGTGAACTTGCCGGCGAGGGCGAGGCGTTGGACTTGGGGCTTGTTCAGTGGGTAGGGTACCAAGTTGAAGGGCTGGGGATGCAAACAACACTAGAGAGTCTTTGTTTCTCTTTTGAGTCGTTGAGAGTGTGGCAGTGGGATGAAAGCCTAGCTGAAGTGGGATCCCTAGGTTTAAAGCTGCCGCCTCGATGGTATCTCGCTCATTTCGGAACATGAGGCGGGCAGTCTCAATATCCATCGAGAGGACCTTGCGAAACTCTGAGCCACGAGATGTGATCCGTAGATCGGCAATCTGAGAAACCATGGATGAGTGGGGAAGTCCAGTGGACAACCCTTCGGCTCGAAGTCTGTCGATCTGTAGGGCATTAAAGATCGCAAGAAGTTGCTGGGTGTTGCAGTTGTAGAATCGAATTGCAACAGCCAATATGAGCCTCTCATACTCGGTCCAGGAATGGACTGGAGGCCTCGAAGGTGTCTGTTCTTGCATGCTGGGACGGCTAATATATATAACAGATTGTTTAAACATTGACGAGGTGAAAAAGAGTATGGTCGTATGGGTGTCCGTAGGAGTAAGCAGACAATTCGGTAAGAGAACGAATGGATGTAGAAAAGAATTGCGAAGAGAACGACTGGCTGTGGATGAGAGCGACGAAGAGAACGACCAAGGATAGAAAAGAATGACGGAGGGAACGACTGACGGGGGATGTGAAGGAAGAAGACGACATGACAGTGCGATCCCAGATGGGGAGTGAGGTGAGGCAGAAGGAGCATTCTGCTGTGGAAGAGCTTCAGTGAGCTTCAGTAGTCTTCAGTAGTTGACTTACCTTCATGGTGCCAAAGCGTCATAGAAACTGCTCGATCTTGGACTGAGAGTTGAAATGAAGTGTACATGAGGTTCAGATGAGATACAAGGCTGAATGTCGGAAAAATAAGATTATCCGATATGCCAAGAGATATAATCCACACGTGCTGGATTGACTCCTTCCTCTCCATTCCATTGACACGCATATCTTTTAGTAGGCTTCTGGTGGACTTTAGCACATGTCTTTTGTTCTGTCCTCCATGAGAGCCTCTCTGGAGCAGGCGATTCGACCTGGTGTCGAGGACAAGAACCTTCTATCTAACTGAGTCATTAGAGAGAAATCTCTGCGCCAACGAGATGGAAATCGGCGAGGCAACCCAATTTCTCGAGTCACTGGTTGGTAAAACATTACGAGTGGCGATTCCAGACGGTGACTGAGTCAGCAATGAGGTATACAACCCAAGCTGACATAGTTGCAGGACGACTATTCACCGGCACATTCCGCTGCACAGACGGGGTAGGTTTCGATATATTTCAAGAAATGCAGAGCTGGCTGACATTATTGCCAAGGACAGTAACATGATCTTGTCCAACGCCTTTGAATATCGAATGCCCTCTCAGGCCGCCGAAGAAGCAGCAATCCAGCAGGCCATGGCCACTGGACAAACAGCCCGAGCAGACATGACATCAAGGTTTGTCGGGCTGATTGTGGTTCCTGGCAAACAGATCACTAAAGTAGAGGTGGAGGAGAGAAGAGATGGTCCGGGGGTGTCTCACGGACTCAGTATCCGAACACGATGATGGGTGCACGGGTATTGTAATCAATGGAACCTGCTTTTTTCAAGCATATTGTTGCCTAGCCACGGCTTGCACATAAGATGCATTCTGGCGGATAGACTGACAGCCCTTGGATCTGGCCTCTTCGACTATTGGAAGCATATCCAGGTTGGTGCAGCCCCATGGTGTAACTTATCAGTGGAAGTATAGATGTACGTACGGAGTATGGTTATCTTTAGCGCCAAGGCTCACGCGTCCAATCGCCTCGCAAACCTCCTTGGAGCAGATGGGTGCAAGGGCAAGATCTCCGTGCCTAGTTGGGTGCCAAGGAGCGGATGGTCAGGCTGATTAACCGAAGATGCAGAAGGAGTCTGGAGATAAAAAGAGGAGAAGCATACTTCAACAAGGGCACAAGTTGAGAAGGTGCCGTGGGTGCCGTGGGTGCCCTGGGGCCTGGAATATTGGATTGGCACAAGAGTTGTGGTAGGAGCGACGCGGGTTTTGGTGAAAGGAAGGTGCGAACCCTGTAACTGCAACGCCTGCCTAACATACTCCGTACGGAGGCTCCATCCACTTAATTATTAGTCACCCCCCGGCAGTTGCCAATGCTGGTATGCGTTTGCGTACAGAGTACAAGTCGCACAGTACTGCGCAAGAACGGGGATGTGTAGGTCCTCGGTGCAGTCTACCTAAAAGGCATCTTCCAGCCGAAGTGTCAGTTGTCTTTAAGCCCATTGTTGTGGTCGTCTCTCTTCCCTGGCTCCTACTCTGTGACGACTGCTGGTTGTGGTTATCCCAAAAGTCCAACTCGGCGGGCGGCCTAATCAGAACAAATAACAAAGAAACCGCGGCTTTTACAGGAGTTAGGGCCATAGTAGCACAGTACTCTGTAAGGTTTGCATCGAAGGTACTTAAGTACCTAGTCAAAGCACTACTCGTATCTGATCTGCCAGGTCCGTAATCCCCGGGGCTACCACCAGGCACCGGTAGGTTTCTCCATGATCGGTAACCCAAGGGACCAGGACATACATAAGGTCACTAAAACGGTGCCTAAGATGCCAAAGGTGCTAGGAGCACCTTAGGTTATCAGGGATCTCCACGCTGTCAATCCAGGGTACCTGGCTGCCTGGGTACGTACCACAATCCTCACTATCCGACGCCCAGGGTTCCATAGACCCTTCGAGCCTGTCACTCACCCCCTCCCTCCCCTTCCCCTCCCACGCCGTCTCCGTCTCGTCTATCATCACCCACCAGTCATTTGCTTTACCCAAGATCGACCACTCGTGCCACTCCAAGGCATTTTGTCATTTTTATCGAGTTCGGCCACTTCCTTGGACCCATCTGCATTGTATGCTCTACCAGTCCTCTATCCTCTATCTTCATCGCATAGCCAGACATTCTCTTTGTCTCTGCGTCTCCGACTTTGTCCACGTCTGCGATCCACTCTCCTTAGCTCATACCAGGTCAGTTTTTGCCTCCCTCGTATCTAATCCAAACAGCCCCAGTGACGCAAGTGTTTCACCCTCACCCGATGCGACGACTCGTCACCATAGTCGGGTCTTCTCACTCTTTCATTCATACCTCAATCCATAGTCACTGCTCCCAGCTTCTCTGCAACCTCATTTTTCAGGTTTGCCTGCATCGAGCCGTGTTGATTGGGCCCAGGAACTTCATCGACTGACATATGACTCCCTTTCTCAGCTAGACCATCAAACCTCATCCAGATCTCCCCCAGATCTCCCCTGCACCAAAAAGCCCCTCAACGCCTTTTCCACGACCTCCCTGACCGTGTGGTAATGGTCATAACCCTATCTGTCCTCATTCACCACCTATCCAACCTGGTTACCCTCACTGCGCGGTCTCGAGGCCCGCTAGAATAAATCGCCAAAACGCATCCCTTAAAGCGACTGCTTATCTCCTTTCTCAAACCTCCTTGACCCGTTCTTCTTGCGCCCTTTCCCGGTCTCGGTCCAATTCCTTGACGCCCTCCTGTGACGTAAGCAGCGTCTTCAATGGGCCAACAACAGTCAAAGAGCAGCGATGGATCGAGAACTCCTCTAAAGAGCTCATCTTCCCAAAACCTCCCCGATACCCTCCAGCAATACCCATCCATCTCCAAGTCTGATACCAAAGAAAGCTCTTCGAGGTCAATTAGGTCTTCGATCCGAAGTAAAATCAAGAGTTCTTCCGATGACAAGTCTACGGACAGTCCAAGAGCATCAGCCTCGGCCCTTTCTGGATTAGATGGCTCCAGCAGCGACCGAGCAGATGCGAGCTCCATTGCAAGTGGTCGCTCAGGCTCCTCGCGAGCCACCAAAGAAAAATACACCAATGTCGATTCCCCCACATCTCCCACCGATGATGACGATGCACCGTCCCCAAGCACACCCGCTCGTCCACCTTCGCCCACCCAGTCCAAGTCTGTGGGCAAAGGCCATCGATCTGTCGATCGCGCACAGCGCACCGGTGAGGTTGGAGCGGTCTCCGACGAGGCCCCCCATCAAGCCCACCATCACTCTTCCACCCAAAAGGCAGGCAGTTCCATCTTAGTCAAGCGTGAGAATCAGATCAATCCCCGCGCCCCCGAGACAAAGGCATCTCTCCGTGCCAAGCTCGCCGAGTTGCCGGGTGCCTCCCCTGGGGGAGGAATGGGGATTGGAGATGTCAACGACATGGATTTGGACGACATGATCTCGCGATTGCTTGACGCTGGATATTCGACCAAGGTCACCAAGGCTGTCTGCCTAAAGAATGCCGAGATCACGGCCGTCTGCACTGCTGTTCGCGAAGTCCTTCTTTCGCAACCCGCGCTGTTGGAGTTGAGTGCACCCGTCAAGATTGTGGGCGACATCCACGGCCAGTACAATGATTTGATCCGACTTTTCGAAATGTGTGGCTTCCCGCCCAGCTCCAACTTCCTCTTCCTCGGAGATTACGTTGATCGAGGCAAACAGTCACTCGAAACAATTCTTTTACTCTTCTGCTACAAGTTGAAGTATCCTGAGAACTTCTTCATTCTCCGCGGCAACCACGAATGCGCCAACGTCACTCGAGTCTACGGCTTCTACGACGAGTGCAAACGAAGGTGCAATATCAAGATATGGAAGACATTCATCGACACATTCAACTGTCTACCCATTGCATCCATCGTCGCCGACAAAATCTTTTGTGTGCATGGAGGTCTATCGCCCAGCCTCTCACATATGGACGACATCAGACAGATTGCGCGCCCCACCGATGTACCCGACTATGGCTTGCTCAACGACTTACTCTGGAGTGATCCAGCAGACATGGATCAGGATTGGGAGTCCAACGAGCGGGGCGTCAGCTATTGCTTTGGCAAAAAGGTTATCGTGGACTTCCTGGCCCGACATGACTTCGATCTGGTCTGTCGAGCTCACATGGTGGTGGAAGATGGTTACGAGTTTTTCAATGATAGACTCCTGGTCACGGTGTTTTCGGCACCCAATGTAAGTTCGATGACAGTGCTAAGAACGCGAGTGGGTGTGCTGACATACGCAGTATTGTGGAGAATTCGACAACTGGGGTGCCGTGATGTCGGTTTCCAGCAACCTTCTGTGCAGCTTCGAATTGCTCAAGCCGCTTGACTCGAGCGCCCTGAAAAATCACATCAAGCGAGGACGCAACGCACGACAGAACATGCTCAACAGTCCGGTAAGTTGCAACGACAATTCCCTTTGGGTGAAGCGCTGACTGATATGATTGAATAGCCTGCACAAGTATCGGCACAGAGCTTTTAGAGATTGCTTCCACTGCGAAGTAGTCAGGGTCGACGACAGTGGGATTCCAGGTGGCACACAGCACAAGCATCGTGAGAGAGAAGCCGCTCTGCTTGACTCGGTTTCCCCCAATCAAATGGACCTTGGGGCTAGGTACAATACACACACTCCTGCCGTGGGATGGCTTCTGGTACTCGATCGAGTGACGCTCGAGGGCAGGCGTTGGAAGGTTTTTAAGTTTACAAAACATCGGCAGCACGAAACAAAGAGTCATGCATTCCGGATGCAAACGGCATATAAAATTGGAAACAGCTTGGCAGTGCGCAGCGCAATGGCACCAAGGAGCACAGGGCAGTTGTTCTACCCAGGGTTCGGGCTTGAGATGAGATGGTGCTGAAATTGCGAGGATCGGCGAACTGAACGGCTCAACATGGATGTCGTGTGGGAAATAGATTTGGGGATGATGAATGTGCATGTGAAGAATGATAGCAAGCTAGGTCGACTTACTCAACTTTTCAAACACCGTGGACGGGTTACAATTTGATTCTACTGACTCAACACTATGCGTGGGCTCCAAACATGTAACTCATCGAGTGTGCCTTTGGTCTCAGGCCAGTTCAATCACCCATGATAAGGGCGATGGTTGAAATGCGGATGTGTAGAGGGTCACGTTCATCGTTCATCGTTCATCGTATACGAGGCATGAGTAAGCAACGGGTAGATAAGCCGGACAGACTATCCTAGCGAGTCATCTTCGGGAATGCCGGAATCAGGCACCCTACAGTCGGGGGATGGACGCCGTACAGTAGCTGACGACGCCCAGATTGGAGCGTATCAAGTTATTATCATTGGCCCAAGGACAAACATAAAGCGGACACAGCAAAGCCACATCAAAAGACGGCGATGGCGCGCATCGTCTCGTGTGACCACAAGGGAACTCGACTTGAAGAAAGGGAGCACCAAACTTTGAGATTTCGATCCAGATTGCAGGAGGAGAGTAGGACGGGTCTGCAAAGGGATCTGAAGTCGTACGTTCGTATATCATATATCTCTGCTGATGATGACAAGTCTTGCACGTCTTACAATTTTGCTGATCGTCGCCACAACATAACAATAGGTCTATTACTCGTTGAATATGCGATTGGCATCTTTCGTTCGATCTTCTATACCTAGTCTTCTCGCCAACATGAACACGTCCCCTGAAGGTAGACCAAGTTCACCGCATTGATCATGGCCCGCTCCTGAACAAACATCCCAATTGATTGTCAAAGAACCAAGATTTGTCCTTGTTCCACGCGTGAACCATAATGTCTTTTCCTATCTGGATAAAACCCTCAATCTGCTCAGGCGTTCCCCAATCTGGTTTCAACGGGCTCATACAGACAATGTATGAACCCATATGGATGGCCACACGGAAAGCCAATTCGTCGTTGAGACCGTCAAGGGCTCCAAGGAAGCCCTGCAAGATCCAAAGCCCCGCTGTGATGCCTTTTCGGAGCCATAGGATATATAGCTCCATAGCCATTTGGCCAATGTCAAAATGTCGAGGACTCATATGAAGGACTTCCCAATCGATGATAAAGACATTGGTCTCGCTGTATTTCTTAAACGGCTGATTTGTGATGACGATGCTGGAAGAATCAGCGAAAACTCGCTAAACACCAGCGCTTACTTACTTTGCCGGAGCAAGGTCACCATGGACTGCCAGTGTTAGACTTTCGTCCTGTAACTCATCTCTCGCCATCTGCAAGATTTTTTCAAGAATCGGAACATCCTCAGATAGGATGCCGGGATACTCTTTGATGCGATCAGGAAGCCATCCGTAGCTGAAATGATGCCGAATATTCGATGCCTCTTCATTGTTCCTAGCACATTGCCTCAACCCTGGCTCAGACATACTAAATTTGATGAATTCATTGAGCCACCTGCCGATGGCTTTGCCCAATAGACGGCATTCTGGTTCTTGCGCCTCAGTCGTAGTTGAAGAGTAATTGTCGAGAATGTAGGCCTGCAGGTCCTTGCTATTGGGGAGTATTTCATGGATCTGAGTTGCACTTGGTTCGTCAAAATGCAACAATTTTGGCGTCCGAACGATGATGTTGTACAAGTCGTGAGGCTCAGTCTTTCCAGTAAACGGAGACTTGCTCAAAAGTCCGAGAGCTTCAGCTTCCGTGGCCTAGCAACAACTCAGCTCTATGTCCAAAGTCCTAAACAAAGGGGGTTCAGGCTCTAGAGAACAACGTACACAGCGAACAAGTCCCACCTTATAATCCGGAACTGCGGCCACAAACGTCTCTCCATGCTTCAGAAAGACTTCTGATGTGCCATCCTGGAGAGGTTTTGACAAGGTGGCACGATATCCCCAATTCACCAATCCTCCCGTCAGCCGTTCTATGCTCGATGCTTCATATGCAGTTCCGATCAGGCTTTGGCGGACAGATTCGTTGATCTTCTCGTCCGGAATTGGAGGTGTTGCTGAAAAATCTCCCATATTGGCTCTCAATGCTCGATGATTTTGAGTCCGATGTCTTTTCCTTCTTCATAGTGCCCTGTTACTGTTGGAATTGCTCCTGGTCTTATATCAATGGAACTTGAGAGACCCAAGGCTCACGAGTGACGCAAGTGATCGGCGAGCCTCAAGAACACGGCCGTGCTTGGTGGGTTCCAAGTTCCCTTCATCAGCACTCAGGCCTTCCGCCGCCAAGGCCAATCACAATCATATTCTGGGCTACTTACCGTATGCCTGAAGTCGGGGTTAAGAATAGTTGTGCCAGAGTGGTACGGCCCTTGCGAATCGACCGTCGATTACGACAAGAGGAACCAGTCCGCTAGAATACCGATGGCCAACATCGAGGAAAAGATTCGCGGTTGACAGTGGGAAGAGTACGTCTTTTAGGCGAGCCTCCGCTTAGCAGAAGCCGGGGGCCAAGCGACTAAACGAACCCCAGAACTAAGGACCGAGCTAACAAACGATGTGAAGACTGGTGGCCTGTAAGAAGTACTCTGCCGATCGTTGTACCTGGTTTTGCCCTTACTCCACATTCTCGTCAGTTGATACATTTGAGTATCGAGAACGAATCAACAGTTTCTCATCACCAATTACCGGCAAAGACAAACCTCATTTACTTTATGTCACGGCGACACCTTAACCAGCGCCAAAGGCCAAGCCGCACAAGGGATACGCACCCAAAATGGACACCCTTCAGGGACTTGCTCGAAGTCCCTTTAGACTTCGGGTCTATGTGAACTTACTGGACAGGGAGAGAATTGCTAAGGATTTCTACTACTTCTGTCAACATAAATGCTTAAGCTGTAAGCTCTCACAAATTACTAATTACAGTATACAAGTACCTAGTATACTTCGTAGGTATAGTTACAACGGGAAATCCGCCTTCGGTTTAGAGGGTCTACCCGTAGTGTTACGAACCCGACCATACCTGCGGCCTGACACTCAGCTGCTAGCTTCGGCTTTGATGGTGGCGATTGCAAATAGCACAGACAGCTTGAGGAGAAGAGTGAATGGGACCAAAGATAGGTAACAGTGACGGGAACGAAGAGAAAGAGAGCCCTTATGACCTCACTCTGAGGTGGCTCAACAATTTATACGACTCAAGGTTACACGCTGGCTCATTTTCTCCTTGGAGATTCGAGAACAATCGTGCTATCTACCGTAGCAGCCAGATCCGCTCGTGAGGAGAAAGAGCCAGTCTTACATTATACTCATGAGCAATACTCCGTAAAGCGAGTGTAACCACATCATGAAGGATTTCCCTTTATACGCCACAGGAGTAGCCATCACATAAATGTCCCGAATTGGTATCCTTGAGAAATCAGTTCCTTTTCAGCCACGAGCTGTCGTGGGTGTGTGTGATTTTTAAGATAATTAATCAACACCAGCATTGAGATGATTCAGCGGTGCTTGATAGATTGATGCTGATTCGTCCGTCCGCGATGGAGAGCAAGCACTGACTTGTCACGGATAGTGTAGATGTTTTGCGAAAGAACAAGAGATAGAAGAGGCTTCGTGTGTCTTGGATTTTGGACATTGCTTCACGCCGCATCAGACAGAGTGTATGTCCCGTGTATGTCTAGGTACGTAATATGTGACGTGGCATGCATCAAACGTGGACAGTTGCTTGAACAATGACGAAAATGCTAAAGAGCGCTATAATATTCAAAGGGGAGGCCATAAAGGCAAATAGTGACCTTTTCGGCTGTGGGGAAAATGTGAGAGGCCGTCAAGACTATCTAAGCATTTAAGTGAGGTTCTTCGTAACCTATTCTCCCATGCTCCTTGTTCTCCTGCCACGCGCTCAATGCCCTGATGACGAAAGCTCATTGAGTCACACCAATCTAGCGGTGAATCCAATCAAAGACATTGGAAGGGACATTCATAATAACAAACTCGATCGTTGCGTATGGACGTGCGTGTCACTCGCCACTCCTCTCCACATAGTCCGTCACATATACATCTTGGCATGGATTCGCCCATTTACAACCTTCTTGCGTGGGCTCGCGATTTTAAACTTCTTTCGCTCAAGGTAATACCGAGCATTCATAGCCTCAATTCTTGCTATAACAGGCTTAAAAGCACGGTCTCGAGATGGGCTGTACCACATAGACTGGAGCTAGAATACTGGCGCGGGAGTGATACGCGTCAGCAGAAAGGTCTTGCTGGAGATTCTTGTTTGCACATTTGTTCATCTTTTCATGACTGTACTGTGAGTGTGATATAAATGAGCCTTCACTGCTGTTGGGAATGGACAAGAATCCGTGGGTAGAGGACCCTGTATAACTCTTAGTCATGTCTACTCTTCTTTCTTTTTCCCTGACCGTTCTGTTGATTGCTTCTAATGTATTCGGTCACCCAGGCCACGATGTGTCGGAGGAGGCAGCCGAGCGCGCCGAATTTTTCAAGAGAAATCCCAAAACATTACGAGCATGTTCCGACAAACTAAGGGCTCGAGGGCACGAGTCCGCAAACATCGCTCGCCGCCGCGCTTTGGCTCACGACCTGCGCCTCGAACAAGGCCTCGCCGCGAAGCCTTTCCTCCACCGTCGCGACTTCGCCTCGTACAACTTCTCCCATTTAGCAAATGGCTCTGCCATATCACTGGATGTCGACGAAATGGTCCTGTTTGCCGATAATTCTTCCTGTACCCTACAGAGCGATGTTACTGAAGGTCCTTACTACGTCAATGGAGAATTGATCCGTGAAAATATTGTCGATGGACAGGATGGGATCCCTCTGATTCTAGACATCCAAATAATCGACACATCATCATGCGAGCCCATTCCCGCTCTGTACATGGATATTTGGCATTGCAACTCTACCGGGGTGTATAGTGGTGTCGTGGCCAATGGAAACGGTGATAGCAGTGACGCTAGCAATATTGACCAAACGTTCCTGAGAGGCATTCAGCAGACGAACAGTGACGGCGTCGTGCAGTTCAACACGACATTTCCTGGGCATTATACAGGTAAGCTTTTTAGTTCAACTAGGAAACGAGGATACTTGGACTGACACAATCGCTGTCCAGGTCGTGCCACTCACATCCATGTCCTCACTCACCAACCCAATTCGACCACGACACGGGTCAATCGCACACTACTTGGTGATTTCAACGGCACTGTTCATGCTTCCCATGTAGGCCAGCTCTTCTTCGATCAGGACTTGATCTTGGAGGTGGATACTTTGGCACCATACAACACAAACACCGGAAATCTCACGTTGAATTCGGAGGACGACATCCTGGCATCTGAAGCCGACACCACGGATCCGTTTGTTGAATACGTACTGTTGGGTGACCGGTTGGAAGACGGGATCTTGGCTTGGATTAGCATCGGGATTGACCCTACAGAGGATCGGGAAATCAGTACTGCTGCAACTTACTACAAAGGCGGCGGCGTCGCCAACGAGAACGGCAATACCATGGAAAGTCCCCCTAATGGCACCGAAGGAGGTTCAGTAATCCCGTCTGGTGGACCGATACCTTCATCGAGCGCTAGCAGTTGATCATCCTTACCAGGTAGTCGAGTCTTTTTCACCAGAATCTCTTGTAGTTTTCCTACTGTCTATAATGACGGATTCTGAAAGGAGTGGGAACCCCTACTCATGCTCATAACAGATATCTTAGGTCGTGGGAGGCATCTGCGTAGTCGCACTCGAATAACCTTGCATAAATAGGAAATCTTCTTTCCTCATACGGAATGTATGAGCACATTTGAGTCAACTGCTGGATGTTCTTGAATTGCCATAAATGGGTTTACTGTAAACCCCGGAGCGCCAGATCGCCAGACTAAGCCTTCAGCCCCGTGGGTTCGAAAAGCCTAGTTTAGCTATAATCAATAGTTGTATCTTCGATGTGGATGATTTTCCATATCCCAGAGCAGGGCACTGGTCCCGTACAAATCTCAAGACAATTGCTCTCTACGGGCACGCAGGCTGAGAATGTACGGAACCCCTCGCAGCAAGCGCTTGTCCGTCTAGATAACACCGTAGACCGATCAAATGATTTCTCGAACGATCCAACCAAAAGCTCAATTCTTTCAATCCTGAAAATTTACAAGAAGCTTTCCCATTCTTACCCGCCTTAATTCTATTAAGCGCTGTGTCAATGCGGTTTAGGTGAACTAATTCAATTTCTGGCACCACCTGGCCCTGGGCACAAAGCTCCAAGGCTAATTGTATATTTGCTTTGGAACCAGTCTCATTAGACCGAACCAGCAAATTCCTCTTCAAGCCTGGTCTCATGCTTTGCAGTTGTGTGTTTTACAAGGTTCCAGCTGCTCTTTTGCCGAGTAGTCGTTCCACCTGTTGAGAGTCTTGCGATATCGCGGCCTCATAAGCCTTACGATAAACTTCGTACCCTTTATGAAAGAGTGGTTTCGTATCCGCCCAGCCTAATTGAGTTCTGATCTTCTCAGATCCAACCCACTGTGGGAATCTAAAGAGTGCAAGGACATATAGACCAAAGGTTTCTGCATCTGATTCTTGATATTCGCGGTACTTGACTTTGATACCGTGACTTTTATCGATGGCGGGAACAATCTCCTCAAGTGTCTCATATCGGTGACCGGAGATGTTATATGACTGACCTCGCACCACTTCGCGGGGAGCCGTAGCCAAGCTGAAGTACGCAGCTGCAACGTCCTCGACATGAGTTCCGTGTAAGACGGAGTTGGGATTTGCAGGGAGCTCCAGCACGCCATCATTCTCAGTTTTGGCCTTGGAAGCCAAGACGAAGAAATGCGAATAGAAACTGCCTGACAATCCAAAGAGTGTAGTTGGACGTGTCACAACACAGTCAAAGTCGGATCCATGCCCCTGAAGCATATCAATTGCAGCTTCAGTGCGCGGGCGTAAGATTTCCGGTGGGTTCAATGGGCTCGTTTCTGTGTGTGGTGCCAAATTGACTTCGCCATGCATCGGTGTAGTTCCGTAGTCCTTGCACCCGCTACTGAAAATCACCAGCGGTTTGACAGAGTTGCCTAGAGTTGCAGAATGCTTGCAGATCTGTTTGATCATCGCTAGGCGACTCTGGTGATGTGATATGTAGTTGGAGAGGTCTTCATCACAGGTAATAATGACATCGATTGGAGGAAGACGCGAAATCCACTGGGCCACATCGCTAGCAAGCCCGACGATGGGGATAATTTCGTTCCTCATCAGCTCGAGTGCGCTGCGTTGGTGACGGATCAAACCATAGGTAGTCCACCCTTTAGAAGAGAATTTCCTTGCCACGGCACTACCGATGAAGCCATTAGCTCCTGTGATGAAGGCTGCTTTTGTAGTCATTTTGATATGAGAGGGATTCGTGGTACAATGCTAAGCCTGTGGTGCCCATACAATGTATATAAGGCTTGGTGTCCTGCGGTTATGACCTCAACCTGGCTCCTTCACCCATTCGTGCTTGATCGGATGGCTGACAAATCTTGAGCAGGGCGAAATTTCGGACTAATGCGACCCTCTCCACTCTTAGATAGTCTACAGTGAGGCAATATGATCACCGTATGTGAACAAGTCGAATAGCAAGTGGTACAGACTCAACGAACAAGATGCTGCTGAGCAAGCATTCCACCAAAGTATACGTGGACTGAGGGAGCGTGAGCCAATGGGCGGTTAGTTCTGTCGCCTTACAATTCCGGTGGAATTCATTCTTCCAATCATGTCTTGTTCATTCTGAATTGGTAGATTACAACCAAGGATCTCCCAGCGTCTCAAATAGGAGCGGAACATGGAGGTCATATGGACAATACTTGGCTGTGGATGGAAGGGCACGAAGGGTCTTCATTGCAATCGAAATATGGGCGTGGACGGAATCTGAATCAAAGTCCTCATGATCGACGTCAACAACCAGAGTTCTGGTTGTATTTCAACATAAAAGATGGTTGTGAACAAGCCAAAGTGATATTTCGAGCTCGTTTCTCTTACACTACTCCAAAGTTGGCACAAGAACCAAGGGGTTCGGATCCTATTCCCTCCTTTTTTGTATACCTCATATAATACTAGGTATGTACCTGATTTGGGTACCTTCCTACTTCATACGTCCTGTGTTCGTTGTCGGTGCCTGCCTTCTCGTAAGAACTCACGAGTCGTGAGAAATTCTTGGCATGTGGAAGATGACTCGCAGTCGACTGTCTGGGAAACCACAGGGCGGCATCAGCCTTTGACCGAAATGGGAGCGTCGCGAGCAGCTTGGCCGCAGACCTCCTCCTCATCAGAGGCAGATCCAGTGGTAATTCGACCCTACTGCATGCATGCATGCGTGCGTGTCTTGACTGAGCAAACATTCATCTACTACGCCTCATCGATACTCTCGGGACTAATATTCACCGTCTCATCTTTTAGTACACCCTTCTTCTTCAGATATACCTTCCCTGACTCGCTGGTTTGATCTACGTTGCCCACGGCCTCATAGGCCTCTCACAAATGCCATCATGAAGGCTGGTCCGCTGCTTATCACATGGCACAACGAAAGCCAGCCTATCTACTCGGTCCATTTCGATCCTCACGGCAAGGGAAGATTAGCTACCGCCGGAAAGTACGTCTGCAACCTGATCCTCCAAAGCCTCCAATATGCTAACTATTCCCAGTGACAACAATGTTCGAGTAAGCCGGTACCGATGTCCCTCCCCAAACCACTAGGCTGATGTTGGCACACAGTTATGGAGCATCGAAGCTCAAGGAGAAGAGAGGAAGGTCACATACCTGTCAACCTTGACCAGGCACACCCAGCCTGTCAATGTCGTTCGCTTTTGCCCCAAGGGTAAGCCGCATCACGTCGAAGCCTCGCTTTTGTCCAACACGATTCCAACTCACGATACACAGGGGAAATGCTCGCGTCCGCCGGTGATGACGGAAATATACTTCTCTGGGTTCGGTCAGACACCTCGATGGCGCCCATGACCGAAGATACTATGGACGACAAGGAGACATGGAGGATCAAGCACATGTGCCGGACCAGTAGCGGTGCTGAGATATATGATTTAGCATGGTCTCCAGATGCTCAATATTTCATAACAGGCGGTGTCGATAATACAGCGAGGATATTCAACGCTCAAACAGGTGCCAGGAACTTTCCCCTTGTCTGTGTTTACCATCTGCTAATCATGTCGTTGCAGGTGGCATGATACGACAAATAGCTGAACACAACCATTTCGTCCAGGGCGTTGCCTGGGATCCGCTCAATGAGTTTGTCGCTACTCAATCTTCAGACCGCTCAGTGCACATCTATGCCCTCAAGCTCAAAGATGGCACTGCCACATTGTCCACTCACGGCAAATTCAACAAGATGGATTTGCCCGGCCGCCGAATCTCTTCAAATAGCCCTGCTCCAGTCGAATCTACGCACCGAGCTTCCAACGCCAGCCAGAGCAATCTGGCCATTGCCTCACCTGCCCCCTCAAATCCTGGAACTCCTTTGACAACCCCCCTCCCGATGGATCCCCCATTGATGGCCAGTAGTCGCCGGTCATCCTTTGGCTCATCCCCGTCCTTTCGAAGGTCTGCCTCTCCGGCACCATCATTGCCCCTGCCAGCCGTTAGACCGGAGATTTCGTCTCCAAGTCTAAATGCTGCCATGGGGCTGGCAGTGAGAAACACCAATCTGTACCACAACGAAACTATGACGTCCTTTTTCAGACGCCTGACCTTCTCGCCCGATGGAAGTTTGCTCTTCACCCCTGCCGGTCACTACAAAACTGCTTTCCCTACTGCTGCAGATCCCACCAAAACAACCGAAGATGTTTCAAACACGGTTTACATCTACACTCGAGCAGGTTTCAATAAGCCGCCAGTGGCCCATCTCCCTGGCCATAAAAAGCCCTCGGTAGCAGTAAAATGCTCCCCGGTGTTGTACACATTGCGATCAACAACAAAGCCGACCAACCACATCACGATAGATACGTCGTCAGCTAGTGAGGAGATCCCCCTCCTACCAGATCCCATTGTCCCGCAAACTGCAACCACCTTCATGGAACCTCCTCCTTTGACTTCCACCTCTTCCTCGATGGACGCAACCTCTGCTCCCTCGCCGAGGACAGTCACCGATGTGGAGCCCCAAAGCCCGGGACCTCTCCCAGCATTCGCCCTACCATACAGGATTGTGTATGCGGTAGCAACGCAGGACGCAGTGTTTGTATATGACACCCAGCAGACCATACCCATTTGCGTGGTTAGCAACCTTCATTATGCCACCTTCTCCGATCTGACCTGGTAGGCTCTCTTATAGCCCCAAATTTGCCCCAGCTAACGCGTCGCAGGTCGAATGATGGGCTCACGCTCTTGATGTCGTCCACTGATGGATACTGCTCCACCCTGTCTTTCACTCCCGGCGAGCTTGGCCAGGTATATACTGGCCCTCATCCAACTTACCATCACCCCGTTGTATCCACGTCTATTGCTCTCCCAACCTCCTCCTCAGGCTCAACGCCCGTCCCTACGCCCACTGCAACTGCCTCTCCTTCTTTGACTAAAGCTTCTCCCGTTATTGTGCCTCCGTCACACTCATCGCCAGCTCCATTCAATTTCCGCCAAGGCAGTCCTACCCGATCCAATTCTCAATCTTCAATTGCAACAATGTCGTCTCTACAAACCATAAGTCTTCAAAATAACCCAACTCCAACCATGGGCCATGTCCCGCTAGTCACGGCCTCGAATTCCGGTCCACCGGTCGGACTGCCGACCATGTCGACTCCGCCGCAGACGCCAGCTAGCACTCACGGTGGGCATCATTCTGCCACAAGTTCTGTTAGTGGAAGCGTGCTGGGCAAACGGGAAGTTAGTGCAGCAAGTGAGAGCGAGAAGGAAGACAATAAGGCCAAGAGGAGACGGATTGCTCCAACGCTTGTTGGGCCTTCATGTGCCAGCGATGTTGCCAAAGAGGAATAAGAGCCTGAGGCAAACGGTCCTCGGTGGAAGGGACTTGGTACCCCCTTGTGATTGTTTTGTGTGCAATTTGGACGACGATGGTTGTCTCATGGTTAGTCAGGAGGGAGCAAGGCGTTTGGCAATACATCAAAGGATAAGCAGCGTGAGGCTGTACAACACCGACAGGAATATCGGTACCGGAATAGGTTAGGGCTGCTCATGCCCATGGTATAGACAATATGCAACGGTATTTGCTCGGATGATTAGGCATATATTACTTAGTAGGGGATGAAGAAATACATATATGGTCAGGGAGAGGGCAAGGCTCGCAGGCTCCAGCCCCTCTCACGTGACCACGCTCCTCTATCGCGCCAGGCGGCTGCGTCATCGCAGTTTCTCGCTGAGGCGAGAGGCAATTAATCTAAGTTGACTCAAACCCCGACACCTCATCCTGGCGCCATACTACAATTCCTCACTTGACCATATCTGACCATGTCCAAAGCCAGTGGAGTTCGAAAACCTCAGCATCCCTAATTTCATCACGACGATAATCTCCCTCACGCCGATGGTTTCTTTTCGGTTCCCGGTGAAGCGCTCCACGGCGCAATCCATGCCTGCATCTTGTAATAGACTCCTACACTTGCAGCCATGGGTGTGACCGGTCTCTGGACTGTCGTGGCACCCACTGCACGCCCAACACAACTTGCCTCTCTGAATCGCAAAAGGCTCGCCGTGGACGCCTCGATCTGGATTTACCAGTTCCTCAAAGCCGTTCGCGACAAAGAAGGAAACGCCTTGCGCAACAGCCATGTCGTAGGCTTCTTCCGTCGGATATGCAAGCTTCTATACTTCGGTATCAAACCCGTATTCGTCTTTGATGGCGGCGCACCTTTGTTAAAACGGGAAACAGTCAGAAAACGAGCAAGAAGGAGAGAAGGCAGGAGAGAGGATGCGGCCCGGACAGCGGGCAAATTGCTCGCTCTACAGGTGGCGAGAGCTGCAGAGGAGGAGGATAGGAGAAGGAAAAGGGAGAAGGAATCCGGTGCAGACCACAACCACGATAGGGAAATCGAGGAAGAATTGCCGCCAGACCAGGAATTGGTATATGTGGACGAACTCGGCATGACGGCCAAGGAGCGACAAGCAGGGCGCGGGTTCAAGAAGAAGGACCAATATCATCTCCCTGATCTCGATGTCAGTATCGAGAGTATGGGAGCCCCCAATGACCCGCGTATCATGTCCCAGCTGGAGCTTGAGGACTATGCTCGCCAGTTTCACAGTGGAGAGGACGTCAACCTGTACGATTTCAGCAAGATTGATTTCGAATCGCCCTTTTTCCTCTCCCTACCCCCGGGCGATAGGTACAATATCCTCAATGCTGCTAGACTACGCTCAAGGTTGAGGATGGGCTATTCTAAAGAACAGCTTGACGGCATGTTTCCGGATCGCATGGCGTTTTCCAAATTTCAGATCGAGCGAGTCAAGGAGCGAAACGAGCTCACCCAAAGACTTATGCATATCAACGGCATGGCAGATGACTTTCTGAATCAAGGCGGGAGAATTGCTGGTGAAAAGGGAAAGGAATATATCCTGGTAAAGAATGATGGAGTTGATGGCGGTTGGGCATTGGGAGTCGTCTCGAATAAGCAGGGAAGGAGCAAAGACAACGCCATCGATCTGGAAGAGGAAGAGCAGGACCATGATTCGTCCGACGGATCCAGCGAAGAAGATGAATTCGAGGACGTGGCAATCGAAGGTCTGAATCGTCTGCCTAAAAGTCTCATCAAGAAACGAAAGGCAGTGGATTACGATGCGTCATATGAGGATGCCGTCGAACAGATTGCTCGTAAGAGGAAGGCGGTGTACGATGCACGAAAGGAAGTTCCGCTTGTTCGCCCGACTGCACGGCCAGAATTTAGAAGCACCCCTGCCAATCCACCTGACGGGGAGGCAAGTTTATTCGTTCCGGATGATAAGATGGACGACGATGATGGTGACGAGCTGTTTGAGGATGTGCTACCCCCGGTCGTGGAGGAGGAAGACGATGATCTTCAGCGTGCTATCGCCATGTCCCTGGAAAAGGCAGACGACGAAAACAACACGAGCAATTTTGAAGGTGGATTCGTCGTTGACAACCAACCTCGCAAAGCTGTCGATCAAGACGACGATGACGCATTCGACTTTTCATCAGCCCTTGCCCAGTCACGACGACAAAAGCCTCATGCCCAGCCCAGCATTCCCGAAAATCCAACCTCAAAATCAGAATTGTCTGCTCCAAAATTCAGTGGTCCACTACCATTTGAGTCAATAAACCTTGGACAGTCACTCCTTGGGAAGAAGAAATCCAAGAAGATCGAGGAAGACTTGTCTGGCGGGTTTGATCGAGACCTAGGAGATGATGCCTTTCGCAAGGAACGGCCACCTCAGCCATTACCGGTTTGGTTCAATGCTGCGCCGAGCACAAAAGATCTAAAACATACTGTTGAGGTTGACGATGATGATATCGTTCACGATAGATATCGGGGTAGACCAATACAGATGCAGGAGCGCATTCGGAGACAAGATACCAAAGAGGTCATAGACCTGGACAAAGAAGACGAAGCAGGGACAACTCAGATGCCAATCGACATTGACGATGATACGAATCCCATATTCAATGATTCGCAGGACATGACACAAAAGTCTCACGCCGATGGTGAGGCATCTCTCCCAAGCCAAACAATCATATCCGAAGAATCCGATCATGAAGACCTCAAAGAAGCAGAATCTGTTGTGGTAGACTCCAGTGAGGACGAAGAGCGACGCAAGCGAGACGAAGCACGCGAAAAGAGATACGAATTGGCCCGCCAGATCGCAGCGGAGAATGATTCCCAGGAAATCAAGATGAGTGAAGTCGCCGAGCTCGCACAAGCAGATCCGCCTAAGCCGACTGAAACCCCCAATTTTGTACCTCGACCTGCATCGCCTGACCAGCCCGTCGAGACTGATCAAGAGAGCGACTTTGAACAGGTTGAATGGAGCGAATCGGAGCAAGGACAACCCGATAGCCCTGGCTCTCTAGGAACGATCGACGGCAAATCTCCAAGTCCTTCGCATGATGTTGTCCAGGAAGAGAATGAAGATGAAGATGAAGGCGAAGATTTCGAAGACGTCGATATGCAAGCACCACCATCTCTCCAACAACAAGAAAGCACTGTGTCCAACATCGACAAAAACCTATTTGTATCGGAAGAAAATCCATCAGCTTCCCAGGTTGAAGCCCTGCCACCCATCAACGAACCCGAATTTGAATACCTGTCCGAGTCCGAGGAAGAACTTATCCGGCAACTGGAGATTGAAGCACAGGAGCACGCGCGATTTGCCAACTCGTTGGCCAGCAATAATAACAACTCTACCACGGAACAAAGTATGCGGGACTATGAAAATGAGCTGAAGCAACTCCGTACACAACAAAAGAAAGATCGTCGCGATGCAGACGAGGTGACACAAGCAATGGTTCAAGAATGCCAAGCTCTTCTCCGCCTCTTCGGACTTCCCTATATCACGGCACCCATGGAAGCAGAAGCGCAATGTGCCGAATTGGTCCGTCTAGGACTAGTCGACGGGATCGTGACCGACGACAGCGACATCTTTCTATTTGGCGGGACGCGCATCTACAAAAACATGTTCAACGCGGCCAAGTACGTAGAATGTTATTTGTCGAGCGAGCTGGAAAAGGAATTCCTCCTTGACCGGCGACGTCTCATCCGATTTGCTCACCTGCTGGGAAGTGATTACACCGAAGGCATCCCGGGAGTTGGGCCGGTCACGGCACTCGAAATCCTGACCGAGTTTCCCACCCTCGACGACTTTCGCGACTGGTGTGCGAAGATCCAACTCGGCCGCCCGGCCGACGTCGAGGGTGAGATCAATACCCCATTCCGCAGAAAATTCCGCAAAACCGTACAGAAGAAACTGTTCCTCCCGCCGGGATTTCCTGACGTTAGGGTCGATGAGGCATACTTGAGTCCAGAGGTCGATTCTAACCCGGAGCCATTCCAATGGGGTGTGCCTGATCTGGATCGATTGAGGTCATTTCTCATGGCGACCATTGGCTGGAGCCAGGACCGCACGGATGAGGTGCTGGTGCCGGTGATTCGCGACATGAATCGGAGAGAGCTAGAAGGCACACAGAGCAATATTACCAGATTCTTCTCTGGGGGTGTTGGTGTTGGGGCCGTCGTGCAGGGAAGAGGTATTGGTGGGAGAAATACGCCAGCTGGGGCCACTGGTGGAGTGGGTGGACTTGCCGTGGGAGGTGAAACCGTTGGCGGAACATTAAAGGAGCCGACTGCCCCTAGAAATCGGACCGGTAAGGAGAGTGGTCGCATGCGGAACGCGTTCAAGAGGCTGAGAGGGGAGGCCGAGCGGCGGAGGAAGGGAAATGATATGGACTTTGTCGACGATGTCGGAGCAGAGGAGGATAAGGAGGGGTTGGCGGCTCCGGCTTTCGCAGAGGATGGTATCGATGCGGACGCGGAAGATGAAGATGATGGTGATAACGCGGTGACGAAAGATTCATCCAGGCGGCAAAGGGGGAACAATAGGAAGAAGACGACGACAAAGCAAAAGAAGAGAGGATCTAGGGCTCGACCACAAGAACTTGAAGATGAAGATGGGGAGGAATCCGAAAGGATTTGACCAAGGTGTATGGTGATAATCACGATGAGAACGATGACCACGACGACCACAATCACGACGAAAAATGGCGGAAATTGAGGAGGGAATCACGTACAAGGGGTTCAAATGAATTGGACATTCGGCCGGCTGTCCTACGCGTCGAGACTATACAGCATCGACGGGCGATGGTATAACATGGTTGACATCTCAGCAGCTGGTTCCAATCAGTGTGTACATAGCTGTAGTGTCATTTTGTAGCTAAAACCAATCTTGGACCCAGAGTGTCCAACATGAGCCAAATCTTCCCGGAGCCTTCACTCAAATCTAGGCTGATGGCTCGGTGCTGTGTGAGCAAGGGTTGGATTCGGTCGAGGATCGTCAATGTTTCAGCACCGAAGCCTCGGTACTCTGACGTACCTCGAGGCTGACGGTATGATCTCAAGGTCGATGTCTTAGTGTTCAGGCGCTTGATACAACTCAATGGATGTTCCTTTCGGTTATGGAAGTCGTTGGACGGTGGGTCATGGTCATCCTGTGAGTGACGTATTGGCCAGTTCCCGATAGAAGAATCAAAGGCAACCTGTATTCAAGGCTTATCGATCCTTCTGTCCAGTTCAGGACATACTGCAAAACACTCGTCATTGAAATCACCTTGTGATCTGATGCGTCTGTCCAACTCGTACTTGGCCTGGCTGAAGTAGACAAAGTGCTTTCGGGCAACACACCGGGGACAACGATGCTGGGAACTAGTATGACCCTGAAACTGAAAGAAATTGAAAATGTCACACCAACTGATGTCCTTAGCATCGTATTCGGGGGACGTCAATACCACGATCCAGTAATCCTCGCTCCGGGGAACAAAAGTGAAGCAACCTCGACAAAGTCGCAGGGTTGGAGGGATGTAGTGATTTCTCTCAAGCAGGCGGAACAGGCCATCTTTGTCTCGATAGCCCCGCCATGGAGCCATGGCGTTTTTGCCAGTGGCAACTCGACCCAGAGACTTGCATGTGAGAGCAAGACAGACTTGAAAATAAGGGATTTTGACGGACTGAAAGATGTGGGTCAAAATTTCTTGTGGAAGTTGCAGTAGTTTACATTGTGGCTGTGGCTGGGTGTTGGTAGAGTTGAATAAAATGTGACGAGGAATGAAAAACGGGTCGTAGGCAGTGGTCCGGGAGACAGGCGATTTAGGCGGCTTTGAGGCTGGGTGTAAGGTTTGTTGACACCAGAGATCGAACGACGAAGCTCGTGCAAGGTCTGTGTTTGCTTGTGAATTGATGACCCTCTGAGTGGGAGAGTTTTGTTCAATGGTGGAAGGGTGAGCGGCGTATGAGTTGAGCGGCTTCGCAGCTGCAGGACATGAGCCTGCCGGGAGGAGACGAGCCATCTCAACAGTACATCATGTCATTATTTCGAGGTTTGCATCGAGATATGCTAGGAGGAGGAAGGAGGACTGTCAGAAGATGTTGGCAACCTGGAAACCAGACAGATCAGCGAGTTGAAAGCTGGGATAGAAGAGGCCCGGATGGGTGGGACGACATCGACATGGCTCGGTCAGTGGCGAGAAGTGAGGGGAAGGAACATGCTTGTCTCCGCGTCTGTCCCCCCACAGTTAATTAAAGAAAAAAACGTATTAGGCAGTCTGGCGGGGGTGATCGTATCGAAGAACTGCCTTGACGGGTGGGTGAGGCTTGGGTAAGCTTGACTGGAAATGTTGTCCGAAGAAGCCGGTTCTGAGGTTGAGGAAGGGTTCGAGGGTTTAAGGTCCCCTTATACATTCATCATTTATCAACACGCAGTCAGCACCTGCAGAATTGAGATTTAATTGTGAGACACTTGACAATAATGGTTACACAAGGCAGCCGCAGTGCAGTACTTAGCACTTTCGTACCCCCGCGCCTTCCTAATAATCAATTCACCATATCTGGCAAGTACTTTGCTCGTTCCTTCCATTTGTGCTCAACCAGCTAGGCAGCAATGACATCCCAAGGCAGTCACGATGCTGAACGATGGAAGGAACGGAGGAATATTACGGACAATGGATTGAAATTGAAATTAAGATGGGGCGATGTTTATATACATTTGTTGAACGACAATTTACTCTAATAATGAATAAACACCTCCTGCACCAGTAATTGGGCTCGAGCCTCAAAGACAACTGGGAACGCAAGGCTGTACGGTGCGGCAGCCTCGTCTGTTCCTGTCCCTTGCTTTCTGTGTTCTGACGTAACTCCACTTGCCCACCTGCACCCACGTTTCTGCCTTCCTCGGCATCTCCCGAAACCAAGTTGAACTTCCCACACCAACCACAACCACTGGTGAACAAGACCTCAGCGCAGGCAGGTCTCGCATTGAGAACTCACTTGACTTCTTACAGCCACCTGTCTAGTTCATCTTGGAATAACTCCCTCTGCACCCTCCGAGAACAACCCTCCCTCATCCCCACATATATTCATCCAACAAGCCCCTCTACAGGTGGCCTTCCTGCGACTTACCTATCCTTCCTCAGCCTTACCACCTCTCTCTCCACCGGTCTCCCCTCCACTCAACATGGCAGAATCCCATCCATCTGGGGGTCCGCTGGACGATAAGACGCACTCTGACTCGGATAATGATGAACAGACCCCACAGTCGCCCGGTGCTGCAGAAGGCTCTGCCGCACCTTCTGCTTCAAAATCCAAGAAAAACAAGAAACGATCTAAGAAGTCGAAACTTCTCTCAGCAGCGACAGGCGACAAGTCCACCGAGTCTGGAGAAGCCTCATCATCCACGTCATCCACTAAACCTGCCGCTAAACTATCCGACGAGTCCATCAAAACTCTGCTCGACATCAACCCCTCATTAAAAGGCGAACTCGCCGGCCTGTCTCCCGACAAGGCTCAGGAAGTTCTGAAAAAGCTCGATGTGTCCGAGTTGCTCACTGGCTTGTCCCTCAATGGTAAGAACCAAAAGGATATGGCGTCCTACAAATTCTGGAGCACCCAGCCCGTCGTGCGTTTTGATGAACAACGCGACGCAGCAATTCCCGACGGCCCCATCAAACCTGTTATCCCAGAACTCGTTCCCAAGGAGGCCGCCCCTTTGCCCGAAGGCTACGAATGGGTCGAATTAGACTTGAACGATGGCACCGAAGTCAAGGAAGTCTACAATTTACTATCTCATCACTATGTCGAAGACGATCACGCCATGTTCCGTTTCAACTATTCCGCCGTCTTCTTGGACTGGGCACTGAAATCACCAGAGTGGAAGAAGAGCTGGCATATTGGTGTCCGCGCTAAAGGGGCCAGTCGCTTGTTGGTTGCCACAATCTTTGGTATTCCCATCAAACTCAAGATTCGCGAGAATGTTTTGGATGTCGTTGAGATCAATTTCATGTGTGTTCACAAAAAGCTGAGGTCAAAACGCTTGGCCCCTGTTCTCATCAAGGAGGTCACCCGGAGATGTCACCTAGATGGAATCTACCAGGCCATCTACACCGGCGGTGCCATTCTCCCCACCCCTGTGGGAAGTGCCCGATATTTTCACAGAAGTCTCGATTGGTTGAAGTTGTATGAGGTTGGCTTCTCCCCCCTCCCGCCAAACACCACCCAAGCAAAGATGGTGGTCCGCAATCAACTCCCCACTACGACCAGTGCCAAGGGCCTGAGACCAATGCAAGAGAAGGATATTGACGCTGTCTACGACCTGTTGACCCGATACCTCGCTCGATTCGAGCTCATCCAAGTCTTCACTAAAGCAGAAATCAAACATTGGTTTCTCAACAACCAAGACCCTCAGGATCAGGTTGTCTGGTCTTACGTGGTTGAGCAAGAAGGTAAAATCACCGACTTTGCAAGCTTTTACTGTCTGGAAAGCACCATTATTGGAGGGAAGAAGCATGACAAGATCCGCGCCGCCTATCTATACTACTATGCCTCGGATCAAGCGTTTAATCCCAAGGAAAAGGGTCTCAAGGAGAGACTACAGGTTTTGATCAATGACATGTTGATCGAAGCCAAAAAGGTATCCTCGAATCTTTGATCTTATTGGTCCTTTGTGCTAACATTTTCCCAGGTCAAGTTTGATGTGTTCAATGCTCTCACCCTCCATGACAATCCCCTTTTCCTCGAGTCTCTCAAATTTGGTGCTGGAGACGGTCACCTGCATCACTACCTGTACAACTGGAGAACAAAGCCGATCAACGCTGGTGTCAATGCGAAGAATCAGCCGGACGAAAGCAAGAGAGGCGGTATTGGCATAGTCTTGCTGTAGTTGCATGATTCACGGCGACACACTCTTGGTGGCGTGACTCGGTTGATAGCTTTGCATGTAGACGGACCTGTGCAACATGAGAATAGCATGGCTGAAAGAGATTGAAGATATTTTGGATCGACAATTGATCCATGCTCGGATGACTATTTTCCCGTGGAGAGCACCCACTCCTTGTACGTTGTACAACTCCTGAGGTCCATTGTCGATAGTCAGGAGGAGAGATATAGCTACACTTGATTGGAACCCCTGATGGAGTCAATCCTCACACATACTTCGAGCAGTGCCAGAACAAGGATTCGTTCTGTGAATCCTTCCCACATCCTTAGGATGCACGCCCAGACTCCGAGAGATATGAAATATATGTACAACACGAATCCAAAGTCAGCCTGTCTTTTACATGAATCATCCACGGATAGCCAGTGAAGAGTAGGCCCCGAGTGATGACCACAAGACAGATCTTTGTCGAGGGAAGGCGGCCTCGCCGTCTTTTCTTGGAGCGACTCCTCGAGCGACTCTGTCAAAATCCATGGCGGGGGTGATTGTGATGGTTGGTCAGGTGGTTCAATCAGTACAACTTGGCGCATCAATTTGTGTCCCCAAAGCCAGGAACATCAGCATCGAGTCCAAAGCTGAATCTGGGCGATCCAAGTGCGAGTGACATGGCAAACGTTGCACAAGAACAGGACAACCTTACGAATGGACGGCAAGTTGTCAGCCACGATGTTATCCTCTTGTGTCTCCCCTCGTCCTCCCAACACCTTCGCGCCCCCTCCTTTTCGACCCCCTTAAAAGTCGACGACCTATTTACCCTGGCGCTGCTTATGTTTAGGGTTCTTGCTGCAGATGATGAAGACACGATTCTTGCGACGGACGGGCTATAACGTGACAATTGCAATCGTCAGCAATTTCTTTCTCCCTTACTCGTACATTCCATTCCATCGGTGGCTTCAATCTTCTCTCGTCAGATCTTGACATACCTTGCATCCATCACATAATCTCTTGACACTCGATCGGGTCTTCATTCCTCTTGACTGAACTGCAGACTGAACAAACGTCTGGGAATTATGGCTGTGTGAGCATTGGTGCGCAAGCTTTGGTCCAACGAGTGTCGGCGTCGAACATGGCTTGATCGCTGCGCTAGAGGAGAATAATCGGCTAAAGTAGGATATTGTAGAGCTGCTGGTGGTGGTGGCGGCGGCGGCGGTTGAGGATGAGGACTGTGCGAGACTGCGACTGCTGTTGATGTATGCGGGAAACAGTCGCCCAAGGCGCCGCATCGGGAGCGAAATGGCTCGATCCAGCATATTGCGCATGTGGAATAGATGCGGGATGCGAGGAGGGCTAGGGATGAGGTGGTGATGGGTGGTATGGTCGGTGTCGTGGTGGAGGAGTTCCAAGCTCAGTCCACTGCGGTGTGTCGAATGTCCAAAAAAAGTTGACGAGGTTCCGGATCAGGTATACGCGGGTTGCACAAGATGGAAGTAAAGTTTCACCGTACCGTGGTCCCAAAATCCTACGGCGCAGCTTATGAACACTAAATAGCAGCCCACCCTGATGACTCTCAGCCTTGCGAGGTGCCATGTATCCCTAACTTATCATATCTTGAGTATATATTCCTTGACTCCCTTACAAAGCACCTCTGTGTAGTTTTCTGGTGTAAACTCACGCTGATCGACCATCAGCCCATCACCTCCCCTTGGGTACAAAATAGTAGACGGCATGCTAGGCTCAAAGTCGAATGTTCTGCGCGTATAATATGGAAATATCTGGTTGATTTTCTTCAATGCCGCCGACAACGACCTTGATTTCTTGGCCATTTTCATATCCTTGGTCAAATCAAAATACAATGACGAAATGTATAATGGTAGCCGATGCGACGTGATGTCATGGAAATGGAAACCGAGATTCCTTCGTTCAAAGAAATGAAGTTTGCATGGTCTGCGCCGTGCCTGAAAGACACCAATGTCTGTAAAATAGGACAAGGCCTTGGAGGCGAGCAGGTGATTTGGAATGGCCTTGTCAGTGCCGACGACTGAGTGAATGATTCCACAATCGGCCTTGAGTGCTAAGGTCTCACGACTGCTGCTGAAGGACCAGTTGGGCGATGGCAGTGAGACTAGTCCAGCCTGTTTTATGATATCATTGGCAACGACATCGACTGGCACAACATCAAGTGGTGTTTCCATGTTGGCGACAATAACTCGAAGATATCCGGCTCCCAATAACGCCACATATCCGGCCACTGCGGCTTTGCTATCAATCCACCCCGGCATGGGATATCGCCACGCACAGGAAATAATGCTTGGACGAACAATCACCACCGAAAGGGTGTCCTTTTGCGCCATTAAGATATGTTCTGCCACACATTTGGTGAGTGTATATGTGTTGGGGTATCCTGTTTGCTCAAGGAGAAGACTTTCATTGGCTCGATTGGCCATCATGTCTTTGTATATTTCTTCGGCTGGATATGGCAACGCTGGTAGTCTGGGTACGATGCGATTCTTGCAATATGGTGCCACATAGCTCGTCGAGGTGTGGATCATGCTATGAAGATTTGAACAAGATCTGGCAAGATGCAGAAGATTGAAAATGGAGCTGATGTTGGCCTTTGCAGCCTGTTGTAATGGGAGGTCGAACGCCACAGACGCGGCACAATTGATGATGTGAGTGATTTGAGGGCAGATCTCTTGCCACATCTCTGGCTCAATGCCGCAATACTCCTGTGTCAGATCGCCCTGCACGACCTGAATGTACTGTGTCCATCCACTGGATAACGATCCGAAGCACGGTGATGGCACCACTTGCTTCAAGAATCTCTCTTTGGCGTTGAGATGGGGCGTGGCACGGATTAACACCATCACTCGGCCCAGGTCGTGCTCGTTTGATGTTCGGATAAGTTCTTCAAGAACCACCTTGCCCAGAAAGCCCGTGGTGCCGGTAAGGAAGATGACTGGTCTGCACGCAACCTCCATGACCGGTGTTAGATGGAGAAGATTCACAGGTATACTCAATTATCATAGACACGTTGTAAGGTAAGATCAGAGATATAGATTGAGAAAGCCACATATCATGCGTTTTAGCGAATATTTGAGTAGGTGATGAAGCAACGGACTGATGAATACATATTTGTAGACAGTCTCCCCAATAGATTTCGAATATAGGCTCCAAAAATATAGTCAAAGACCTGAGATCCATCTGGTTCGGCCCTGCCGGCCCTGCAGCCTTGCTGTTCAGCCCCTTGCTGGGAAGCGCCACGAAGATTTGGTCTGTATACGCCCAATGATTTGGGCCAAGACAAGGCATGCTCTTCAGGCCGGTTCATTGTCCAGCTTGACCTGACCTGACGCCATGAAGCTGCCATCAAATGTCGAGCTCGATCGAATGGAACATGTCAACATGAGTTCTTTACTCAAGCGCCTGGGCCTATGGCAGAGGCACATGCTTTGTCCACATTGAAGTCAGCGACTTGTCTGGGAGAAGGCCCACCAATCTCTGAGGAGAGAAGAGGCATACAAAGGAAGATTGACATTGCAGATGGCTGCTTCCATGTCAGCTGCGATGTACATGGACCAAGAACAATGGGCTCAAGCTGCTTGGAAAACTCGGCTGAACTTCAGCTGGGGGACATGAAAGCCACTTTCACCCCAAGCCAGCAGATACCAAAGTGACTTTTGTCATTGTTTGATTGGACCGTCGAACTCAAACGTGTTGGATCACATGGGGGAATCTTGGGGTGACATTCTCATGTCACCACGTCTTCCATGCGAGATCTCTTTGTTCTTGCTTGGATCCAGAGTGAACAGCGGGACGGAGTGGCATTTTACTGCAACCTTGTAATCTGGATGAAGTCCTCCAACCGTTTGAACAGTCCCAGCCTCACAGGTTTCCAAACGAGCCAAGTCAGACAAATGCCTAGATTTATGATTTTCTGCGACATGTCCTTACCCCTTACCGCTCCAGTCAAGGTTTCGAGGAGCCTCAGATCATGGTTCAGCTAACGTTCTGTTCTTATTCGGGGGCCTTGAAATCAATTCGGTCAGTGAGAGGACTTAGCTGCATCAGCTTGCAAGTGGTGTTGGTTGAACAAAGGGACTGTCCCCAACTCAAGTGAACTGGATGAATTAGCTATGAGTGTCCATTAAAAAGGCCACCCAGTCTCATCATCACTACTCAACTGACATGAAACCTCCCCTTCAATCGTCGTTCCTCGTGTCACAAACCTCTCATTGATCAAGAATGGAAGGGCAATACTTCAACGAAACCAATCCTCCTGAACCATGGCAAGCATATGGGCCAATGTCGACATGTACATTGGACCTATGCAGTGTCAAATGGAGTGTTTTCACCTACCGTCCCTCCCTGGCAGCTAATATCGTCTTTGCGTGTCTATTCGGCATGGCATTCTTTATCCATCTGTACCAGGGATGGCGGAACAAGACGTTCTTTTTCGCTGGTGCCATCCTGTGTGGATGTGCTGGAGAGGTGATTGGGTATGTTGGGCGGATTTCACTCTACTTTAATCCTTTTAATTTCCCGGCCTTTGTCATTGCGATGGGTATGTCCCTCATGTTTCCCAACGGCGTCGTCGAGGCTTGGACCTTTGACTCCTTTACTAGAGTCTATCCTTTACTCCCACTCCCACTCAATCCCCTTGTCACTAACCCACAGTTTGAGATATAGTCACCATCACTCTCAGTCCAGCATTCATCTGCGCTGCCATCTACGTCACACTGAGCCAGGTTATCATACACTTGTGTCCAACTTGCTCCCGCCTCAACCCCAGAATAGCGTATGCCTTATTCATTCCCTGCGACCTCATCTCGCTGGTTCTGCAAGCCGCGGGCGGTGGAGTTTCAAGCATTTCCATCGGTGTCGATTCGACTGGAACACATCTCACCTTGGCCGGACTGGGGTTTCAAGTTGCAACGTTGACACTGTTCCTCTGTCTCGCGGCCGATTATGCAGGCCTTTATTGGCGGAGGCATGGGAAAGGTATTCAACATGTCAACTTCCCCTTGAACGTTTCCCAGGTTGAGATGACTGCTACTGATGAGGCGGCCTTGACACAAACAACTACGTCGGTTCAAGTTACTAGTCGTAATGTCGATGGCGATGGCGGTGGTCATAAATACCATCAACTACCGCCTCTGTCGAACCGACCATTCCAGATCTTTCTCGTCTTCCTCACATTATCGACCGTGTTGATTCTCATTCGGTGTTGTTACCGGATTGCAGAATTGAAGGCAGGGTACTTTGGTCATCTCTTTCACGATGAACCTCTATTCATCGCTCTTGAAAGCATGTACGTAGGCGAGATCCGATCCCTACCTTCCAACCCTTTCCTCTCTATTACCACCCCTCTCGGCAAGTCGAATTCAAGAGTTGACTTGTAGTTATCATTTGCAGAATGGTCATCCTCGCGACGTTTGCCCTCAACATCGCCCAGCCTGGTCCCGTCCTGCCAGAGTGCCGGCTCAAGGGGTAATTTTCTCAACCAGTTGAAATGAAAATGGATTTGATAGTCGAATCAAAAACACCTAGAAATAGATCATCTTCACAGTGTGGAGAGAGAACGACAGCATAACAGAGCACCTTTTCCGTATAACTTGACAATGTGATTCAATGAGAGTGTACTATCTAAGCTAGAAAGAATATTTCCTCCACTTCTAGCCACTTGGAGCTGAATAATCGTCAGGCCCCGTGTTCTGCTCCCATCCTCGCCAAATCACTAGGTGACTTCTCGCGGATTCGGCTTCACAGGATCTTCGATGGCAGCTGTGGCTGGGCTGTAAGCGCCTGTACCTTCATATGCTAAATGAGTGGACGCGTGCTCTTCTGGTCTAACACCAGGAGAAGCTCGCTGTCAAAATAAAGTTATCTTCGCATGTTTCGACTCTGTTTTGTTGCTTGCCAGCGCCCTTCGTTCGAATAGTTCGCTCGGTGTTCCATTAGTCAACATTTGTGGACTCTGCCGAGACGGCAATGTCGAGATGGGTGTACACTTTTGAGAGAGATCGAATTGCCGCCGTGATTCAAGGCTCGGCCGATCAGGCAGGCGTCAACAGGTTGTGAAACGCGTTGTTCCACGATGCTGCGCCCGTGATGCCTTGGTGGGACGGTCGAGGTCAATATGATCGCGTTTCAGCGTCGTCATCGACAAGTAAATGCATGCTGCGGAGCATTTAAATGCTGGCTCTTGCATAGGAGAATGAAGATCAATGATCGCAGGATACTGGGTTCCTACGCCAGCCCATTAGTCTAAGGAACGAACAGGCGGCCCTTGCCTCGAGAACTGCCTCGTTCACCGCCTCGAGCTGCACCACGAGAACTGCCACCGCCTCTTCCTGGCTGGGTCTGCGTCCCTCGTTGGCCATAAGTGCGGGGACTGTTGTAGGCCCCATGGGTATGATTGCCGACATTGGCGAGTGGAGTACTACCACGTCCAAAGCCGCCTCGGTCGAAAGAATCGGGGTCGATCTCCTCAATGGGAATCTGAGGTTTCGTCTGTGATGGAACAGTGGGTGTACTGAAAGTTGGCCTTGGAGATCGTGCAGCTTTTCCTCTACCTCGTCCCTTGATGGTTGCGTGTCCCCTACCATTGGTCGATGCTGGAGTCGAGCCACGGCCGCGAGGCTTGAAGACGACTTGTTCCTCCTCATCGCTTTCGACATCGTTGTAGCTAAAGAGGGTTTTGGCCTTTGGCTCAGGCTCAACAGTGGATCTTGCCGAGTCCCTCTTTGCCTTATCATCAGATATAGCATCGGTCTCATCTAGGCCGAGAGCGCTCCTTAGCTGGTGGATGTTCTTTGTGGGAATGGCAAAATCACGGGCCAGGTGAATGGTATCTGCCGAATTTGTGAGGAAAAAGAACGTGTCGCTGGATTCGTCCTTCTTTTCGTGCATGTACCAGACGACGGGGTTGAGCAGAGGCTTCAGGGCGGGAGGAACGGGAGTCTTGTCATTTCGGATCAGAGTGGCAGACTTGACTTCAGGACTTGTCTTTGAACTTTGGGGACCAGAAGATGGGGGTGACAGAGGAGGAGTGGAAATCGGCGAGGGCGCAGTGGGCTGTTTGGAAAAGTTCAACTTGTCGAGTAAGAGCTGAGACAAGGAACTAGCCGCGGTGGGTTCAGAAGGCAACGACAACTCGTTCACCTGGTCTTTCTTGGGGTCGATGGTGGTGAGTCTGTCCGCTGGATGAGAGACGTCGTCAGTCTTTGTGGCATCGGTGCCATAATGCGCCTCGACTTCAGACCAAGAGGAATACTGTTCGTCGGGGCCTTGCAGGATGATAGGGTCGTGAGACAGGTCGCCTCTGGAGGAGGTGAAGCGGTCGAGGAACTTGACAGCTTTCCGGGCATTGACACCGATTTGGGACGAGTCCTTCTTCAAGATGTGCAGGCGCTCGAGGGCTGGAAATGTCAGTGGCTATAGATCAGGTGGGCAGAACAATGTGGGGGCAAGGATCGTACTGTAGAGGGGGACAACGAGGACAACCAGTCCTTGAGATACCCATGTTTCAATCTCTTGAATATTTCTAGTCAATATAGTGTCATCAACAAGGCACCGCATCAAAGAAAGAGGCGACGCCTCCTTCTTCTGTTGTTGTCGCATTGTTTAATGAGGGACGACAGGGTGCGCTGTTTGAGGGTGAATTGGAAAAGGCTCAGTCAGATGCGCAAAAGTTGACTGCGGATTGCTATAATTGGAGTTGTTACAAGTCAGCCATGATTCACAGGCAACAAACAGAGACATGGTCAAGCGATGGTGCAGTGTCGATCGCAGGACAGTGAGTGAAGAGTGGGAGGAGGATTGTGGCATTACCCGGAGTGTTGTGTGCTGGTTTGCGTTTGTGGCGAAGCGTTGAAGAAGGGTAGTGATGGGCAAGCATCTTCGCTAGGAATGGAGGAAGGTCAACAAGACCTGGATGCAGGCGACTGTGATAGAGGACGAATACATGGGACAAACGATATATGGCAGAAGGAACCTCGCAGTCCGTTATGCTCTGAGTAAGAGACAGGAACGGGTGGATGAGGGTTTGAGTTGAGTCTAAGGAAGGGCTTCAAGGGCAGACAAGAGATGGAGGAAGTGGGAGTGGGAGGTGGGAGCGGATCTGGAAGTGGCTGTGGCTTGTGAAAGTTGGTGGCACAGTGGGTGAGGGTGAGTGGGCAAGTGCGATGGTCCCCTCGGTCCAAGATTGTGTGTGTGTGGAAGCAGGGGAAGGTACTCAATTTGGTCATCCACTCACCAGTCGTGATAATTATTCACTACTCCGTACTGTTAATTGTGGTAGGCAGGCAGTAGTATCCTTGGAACGGCACCTAATCTGCCTGGCTGGCCTCTAAGGATGCCTAAAGCGACCTGGGGCGGACTCTCCCCTCACTCTTCTGAGGTGCTAGGCGATAATGACAGGTACTCCGTAGTACCTTATGGTGGGGAAGGTGCAGTCAATCAAGGTTGGAAGCTACAGGTACAACTTGGAGTTTTCTCCTCCAAGACCTCCAATCAAGAACCCTGGCTGCCCTCGTTAGGTAAAGCCCCCGCCGGAAAACAGACGCTTTTAGGCGACCGGGGCTACCCAAAGGGTAAGACTGATCCCCGCGTATGCCACTACGGAGTACTACTCCGTTTTTCTTCGCAGAAGCGCCTGAGGACAGATTCGTCACCCGGGTATTGCGGAGGGACGACGTGTATCCAGTAATCCTCCTGTAGTCATCTTATCACCATCAGGCAACTATAATTACGCTATAACTGATATTGCGTCGTCCGGCCGGCCTCATCTATCTGGTATATAGTCTCATCATTCATGGAATCCGACATTCTCACCCCAAGGTTCAAAACACAGTTAAGCAGCTGATGGTGTCATTCTTAAGGACCTCAAACAACAACCCAGGGAATCCAAACAATTCAGTGTTGCTCAAACCTCCATTCCCATCCGCACTAAAGCTGTCGATTGCTGTCTCTCGTGTCGGACTTTCTTCCATGTCTCCCAGTAGCTCAATAGAGCTCTCAGGACTCTCCTCCCACCCTCGATTCAAAACCATCCCTCTTTGCATCTGCTTCTCTTCATGTTCATCCTTGTAGCTATCTCGCCACAAGTCTTTAAGTGCTGATGATATCTCTTGGAACTTCATCTCGGAAGTCAGCACCGAACCTTGACTTTCGTTGCTTGTCCGTATCACCCAGCGACTTCGCCGATGTCGATTAAACGAAAAGGATCCAGGCACGTTGCCATGGAGGAAGATCTTGGTCGCAACCAGAAGTGCACTGGAATTCCAACTGACCGAGTCGGCCGCTGCTCCGCCAGGGAACGGAGCTGACTTGTTGTTGGGCCGGGCAATCAAAATATCAAATCCGTGGTTTAAGTAGTTGTAAAAGCATTCGTCTGTTGAGTCCCCTGTCTTGTCCTCTCGGCTTTCAGCTTCGATATCAGAGTCCTCGGTATAACTCTGTATTGAAGATTGGTCCGTATCAATAGCCTGCGGGTCCAGTCCGGGAGACATACTGACTCGCCGCCGTACGGGGTGACCTGTTGCATGTATTGATATTCGTCTGTCATGCTTTCGGTAGATTGCATCTGGAGGTCCCAGCTCAGCCACAATGTCTTGTGGGGTGGTCTCATTCAACGTCATCGCAAAAGGTGCCAGGCTTCGCCTCACCAGTTCCAACTTCCCACCACCGAGCACCCTCACTTCCTCCACTTCGTCCGGTGTCACTTCACCAAGTTTGCCGCCAATCGTGGGCATCCGAGGCAACGTGGGCGTTTTGTTGTACAGAGTGGTCCGGGCCTCAGTCCAAGAGTTACCCGAAAATATCGCCATGGACAATGCGGGACCAGTGGCATTGGAGGATAGTAGCGACACGAAGTCAACCTTGTCGGACCATGACTTGTGTTTGACAGGGAATGTGAAGGCCAAGCCGGGATATGATAGTACATACGTCCCAGTGGTTTTACCAGACAAAGGTTGAATGTATTCTCCAGCATATGTTGGGCCAAACAGACGATTGTACACGTGCTTGAAGGAGGGCCCTAATTGAGTTGGATCCTCGATGTTGGCTTCCTCGGAACTCTTCGTACGCCGAACCAGGTCGATGTTCTTGTAAGTGACGGCAACCAGGGAGAAGTCCAGAATCTCGATCAGTCTGAGTCGTTGGTCGGGTCCGTCAAACCGAAGTCTCAGACCATTAGACGCGAGACTTAAAATGACGGGGTTGGAAAGGGGAGTCGATGGTGTATACGAGATTTCAAGAGTTGGGAATTGTTCTGGCGATGCCTTCAGCCTGGTGATAACGTGGTAGAGAGAGGATCCAAGCGCTACAAAAGGTATCTTCCGTTAGCTGAAAGCCACTATGTGTCAACAGACATGGCAATGATGATTGAAACTCACTTATCCACCCTAATGCTCGCTCCGGCTGGATTTGCAGTGAACCCACAGCTTTGAGTGGTGGGTCACCCATCTCGAGCATATAATGTGGCAGATTTCGAATACAGGAAGGATGTCCAGAAGGGCAGGCTTATGTTATGGGATATCTTACAGGACCACAAACTGGCAGACCAAGAGAGATGTCGTCCAAACGAACCAATGAGCGCTGAAGATGTTCAGCGCAGGGGCAGGAGGGGGTGTCACCGGTGCAGCGGAGCAATTTAACTTAAAGTGACGTTGGTGATCCGCTGTAGCCACACCTCCCACCAACCACAATTTTTGGCGCTTGCCTTTGTTTACTCGCATGTAAACAAACCACTCGCTACTCACACACTCGAGGTCCACCACCAATGCCTGGCTTGAACCACCACACCCATCACCTTCACTACGGACCACTATCAGCCCTCCATAGCCCCTGTCCATGACCCGCGGCCCCATTATCTGTCACAAGGTCAAAGTTCCCGATATGCATCTCTAAGACACCATTCCACATCTTCATTCATGCAGATACCACAACCTCTACCTTGACTTTACGAATGTTTGCCATTCACGAGGGCCTCGCAATAGATCATGGCTTTCAACCGTGCAGGCACTCATTCATCGCGCACTTCTATGCGACCGCCTCCTAGACCGCATAACAGCCATCATGCCTCCATCACGGGTCGTGCACCCTCACCTGCCCTGTCGCACAGCTCGAGCAGTGCAGCCTCTGCTGGTAGCAAGAGAAAGGAAAGAGACTTTGAAGCAGACCATGGCGAAGAGACAAACATCAATGTCGTGGTCCGCTGCCGAGGACGCAGTGATCGCGAAGTTCGCGAGAACAGTGGCGTCGTCGTTTCAACCAGTGGCGTACGGGGCAAGACAGTCGATCTATCCATGGGCCCGAATGCCATCAGCAACAAAACCTACCAGTTCGACAAGGTCTTCTCACCCGCTGCAGACCAGGCCATCATCTTTGAAGATGTGGTTGCTCCCATCCTTGACGAGATGTTGACCGGCTTCAACTGCACCATCTTTGCCTACGGCCAAACCGGTACTGGAAAGACATATACCATGTCAGGCGACATGACCGACACGCTTGGTCTCCTGTCCGATGCGGCCGGTATAATCCCTCGTGTTCTATATTCATTGTTTCAAAAGCTCGATTCGGATGAAGTCGAGTGCTCCGTCAAGTGCTCCTTCATCGAATTGTACAACGAAGAGTTAAAAGACCTGTTATCCATGGACGACTCCGTCAAGCTCAAAATCTATGACGACTCTAGCAAGAAAAGCCAAACCGCCACCATGGTACAAGGCATGGAGGAAACCCACATCAAGACCGCCGCTGCCGGCATACAACTACTACAACGCGGGAGTCATCGGCGCCAAGTTGCAGCAACAAAGTGCAATGACCTCAGCTCCCGCAGTCACACCGTCTTCACCATCACAACTTATCTTAAGAAAGTCAGCGAGACAGGAGAAGATTACATCTGTGCAGGAAAGCTGAACTTGGTCGATTTGGCCGGTAGTGAAAACATCCAGCGAAGCGGGGCAGAAAACAAAAGAGCTGCTGAGGCGGGCTTGATCAACAAGAGTTTACTGACCCTCGGGCGCGTTATCAACGCCCTTGTGGATCGAAGTTCGCACATCCCATACCGAGAGTCCAAACTCACGCGCCTGCTACAAGACTCTCTCGGCGGTAGAACCAAGACCTGCATTATCGCTACCGTCTCGCCCGCGAAGAGCAACCTGGAAGAGACCATATCGACCCTGGATTATGCCTTCCGCGCCAAAAACATTCGCAACAAGCCACAGGTCAATTCCACCATCTCAAAAAAGACATTACTGAGGGAGTACACCAACGAAATTGAAAAGTTGAAAAGCGAATTGATCGCAACAAGGCAAAGAAATGGTGTATACCTAACAAACGAGCAGTACGAGGAAATCACAGTCGAGAGTGAATCGAGACGAATCCTAAGTGATGAGCAACGCGCGCGTATTGAGACAATGGAGTCTAGTCTCCGGAACAAAGTTCAAGAATTGTTCAGTCTGACCAACAACTTCACCCTTCTCAAGCGTGACAACGAATCAACCAGAACAATTCTGGAGAGTACAAAGGATGTGTTGGTCAAGGCAGAAGCCGCTGTTGCTGACACCAACGAGCTTCTCGAAGATGAAAAGGCGATTCGTCAAGCGCATCAAGCGACGGAAGATGCTCTGTTTGGCATTGGAACCGACTTGGTCTCGACAATTGGTCAGTCCCTGGGTGATCTCAGCGGCTTGGAAGCAAAGCTCAGACGCCGTTCAGAACTTCATGCCCTGAACAGTCGCTCTTGGAGTATCTCTATCGGTCAGGTCGCCGACATCTCGGACATGATTGAGGCACGCCTGAGTGAATTTGAAGCCGCTCACTCTCAGATAATTAACTCTGGGTCTAGCCGAATCGAACGATTTCTTGACTCTGAAAAGGCTCGGTTTCAAAGATCCGGGGAGCTGATCATGGCAAAGGCGGATGAATTAGGTGCGAACTGCAAGACAGTCGAAGATCACTCTAGTGACGCAAGAGATGCCATGAACAACGTTCTGGAAGAGATCAAGGTCCTCCGGGAACAAGTCAAGGAAAAGGTGGGCGAAGGTCTCAATGGACTTTCCGAGGCTGCTGCAAAGATCTCTGCAGAAGTCATCTCAGAGCTGGAGCAGTTCCATACACAACTGCACTCTTCCTATAGCAGCATGGGTAAGGACTTTAAAACTCTGTTCGACGACCTCACCCAGCAGCTATCGTCTCAACGACAGGAAGCCGACGACCTTAGGTCCGCCCTTGAGGCTGCCAATCGAGCCAACATTGAGGCGAATTTGACGACGTCTACTCAACTCCAGACCATTATTGAAGAAGAGCATCGGGCTTCGCAGGAGGAGCGTGATCGGTTGAAGGAACAACTATGTGCAATGATCGACGAGTCATCCTCGCGACGGCATGAAACAATGTCTACCAAACTGCTGAATGCTCAAGGCCACATGATGGAGGAAACTGAAAAGTTTGAGGCTGCAGACACGGTGTACCGAACGGGAATGGACAAATGGACCATTCGGGGCGAAGAGCTTTTGGCCAGAGTGGTCAAATCCCGGGATGAGGTCAAGTCTAAAATGAAGACAGATTGGACGGTAATACCCCCTAACATATCGTGATTATGAATCGTACTAACGGTGAATAGGGCATCAACACTCGCAACACGGCCATCCAAAAGTCAACCAAGGCAGTTCACGAGCAGACAGTCATGATAGTCGATGCACAACTGCAAGAAATGGCGACGCAGATGGCAGCTCTGGACGAATTCGTGACCCGCGCTCGGTCTCAAAATGATGATCATCATTCAGAGCGTCTTCAACGTCTCGGGCAGCTGGTATTGGAGGGGCGCGAGGGATTCAAAGCACTTGAAAAAGACACGACTGAATCGAACGCTGCTTTTGATCAATTCGATGAGGACTACAAGACACAATCCACGGATATTGGGGATCTGGTGGCAAGTCTCCGGAGCGATACCAGATTACCACTACGGGAGCTTCGACTTGAGATGTCGAAGAGGAGCATGACCGACTATGCGCCAACGGGAGAAACACCACAGAAACGTGAATGGCATTATCCTACCAATCTGCCAAAGACTCAAAAGCACGAATCAATCACAGCCAGGCGCAGGGGGTTGCCCGATCCCCACGCAGTTTCCACAACACCGCCAGTCACGAAAACACCTGGACGTTCCCCGCGAAAGATGGGCTCACCACGTAAAGGGGCTATTTCGCCATCGAAAGTGCCCAGCCCGAGCAAGACCAAGGTGTTCAACGACGCGAGGGATATGGATGCTGGTAAGCCAGCTGATTCGAAGTTTGGTCACTCTCATGACAGCCAAAACCACACCATCAGCCTGCCATTGGACGTGAAAGCTGGGCTGAAAGAGCTTGACGTGAATCTAATACCTCGGCCAACATCGTCGTCCGACTCCAACCATCCAGCCTACGCGTCATCCTTGTCCAATAACCCGGCCATTCACGATCAGAAGGGCATGGGCGAGCAGAAACCGGTGTTGATAGACTTTAGCAAAAGTCTCGGCAGTGGGAGTGGACAACCCCCACTGAAACGGCACGCGACGACGAACGCTGTGGTGGAGTCTCGTCTCCCTATGAAGCAGACGAGGGCGACAAGAAGCACGATTGCCAACTTGGGGGCCGCTGGCCTGGGAGCGGAGAACTTCTCCAGTAGTGTTGGTGGTGGAAGAAGGTTGAGGAGCACTCCAACCGAGTGAGTAGAGGGATGAAATGTAGACTAGGCCAGGGACGATCGATGCGTTTGGGCTTGCGGTGGGAAGAACGCACGGTGTGCAAGGTTTTCTTTTGTCCAAGGAGCTAGATACCCCCATGTTCAGCGCGGATGGAAATGCAATTAGTTCTACAATCATGGGCAAGCGAGGCGTTGGATTCGGTCTATCGGTGCTCTTTGGCCAAGAAAGAGGGGGGATGGATGTACAATATGCATCGTCTCAGGCGGACATGAATCATAGGGGAGGAGAATCATAGTATAATCGAACAACAGCGGGATGGCAAGTTGGAAGAATTCTTTCCATTGTTAACAATAACACACAAATTTGAATGTCATCAAGGCTCATCGTCGCTGGCTATGCTAGAGAGTGCGACAAGAAAAATAACATGAAGGCCATGTGAGCCGACCTAATGCTGATGTAGAGTATCTGGTCAGGGATGTGTTTGTATGTTCCCCTATGGCCCAGAGACGGCTGGTGGGAAGCTGAGAAGACAACTCGAACCTCTATTCATCAGTCCCTCCATCCACTGCGTCAAGGATTTGCTTGGTTTCATCCATACGTCGTTGAAACTGCTCAATCAGATCTTCCATTGACTCGCGATCCTTGTCTGCCTCTCTCTCTTTAGCTTTGTCGGCTGGATTTCCACCAGAAATACCAGGCGTGGAGAGAGTGGCAGGTGTGTTACCTCGACCTTGGATCATCAGCATCAGGCCGTCGTCTTGATCATCGTCACCGATAGTGGGGGCAGTGGTGATTTTGGTACGCAAGACTTGCCATTCGGCCGAAAGGCTTGTGGCTTTGACGATGGTGAAGGGGGCCGGTGCTGGGATGGAAGTCGGTGCGGGGGACGAGGACGGCTGGATAGATTGAGATTGTTGAGAGGCTTGAGTGTGCATCTGGAGCAGGGATTGTTGCTGAGGGAGAATGCCAGGAGGAGGGGCCGAGCGAGGCTGAACATCGAGAATCAGATAATGCTCTCTGACTCCAGGGCTGGCCGGTGGGAGGCGTGGGCTCAGATGACCATGTTCATGTTCATCCAGTCCGTTGTCTGAGCCATGTCCGTGCAATACAGACTGGCCACTCTTGGAAGGAGGGAGCTGCTGGCTGGGATCGAGGATCTCAAGACTTCGACAGGCTGCTTCGGAAATGAGATCTGAATCATCGTCGGCAAAGATATAGTGGACTGTGGGATGGAAGTGTTGGTTTGTCACGGTGTCTTGAACTAGGGTGAAGAATGGCTGGAAAGAATCTGGGAGTGGTGGGGCATGGGCATCGTCGTGGTCGTGGTCGTGTTCATGGTCGGTGCCATGATCTTGGTTGTAGGATTCATGATCGCCGTCGCCGTCGCCGACAGCGTGTTCAGAATATTCTACGCCTGAATCAGTGGGGTTGGCAGTGGATGTCGGGTCGTCCGCAAAATGTGGAGATGGAAGAAGGCCTCGAGGTTGAGTGGGAGGAGGCGATCGAAGAGAGGCACCACTGCCTGGTCGGCGCAGAGAGGGATCATTGGTGGATGGTGGTGGGGATGAAGACGATGATGCTGCATGGGTTGGTGCTTGTCGAGGAAGGGACATGACCTGGGGGTTAAGGAAGCAAAGTATGGGTTGTTGGCTACATTGTGACAGGCATGGTTGAAAACAAGATGAAATGAGAGTGTGTAACAGAGGGTGGAGGGGATGGATGAATGTTGTTGGTGTGGCACGTGCTATGTTGCTCTGCACCATGCGTGTCAAGGTCCACCGTAGCTACTTAGTTCGTTGGAGTATACTTGCCTCAGTGGCAGTTATGACAAGGCTTTGGGGCTTTGGGGCTTTGGGTAGGTGCAATAGGGTTTGGGTGGGGAGAGGGAGAAAGCCTAGAACCACCTAACAAGGCTTGTCCAGCAGCTCAATCACTCTCTATAAACGTGCATTTCATCCCTGTCCCAGAAGTCATCCCCATATTTGCTCCCTTCCCAATAATTCTGTCCCTCCTCGACTACGCAAGTGACTCTATCAGCTTCACTCACACTGCAGACCACTTTTGCATTCCGATGCTCGATCCATGGTGGGGAATAGAGAGGTCCGTCCCAGGGACGACTCCAATCGCCTGTCCAGAATGTGACATTTGTCAGTTGCTTCCCGATCTTGTTCTCGCGAAGGTAAACCATGGCCTCTGTGGCTGTCATCTCGTTGAGGTACGGTTGGCGATATTGCTTGGCTCCCGTACAGGTGTCATTTACACTCGGTCTACCAAAGTAATGCTCCTCGGGTTTTTGGTGGCGACACTCGGATGCAATGTCGAGCCAGAGTTCGAGCGTCCTCAACGACGGGCAGGATGAAATCGCAGAAAGGGTTTCGAGAGGCCAGCTACCGTTGCGCGGTATGTTGATTGACAGATGGCTCAGGTTGGTCAGTTGAGCCAGACCGGAGCGGATCTGGGCTTCACTAAACTCCAGACTTGGAACTCCCAGTACTTCAATACTGTGCAGATCGAGGTACTCGAGTGACTTTGATTGATGAGCGGCCACGGCCGACAATATTCTAGGATCTCGTGGCCCAGTCCAACTCAGGTGTGTCAACGAGTCAGGGACCAGGCTGTCAATGAATCGTGTGGTACTCTGGACATCGTGTCCATCAATCTCCAGTTTTTTCAACCCTGTCAAGTAACTCGGAGTCTTATTCATAAAGTGTCTGTCGCACTCTATGCTCAGCTCTTGAATCTTGCTCCAATCCATAGCTTGGAGCCAGAGATCTAGGTTAGTCATCTGTCGCTGGCTTTCGGTGACTCGGAGGTCTTCACTGTATCGAGCTGCTCTGCCCAAGGTAATCCGATTGACAGTCTCAGCCAACCTCAGCAGTGATGGTGATTTCGCCAGCCTGGTTTCATCCCACGGACGTTGTACGAAATTATATCCCTCGAGTTTGAGCTTCTGCAATGACGGGTAGGTCTCGTTGCGTGCCAACGAGAAAGGGAAATTCCACCGATCAGGCCATTCACTACAGCCTAGCAGAGTGACACGCAGATCCAAAGAGGTGATATTAGCACACGTCTTGAGAGCGGCGTGGACGTCGGACATGGACTGAAATTGAGGTGTGGATTCTCTTTGTCCCACCATCGAGTAGTTGGGAATTGTGACGGCGATTTCCGACGGACAGGTATCTCCTGCCTCCCATGATCTGCCCTGTACACCGGGTATGGCGATAGAAGCAATACACAGAAACATCCAGGTGAGGAAATGCATATTTGGTTGGAAGACGGTCTAGACAACCGTGTTGCTCCCCTCAGAGCATAAATGAGTAGGGAGGCAGATTCGTGTTCGAGAAACCGAAACCCACTCGACAAGAAATAGTCAGGCTTCAGCTTATGATAAAGAACAAGAATCTTGATTGATCGAGGCCAGTACACCACTTGTGGCCATGTTGGTCACTCTACCAATCTGGCTGCCTGGAGATGCAAGGTCAATACCCTGTAGGTTCCCTCCACTCGTGTGAGGATAAGTTGTCGTAAAACAGTGATAGTATAATTGCACTGCAGGTAGATTGGGATCCGCATCTGTAAATATGATTATATTCCTACAAGGCAAGGTGTTCTTACATACATATGTTCATGTTCTAGTACTATAAATATCTCAAACAACTCTGGTGTTTCATCTCCAAGCCATGGGCCGCTTCTTGGAAATATAGTGCCAGCCAACTTGGGCCGCAATGAGGTCAACTCGACACAATTGGGTAAGTCTTGTGGGGTTTCTGCTGCTAGATGAAGATTCCCAAGTAGAACAACCAAGACAGTGCACACTAGAGATCAGAGATGGCAACAACTCCATGTCAAACACCTTTCTCCCATGGGTTCCTGGCCATGTAGGGAACCTCAAAGGTTGAACGCATCAATGTTCGAATGCAGCGCCGTATAACTGTTGGTAATGATTTACGGTCAAGCATATTGACATATCCTTACATTCTCTTTCGTTCAGGCACAGTTCAACCCAGCTTAAGCATGGGATCACCTCGTTGCATTATTGAAGACCAAATGTCAATCTCCTATAACTTGACCAGTTGTTGATACACGCAGCGGCTTCATCGTGTAGTGACCAAAGCTTTCACCATGTCGATCGAATCCCCTGCAAGTCTCGGCCACCCTTGAATTATCTCTAGCTGAGACAAATTGGGAATGCCAATGATCGGATCTCAAAATCCAACGCTATGCTTCGCCAACGCCCCTGCCTCAGACCATCATCTTACAGTTTCTGGTACTCCAGCTTGCCCTCAAGCTTTTTGGACTCGGCTACCTTCCTCACCGCCTTGTTGAAGTCATCCTGGCTGACCGCGTCCCGGTAGTCTTTGATGGCAAACAACCCGGCTTCTGTCACGACATTTCTCAAATCTGCTCCGTTCAGGCCGTCACTCATCTTGACCACGGTTTCGAAATCAATGTCGCCTTCAGTGACAACTCCTGCGGCGTGAATCTTGAGAATCTCCAACCGGCCAACTTCGTTGGGCAGGGGAATTTCAATCTTTCGATCCAATCGTCCAGCTCGCAACAAGGCGGGGTCAAGTGTGTCGGGTCGGTTGGTTGCCATGATGATCTTGGTTTTTCCGAGGTAGTCAAAGCCGTCTAGTTGGTTGAGGAGTTCCATCAATGTTCTCTGAATTTCTCGATCCGCCGATGTGCCCTCGCTGAATCTTCGTCCTCCGATGGCATCGATTTCATCCATGAAGATGATACAAGGTTCGTGTTCTTTTGCATAACCAAACATTTCTCGGATCAGCCTCGCAGATTCGCCAATATACTTGTCAACGATGGCAGATGATACCACTGAACACATGTTAGTAGATGCGACTCGTATTAATAGGAGAAGTGCATGCACACCTTTGAGGAAGTTTGTGTCGAGACTGCTTGCCACTGCTCTTGCCAACAAGGTCTTTCCCGTGCCCGGAGGGCCGTACAGCAACACACCTTTGGGAGGTTTGATACCAACCCGCAGGAAAAGTTCTGGGTTCTTCAACGGCAGCTCAATGACTTCTCGTAACTCTCTGATCTGATCGTTCAAACCACCGATACCTGCAAATGACACTTGGCCTGGGTCTTCGAGCGACATGTTGTAGACTAGCGGATCGACTTCTCGGGGGAGCATTCGCATGATTGTGAGGGTGGTCATGTCTAGTGCCACTCTCGTACCTTGCTTCAGTTTGGCCTTGTCCACTTTGGATCGGCAACCAACGACATATCGAGGACCAGATGATGCTTTGACGATGACTGCAAGACATTAGCTTGATGGTGGACCAGTGTGCAGGGGTGCCATACATCTCTCCTCATCGAGTTGTTTCAACACCTCTCCAATGATCTGGCCAACGCTTTGCAGTGCCTTGATGTTGTCCTCGGTGACTTGGAACTCCTTTTCAAGGCCTCTCAGCTCTAATCGGAGGGTTTTTAATTTGTCTTCCCATTCTCTTGATTCCAATAGCTTCGCCTTGTATTGCTCTATTGCCTGCTCTCTCTCCGGGTCGCCGTGGCCGGACATCTTGTCGGTCGATCTTGGCCAAGGTGCGCAAAGACAAAGGTATAATTGATGATTATTGTGTTGAAAGAAGATGGTGTAATCACAAGAGTAGTATGAACTTGCAGCAGAAGGAAGAAAGGTCAATAACGTTGTGCGAGTTGGTTTGAATTGATGATGAACACTGCACTGGAAGATGGGACGCAGGTACCAAAGTAGGGACGCGGCATAACATGGGGGATGTGGCTGATCGGATGAGACAAGCCACAGTGTGGCTAGTGCTCGAGGGTCTCTTAGTCACGTGCTCTGTAGGAGCATCTTCCGCAACAGCCTACCAACCCGCCAGCCCTAGGATTCTTGGCAACTCTTCCGAACAAAGTGGGCGGTCAGCCTGCCCCTCGCCCTTACGACATGGATCAATCCTACTTTAAGCTAAGTACAGTACATGTACATATAAGCCAATGTTGATCTGCATAGCTTGAAAGGCATCAAACGGCAAGGCGTTGTCATTTTTCGGTTGCATAAGTAGTATGCCGCAGTCATCACTCAAGACAGGGTTCTCTTTCGATGCCCAAGCCTATCCTCACAGCTCACAGTTTGACTGTATGGAAAAAGTAAAGACCTGTCTGGGCATGACTGTACAGAGGGGCCAGTTGACTGGTCGACCGTCATTTGGTGGGCAGGTACCTCCGTAGATCCCTGAACTGCCCCTCAGCGTCTGGTCCCGCACCCATCGCACCATGGCGTTCGGGTGCAATCATCATTGGAATTGAGAGGTGGCCTCCGATACAGCCTGGGGTTGAGGGGCGGACTGGACTGGACTGGACTACGTGATAGCTGTTGAGATGGCTTGAGTGACTTTTGTAGCGACATCCAATTGTCCATCTCAATCATCACGGGCGTGCTTGCACCACTTTACTTTACCCCACCAAAAAACAACAAAAAGTTCAACTGTTCTTCTTTCACCATTCCACCTTCTTCCACCCTTCTGCACTTCCTTATTCCTGAGATCTCCATTTCCCATAAACAAGAGATCTGGTAGCCAATTTGGTCTGCACTTTCATTATCTCTCTCATCCACACTAAGCAGAACAACGCTGACATAAACCTTCCATCACACCACTCCAAGTACGTACAAGCTGCTTCCTCTCCTCACTCGTCGTTGCATGTGCTTTGCAAACGGAGCTATCGAGCACAATCTATAACGCCTCACTCCGCATTGAATTCCCCTCTGACTCTCTTTCTTGCACACCTTGAAGTTGCTTTACTTGTCTTCCGACTTCACCCACTAATTGACCCACTGCAGTCATGCCTATTGTCAAGGTCCACGCCCGTTCCGTTTACGACTCCCGGGGCAACCCGACTGTCGAGGTCGACATTGTCACCGAGACTGGCCTTCACCGCGCCATTGTTCCATCAGGAGCTTCCACTGGTCAACACGAGGCCTGCGAGCTTCGTGATGGTGACAAGTCCAAGTGGGGTGGAAAGGGTGTCACAAAAGCAGTGGACAATGTCAACAACATCATCGGCCCCAAGTTGATCGAGAAGAACCTTGACCCCACCGATCAATCTACCGTCGATAAGTTCTTGATTGATCTTGATGGCACAGAAAACAAGACCAACCTCGGAGCCAATGCTATTCTTGGTGTGAGTCTGGCTGTTGCAAAAGCCGGTGCCGCTCAGAAGGGTGTTCCTCTATACGCACATGTGTCAGACCTAGCAGGTACCAAGAAGCCATATGTCCTTCCCGTGCCTTTCCAGAACGTCCTCAACGGCGGTTCCCACGCTGGTGGTCGTCTTGCCTTCCAGGAGTTCATGATTGTCCCAGAGTGAGAATTCAAGGTCCTGGTCTAGTCTGCATCCCACTAATACCTTTTCTAGTCAAGCTCCTACTTTCACCGAGGCTCTTCGATGGGGTGCTGAAGTCTACCAGAAGCTGAAGACCTTGGCCAAGAAGCGATACGGACAATCTGCAGGCAATGTTGGTGACGAGGGTGGTGTTGCACCAGATATCCAGACTGCCGAGGAGGCTTTGGAGCTGATCTCGGATGCCATCAAGGAGGCCGGATATGAAGGCAAGATGAACATTGCATTGGACGTTGCGTCAAGCGAGTTCTACAAGGAGTCTGAGAAGAAGTACGACCTGGACTTCAAGAACCCCGACTCGGATCCCACCAAATGGATCACCTACGAACAACTGGCCGACATCTACAAGAGCTTGGCGGCCAAATACCCCATCGTCTCCATCGAGGATCCTTTCGCCGAGGATGACTGGGAGGCTTGGAGCTATTTCTACAAGACATCTGATTTCCAGATTGTTGGGTGAGTCTTTGCGACCCTCTTGGTTCGGGTTGATGTATTGCTAACACCACATTAGTGACGACTTGACCGTGACCAACCCCGTTCGCATCAAGAGAGCCATCGAATCCAAGGCTGCCAATGCTCTGCTGCTCAAGGTCAACCAGATTGGTACCCTGACTGAATCCATCCAGGCCGCCAAGGACTCGTACGCAGCTGGCTGGGGTGTCATGGTCTCTCATCGATCTGGCGAGACAGAAGATGTGACCATTGCAGACATTGTGGTTGGCCTCCGAGCTGGTGAGATCAAGACTGGTGCACCCGCCCGATCTGAGAGATTGGCCAAGCTCAACCAGATCCTGCGTATCGAGGAAGAGTTGGGCTCCAACGCCATCTATGCTGGCAGCAACTTCCGCAAGGCCGTCAACCTCTAAGCCCGGGAAAGGCCCCAATAGCTTTCCACACACAACAGGAGGAGTGGGAGAAGCGTGTTTCTAGCGGATCGAGGACGGCAGATATTCATATGCATCGCTCCCTAGGTGAGTCGCAGCCTCTGAAGATGCTCCGTATCAACAAAGATGAATCATGAATTACTTTTGATTGCATTGGGCCTCGACTCGTCGAAGATCTGTAACTTGTGCCACATGTCATGTATCATCAGTTGTAGTCGCCTTTGGGCTTTGCGCAGGGCAAGGCCTTGGCATATTTTCGGAGGCAAAAGACACCCGGAGAGCGGACAGTCGGGTAGGCAGAAGGGGGAACCGGAAGCCTGGAGACACCCATAGGCTATCATTCGACCACTGGATCTAGGCGAGAACGATGCCTAACGAGCCAGCTGCCCAACTAGTCCCGATTTGGAGTGAGAGATGTTGAGTGCCTGCATTCTGAGTGACACAATTTCCCCTCGCCCACGAAATCCATCTTTTTGGTTTTCTCGATTTCGCCTTCTCCCACCACTGCACCGCGCAGCAACATTCGCTCCAGGCTCTCCTCCTCATAGACTTCTCATTGTTGAGATCGCCAAATTTGCCTTGAATCACCACTGAGATACGAGTTTTTTCCACCAGTGCCTCCCTCAGCGCCTCTCACCATGCCTCCGAAAAAGTGGGGTGAGTATCTTAGTTTGTTGCGCACTCCTGGCCGCTTGCGACCCCTGCACTTTCTTCACCGTCACCCTTTGTGGCCAATCCCATACTGACCGTGATAGATGACGAGTCCGAAGAATCCTCCGACGAAGAATCGGTCGATGTCCCTGCTGCTAGACGAAAGTTTGGAGACGAAGAAGACTCAGATGATGTAGGACTGTCCGCATTACTGCGTTTGTGGACAAAAATCTAATGAACGTCAGGTCGCCGATAACTGGGAAGAGGAAGATGACTCCGATGCTGAACGAGAAAAGGCTGCCAAAGCCGCAGCGGCTAAAGCCAAGGCCGATGCAGAGGCTGCTGCCAACAAGAAATCAAAGGCTCAGAGAATAGAGGAACATCGTGAAGCCAACCGACGGAAAAGATTAGAAGAAGACGCCGAGAGCGACGACGACGAAGACGATACACAGCGACGGTTGCGTCTGCGACAAACAGAGCAAGATGCCGATCTGAAACACGCTCAGGATCTTTTTGGAGACGTTGGAATTGGACCAAAAGGCCGGACGAACAAGGCTACCATCATTGAAGACAAAGCGAACCCGGGTCAGGCCATCGATCTATCAGCCCTGGCACTCTTCAGGCCGGCAACCAAAACACAATTTGACAATCTGACTACCACTCTAGCTCCGCTGCTCGCTGCATCCTCCTCTAGGCCTCACTACGCTATCTGGCTCCCCAATTTTGTCAAGCAAATTGCAGCCGATCTACCCAGCGCCGAAATCAAGAAGGTAGCGAGCGCCCTGACGGCGTTGAGCAACGAGAAGATGAAGGAAGAGAAGTCGGCCGACAAGGGAGGCAAGAAATCCAAGGCGGCAAAGACCAAGACCAGTCTCGCTGCTGGACGTGATGTTGGCAGGGGCGTGGCAGATACAACGAGTTATGACGACGACGGTTTGGGTGATGATGATTTCATGTGATTGCTTTATTAGAACTACCGATTGGCTTCCTTTTTATCCATGCTGTATGCTTTCGACTTTCATAGAACGTTCAGAGCCATGCATGGGTTCAGCCTTGGGCAGGATTTGATACGACAGATTGATATTGAGATGAAATAGAGAGAGGTCTCTATTGACTTAGAACCAGGAAACATCCACGTATTGCTTGTTGTTGATTATCAGGGTGTATGCAGAATACAGCATAAATAGACGGAGAGTCTAGCAGAAAACGAGACGAACGTTAGTTGTCTTAGAGTGAGATCGGTCATACGAGTAGCGTAGTGGATAGATCTGGTCGGATGTCAAAATGATAATCATTTTATTCCTCAGCATCGCCTATCTACAGTCTTCCCCCACCACCCACCAACACAGTGTGACTGTGCAACACTCAACGTTGTCTTTCTGTGCTTCTCGCCGATTACAGACGTAACACTAAGGCTAGCATCAACGAGCGTTGTTTGAATGTGCCTCCAAGGCAACGATGATGACACTGTCACTACGTTTATGAATATGCACATGCACTCTCTCAGGGAATGAGCCATTTCCCCATCATCTGATTCTTAACCAAAAGATACCACCGTGGAGAGCCAACCTCGCATGCTTGTGGGCTACCTGAGCTGACTTGTACTAAGCCTTGCATCGTTGATTGTTTGTCATGATGGCTGGGTCAACTGGGGCAACTCTAGACATGAAGCGACACATCAAATACTGGACGCTATGCGCGCGACTGCTCCCGGAACAATATACGTCGTCGGACGCGAATCGAATGTCGTTTGGCTTCTTCATCGTGGCGGCACTTGATCTTCTTGACGTACTCGACACGGTCGTCAGTGAGTCGGAACGTCGGTCATGGATTGAGTGGATCTACGCATGCCAGGTCCCTCATACAGGCGGGTTTCGAGGCTTCACCGGCACAAATCTGGGTGGATTGCGAAGCCCCATGAATTGGCACTGGGACCCAGCCAGTCTACCCAACACGTACTTTGCGCTGGCTACGCTGACAATCCTGGGTGACGATCTGTCAAGGGTGTCGCGAAACGAGTGTCTACGTTGGATCAGCCGTTTACAGGCACCGGATGGCAGTTTCGGCGAGTTTCTCGGCCCAGAGGGAGAAGTGGTCGGTGGCAGCGATCCTCGTCTTTGTCTGTGTGCAGTGGGCACGTTGAAATTGCTGGGAGCAGAGCAAACAACAGCAAGTCGTCCTCGGAATGTCATCGACCAGGTTCGCTTGCGCCGATTTATTGCCAATTGTCAGGTAAGTCGGCGACCTGTGACCGGAGCGTATGATGCATAATTGACTTATGGAATAGGGATTGGAAGGTGGGATTGGGGAAGCGCCACTACTTGAAGCACACTGTAAGAGGTCAAGAGTTTCACTAGCCATAAAAATGTATTGACATGTGTGATTAGCTGGTCTCACATACTGCGGCATCGCAACCTTATCATTTCTCAGCCTCTTGAGCGAGAGAGGCTCGTCCGTTCATGATGTGGCCGACCAAGCAGGTGTTGATACCGAAGACTGCGCTCGATGGATGTTGGACCGACAAACGACGTGGATAGAAGATGACGAGGAGGAAGACAGTGATGAGGAGGAGGCAGACCAAACCCGCCAGACACCAGTCCATGCTCCTTCTGACGCAAGCCCCATTGGCGATCCAGATATGATCGCAGGCTTTTGTGGGAGGAGTGGCAAAATCGCAGATACTTGTTATTGCTTCTGGAACGTTGGAGCATTGACGGTAAGAGAATGGCAGTCCACACAGGAACATGCTTGCTAACCACTCAACAGATCCTTAGAAAGCAAGACTTGGTCAATGTCCCGGCGATGAGACGATATCTTCTGGAAAAGGTCAACCACATTGTGGGTGGGTTTGGGAAGGCTCCAGGGGAGCTGCCAGGTAAGGCTTGCCATCACTTGATTCAATGACGCTGGGCGATACCAATGTTGACGATTGATTGATACAAGATGTGCTACACTCATACCTAGGGCTAGCTGCTCTAGCCATCTACCATGAACCCGGCTTGAAGGAGTTTGATGCAACATTCTGCTTCAGCGTGAGGGCGGTGCAGAATCTGAAGCACACAGCTTGGAGGCCAGTGATGGAGTGACAGCGTCGGCAGTTCTGGACTTGTCATGTCTATCTACTGATTCCCTGTTAACCACAGATACCGGTATCAGAAGAATGTGCGATTTCCAACTCTGGCCATCATTATTAATCTGGTTGGAACTGAGCATTGGGTACGGCGGAAGAATTTACAGCCTATAGGTTCCTGAAGCTCCCCTCGACATTGCCCGAGCCTTGCATCAAACCATACGGTTATGTAAGGAGAAGTGGTACCTGTAGGTGCTATAGAGCCCCTTCTTAGTAGGAGGAGGAGACAGGGCCAAGTGGCTTAACACGAGTGCGCAAGATCGGTCAGTATACGGCCGAGGGGCGCAGTCCCCTCTCACTGTATTGAAATGGGCGTGGGCAACCTGCGGATTTATTCCCTCTCATGATTAATAAATGCCAGACCGTTCCACCCAATGTGTGCGTTGCGTATTAGAAGGGTCGACTAATAATAAAAACTACTGGAGGGCATTCGAAACGTGGTTCTTCTGCAGCGCTGGAGCCTAGAATGTCATCACGATAAGCACTAAGTAAAAGTAGTAGCTGTGGATTAGTCGTGGCCAGATCCTCGTCCAAAAGACGCGCATTGTTCGCCCACTACATTTTTTACTGGGGGTTAATGGTCGAGGGTCGAAGGGTCTCGATTGACTTTGGCTGTAGCACGGCTTTGGATAGCCACTACTGACAGCCTCAGCCCCATCTGCGTCAGAGGATTCTCAACCTCATGCCTCCGAAACGGCGTCTGCATCTTTCCTTGACGCCGAGCCTGGCCATATTGGGTACCAACAGTCCAAGCAAAGGCCCTCGGGCTTTGTATCAAAGGCTTGAGCATTTGCTTGCATACCTATTGCACATTTCATCAACGAGACCTCTCTTCTCTCTCCCATCTCTCCCAAGTCTCTCGTCCTCTCCACGACCAAGCCAACCACTCCCAAGATGCCCAAACGAACACTCTTCACCAACATCACCCCGTTACCTCCACAGGTCTCACGAGATGTTGCAGTGGCAATGCTGCATAATCATGACGAAATGATTGAGCTGAACCCTTTGGTTATCGAACACCACCCGATCAAGACCCCGCGTGACGCACCAGCGGATGAGTTTCTGGACTGTGCATGGCAAGAATTGACGGACAAAATCCACTATTTACCAGGAGGAGTAGTCAAGGGCAAAGTCAGCTACAAGGCGTGTTTTCACGACACTCCGACGGGTCTGCAGACACACATATACGCCCCGCTGGGGCTCGACATCCGAGAGAAATGGTCCATCGGTGGATCGCTGCCCGGAGAGCCCCCCGAAGCACGGGAACTGGGGGTAGACACACCACGGCAGGGACTGTACCTACGGGAAGACGCTGACATGCACTGTAACCGGATGTTGACATCGTTTGTGCGCAAGAACCTCGATAATGCCCACAAGGTACTGGTCGAGCGGATCCTGAAGAAAGCTGAATTGATAGAGGAGCACGTCCAGAGCCAGTCCGCCTACCGTCCCTCCAGCCCATACACACAGACCGCCAAATTCCAACCAGGCTCGCACATGGCCAAGTCACAGTTTCTCCATCAGTCATACCAACGCCCACTCTCACCGCAGATGCTCTCTCCGCAGCAGGATCTAGGTTGGCAGAACATGGCCAACCACCCGGCCTTCAGGACCGACAATCAAAACGCCGCCATGATGAACAATTTCAACCCACCCATGAATCTGCAACCCAACCCAAATGCAAATCCCCATCAACAACCATATGTCGGCTCTTACGCCCGGCTGAAACAGCAACAAATGGAGCGAGAACAAATGATGTCACCGTACTCGCAGCAGGTGTTCCAATATCAGCAGCAACACCAACAGCAACACCAACAGCCTTCGAACGGACCCAAACAATTCATTGCCGAGTTGCCCGGGTCAACTTACCATCCGACACTGACCCAGATTCCCACACCACCCCCCTCCGACTTTCGTATGAGTATGGTGTCTGAACTGTCTGGTTCGTCATCACAACAAACTCCACGAGTGTCGCCGAATCCGCAGGCATATTCGGACCGGTCGAGTGTTATCTCTGAGCTGCCTTTACAACAGCAACAGCAAATTATCTACCAGCAGGGAAACTCAAGATGAGATGAAATTGAAATTGCAACGGTGAGCATAGCGCAGAATGAAAATGTCGTGATATATTGGTTCTGGACGAGATCATGATGATACCTAAAGATGTATGGAAATGGGAATGTATACTACTACTAATTATTACGATGATGAATGATACTCTGAACTCCGTGTACAGTCATCCTGGTGCGATTGATGGCGAATTTTATGCCAGACGATCAAGGCTATACTCGTACGTCTATGCTATGAGTACGTCCGGCTACAAACCGGCTAGACCATCTCAGAACCGAACCCCGCCACTTCGCTAAAAGATTCAGCAGGTCTGTAGTCAGAACGACTAATCTATGGTCGCCTTCGATTTTTGTGTCGTGCTGAAAAGATGCACTCCGACTAGTGGACGGATATTCTGGTCGGTGTGAAGTGGTGCGAGAAGATGACCAGGTAGACCCTGTATGGTCGAGTTGAAGCCAGCCTGCCAGCCTGCCAGCCCAATCACAGGCTCTAGTAGTGTGACTGGTGTGTTGGAAGAAGGTCATGGCACGCATAACAGATTCAGCGATAAGGGATCGGTAACTCAAGGGTACGAGTAGTAGGAGACTACTTAGAAGAGAGAAAGAGAAGCTCCTTCCCGTGCCTAGGTACCCATTATTGTTGTTTGTGCAAGGTAGGTACTCAGCACCTGCTAAGGATGAAACCCGCCACTACAAAAAGGATAACGGGCCTTGGAAGGCACAAGTCCACAGTAGTAGTGGACGGTCTTGCTCGACATTCAGATCTGCAGCCTCTCCATATCTTCAGTCTTGGAAACCCCAATGTTATGGTGTGGACGAACCAAGTGTATTCGTAGTTGAAACAATGCCGGTCTCGTATGTGTACAAACCTGATTCGTGTAATCCAACCGCTTGGAAGTTCGAGGTGTCGGCTAGATCCAGTCCAATCCGATCCAATTCTCGAGTCACTTCTCAAGTCTCTGGTTGTAGGAGTTCTGGCCCGGACATGCCCAACAAAAAGGAACAAGTGACAACGCAGGCATGCACTCATCATGCAGGAGAACTGCAAGTTGAACTGAGAAACATACCCAACTTGTTATCATGATGATGCATAGGTAGTGTGGCTAATGCACCCCTGGAACGAGGAACTAGGGGAGGACAAAGATGTCCACCAAATCTGGGGGTGGATGATGGGTTGTCAATCTGGCTGTCAAAGCTCAGAGGCTGCAGGCTGTAGGCTGGAGCCCCTTCCCGTGCATTTTGCCCTTAGCGTAATGTTAATTGCAGCGCCTAACCACTTTATTAGTTTAGCTGATTGTCTTTTTGTTAGAGGACTTTTTCCCAAATACGGGGTGCGACCGTGCCGAGCCAAGGGGCCCTCGGGCATCTACGGAGTACTCCGTAGGGATGGGATCGAGCTTCGAGGGACGCCCCTCGGCCGTTGGGTCAAGCAAGTGCCCTGAAGCTAAACCATTCTGACAACAGCGTTGAGCTGTCAGTGGTTTTGCTTGAGCTCGCTTAAACCTGTAGGGGAATCTCTTGTTTCATTATTATCATTGCTTGCAGATTCGCGTCCGTGCTGTTTGAGATTGGGACCAATATTCAAGATGATCTTTGCAGAAAAAGAAGAAACCACCATAAGAATGTCTATCCCTGACCGTGTAATGTTACACTCGTACGAGCATACTACTATCTGTGAGGTATGTACACCAACCCAGGAATAACATGCCTATACGGAGTACTGCCATACTTCGTGTATGCCCGTCACTTATGTCAGTCACGTGGGAGACCCGCATAAATCCTCCAGCTGAACCTCTCGCGTGCCCTTGTCCGGGGGGAACGACGAGCATCAATAGGGTGCCCTAAAGCCCCCTCGAGCAGTAACACGAGCTTATCTTTCCTGTAGGTAGGTACTTAAGATACCTACCTACCTTAGCCAAGGGACTACCAGATCGATGTACTCCGTACTGTATGTACTGTAGGTACCTACTCCGTAGAGCTTGTCGACGCCCACTCCTGTTCAACACCATCATTGTTATTGCCTCTAGTCTCAACCACATTCACCACCGCCACCAGCTTTGCCTTTTCATCCAAATTCTGTAATCTGTCAACCTCAGCCTCAACCCACCACATCGTATCGCATCGCATCGAATGGCATCACCGCAATCCCCTTCTGACAGCAGTTAAACCCTCGACCCGATCCACCCCAAGACCCAGGCCCATGTCTTGATCCTCGTGCGCCTCCACCCCCCCAGGCCCAATCGTAGTGGACCTCCTCTTCCACCCTCCGTGTTCCTCCCAACCTTTATTCCTTTAGGCCTTCTCCTCCCATAGTGCCTGGCCCTGCAGCCGTGAATTACTGCCCGCCAATCGTTCCGCTACCGTAAATCCTCCTGGCGCTTAGCTACACGTTCCCTGCCAGTCGAGCCTCGCATCCTCGTTCATCACACACTCTCCTCCCTCGCCAACCTGTCGTGCCCATCCTCATGCCTCGCACGCGCTTGTCCTTTCTGGACCCATACTGAAACAAACTCTCCCTCTCCTCCTCCCTCTGCCAGTCGACACCGCTCTCGACAGCTGGCCTGTCAGCGCCTTCCAAATCCCTTCTGTCTCTCCAGGCCTCCATCTCACCCTCCCCCCTCGATCCAATGGTTTGACACGTCGACTTGGGCACTCATGTAGCCTAATTCCACGTCGTACACTGTCCGAGTAGCTCACCATGCTGCACCAGGCCACCGAGGCCGCTGCCCCTCGATCCCATTCTACCCGTCTTCCCCAAACAACCGCTCATGTTTCGAATGCCTCACAACCCACTCCACATGCCCATCCATCGCCCCCGGCTACTCGACTTCCCGCTCGGCCTGTGATCAACGACTCCCTAATCCCAAGAGATTATCTGGGCTCGCTGACGGCTTCGAGGTCACCCGGGTCCACCAAAACCTCCTTCAACCAAGATAATTCCTTTCTCGACGACTCGACCACAGATGAAGCCGACGACCATCACGACCAATCCATATTGCAGTCCGAGGCGGGCCTCACCTCGGCCACCAACACGCATCCTGTGGTGAATTCAAGTCCTCGTCCCTCACCGTCGCCAGAAATTTTGAGGAACAACCCCAAGGACGCCTCAGTTCAGGATCGGCGTTTCCCAGACCAACCCTCCTCCTCAGTCGTCGACTCCCCAACATCCTACACGTCTTCTGCCACAGTCTCCCCTCCTCCCAACAACATGCCGCGCACTTCCTCCATCGACTCGGCAATCTCTAACATGTCCAACACGCCGGGTCCCCAGAGACCACAGGGGGATGCCAAAGAACCCACCAAGGACGAGGTCCGCAACCTCATCAATACCGCAGGCTCCCCCGAAAACTTGATTCAGCATCTCTTGAGGGACAAGAATCACTCCGCCGCACAAAATGCCCAGCTGTGGAAGCTGGTCGACAAGCAGCGCGCCTTGTTGCTCGGCTTGAACAAGGACCTGGAAAGACTCACCAAAGAGCGCGACAGGTACCGCAAGAGAGTGAAAGACTTGCAATCACAACCTCCCCCGGTTCCTGTCAATCGTGTCCGTGCCGAAGCCGACCAGGAGAACAATTCCCCTCAGTCCGACAATGATGCCGCCTCGATAACCTCCATCGATGCCCTCACGGGGAGAGAGGGCGCCACGCGCACTGGGCCCGTTACTCCGGGGAGGGTCCCCAATTTGCATTTGCACGGCTCTCCGCTGGATGCAGCCATGGTGCCCCATCCTCTCCATCTGCAACATCCTCCCAAGATCGACATAGTGTCGACCCAATTGCCTCCACCTTCTTTTGCGCTGAGTGAGCCAAGTCCCCTTCAGGAGAAACCTCCAAAGTCTTTCCAGGCGTCGAGGAAAGCCCCACCGCGGCCGCTGAATCTGAGCCAACCAAAGGATGATCGTTCTGCAGCCAAACTATCAATCGCCAATGGAGCCGTCATCAGTGACGAGGAAGCAGATGACCGGGATCCAGTGCGGCGTGGTCGACGGAAGACGCGAGAGGAGGATGATCGTGATCGCGAGACCCTAGCTTTGAAAGAACAAGAAGCCAGGAGCCGATCTAAAAGGGAGACAAAGACCGGTGCTGATCCGGGAGTGACAGAACCTGCGGCTGCTGCACCTCGACCTTCCCATGACTCGGTCGATTTGCCGTCATCCAAGGCCATGAATCAACTCTCTCCCCCTTCAACCGCATCTCACAGTTCCTTGGGACAGTCACCCAACCCTCTGCGAAGTCCTGGCCTCCCGCTGAGTCCTCGTCCTCTTGGTCAAGCACTTCTCGGTGCTTCACTTCCAATGTCCCCCAGGAACCTAGCCAGTGGCAGCTTTCCTCTGTCACCGCGTGCGCCTAAGCAACCACTACCTGACCCCACCACACCAGGCCAACAGGCTCCTGCCCCCGGCGCGGAGAAGAAGGGGCCTTCACCTCTATCAAAAGTGAATTCAGCCTCGACTACTGCATCAGACCAGCCGACTGCTCCAGACCCACCTCTCAGCCCTCGTGACGCACCGCCAGTGAATCGAGGTTTGGTGAGTCCGACCTGGCCCGATCTGCTTCTCCCACCAAATGCCCTCCCTTCGATCCAGATCAAGGTGGCTTCTTCCCGTTTGCGTCCGTCACGCAACAGCATCCTAGGACTCAAGGCACAAGACGAATCATCGGTTTTCAGTCTGTCCGTATTCGAACGTGCCACAGCGTCTGAGCTCTGGCGTGTGGAAAAGATCCCCGCCACCTTTCCTGTCCTCGATCAGACTCTCCGAAGTAGATGCTCCGATCTTCCCAAACTGCCAGATCGAAGACTCTTTTCCGGCCATTCTCCCGCAGTCGTTGACGCTCGACGACTGGCGATTGATCATTACTTTGAGGAACTCCTCGACACTCCAATGGATGAGCAGGCCGCTGTGGCAGTTTGCAGATATCTCTCTACCGACGTGATGGAGTCGCAGCATTCCCGCCAGCCTCCCGCCAGCGAGGACACCCACTCCAAACCCATTCAGAGTGCTCGCAAAGATGGCATACCGACCAAATCTGGCTATCTCACGAAAAAAGGCAAAAATTTTGGAGGCTGGAAGTCGAGATACTTTGTCCTGGACAGCCCAGAATTGCGGTATTTTGAGGCGCCTGGCGGGGCACATCTTGGTACCATCAAATTGCTCAATGCTCGCATCGGTCGCCAGACGCAATCTGACCCAGCCCCACGAAGCGAAGCGGAAAACGAGAACCAGTACCGACATGCCTTCCTCATCCTGGAGCCCAAACGGAGAGATAATAATAGTCATCTTCGACACGTACTTTGTGCTGAGAGCGACGAAGAGCGCGATGAGTGGGTAGAGACACTACTTCACTACATTGACGAGCGGCCAAGCGAGCCCAAGGCACCACAAAGCGCAGGAACTCAAAACCCACATGGGAAGGATGTCAAGAACCCTCGCAGCGCCGCCACAGAATCCGGACATGACGAAAGTGAGCGTAAAGGTGCTGGAAGTCCGTCCTTTGGTCACGCAAACAGTGACACACCGTCTCCCTCCACTGCTTCCACCCACGTCGCTGAGGCATCTTCGGCCGAATCTGGGTATCCGAGCAAATCAAACATTTCTGCCCCCATGAATGGCGTCAAGATTTCGGACACCAGCCTATGGGGAAATCGATCTGCGGGAACCGGTAGCAGCAAGGAGCGAGAGCAGAAGAAACGACACTTGTTCAATCACTTCCGTAAAGCTTCATCGGAACAGTTGGCATCGATTCATCAGGCGCAGGCACCAGTCGCTCAGCCGAAACGTTTGGACTACCAGGCACGACGGGGTGGACATGTGCGTCCGGTGTTTGGGATGCAGCTCCATGAGGCGGTCGAGCATTATTCACCGCTCGACGTGGAGGTGTATCTACCAGCGGTTGTGTACCGTTGCATCGAGTACCTACGAGTTAAGAAAGCTGCTAACGAAGAAGGCTTGTTCCGGTTGAGCGGATCCAACATTGTCATCCGCGAGCTCAAAGATCGGTTCAACGTGGAAGGTGACGTCGATCTCCTGGCCGACGACGAACAGGACTATGACGTCCACGCTGTCGCATCTTTGTTCAAGATGTACCTCCGAGAGCTGCCCTCGACCATCTTGACGAGAGAACTGCACCTCGAGTTCCTCAAGGTCTTGGAGATGGGTGATAAATCGCAGAAAGTGATGGCCTTTAATACCCTGGTACACCAACTTCCGGTGTGCAACTTTATGCTGCTACGCAGCCTTTCACAGTACCTCCTCGAGGTTGTTCAAAACTCGGATCGGAACCGAATGAGTGTCAAGAACGTGGGCATCGTGTTTTCGCCGACCCTGAACATTCCGGCGCCTGTGTTTGCCATCTTTCTGACCGAATTCGAGGCGATTTTTGATAAGCCGGCAGAGCGAGAGCCTCCCTCGGTGGACATTCAACGAGAAAACGGCACCCTGACTCCTGAAGACATTCGATCTCCCCGTCGACAAATGTTCAGCGACCTCCCTACCCCCTCGCATAACCAGAGCAGCTTTGCCAACAACGCCAGCGTCAGCGTAACCGGCGCTCATAATCATGCTAGTAATCAAGACCACCGCGAGGCGAACAAAGACCTGGGCTTCTCTCCACTCCAGCCCTCGTATGAGACGAGGAGTTACGTTTCTATCCCACAAGAGATATCTCCTCAACCCCGACATCCACCGCCTCACCCACCGCCGCCTCCGCCTGAAAGTTCCGATTATGAGAAATCCACGCTATTGATGACACCGGAAAATGCGGCGAGTGTCAAGGCTAAGCGACGAGAGAGTTCGATGTTGTTCCTGTAAAGCGACTATTGGAAACAAGCTTTCAGAGACACCGACTGCGAGATCAAGGCCGCTGTGTAATCGTGGCAGACTTGCGTTTTTTGCCAGCCTTTTTTCATCTTCTATTCGAATACCCCATGTGTTAGCGCGGAGGCTGAGACAATTTTTGTTTTCCGTCCTCTTTTACATCTGGAGCGGATCTAGCTTGGTGTTTGTTTGTTCTTTATTTTCGATTCATCTTTGCATAGCCCGAAAGAGACCAGGGCCAACTTTAATGTCCATCAATTGGTGGCGAGAGACGATGGGCGAGGAATGAGTGAACGAAGGGGGCTTGGAAATGTGAGATGAGACCAGACGAGTTTGGGTGCAGCCATGAATGCGTGCTTGATCAACCGAGCGGAATGCGGTTGGGACTGCCAATATTGCTAGATTAGATGCTACACGATGCAGACTGAGAAAGATCTGCCACATGGAGTTACGGTATGTTTCATGCCATACCTTGGATCTGCCAGACGCATCATGCACCACATAGCTACAAACCTTGATATGCATGAAAATGTGACGGATGAAGTCAGACAATGTAAGATGACTCAGGACCATTGCCATGTGATGTTGGTTTTTTTTTTTCATTGTTGTGGTTTGTGTTACTTGTCTCGTAGCCAAACAAGATCTTGGGTTGTGGTTACGATGAGTGGATGGACATCATGACATCTCGGAGGGCAAGTCCCACAGACCTCAGCCTTGCCAAGGATGTTACTGCGCTTTCCATGTCATGTCGAATGTCGGGAAGGTACGCGCTTGCGCGACTCCTCCTCCCGCACCTTCCCACTCCGGACCCCTTTGCAAACCGCCAATCAATACCAACTCAGGAAACGTGGGATGATTTGATCGACGAACGACGGAAAGTCAAGTGATCCAGAAAAAAGTCGAGCTTCTTTCGCCTTGAGTTTCACGGCTTCTCAAGCACAAAGCTAATCCTGTTCCGTAAAACTCCTCCTTGTACGCTACGGAGTATGTATATGTGGCGTCTGTTGGAAAGTGAGTCAGACTTGGGAATGTTCTTTCCTTCGTATTTCCCAGTACATGCTGACAACGAGAATGGTTCCTTCCTCGAGAGAATTGCAGTCCAGTACCAGTACATACATATGCTCGTACGTAAAACTCCTGGTAGGTACTCCATACTCGCCTACTCCACAAGGTCCTCGGGCGGGCCTGCTGAGCGGATGAAAGTTGTGGAGGATCCGAGATCCACAGTCAGACAAGCACACAACTTCTTAGCTTACGGAGTACCTACGCTTCAGCACCTGCTAAGTTTCACAAGTTTGGTTGGAAAAAGGCCTGAAGAGGTCGGGCCCGGGCGCGCCTTCCTCTTGCCTTGTTCTCATTTGTCTTGTTGGTTGTGTTGGGCGCGTGCCTGCCCAAAAGCCCCAAGTCCGCAAAAACTCAAACTCGACTCCCAAGCCTCTTCTCACAATACTACGGAGTAGTTGCAGCCTCACTCGCAGTGTCCACATGCGCTTCACATTCAGACCAACGACTAGACAGAGTCCTATGGCCCCATTCTATGCTGCCAACCATTTTGTGTTTCCTAAGCTAAAAATGTTGCATTTGACAATGATCTGCGGACGAGGGAGATGACAACTGGCTCAGACCAATCAGACCAGTGTCCGTCCCTTTTCCTCTCCCACAGAATAACAACACTTCTCAGCCCTGGGTGTCTCCTACGGATGTCAGCCAACAAGCAGCATTATGGGGTGCTATACTCCGTAGTCTTCTCCTTACTTGTGCGGTGTCGACCCTGTCAGCTCAATCCACCAATCATCGTTCTCACCACACGCCACACGCCCCTGGATTCCATTGTTGTTAAAGAGCTTACTCAATTTCTGACTTGTCACCTCCAGCAAGGATCCTCACTCTGTACTGATCGGAGTCATGAAAAAATCCTTTGCCTCTGATCACTGCCAACCTTTTCTGGCGTGTCCGGTTGTGGAAAATGTTACAGGAAAGCGGTAAGCCAGTCACATGTCATTTCACCTCTCGTGTTGGTCCCCTCCAACTCCGTAACTCGAACCATCTTCCGGACCCAACAACTCAATTTCACCATGCAGAGCCTTGCCATGGTTCAGTTGACAATGTAAGCCCCTCCAGAATCGGGCTGCTCTCGATGGCTACCTATATAAAATCCGTGTCTACCCTGCTCTTCTTCCCTTGCTTCCATCTCTCTTCGCCCCCTTTCTCTTTCTTCCATTGCAGACATTCTCGGCTTGTTTCTTGCTCAGCTTCAACCCTTGAAAATGACTACACCGACTCCCAACGCAGAATCTGCTCCTAAGCCTGCCTCGCCATCCTCGCAACCTTCCATCTCCAGCGCAGAGGCAACCGCCGTGGAGAAGGGGAACGCAAACGTTGCTGCTGTTGACCTGGAACGCGTCGGCGAGACTCAAGGCTACATTCTGGATGAGACGCAATTGAGGGAAAAGTTGGGCCTTGCCCCAGATGCCGTCCTCAAGAAGGGAAAGAATGATGTGGTCTTGATTCCTCAACCCAGTGACGACCCTGAGGACCCCCTAAATTGGACACCAACCAAGAAAGCCCTTATCCTGATCGTGTTAGCTGTCGTCGCCTGTACCGCTGATTACTCTGCCGCCACTGGTGCCAGCGCTCTGCTTCCTCAATCTCAGGAATGGCATATCACCCCCGATAAAGTTAATCATGCCACCGCCGGGTAAGTTCCATTCTTTGAAGCATTTTATTAAGCTGACACCAGTTTCTAGTAACACATTCATGCTTGGAGTGGGTGGTCTGGCCACTGTCTGGCTCAGTGCCTATTTCGGACGCTTGCCTGTCTTGTTCTGGTTCGGATGCCTGTCCGCTGGGACTGCGGCCTGGTCTGCGGCTGCACGATCATTCGAATCCTATATGGCCTCCCGTATTTTGAACGGCCTATTCTGTGTCGCCGGTGCTGGTGGTGGCCTAATGTGGATTCAAGATGTCTGGTTCTTCCACGAACACCCTCGCAAAATCAACATTTGGTCTACTGCCATTATTCTTTCTCCATTCTTGGGCCCTCAATTCATGGCTGCGTGTATTCACGCCGACTCCTGGAGAACTGGAATGTGGCTCAACTTTGGTATCATTACACTTGGCCTGGTTCTCACTGTTGCTTTGGGCGAAGAGACCTTTTACCCCCGCCATCTGCCTAGGGAACAAGTCCCGCCTCGAAAAAACAGATTCCTTCGAATCGTCGGCGTCGAGCAATTCAAAACTCATTACACAACCAACGGCTTCTTCGAATCAGGTGCTCGCCTGGCATATGCTCTACTGAAGGCCCCTGTCTTCCTCATCTGCTTATTCCATTTCTTTGACTGTGAGTAACCAAATCAACCATACCAGCCAGAGCAAAGCACGACTGACTCTTTCTAGTTCCCTGGACCATTGCAAACAACACGACAATCTCCGTTCTCATTGTGCCTGCCTATAACTTTGACTTCTTGAATTTGGCAGCCATTTACGTTGCGCCAGTTGTGGGAGCCATCCTCGGTCTCGTCGTGGGACACTTCCTCTTTGACCTAGTCGGCAAGTTGTATGCTCGGCGTCATGGCGGTCGTCTCGAACCCGAAAACCGATTGATTGTGCTATGGCTTGTCCTCCCCATCAAAATCGTGGGATACAACCTGATTGGAGTGACGCTTCAACATGCGCAGACTTGGTCATGGTGGGTTCTGGCCGTGGGTTGGGCCATGCACAATTTTGCCACCATCGTCACCACCACAGCCATCGGCGCTTACCTTCTCGATGCATACCCCGAAGCAGGCGGTGAATGTGCTGCTTGGATCAACTTTGCTCGCACATTGGGTGGCTTCATCATGGGTTACCTACAGCTCAATTGGGCTCATTCGGCTGGCACCCAGACCCAGTATGGCATCCAATCCGGCATCATGGCGGCAGCATTTATCATCATCATCTTCATGCAGTTCTTTGGTGCCCGGCTGAGAAAGGCACAAGGTCCACTCAAGTTCAAGACCAACTAATTGATGGTCTCTCTCCGCCCCCGTTTCCGCATTACAGGGCGGGCATTGGCGTGGTTGTGTACCTGAGACTTGGCTACGAGGAAGCGAGGTTGTTTCCTCTCATGTGCAAGGAGGGCGTTCCGGCTGGAAGACGTGCATTGTGGCCTTGCTAATAAGAAGGGAACGGTCAAGCATAAAGTAGAGAGCACTATTTCATAGCAGTCATTACTCGCATAGTCATCAGAACCTTATCCAAAAAAAAGACAACATGCTGCCGGAAAATCGACGATCGCTCCGTGCCGCCATGCAGCAAACCCAGAGCAACGTATTTCACTCTGAACATCTTCCCGTGCGCCCTGCATTATAGTCAGAGCCTTTCTGCACCCCGTCCTCGGATCACCCTCCGCGTTGAGAGTAATCCTCAACTTGTACCCCATTATAGCTTCGCCAGCCTCCGTATCCCCGGGCCGTGCTTATGCTTACTGCGCGCCCTCCCAAGGTTCCCAAAATTCAATCGGTGTTGGACACCTGGTCATCATCATCATCCTCTCCCGCCACAAACGGTTGTTCGTGTTGTGCCTCAATATTCTCTCCCGGCCGCACGTTTGTCGAGAATCCGATCTGTGCAGACTCCGGTCCAAACATTGAGCCTACCACAGCCACGTCCGTCGGGTCAAAAGCTTCTTGAACCCGCACGTCAGGCAAAGCTCTTGCAGCCAGTGATCCCGGTACTAATTGATCTCGTAGACGCTGGATGCGGAGGATGAGGTCACGTACCAAGATGCCCATATCCTCTAGTTCTCGAATCTCGCTCGAGTTGACTTGGTCGGCAGGTTGTCCATCGACCAAAAGGTGTGAAGATGGCCTAGGGCTGTCGGAAGGTCCCATGCCGTGTATTTGAGCATTCAGACTGGCAAAGAACTCGACAAGGCCATCAATCGCCTCGTCGGTGCTCGAGGAGTTACTGGTCCCACCATTACTGAGCCTTCTCTGTTCAAGCGGCTTGCGGACCTTGCCCTTTTTCTTCTTAATTCTTTTCATTGACTGGGCATTGAGAAACGCTTCTGACTTCTTCTTGCATTTGCCTGTTATCATGCGGTCCCAGCGGCAGTTGGGGCAATAGAAAGGCGGTGTTTCAGGAATGGCAGGAGGCGGAGTTAGATGATCTTCCTCTGGGGGAAGTGGACGGCATCCCTTGCATGGGCACGCAGCCTCTAAGCCACTTGCACAATCGCCACAGACGTGTATCTTGCAATCAACGCACTGCCGCATGGTCGCGGTACAGCGTAGGCGGTGATCCCCAGCAACACGAGAAACCGGACAGAAGAAGGACTGGCAACCCCGCCACCGAGCGACAGATTGAACCTCAGGTGTACCAGGGCGTTGAGCAATTGAACTTAGCTCTGGGGTTGGTGGATTCGAGTGGAGTGATGGAGTTGGCGATGTCGACCTACTCGGCGGCCCGGTGCTATTAGAAGCACGAGAACTAGGTCGGTGTGGAAGATCTGTTTCTGCTATTGGCACTCTTAGGGTTCTCAACAAAGTTCCCACTTCTGCATCGAAGGTTGCTGTATCAGCAAGCGCGATTTGTGTATGATCAGGAGCTGTGGTAGTGATGGGACGATGTGTGAGGGAACGAGGCAGCTCACTAGGCGAGAGTGTGAGTTGTTCTGCAATATTGATCTGATGTGTGTCTTCAGTTGAAGAGCTCGAAGGAGATGCTCTGGTGCTAAATCGATCCTTTCCCTGGCGCATGAGGGTGGCGAGAAGTTGTAGAGCCTTTTGACGAGATTTATACTCCAGCTTCTCAAGCTCGAGGTCTTTCAGGCCACAAATCCTGCCATGAACACGGTCCCCAATGTCATGTTTCAGACAAAGAGCGGTTGAGCAGCCCTTGCACTTGAGCTTCCAGTGGTCGGAAGTGTAGCATTCTTCACACAAGACTCGAGGTACGGAGACCGTTGGGTGTTCGCCAGAACTCAGAGCCCCAGTGGTTTGGAAGAGAGAGTCAACTGAGGACCAGCGACCAGCAGGGCCATCACCAACGTTTTTCTGTAAGGCCAAATTATAAGAAGAGGAATGTTCGTTGGACTCGACATCGAAACGATCTGGGTCGAATTCGGGATCTTCCCAGCCTTGACCGGGAGGTAAAGGGGCGGCACGAACACGGTCCGTCTCTCGGATGGCACTGGCACTGGCACTGGCATTGGAACTGGTTCCAAAGGTTATTCCACCGCCTCCAGAAAAAACAGGTTCTGTACAGCACCATCGCATCTTGATGGTAGGAAGACTGTTGATAGGACCGGCTTGGGGGCCGTTGGGGTTACCGTTCGGGGGTTGGTCTTGATCTTGCATAGAACAAGGGGATACAGCGCAACCGGGAGCCCACCAAAACTTGTTCTTTTCCTTGTCGAAGGCGTTCTTGTTCCGCAAGTAGGGCCTGTCGAAGGCACACGAAGCGCACAGAGTCTTCCTGCATCCGACACAGTGCATCATGACCGAGCATTGTTCACACCTCTCAAGAATTTCGGCGGAGCAATTATGACATGTGATGTTTTCGATGAATTTGCGGTGGGAAAGGCGCAGATGAGCGGGGACTGACTTATCCTCAGGGCCTGTGCCGATGACTTCACCATTGATGGCCTCTTCATCGTACTCCCAGCTTCGACAATCCCGCTTGCGTTTCTTTGCTAGAGACTCCTCAGGATCGGTAGAACTTTCGACAGGGCCAAGCCAGTTCCTACTTCTCCAGAGACGGTCATATACCACCCAAACCTCGCGAGGATCTTGGGGCATGCGCATCTTGACATAACCGCGTCTTCGGTAACAGCGAGCGGCGGGGGTTGTGCACCAAGCGGTGTCGGTCCAGATGCCTAGTTTGTGACAGGTGAGGACGAGTTCGTGGGTAGGCTCGCTGTCGCTCTCTTTTCGGGATAAGCTGTTGGGCAGATAGGGCCGTCTTCTATGATGGCGGCATCTGTAAGTGTAGAGACTCTTCAGAGCAAGTGCTTCATATGGGGAGGCAGAGGATTCCTGAGATGAGGTATGAGTTGGGGCTAGGGCGTGCATATGCAACCATGGGTTGATGTGGTATTTGAGGGAAACATTTTTGCATCCACGGACAGAGAGGTGTTTGAGGGTGTCCCTGCGGAAGACTAGAACGGTGGAGATGAGGATGGAGCCACTGACAGCAGTGTTGTCCAGCTCCAAACTAGCCAATCTTGTGCTGTACGGGTTGATGACACTGAGAAGGATCTGATCTAGGGCGTAGTTGCTAGATTGACGCTGCCCGACACCAGAACTATTGTTGGTAATGGTGGCAGTTGACGTAGCGGCTTGATATAGTCGCCATGAGACATATCGCCATGAAGTCGGGGATTTGGTGAAAAAGTCCCTCAGAAAAGGAGAGGTCTGGTAAAGGCGAAATATGGTGTCAGTGGGGATTTGGGCGAGTAGAGATTCAAGGATGGGAGGGTTGCAAGTTATGAGCAACTCGAATCGGGATGGCGATGAAGGCTTCATGGGCGCTGAAGGTGGGAGGAGTTTGGAGGGTGAGGAAGCCAGAGACATGGCGGTTGAGAATTCGCAGCACGAGAGTTGGAAGATGCAACAGAGAAGGACAAGATGAAACACATATTTCAGCCTGAGGGCGTAGATGGCGAGTGTTGGGAGGACCAGAAATTGGCGACTAGATGGTAGGAGACGCCATGGGTGGTTCGAACGCTATGACTGCCTCATGCACAAGGGGGCGAGAGGGTGAAGAAGCGCGATGGATGAGGTAACGGTGGTGAGAAGGTGGTGAGATTGTGAGGTGAAGTTGTGCAAGTGGATGTCGAGATGGATTTGTGATGCACTTTGGAGGAAGGAGTGACCCAAGGTCCCTGAGGTGCCACAGAAGGCGCAGTCGCAGTCTTGGTGGCTCCTGCTTTGCCCCAGGCAATGTTATGTGATACGGAAGGCGCGATCAATTAGTCAAAGTCATGTGACCGACTCACATCTAACTGGATCCTTTTACCGCCACTACCAATGCATGCTGGCTGCATTCACTATTCAACAGGTCTCGGCTGAGGATGCCCAACGCCTCGCCTTATGGTTGGATACGATGGGCTGAGGGACCTAGGAGCCCCATTTTGTCCACGAGGACACCCAAGGGTTCGCTCCAGCCTCATTTACGGGTTGCCTTTTTACTCTCTATTCACCTCTGGCCTGTCATGTTTCTCGGACTTCCGGACGCCTTGCTCGGCATTTTTCTCCATAGCCCCAGCTTGTGGAAAGCCTGAGTTAGGATCTTTTGTATTCGTGGTCCTTGACAACTACACCACTTAACGCCCAGCGGATTGTGCAAGTCATTTCATACCACTCGTCTATTTTCCAACAGGTATCTCGAACTATGTTCAGCAAACGAGAAGTTTAAGCCGAGTGAATTGACGCGGTAGAGAGAGAAAGACGATCAATAACTCTCTATCGTATAATCAACACACAGTCTTTCCCACTCATCGATGAGTTAGTCTCTGGAATCTTTGCCATCGTTAACTTTCAGCACCTTGGAGTGGGAAACCCAGCCTGGCCATAGGGTCTACTCTCTCTCACTCTCTCTCCAAAAGGACATTAAGGGTGAGAGATACCACGCGTGGGTTGTAATATGACGGACGTCACGCCCGAATGCTCGCCGATCATCGACGGTCATGGAATTCAAGAGCCCCATTGTCGCAAAATCTATTCATCATTAGAGACACCTGATGGCATGCGCCGGCTGATTGCGCTAGCTCTATGCCATGAGCGAAGCTACCACTAACCAAAACTGGTACAGATGGGTACTGGGAAAGTGACCACTCTGCCGACAACCAGGAGTAACCACTTCAAGTGATTTGGTATTCACGACATCCAATTACCAACTCCAATGGAACCCAAGAAGAAGCCCAGCATCAAGTTTCTCATGGCTTTACTATTAGCGTCGGGGACCGCAGCATTCGTACTGCTCGACGAAGTAGCGGCGGCCGTAGCGGCGGCCGTACCAGCAGCTATGGAGGAGGCAGTCGTACTGGCGCCGCCAGTCGAAGCTGTAGTGCCTGTTGTCACCGATGTCGTGGTCTCCGCACTAGAACTGGCAGCCGGGGTCATGGTGCCAGTGGGCCCTGGAACTGCAGTGAGGGCGATTTGGGTTTCTTCTGCTGTGCCATTCAGAACTTCGAACCAGTTGGCACCGATGGGAACATCCAAGCCTGCGGCCTTCACAAAACCAGCGATGTCAAATGGAAATCGGTCGGTCACTTCATTAGGAGGGATGAAGGAGGCATACTCCGACGGAACAGCAAAGTCCTCTGGTTGCTCAAACAACAAAATTGTGTATCGGTGAGGGCCATCGCCTCCAGGCGGTGTAGGTGGAAGATATTCAGTACTTGGGATGGATGCATTGACGGTGCTGTTGGCCTCTGGTGACTGGATAGTCATGGCCCGGTTGACTCCAACCAGGTTGGGTTGGAAGTAATGGAGCAGTTGAACCCTCTCGGCCTCTCCGATGTCCACATCTTGGTCGACCAACATGGCAATATGAGCCTTGGTGCTGGATGCAGAAGCGGGCCCGAAAATAGTTGGTGGTTCGAGGATGTCTGATTCACCTCCATTAGCTGGCTGTTTCTCCCAATGCTTTCTCCTAAACGAGTATACTCACCATCTCTCTCAATGACTGTACCAGTTCTCAGCTTATTAGAGCTGGCAGTCCATTCCACAGTCAAGGAAGAGTCCACCCGGATAGGGAAATCAGGAGCAGACTGAGCGTGCACCAGAGCTGCCAGCGCAGGCAAATAGACGGCGTACGAGGACTTCATGGTGGAACTGGATGTGAAAGAATGTAGGAGGAGAGGAGGAGGAAAATAGTAGGGTCTAACAAAAGTATCAAAGAATTGCAATGAATCATGGAGTGGACGATGGCATTTATGTAAAAGGAAACAGCGGTGTCGTCTTATGGCTACCATTCAAGCATCTGGAGAATGCTTCTCCATCTGGCAAGGATACTTTGCTTTGAAACAGAACACTTAATGCAGTAGCAACATCATTAGCCTTTGGGGGCTGAAAGTGATTACTTACATGCCCAGTGAGTGATAGGGCTGAGTGCCAATGTCTGTGGGGTCTGGTCTGTTTTCGGGTACAATTCTCGAGAGACGAGATTCATTCATCGAGGCAACACCACGATGAAAGCGTGTCATGTTCGATTCTGAAACTGAATCAACACAATTCCTAGATTGGATTGGTGGCCTTTGCGTGATACGCCAGGATCCACGTCGATCATACTACGCAAATGTCCCAGTGATTTATTTAACCCGGATTCTTCAAACACAAGGTTGCAATACTCTTCAAAGGTCAATTCCATGCTCGCCAGATCTGGCGACAAGCCCCGCAGCAACAGCAAGAGCGGGTCTTGGGCGGCTATAACTTGGTCTCTCATCCATGTCTACTCGCGGATTGCTGCCAAATACTGTTGCTTTCTGGTTGTTCATGTTTCTGGCATGCTGTATCTGTTCTCGATATTCAGACGCTTGTTAAGATGTTAAAGTGGAAAGCTGCACGAATAATCAGATTACACATTTCCAAGGCTGTTAGTGAGCTCAATGGCTCTCTCACAATTTTCATTTTCGGGTACTATTTCTTGTTTCTATGAGCATGATTTCTTCCAAAGCAAATTTGAGGAGCAAGATGTCTCTTCAATCGAGTGTCGTCATGAGCAGGTCGGGCTCTGAGAGGCCTCCGACCAATATTGACGAATAGCTCGACCGGCTCATGGGTTCATGATTACACTCTGATGGTTGCAAGTAACTTCATGATAGTCATCTTGATGGTTTTCAATAAATCGAATATAAGAGTCGCCTTAATCTACAAGTTGTGCTTGTCAAAGTCTGCAACATGGCAAATATCGAGCTCTTTCTTCTCAACCTCATGTGGCAAAACGTCCAGCTCTAATCTCTTCTTCAGTTCTCCTCCGCCACGAGTCCGAGACACGAGACCAATCGATGTCACCCAATCTTCCAAGAGCACGACAGCCATCACAGTCTATGTAGTCACTCATGGTACAGGAAGCATGGCAAGCAGGACAAATATCGTGCTCTTGTCTGTGCCAGCTGGCATTCTGGAAATTCCATCCAACCTTCTGGACCCAGAAATTACTGATCTCACAGCCGACAATGGTCTCCCAGTATTCTTCGGCACGGGGCCGGTTGGTTAGACAATGGTTGCATAGCCGTAGATTTGGCGGCATCCATGGCTTGAGCTGTGTCATGAGTTCTGGAACATCGAAAACAGTTTTGGGCAAGAAACCGGCATACTTGGGAGAAATATCCGACAGAGACAGTCGGACATCTCGGGCGGCCAATGCCATGCGTTTGCAGGTCAATGCAAGAGCCACTTGGGACGGTGAATGAGCGATAGTGTCGAAAATCAACAGCAGAATCTCATACGGTAGGTTCAAGAGCTTCGAATGGGCGTCAGGCTCTTTCGACACTTGTCCCAGTATCTATGGAGTCAGACTCAGCCCTGCATGAGAAGATTCAGATGGATCATACCGCGTCTGATAGTATAAAGCGGTTGGACAACTTCCGCTCAAAGTCTTGGGCTCTTGGCAGACAGTGGAGCGGTCGACGAGACTGAGTATTTTGACTAGATCGACCACCAGAGCCCGTTCCAGCAGGATAGCCAGTCCAGAGAGACATGTCGTGACCAGAATCTGAGTGATGCTAAGAGATATTGCTATTTGTCCTTAGGTCTGTGTCTGCGATGTATCTATCTCCTCTTTCGGAGAACCGGAGCAAGTGACATACCACGCGGTATATATGGCACACACAAGGTTGTTTTTGCTGGAAGACACAGCAGGTGTGGATGACGTTGGTGATCAAGGGGGATCATCCAGCATACTCGCCTAGATCCAGGGTGTCAGAGCACACCACACTGATCGTTCAAGCGGTGCTATGCTCAGGGGACACCGAAAGATAAGAACCAGGGACGGCCATAAGGAACATGAAGCCAACGCCGACCATCATGTCATTTGACAGTAGTATCTAAGCCTTTATGAGACTAGCCCCGATGAAATACAAGGCTTGTTTAGACGCCAAGACATCCCACCTTCCCGCTCTTCCTGGGGGAGACCCACCTCGGCAACCTCAATCAAATGTACGGAGTACGTACAATCTTTCTTCGAAGTGTACGGAGTAGAGGCTTCATGTCGGGGTGGAGATTGGGCAGAGACTGGTAACGAGACATCATTCCTGGTCTTTGAGGTTGTCAGCGCATGAGATGTTCGTTCTTCTGGTGGGGCCCCTGTGTCTGAATGTGCAAGGTCACACCGTAAGTAAGCTGATGCTTCTCTGGCTGTAGAGGCCCAGAAGCACGAACGTTTATTCGTTGACAAGATGTTCAAACTCGAATGTCATGGCGGGCAGAACACTAAAGAGTGAGACTGTGGCAGCATTGTGCAAGACACGCCCGAGTAATGATCAATCAAACGCACACAAGTCGGTCAAAGTACCAGCATATATTACAAATGTATCAATGCTAACAAGTCGATACAAACAATCACAACTCTATGACGATCTTTCCTGAGGTTCTACCTTCCCAAATGTCTCTGAGCCCCTCCTCTGCCCTCTCCAGTGGTAAGACTTGCCCAATATATGGCTTGATCTCTTTGGCAGCGACAAAGCTCAATAGGTCCACAAATTCTTCTCGTGTCCCTGTGTACACTCCAGTGATACTGAGGGAGTTGACCATTACTGGTAACAAATCAATGGGCACCACTGTCGTTCCGTTGTCTGAATGTACGCCACATATTACCACCGCCCCCCCGGTCTTGACCGATCGAATCGAATGAGCGATCGTCGCAGACCCTGAAAGGTCAAACACCGCATCCACTTGTTCTGGCAGGGTTTCCAGTGATCTGAACGTTCTCTCAGCCCCTAATTTGGTCGCCAGAGCGCGTTTCTCCGCCGTCCGCCCCGTTGTCCATACCCGATACCCAGCAGCAGTGCCGAGCTGGACCAAAGCAGTTGCGATACCTGTGAACCAAAGTAATCAGTATCAATCAGGGTTTGAATCACGAGAAAAAAACGTACCGCCGGATGAACCTTGTACAAGGATGGTGTGGCCTGGTCTCAAGTTGGCCCGGCTGAATAGCATCCGGTATGCAGTCAACCAAGCAATGCCCATCACACTTGCACTCCTTGCATCGAGCCCTTGAGGTCTGGGCACAGCATTGCGTCGAGGTACACATACGTATTCTGCAAGAGTTCCCTGGACCTTCTCACCGAGAACATGCCTTGTCGGATCTAGTGTCTCGTCCCCTTTATAGTCGACGTCGCCCATGTTAGGATACAAGGCCACCTTAGTCCCATCATCAAGCACCCCAGCACCTTCGTTGCCAAGGATCATTGGAAATCGGATCTGGTGCATGCTTATCCCACGAAGGGTGAATACATCATGAAAGTTGAGTCCAACTGCCTCCATCTTGACTCGCACAAATCCCTGAGGTGGGTCTGGGAGGTTGCGTCTCCCGATCCGTAGCGAGGACAACGGGTCGTCAAGATTCCCTGATGCCGCATATACAGTGCGCATCGTTGGCTTTGCCCCGTCCACATCACCTTGGACCAGATGCTGGATCTTGTTGGACACAAGGGTGAAAGTCAGGAATAAATCGAAAGGTTCGTGGATTCCATAACTCGCGAAGTCGCCATCCATCAGCACATGGACGTGTGTCGTATCACTGTTGTCCGAGGTGGAGGAAAGAACCTCCATCTTACTATTGTGGCCTAGTACCCCGTCCTTGATGAAACTCTTGATTGCTTCCCCCGTATATTTCTTTCCGTCGTCGATGATCTCGGCCTCTGGGAGGAAGGAGCCAAGGACGAGATCAAGGTTACCATTGTTAATTCCATTGATATAGTCCGCTACGGGACCTTGTATTGGAGGTGTATTCGACATGTTTCTCGATTTTATCATTGATTAGACGCTGAGGGAACAACTGAGTAGAGGGGACGGGTGCTTTATATACTGCATGACGCCGGTATTTTTCCTGGATCTCCTACCAGAAACCAGGGTAGTGATTGCTTCGAAGGTCAACTGTGCGACAAGCTTGAGACCGAAATTTCCGGGGTGCGACTCCACAAACGATTATCCGCGTCTTTTGGTGGATGTGCGGGTAATGGTTGCGTTCAGGAGCCTTTAGGGCAGAGGGTTGTGTCAATAGCGATTGGTCAAACGATATTGTTTGTCCAATTCCATCATATGATGTTCTCGGGCCCAACCCTGGCTCCTTCGGCTTTTGAAGGACATGCAAATGGCTGATATCAGGTGACCCGTGAATCGCCCGGCAACACGGCCGAATCCCCTGGTTGAGGCACAATCGCGAAGTGTAAGCCAATTTTTTTGACAGTATGACATAACCAACGGTTGAACTTCCATTGGCCTGTTTTTGCATACACAAAATACTCCTCCTAATGGTCTTCCATAGAGCCATTTGAATCAATTAGTGTGAGCGCCGTGTCGAAATATGGCTTATTCAATACCCCCACGGACAAGTGATTTGCCGCAACGTAAGTTAGACATCCATGCCTACCTGCTCTTCAATTTAAGCTATCGACTCAGAAGTACTTCAGACCATCAGCTTGTGCCTGTATCCCGCAGTAATCGGTTCAGCCTTGTGCTCAAAGATCAACCAGGCGACCTAGCAAGTAGGTTTCACAGAACCATTCTGAGAGCTTTGAATTGTGGTTGGAATAATCAATGTTACTTATGTTCAGTACCTGAACCTTACTCATGGGGTTTGCCCGGTCAAGATAGGTTTACTCCCTCGATTGGCGCAGACAATCTTCCTAGAATATATCCAACATCTCGAAAGATAACCATCAGATTTCCCTACGACTCGCGCTCAAGTGTAATGGAAGGTCGATTATTTTCGTGCCCGTCTCCTGTACTCTGCACCTACAAGACAAAGTTGTTAGTCAGCTGACCCCGCAATCATCGGTCTAAGGCAAACCCAATACTTGTCTACAATCCATTTACTGAAAAAATGAAAGCACAAGAAAGCAGATAAGCCAGTGAAAATTTGTCCGAAGTACTTGAGAGGCGTCTCTGAAACCGACGCGTGCTCAAATCATGCCCGACGACAGGATAACATCTGCAGATGTGACAAAACTTTGGCTTGGGAGGTGCCATACTGGGACCGGAGCAAGTGTTGACGAGAGTGTCGAATCGACACATCTCATGCCGGTACTTGTCTGATGAGATCTAGTTGACGACACTCATCATCGGACGACGCCGAGATAGTGCATGGCTTATGTGTTGACAATCAAACTGTGAAGTGTACTGGTATAGGTTGGTACCCCATCTTGAGGTTACGGACCGAGGTTACGGTTAAGTCTTAAAAGCATCCATTTCGACGCCAGAATCGGGACAAAACGTACACACCTTTCTAATTACCCCACACAGCAAGCTCTAGCTAGCAATATAGTGCGGTATCAATTAAGGTGATCGACAAAAGGCCAGACCCTCGAGAAAGAAATCAAAGACAAGAAAACGAACGCAAAAGATCATGGCATCTACCTCGGCTTTGCCCAAGACTATGCTGGCCTGGCAGAAGCACTATCCAGGGTCGACACCGGTAAGTGAACGAGCGAGTCTTCAACCTCGCGAAGAAGATGGATCATAGACAATATGGTCCGTCTTTGACTGAACTGACCTAACTCCTACCAGATCCGCGCCGAGGTGCCTGTGCCTAGCGTTAGCGACGATGGGCTCTTGATCAAGGTTCACGCTGCTGGAGGTACGTTTGTGGTTTTTAGTTTTTTTTGTGAGAAAAGTTGACAGATAGAATTGACCAAGCTGTGCCTCAGTCTGTCATAGCGACATTGCTCTGCTCAGCATGTCAGAGCGAAAAGGTTGGTATCAAGAGAAATACACCCTGGTGAGTAGTGACCCGCAGTGATACTCCTTCGCGCGTGCTGGCCACAGCACCTTTCTTTATTACAAGAGCTTTGCCGTCAGAGAAAAAACACCCGGCTTCTGTTCTGTTCTGAGTGTCGTCGCCGCTGATTCCATTTTGCTCCAGGGCCACGAAGGATGCGGTGAGATTGTCCAGGTGGGATCGGCCGTGTCCGACTTCCAGGTCGGGGAGATGGTGACAGTGCTGTCGGTACCTGGATGTGGAGCCAGCAGTTGTCCCGAGTGCAGCAGCGACCTAGGTCAGATATGCGAAACAGGCGAGCACTATGGAATAGGTCATGACGGGGCATTTGCGCCTTACATGGCCATCAAAGCGCGGGCTGCCGTCAAATTACCTGCGGGAGTTAGTGTTGCTCATGGGGCGGTGGGCACCGACGCGGTCATGACGGCATATCACGCCGTGGTGGGACGAGCCCAAGTCAGCAAGAACGACACGGTCCTGTTATTCGGACTAGGCGGGCTGGGATTCAACGCGCTACAAATCTTGCGACACATCGGCGCCAACGTGATTGTTGTTGACAAGCGGCAGCAGGTTCTGGACGAGGCCGTCTCATTCGGCGTCAGTAAAGACAACGTCGTGCCTGTGGATACATCGAATGTCCCTGAATGGATTGCCGCCAGGGGCATCAAGGTCGACAAGGTCATCGACTTTGTCGGTCATCCCGACACATTCAACGCGGGCATTGATGCAGGTAAGAAGTTGCTTTGCTGAAGAGCATGCTAGACCCCCCTTTTTCATACAAAAGCAAGACAACTTATAATGACTCAAACGCTATAGTCCGTCTCGGCGGCACGCTGGTGCTGATTGGTTTGTTGAGTCCGACGGTCACGCTGAATACTTTTGATGCTCTTCCGAAGCAAGTCAACATTCTGTGTAGCTTTGGCGGCACTCACACGGATCTGAGAGCTTCTCTTGACCTGATAGCCAAGGGGGTCATCGTCCCGCAGGTGGAGCTCGGGAAACTGGCCGACTTTCCAACAATCTTGCAAGACCTGCATTCGGGCAAGATCAAAAGCCGAATTGTCTTGGTGCCTGAAGGCATCGAAAACGTTAAAAGTCTGATGTAACTTGTCCCTCGAACAGGAGAGGCAAAGGCAAACAATGTAAATGAAAGCAAGATTTACTCTCTGAGATATGCACATAATCATGTGGCATAGAATACTTTACAACAGCGACATGATCGTCTTATCATTTCATTATTTCGTATCTAGGTCATTCTCCACTTCAAACTATAAGATAAATCCAAATTGCTTGCTGAGACTCGCGCTGTTGGCTCGGTGAATACATTTGGCGATGCTATGAATAGGTTGACAATACTCGACACCTTCAATCTTGTCCTGCAGTGTCTGGCTTTCCTACCCAATCTTCTTCTCGATTTTGCGGAAAAATTTGCCCACTCCTTTCTCAATCTTTTCTGTATTGCTCGGCTTGTGCTGTTGGTGCTGTGAGGTGCTCGAGTTACGGTGTGGTCGAGAGGATGAGGATGAGTAGTGATGCGAATTCCGGTGTTCCAACTCGGTGGGTTGATAGAACTGGTTGTGGACATCGTAAGGGTTTCCGGCAGTAGGTGGCGGGGGTTGCTGCTGCTGGCCAGGCTGTGGTAGTGGAGCTTGCTGGGCGTATTGGTAGTTGGAGTAACCGCTGGGAGGACGGGAACGGGCGTGACCGCCGGAAGAGAGGTAGTCAGGGTACTGGGGCTGAACGTGGGCGAGAGGCTTATGGGTCTGTTGGTTGTTGATGGACTGGTAGAATTGAGTTCCTGGAGTCTGAACCGCTTGTTGCTGGCCGAATATGTGGGCGTTGGGATCCTGTCCACCAGGCGTGTAAGTCTGAGCGGCGAGTGAGGTCCTAGGCGAGGCCTGAGGAGGCGGCGAGACTGCGTGAGGTCCGAAAGATGGCTGTGACTGGGGTCCGAATGAAGCTGCAGGTGGTGGGCTTGTTGCGTGTGGGCCAAAGGAAGGAGTTGGAAGAGATCCATATTGACCAGCTGATGGAGCGGGAGGGAACCCATATGACTGCTGTGGATGCTGCTGATATTGCTGACGCTGTTGATGGGCGTAGGGGTTGTCATGGACGGCCGCTGCAAGGCCAGTTCCACCAGCCCCATCCACGGGAGGAGGAGTATCTTCCCGATGGGCAGTAGGTTCAGGTGCTGCGGGTGCAGCAGGATTGTATGCTAGCGGAGCATAACTCTGATCAGAAGTGGGAGACTTATTGATCGGGACAGCGCCGACGCCAGCACTGGATGATGTAGGCGACGTCGCAGCAAGAGAGGTTTGCTGGTTGGCTGCTAGACCAGACGCCTGGGGAGGCTGAGGTTGAGGGGGTTCTTTGGGCGGCGGACCTGGTGAGTTGCTTTGCTTCGGCTCATGGTACGCTGGGTCTGATATTGCCACGTTTTCAAGATTCTGAACCACGGAGCTAACCAGGTGCTCGTCTTCATCATGGTGAGCACGGGTTTGAGGAATATCCAACTGGTGGGGATCTAGCAGCCGGCTCATGAAATCCAAGATCAATTTGGCGTCTTCCGAGACCCAAAAGTAAAAATCTATGGTATGAATGCGATATTTTGTAGTGCCTGAATCGCGTGGATCTGCACTGGCCAATCGCCACTCATCTGGATCACGGGCTTTTGCTGAGGCGGGAGATGAAGCGGCATGGTCATGGCCGCCGACAACCAAGGTGAGGCGGCTGGGGAACCTATCCGAGTTGGAAATGGAGACTATATCTAAGAAACCATTGAATGAGGTCTGGTCGGCAGTGCTCGGATTGACCGCAACTTCGAGGCGACTGGTGTGACGGGTCGAGTTGTAGTAAATGTATAGGTAGCAGTCCTTGTCGAAGCGGTGGAGGATCGGTCTGGGGCTAGGAGGGCCAAAGTAGGTATGGGCGTCGACAAAGCTGGATAGATACAATGAATGTCAGTTACAGACCAGCTAGCTGTAGGGAATAGCAAGTATCATCAGAAGTCTTACACTGTAGCCAATGTTTCTTCGCCTGGAAACGGCGGCATGGTCAATGCGGGTGGTGGATGGTGGGGAACCCAGAGGCAGTTGCGGTCATGAGAGACCTGGGGTCGACTGCTGCACGAAGGAATTGAGAGTCTTACTCAGGCTGGACTGCTGCATTCAAAAGGCGGCACAGTGTGCTCTGCTCTGCTCTGCTTGAGGCTGACAATGAGAACGAGAACGAAAACGAGAACGAGAACGTGAACGATGACGAGGATGACAAAGAGTGTACATATGTCGAGGAATTAAACGACGGCGGCTAAAAAGAAGAGGCTGTGTTGTGCAGACTGCAGGTGCGCTGCAGATCACAGAATCAGAGTCCCTGCCCTCCTTGGTATCATCAGCCACGCAAGATGATGTTCAGTTTGCCCCTCACAAAAGTGGAAAGTACGGTTGGAGGCAGTAACCGGCAGGTGGGTACTGTAAGTGGTGGGTGGTGACTTCCCAGTAGTGGAAGTCCAGGCCTGGGCAGTCTGCAGCCTTGCGCCTCCCCACCTAACCACCTACCGTTCACCGTAGAGGCGGATGACTAAACAACAATGATAGAGGGCTAGGCACTGTCTACGGACTGTTGTTAATTTATTCTCTTTGACAAGCCCATCTTGATCAGAGGTATCATCATCATCATCAGCCTACGTATTCCCTTCTTTCTATCTGTGCCGTCCACACTCATCGTCTATGCACGCATTGCTACCACTACGGAAAGCCACCCGTCCGCATAACAAGCCCATCGATAGAGTTCATCCAGCAGGGCCGTCATGGGCACGGGCACACCATGCAAAAGCGGTGTCGCCAGTAACGCCGTTCTCCTAGAAGGGAAGATGCTGGGTACCATCTGGTGTAACGCAGTGCCCAGCGTCTGAGGCTGTCCCCCACTCGTAGGTCGCAATGCTGTGGCTGAAGTCTGCACAGGTGCAGCAATGGTTGGGCCTACCTGTGACTGGATCACCTTGATCTGTGCCTTTGTAGGCTCCTGATCAGGGGAAGAAGGAAGATATACGCGGATGGGGATGTTTCGTGTTTGACCTGGGGGCGGAAGTAATGCCGTGTGGATTTTGGAAAAGGTGAATAGGTCGTTGTTTTGAGTCGATGTCCACAGAGCCTTGCTCTCCTGAGCACCCAGACTCATGATAGGTTTAGCAGTCCCCGATCGCAAGAAGTCGGCTTCCTTGACCGCGTTGATGAAAGCGTCGTGCAGAACGACTGGTGATGCATCAGGGATCTGAGATCCTGCTGGATCTGGTGTGAAATGAAGTGTAATGCGGAACGGCAAGAGGGCCGTGGTAGAGGGTGCCTGACCTGCGTCCTGTGTCGATAGCACGTAGACGTCATACAAGAGGCCTAGAGGCAAGTGCCACTTTAAGGCTACATTGTCAAAGGTAAAGTAGCCTGTGAATGGGGACACGGTGTCTGGGTCGGTGATGAGAGAGCTGGCGAAATAGGCATGAAGCTTTGGTAAAAGGGAGGGAAGGTATGCTAGTCGAGGATAGGAAATCTAAGCGGCATACCCATGAGAGTCAGCGGCGCTGTAGAAAGATATGACCAAAATAAGAAGAGTTATCCGCCCCTGTGCATCCACAAAGGCCTCTGAGGTAGACAACTGACGTACCAAGTATGGATCCCCCGTGTCATAAGTTCGGGATTCTGAAGCAGCGAGCCGGATTTCCAGTGGGAGTCGAGCATCCCAGATTGTACGCTGCAAGACTGCCAGAGCCTCGCCAGCAGCCATGGGGAACTAGGCTTGTCTGGTCCAGCTTGAAAAGATTCGCTCACCAGGAACAGCGGGGACGCCGTGATCGGTACTAAGGCTTGGCTGCCGAAGGAAAGCGGCCGGAGATTCTCATGCAAAGGATGGAGTCGTCGATGTCAACAAGACAGGAAGCCTAGTCTCCAAGCTTGCGGCTTCATCGGCGAGACCGGGGACTAGGAAATTGGTTCCGAGTGCATTCACAGTTCCATATGGATGAAACGCAGGAGGGCCCCGTCAAAACAACTCAACCCATGCACCTTGATGCTGGAGACCGCAGGGACAAGATTCAAAAATCCTCTGACCGCTATAGAAACAGGTCGCACTTTGGTCTGCCTGCAGATGTATGCCGAACCTGTGGGAGGTCAGGGAGGACAGGTCAATCCTCAGACGAAGAGATTTGGCTAGTTGAGATCAATCCCCAAGAGGACTACCAATGGTAGTCTGACGACTTGACCAAGAGTAACACAAAAAAATGAGGATGGCCTTGATAGATGATTCACCGAAGTTACTGGCCCACTCAAGTGGAAGCCTGAAGTCTAGGACAATGACTGTGGTAGATGAAATTGGCTGAACATGCCACGTTTGGAGGAGAGAAGCCAGCGACACCAAAATATGAGTTGGCTGTACAGGGGAGTACATCGAAGGACAATGTTCGTCACGTGCTTGGACGTGATACACTGTGCAGACCTGATGTCTCACTCTCTCAACTCCTCATTTCTGCTTGTTGCTGTCCGTCTCGGCCATCGTTCACGCATGGGATCCCCAGATCACAAGCCCATACCACAAAACGACCTCCGTGTAAGTACCGAGATGGTTGCGGGCAATCACTGTAAATGCCAGGTTGGGAAAAATTCGAAATGCCGAGTCTTAGTCGGACACTCTCGGTCGAGGGACAGATGCAGTTTTCCCACACATTCGACGACACCCTTGCCAAAAAGAGGAAGAGACTTCATTGTATTCTCTTCAACTATCCTTCTTCTGACCTCCTCCGCAGCATTGCATGTTTCCTCCTGATGAAATTTTTCTAAGCGGCAGCCATGTTCACAAATACTAATCCTGGTACCACAGGGAAATCCGGACTACCTGCACTCCCAGGGGTGCATTTTCGGTCTAGCCAAGGGGTTCATCACACATGAGGTCCCAGGAACTTGGTTGAGACCATCGAGTGCAACGGCCTCCCAGTTGCTGACCAACTCCTGGGGTCTCAGCAATCAGCCATTAGCCCAGCGGCTCCCTGCCTTCGCCCTACTTAGAGACCTGAGAGGATGCCCGGTCAACGTCCATTTTGGCACGATCACACAAAACTTGAAACATCCTTGCCGCTCTCTTAGGTTACACCATAGTGCAGGCCATGTCTGTGCCATAATCTGCGGGCTGCCGTGCTCGCGGATGTTTTGCGGCGGACGCTCAACACCTTCACCGCATGGCATGGCATGAATGATTGAGGTCGAAACTTGGGTCTGCATTATCTGGCAATGACGCCCTCTTCGGCCATCTCGAACTACAAGTTGAGGCGTCATCAGTCATGGAAGCAAGATTGCCCCTATCGAATTTTCTTTTTTCGACCACGATCGTCGTGTCAAAGGACGTTGGGGCGAATCAGATTCTGCCGTCACGCACCCGAAGCACACATGTCACCTCACTAGATTTGCACGAGACCCAATGCCACCTCCTCGTTTGTTGCGCGAGCAAAAGATATTGGCAGGAATTACAATGGAAGAAACCAACTCTTTGATTGACGTTGGTTCACCCTTTGGAGAGGTATCGACCAAGGGGAGACCCTGGAGCAACGCGCTCCGGATGTTATGGTAGATGCATATCCAGCATCAAGTCTGTCTGTCCATACCTCAAGCATACAGGGGTCTGAATTAAGTAGCGAGATGTACTGCATTACGCGTACGTAGATGAGAGCTTGGACATCCCAAAGTCCCACTGTTTGATCTAGCAGGAGAACCTGGTGACCCCAAAGTCCGGTTCTTGAAGCATGGCAACACGAGGTTGTGCAGTAACCATCTCGGTTATACCCAAGCAAGGCCACTCCAGGATCTTATGCGGGTTGGGACAAGGGGCCGAGGGGCCACCGATTCGCAGTGGTGGGTTCAGCGCTGGCGGGAATCCATTTCCCACAGGCAGTCGTGGCGGTGGGATGGCTCCACAACTGGGACACTTGAATCTTGAGAGCTTCCTGATCCGTGATGGACTCGGATGGCCACAGTAGGTCAGTAACTACTCCGTAGGTCTTTGGAGATGATGGAGTGGTTCCACTTGTCGCATGCATGGACTGGGACAATCGTTCATTCAGTCGAGATTAGCGCCTGTGCACGTTGTTGCACCCATACTCGTTGATGGAACCTCCCACCCTTTGAACCTTGCCTGCCTAGTAAGGCTCACGCTCGAACCAAAGTGAAATGAGCACAGCACAGGCTGTCTCCTTTACATTGACTCAAACCCACCCGTGCCACCGTAATGGATCAAATCCCTTATGTGGAATGACGTGTAGTTCCAACGTCAGTGAACGCTCTCCTGTGATTGAGCCTGCCCACGCCTTTCTCAATAAGTTCTATAAGTTGATATGAAATTGTTTATCTTTTGGATAGTATTGGAATGCTTAAAGGGGCCTCGCCCATTGCACAACCAAAATCTCCAAGCTCTTACCCAAGGACTTCTGTCATCTGAAGGGGTTCAAACTGGGCCGGGCGTCTGCAGCAAACAGGCCGGTGCGGTTGTACCGATGGGCAAGCCCTCTGGGCCCTCTGGGCCCCTCGGCCCAAGCAAGACCCTGGAGCTGCTCGCGTTAGGCCTCGCTACATGACAGATACTCCAAGGGTATCAGGCAGGGCCAGGGAGCCAGGGTTGAACGATTGACGCCGGTCGTGCAAATCCGTTATTTGGTGCTGCATGTTGCAGGCTGGACGGTGCTACGTAAGGATGGATACGCATATATGCGGATGAGTGACCCGATTTGCCCACCAGCTTTGGACTTGGGATCAGAATCTTGCTCAGGTCAGAAGAATGCGAGATACGGGGACTTGGGGGAGTCAATGATTTGCGGGGGGAGACTCCGTTGGTTTCAGTTTCCCAGGACAAGCGCGTTGGCACTTGGATAGACCGCGTCGGATCGACGGCCTGGTGAGTTTCTTTTGCAAGCGCCATCAAGTATGAAAGGAAGACCTTGGCACCTTCCGACAGCGCGGACACGGGATGCACGGACTACTTACTCGTATCTTAGGAAGGCACGGTAGGTACTCGTCCACTGCTCTGGTGCGTGGGTGCCTAGACATATTGTCACTTCCCATTTCTCGTGGCACCATCGGCACCTCACCTAACCCATGTATACCCCTGTATCTAGGGGTCCGAAATTCCTCTACTACATACCCTTGCGTGACTGGAAGGAGGAGGTATCCCACAAAGAAGTTGCCACGGTTGGCCAGCAAGCCTAGGGGAGCATAGGGCTACTCAGGGTATCAAGGAATGTATGCAGTCGTCATTCGCCGGGGGTAGGGGATATAGGAGTCGTGGACACAACGGGGTTGCATGCGGCTGGAATGGCTTAGCCCTTGTGGTAGCGCCCAGGTTGCTTCTGCTGAGAGAGAGCGCCCTCGGCCACTGCAGAAGTCCAGCAATTTCGAAGTTCAGGCGAGCTGGGGCAAAGCCAAAGCCAAGTCTGTATTGTCATTGTGCAGTCTTGTCTCAGATAGGAACAGAGATGGAAATGGAGTTGGAGGTAAGACTCTGTTATTCATCGGTCCCCATTCTCGAGGTTAGATGGCGACAGCTCATTCCTCTGTCCCGCTGTCAGTGTCAGTCTTGCCGCAGCCGAGCCCACCGTTCCATGCGTATGCGGAACAGTGGGAACCCTTACCAGGTACTTGGCAATGGAGCCTACTCCTCCGAGTATGAGTAGGAACTGCCCAGTGGCGCCTACGCAGACAGCGGACAACAGACAAACAACTGTACTCCGTACGAGTACCTGGATGTGCCTGGGGACTGCCTGGAATGGTTAAGTCTCGGCAAGAGGGTTCATCATGCGCCACGGCCCTTTAAGCCCGGCGATCCCCAAACTCTGCAGGGTCCAATGGTTTCCAAGGGTCCCCAGACGGGCCAGGCAAGACCAGGGAGGATTTGGTTAGGCCTCTCGGCCCTCGGGCGTGCTACAGGTGAAAGACTCATACGCCTGTCTCCCTAAAACTTCTAGCGGCGGGCTGACGTGCGGTCCCGGCGCTTCCCTTGACATGTTTGATCAGTGAGCTTTTAACCTTGCCATGGGTTCGGGATTTGGTCTTGGTCTGGGTCGTGGGTGGCTTAATAGGATACTTGTGGGCATGCCTGGATAGCCTTCCTTACCTTACCTTGCCACCTTGCCTACGCAGAATTGCTTACCTAGTTGGTGGATAACGGGCATGCATGGCGTACATAGGCGTTGGTCAGTCGGTCAGCCGGCCCAGCCAGGGACCGTTGATCACTCGTCCCCTTCAACAAGGCTCCGTAGGCCTGGTGTACCTGGTTCCTCTTCATCAATAATTTAGCAGCTCGTGCAGCCACCAGCTTTCAACTCGAGAATGTCTGCAGTAGTTAAGCTCCAGTCGGATGTCAATCCCCATCCGCAGGGTCATCCACAGGGCCGAGGGGCCCCTCGGGCCATCCCCAGTCCTGTGCAGTGTCCACCTTCCACCTTGTACCTTCCATTGTCCATTGTCCATTGTCCATCCACCAGGGCACATGGCACCTTCCACATTGTGGTTCTAGCAGCTCCTGCTGTTGTGCCTGCCTGTCTGCCTGTCTGTCCGTCTGTCTGTCTGCCTGCCTGCGTCTGCGTCTGCTTGTCCCTCCTCTCTCTTTGTCTCGCTTCCCACTCTGCTCAACCTCATCCATGGATCATCGCTTCGTTTCCATCTCCAATTTTGGCTTTGTGCATCTTGGCCATCTCGTTTCATCCTGTTCATCGTCACCACTACCGTACCTGATCCGGTTTTGCTTGACACCACGCCTCCCCTGGACATATCCCTCTCCACCTTCAGTCGACCCTCGACTTGCTCTCGCTTGACCTAATGTTACGTTATCGCGTGATCCAAGCCCTGCTCTCCATTTGGTCCCCAACACTTTGACCACATTACCACACATATTTTCCATATCAGGCTCTGTTTGTCCATCCTCTCCATCCATGCCAGCCTCTTACTCTGACACAACCTAGACTCAGACCTTGTCTACTCTCTTTTGCACTCCCTCGCTCAACACATAACCGACTTCTCCCTCCAGGCCAATCACCTGTCAGCCGTTGGGGCAGTTCTGGCAGTTTCCTGTCTGCCAACCTTGCACAAACGCTTGTCATTTTGTGACAGCGGGAAAGGTTCCAGCCGATGTAGTGCTGAACCTTCCTCGACTCCACCGCCTATCATTAAGACTGCGTCCGCCGTTGGACCCTTTCCCTCTACCAACTCGGCCATCGTTGGCCGTGCCACCTTCCACAGTGGACCTTATTCGGTCAGACCAGGATCTTGCATCACTGCTCACAGTCTCTCACCTACGCTGTTGTAAAACAAACGCTTTGGTCCACTCGTTCGCACTTTATCAAGCGGATGATTTGCTGAAAAGTCACCATTGCCCATCGAGACTCGACCTCTCACGCCTCTTCAGTTTCGCCTTATACTACCGGTCTTCCAATCACCCAGGCCATGATCTCATGAACTTGTCCCAGGCTCTGGCAATTATCAATGAAAACAAATGCCACGCTTCAGCACTTCGACCTCTTTTTCCGTTTGGAGACCACATGACCGAGGTCTTTCGGGCCTGGAGACATCATGATTCCATGGGCGACGATCCAGGGAAGGTAAAGCTGCCACTTAATTTGGCCTGTTTGTCACTAATCTTGCCATAGCACATCCAACCTCGACTTTCGTGGCGAGCTGAATGATTACAACCTGATTCACCATGTTGAGTATGGACCAACTCAATTCATCCGCGGGCTGCACTCGTCCATGCTTGAGCTGGCTCATGAACGTCAATTTGCCGTCTGCCAATTGGGCCTTTCTAGTGTAGGGTTCGAATTGGAACATACTACCAGAATATCAGACACTCTGGACCTCATTCTCAAGGCTCTAAATCTTCATCTCGCGGCAGGTCACCACCTGGAGAAAGCAGGTCGGCCTGCTTCGCCTCATCGAGACGATGTAATAAATTGCAGACCCTTTGGAGCCGACCCATCCGGCCTGAGTCGCGCCTTGTCTCCTGGCCTTGAGCTTGAGCCTGAGACTGGCTTATGTATCGAATCCTGCTTGGATTATGAGCAACGCCCCCAACCTGATCACCCCACCAGCCGAATGAATCAATCTTGTAGGTCAATATTGGATATTCAAAATCTCGTCAACCCAATGGCCCAAGAACCAAAGCCCCTGAAGAGAAAATTTTCGGCCACCATCACCCATCCAACCATCGATGCTGACGAAGAACATCTCTCTAAACACATGCCCCCCGACGAAGAGCTGGAGCTTCACAATCTTCTGAAATTTAAACGGGCCCTTCGAAGCTCCAATCCATCTGCAGCAAGAATAAACAAAATTCCCCGCCAGAGGCTCCAAAACCCATTTCAGGCTGCTTCGGACATTCCTCACAAGACCAGTATGTCCACAAAAGCTTGCCCAGAAGACCTTTTGGCCTTGAGACACTCCAAAAGCGGAGAAAGCGCCATCTTGGCATCTGCCATAACGACTCGGTCCACTCCATCATTCAATACATGATTTGTCCACAGGCTGCTTCGCAGTAACTTTCATTGCATTCGACACCCGCTGGAAAGAGGAACTTTGACCATTGCAGTCCCGTTCAGCGATACGGACCCTTGCATGAATCAGTCTCATATCGACGTCTTTGATTGGTGAGCGTCTATGTACACAAGTCTCATAGTCATAGCGGCTTTACCGCCATTAGCGTGTTGTTTCATGGGCGCGAGGCTTTCTCACGTTATCATGATAAGGGAAACTTGGGCGTTGTCTAGTCATGTGCATAAATTATTACACTCCTCCAGGGATCAGAATTAATTGTGATCCTGAGTTTCGAGATTGATCATGGCCCGCAAACTGCAAGCCGTGAATATTGAACATCACACAAGGCCCATGAGAAATGCCTTCATCCTGTCATCCTTCAAAGAGCCTTTTGATCGCTGTAGTATGGTTGCAACCTGACAGCCCCAAGGAGATTTCGAAAACCGGAGACCTGGTTTTCCGAAGCATGATTGCAGCTGTCCCGTTCGTACATGGCACATGCATACCGTAGACTATACCCCTGGACCTCATCTGATCTTGTATGCGGTATCACACCGCTTGCTGCTGGCTTCCTGCTCGACCCACCATCCTCGGCTCGCACCCATGCTTTCGAGGGCTAATGTGAGCTACCAACCTTATCACATTTCTGATTCACAAGTCACACTGGTGAACAAGAGCGGGAAAGTATTTCCACCTCGCTCGCTTATGTCAGGGACTTACATCCCTACTCTTGATACTGAACATGGTACGCGTTATGAAATGCGCATATGGACGGGTATTGGCAGAGGATAACCATCCCTAATTAGACTGATGATACTTGTCTGAGTGGAACCATAGTTCTACACTCGCTTCGTTTGCATCCCTGTTGACAAAACTTTGGAACCGAGGTCTTGCATGTATCCCGTTCCTCACCGTGGTCCATGTCTCTATTTCGTGTTATTTGTCCCACCTCATTTTGTCTCATCTTACTAGGCAGGGACCGGTGACTGTGGTCTTGACCGAGATGGGCTTTGCGTTGCATCGAAATCGAGGGGTGGTCTGGCTTCAAGCTCTAGGATCCTTTTTCTGACAATCATTTCGTCACCTATCCCTACCCCGCGAAAAGCCATGAAATACAATGTGACAGGCATAGTGGACCACCGCTGTGAGGTTGAGACTTCCATATATGTAAGATTTGGCCATCTTACACTAGGTTTAAGAGACTCTGGCCCAGGATACTGCAAGCTCATTACAAGATCTATTCAGCACATCATGTCTGTGCACGTGTCCAGTGTGGACCTATGAAACAATCGCAGTGAATCATGGGTTGAATGCTTGCCTTTAAGCGACGACAAATTCGTATTCAACCACAGGGCCATGACCAAGAGCATGTTGTTGTGGCTGGCGCCGTGTTTTCGGGGCTCCCGTTACAGGCAATGCCTCAACGCGCGATAGCTCCAAAACCTTCCCTGTATAGGCGACTCTATCCTAGGCGAGGGTAGGGATGATTCCATTTCAGCTTGTGATCCTGTGTGTTTCAGCCAGCCAGCTTTTCCCTCTCTTTCTCTCTTTCTCTCTCTTCGCCTTAATTTGCATCATTTGACCCCATCAACAATGTCACATGTTTTGAGCTGGATGGCCCTTCCAGATGCTGATATCAAGGTTGTGGATCAAGGCGGCGTGGCCTGCGGGAGCGCCCGAGGTCCCGTCATCGGAAGGCCGTGGGGCTTGGATGCTGTCTATTCAGACGTGTCAGTCAACTGCAACGCTAACCTTATGCCATTAGCCATCGTAAACGTTTCAAGAATTCGACATGTCATTACCAATGAATGGATTAATGGCTTGAAGTGCTTTCAGTCTTACAGTCTTACAGTCTTACAGTCTAGCCTATCCAACGCTTATCCTGCCCTCTCAATGAAGGCTATACCTATACCGGGCGAAGGCTATCCCAACTCTCAACGGAAGTGAGCGCGCTCTTCCTGCATTTGTGCCGAGAGTCAGCCTTAGTCCTCGGGCCATGTTTCGACTTTGATATCTGAGATGCACCTTATTGATCATGCCAAGATCGACTTTGCGTCCCCCGCAATCGTAGATGAATAATCAATCCGTCGTGCGCCGCACACCACACGTCAGTTCTGGTACTCCGTGGGCGACCATTAGGCAATATTGGACTATGGAAATTGGAGATCGGATTGATATATTATTATAGCCATCTTTCCAGATATCTTTGGTCGTACCTTCGAGATCTGAAAGGTGCGCATCTGGTCACTATCCACTGATTGTCTTTCCTAGGATGTAGATAAATAAAGTCAGCAGATCTTTGGGATCGATTGGAATTGCATCCTGGGCATGCGAAGCCTATGTGTCTTCGTAGAAGTTGCCCCACATAGATGACTTGCCGCTCTTAGATCGCGTATATGGGTCTTCTGAGACCACGACGGCGATCAGATGTGAGACCGTGGGGGCGACATATGACTGAACATTTGGAACGAAATGCCTAAGCATAATTCTCCACGACACCGGAGGACCTGGAAAGCATGCATCTTGTTGAATCTCTCGAGCGACAAATCAATGCGACTATGAATGTATTTTTGGCATCATGGCAAGGCTGGCAGTTACACATCAGTACGGGTTTTTTGAGGACGAGGCTTCTAACACGTACACATGTAGGCCCAAGGATTAAAGATTTGTAGACATGGTCAGTCAAATAGAGGATGACAAACTGAAGCCAACTACGTAGCCCGCTACCCAATTTGTCCAATTAATGCCAATCGACCGAGGCTGGTGACAAAGCTGAGTGAGACCTACTTTTCGAGAGGAAGAGACTCACTGGCCACTTTCGGCCCCCAATGGACGCAGAGTGATGTCAAGCTCATCCGGCCTAGATTTGAGCCCTTTACGCCGTTTGGGATAATTCGCACCATAGAGCGAAGGTGATAGAGTCGTTCCAGATGCCGTAATGAGCCCAGCCTCAACGACGTTCCATTGTCGGTCTTCTGGAGAACGGCCTTGTCGATACTTAGCAAGGCCGGGGCACGCAATGCAACGTCCTCCTTGCCCTGCCCCTTTCGTGAGGCTTGAATAAGCCATGCTGAAATACGGCCAGCTGGCCTGCCTTCGTCCGTCCTATGAGATGTGGTCAAGTTGTGAATTTTTCAGTATGCGGCAGCAAGTGACCTGGTTGGGGTTAATCATTGGGCATTCCAGGCCTCTACCGCATCAAGTCGTGATGCCTCCCCTTTACTGCACCGTCGTCCCCTGCTCATCAACGCGGAATCCTCCTCGCATTTGGCTTATTCCTCATTGATCGCTTCTGAGCAGCAGCATAATTCAAATCCAACAATTCATCATCATCGTATCGCCGCTACCAGCTGACGTCGGCCATCCTTGCGTCTATGCTTACCCGATCTCCAGGACACATTCTGCCGCATGCGCCCCGCCTTAGACTGGTCTACCCAACCGCGTCCACCGTCTCTCTTATTGACTGCCTGAGCATGTCTACGACCATTTTCTGAATAGCTGGAGACTAGGCGAGGCGCAAGCGGTCAGTCGGTATGGCCGAGTCATTCTGAGCCATGAGCCCAATGCGCTCTAGATTTCTTCAAAACGCATTCGCACTAACAATGTTGTTGTTTCCCATGTCTCATCTGCGTAGTGACCCGCGGATTACTACCACAAGTATATTCCCCAGGTCGAAGATATATAATCCCCTTCTGAACCCAACATACCTCTGCTGGAAAACACTCCATTCTCGTGTATATATATCCAGAACGTCTTGCAAGCCTTGATCCATTCAAAGTTTTTCCTGCTCTTCAACTTCGCTACTAGGAAACCAAACCCATACAACAACCACCTAGACATGGCTGCCACCGTTTCAAGGTTCACTGAGCCCATGTACCATTTCGGTGTGGGTGGTGCAGGTAAGACCTTTTGATCTCCATGTTTTCAACCTGGTCAATGCTAACTTGTTCCCCTAGGAAACAGAGCCAAATCAACCGCTTCCGTTTCCCAGAAAATTGTCTCGGACAACATCTACCAGCAAGACCTGAGCTATCGAAGCTTTAGCACGGGCGTTGGAGGATTTGGAAACTTTTCCAAAGCAACCAGAGAACAAGAGCCAGCCGACATCGACATCCTGCAATTGCTTCACGACAGTCGCGCTCCACGAAAGATGTCTGCCAACGTCAAGTACCACACCGGTATCGGTAAGTATAGCTTTTCTCTTCCCTGAAGTCCTTCGCTGATATAGTTCGCAACAGGAGGTTATGCAAACATTTATGAACCAACACTTTCAGAGATTCAGCAGGCTCAAAGGGACAGCGAATCTGCACGTCGTCGCTCTCTGGCAGAACTTGCACGAAGGAAGAACTCATCCGCCACAAATAGCAGCAGCAACAGCAGCCAGAGTAGCCCGAGGACAAGCTTTGCTGATTCAATGAGGGGTCTTTTCGGTGGCCAGTCTTCGTACAAGGCGTAATCTAGCGTCTTTCTCTTGTAACTTGTTATTAGCGATATAGCGTTTGCGTCGTTGGACTAACGGCGTCGTGGGGAAACTATTTAGAGTGGCGATTCTCCAAGTTTAGTGTTTAGCCTCCTTCATAGTTCCTCTCCGCTTGGTCTTGTTTTCTTTGTCTCGATGTCATGATAGTTCCATTCTGCGGTCGAATGTTGGTAGGTAGCTTTTCCAAATGTTCCATTCTAGCAATCTCCATGTCAATGTCCATCTCGGTGTAGTCTCGCAGAGTTGAATTATTGCTCTTGCCGGAAGTTTGAGGAGTTTTGTATGCATCGCTCTCGACCTTGGAGAGGTCAACAAACTCGGAGATGTCATTCATGTTGCCGAAATTGCTGTCAGCACCATAGTAGCTCTGGCCGTTCTGACTACCACCACTCTTTTCTTGATCCGTGAAGGTGATTGACGCCCGATTCTGTCCACTCCGAGGGCCGACAAAATGGACCAACTTTCCCAAAATGGCGAACTCGAGTTTGAGCTTGATTGAGTAGAAGACGGGCTTGGTAGTGGTTTCGAGGATGTACAAAGAGGCACACTCAAGGCCCAGCAGTGCAAGATCCATTATAATAATTAGAATGTTGATCGCCATAAGCTGGTACATGAGCCGTTTGGTGTTGGCCTGGACTGAGGTTCGGAGGATTCGGATTGTTTCAATAATATAAATTGATGACAGGATAATCTCTTGCAAGAAGAATCCACACATTTGGATCTTCTCCATGATATTGTACCCACGCACAAACACCATCGTTTGAGTATCGCTGTTGGATCCAAAAGTCAACACAGTCGTAGGGATATGTAGCACAATGGCATCTGTTTTACACCCTTCAGTCAGCCGAATTCTCTTGCCATGGCACAGGCAGGCTGGACCACCAAGACTCACTGATAATGATCATCCACTTTGTGTAGAGAAGTATCTTATCTCCCTTTTCACCCGTGACTATCAGATGCAGACGCGACCACAGAACGACGGACTGGCCTGTCACCATGGGGTACCACCCGATCGAGAGGAGAAACACCGAAAACCATTTTGCGCCGCCGGTGAGGATGGAGAAATACTTGAAGATGAATCCCAGCGAATACGGGATAATACCCAAGCTGGATATCACCAAACTCCAGAAATAAAGGCCGCGGAACTTGTTGAAGGTGCCGAAGATGAGGATTTGCAGTTCGACCACGTTGTACATGGACAGGCCTAGCAGGAATGCAATAACCACCTTCAACGCCAGGCTGTCGCCATCGTAGCCCCCTGTGATCCCTCGCCCCGGCGAACTGGTTGACGGTGCGGAGGAAGACATCGAGGACTGGGCAGTCGATTCGAACGAATTGTGGCGGATTGCGGCCCACGCCTGCTCTGAGACATACTGTCACCCCTTCACCACCCGTCGTCGAAGTGGTTGATAGCTATGGCGGTCGTTCTCGCTCGAACTGTCGCAAGGGAAGCTGCACCTTGTCGTCGTGACCCAAAACTGCGAAAAGAGGAAAATGCAGAGTTTCTGAGGTTTTCCTAGGAGGAAAACTCAAAGCCCACAGTACTTAGTGGGCTTGGACGCGCCCATTGGTACATGCGCGTCGGGTCTAAGTAGGTCATTAAACCTCCAAACCCCGTGGGACTTTTGACTCCATAGTTACATCATTGCCTCCCTATTTCTTGGTGTAAGCTTGGTCATCTTGTGTATACCCCGCGGCGGCTGAGGCTTGGAATTTTGTCGATCAATGCTTGGATTAAAGTGATCTCACCCACGGCAGCTCGGTATCCTGGATCTGGCTAAATCGTCAGCAGTGCAATGGCCAGCGGCTTGCCTCTTTTGACTCCAACTTACAGTACGTAGATCTTTGCTTTAGACAGGGCGAACACCCTAATTGCCACTCCTAAGGCACGGGAAATCCGGGGCCCCGTCCCCATAGGCTCTAGGCAGTCTGCCTTAATTGAAGCCTTAGTTAATGGTGTCAATCCTCAATTTGTGCACAGTACTTGAGTACTTGAGTATTTCCAAGCGGGCTGGGACCCCAGGATTAAGAATAACTGACTCACACCTGGGGCATCTCCACGCCGTGTCGGTGTCTAGAAGATGGCAAATCCACGCGACCACCCACTCCTGCCAGTTGACAAGAAACGTTCAGAGCCCTTTGGTGGTGGTGGTGTTGCTGCCGACTGACGACAAGGGTTCCCGTACCCACCTTCATGCTTACACACTAGGTTTGGCTCGATCTTTGTGGGCTGACATACATTTTCCAATGTCACACCTTCCATTCACCCTTTCACTAGTATCTTTGTTGGTCACGCACCTGTACATGTTAACATGGAAGCGAAGAGGTTATACCTTCTAAGAGTTACTTATCATTAGAGCTGGGATGACGCTAGGTATATGAGCAATGAATACATTGAAACCCTCGCCAATATTGGGGTTTTCATGACTTAGTGCTCGGTCTCCAAGTGCCTGGATGGAGCAGCAGTCTCGGCCTGTCGCTGATAGACGGTTCCAATATCATTCTCGTCCTAGATACCCGTCAGTGCGTTTCAATCAAAGCGGAACTGCCATCATACTGACCCCAGCTTCTCGGACGAAGCGGACCAGTGAACTTCTTGACATCGCTAGCCAGAATGGCGACCAACTCTGTGCCTAGCACTCTCATCTCTGCGGCCAATTCCTTATCGACAGTGCCTGGGCCTTGGGCGGAAGCGGACTGAGCACATTCCCTTATTCTAGTAAAGGTGGCATGCTCCTGGATGGACAGAAGATAAGATCTAGACATGATCTCATCAAGCAACCTGTGGATGCTAACAGTATCGAAGTCAATGTTGTAGTAGGTTGTGTTCTTAAATCTATTGTCTCGTGTGGCTGATATCAATGCAGCTCGCCATTCTCTCATGATCTTCTTGAGGTCGCCGGGGGTCCCCACAAGCTTTGCTGCGATACGAGCAGAACGGCGGAGCTCCATATCGATGATCGGTAATGTTCAGGAGGGCGTAAACAAATGGGCCTGATGGAAATGAGAAGGCCAACAATCTGTACAAGGGAAATGTGAAAGGAGGAGAGGGTTTCCAGGAAGGGTTCGGGCCTCCTGCTCGGGGTGGGAGGGATAGACTGATAATTGACCGACGAGATGAAGGTGAACGACAGCAATGAGCTTGATGTGATTGATTTGAAAGTAAGAAAATGCTGTTTGAGGGGTTTGTGGTAAAGCAAGGAGTCTATGCGACGAAGGGGATGAGAGAGCTCAACGTCGTCGAGACTAAACAGGAAAGACTTGGATCTGTGGATAAAAATATATAGGACAGTGAGAGGGAGCTACGGCTTGGCTTTCAAGCGAGGGGCACACTGACTACGACTCTGCTGCGATGATATCGCATTGTCGAAGGTTATTCACTCATTCAGCTAGAGGAAAGCGTGTGAACCCAGGTGGCGGATTGCGGGTTGGGATGAACGCTTGGGCTGAACGCTTGGGACGACCGCGATGGCGAGGTGAAAAGCACGGAAGCCAAGATAATGATGGAGGGGCGACGATGATACCACTCACAGGCAGAGTGCTAATGGGAATACATCAACGGTGAATCTGTTCACAGCTCATACAGCCTGATGAAGGGCACTATACAAGGACTCAACTTGCTCTGCTGAGAGCATTCGATTGGTGTTTCTCAAAGATCAATCAAAGACTGAGATTTTGTCTATGGAAGCGTTCACAATATGATTAACTGCCTTTATCGAACAAAAATGTTCTCACAGCCTCAGTATGCCCAAGTACGTGGAGCACCACTGGCATCAAGAGTGCCCTTCTTGTTCATACGTCCATACCAGAGCCTCAGCGATGCTGCCATTGTAGCCACAAAGAAACTACATCCTGCACAAACAAAATTCCCTGTGTGATAGCCTGTAGCTGCCTCGTCGCTTTTCCAAATCCATTGGGCGATAATCTGCCCGATTCCTGCGCATGAATTGTTCAAGGCGATCGCAAACGGGATGGTCAATAGACTCGGTGTGTTGCAAGTCACCCAATTAGTCATAGACGGAGCCACTGGAAATGCTCCGCATGCTGCTAGACATAGACATCCATAACGTTGGATATAGGCATCTGCCGGAAGCAGTCCAGCTGTGAGCCAGCCGATTCCCCCAATGATAGATGCCACAGTGATGTGCCAACCGCGAGCGTTGAAATGGTCGGCTGAATAGGACAGACTGATGGCCACGACGAATCCAATGCACCAAGGTGGTACCGTCATGAGTTGGGCTTTGATCGAGGTATATCCGAGTCCTCTGACGATTGTGGGTGTGAAAAAGGTGAAGGAGCCTTGAGGCACGACATCGGCTACCTGTTAAATGGAATATCAGTCCAACACCTCTAAGAGGGCAGGTCGAGGGGCCTACATAAGCGAGATAGTGTGCCAGCATTCGTGGATTGAAAAGCGTTTCTAGCCTTTCTCTTCGTGAGGCATGGTCCTGGTTATAACCACCGCCTCCTTTCTGAAGTCGTTCTTCCGCGAATTTTTTGTCCTCTGAACTGAGCCATCTTGCTCGAGCGGGGTAGTCTGGAAGACAGAATATGACTGGAATGGCGCTGAGAAGAGTAATAATGCCTTCGATTATGAAGCTAGAACAAATCGTAGTTAGCATACGTCTTGTCAGTGTTGAAGGAATCTTGGGAGGACGGACAGCCAACGAAACCCTTGTAGTCCAGCAGCCCCGTTGATATGGCCTACACCAAAAGCAATTGCGCCTCCAAATGCACCAGCAAGGTTGCAGAATGCAACCACGCAGGCGATTCGAACGGCACGTTCATTGAACCGATACCAGATGGTGATGAAGTACACGATTCCTTGCCAAATTAGGCTTTTTCCGAATGCGGAGGATACAGTATCTATCCAGTTTTTGTCACTTACCTGGGAAGAAGCCAGCCTCAAACACGCCAATGAAGAATCTGATTACAACGACAGCAGCGTAGCTATGCACTCCAGCGTGCCCAATGGTCAATGCTCCCCAGGAAAATAGTAAAAATGCCAGCCACAGCGATGGACGAACGTAATGCTTCATGACCCACTTCAAAGATTGCTGTTAGAGCTTTCTATAAGACAGAAGCACATTGATGGCTCACATACGTTAGATGGTACTTCAAAAATGGCGTAGGCTAGTGAGAACAATGTGACAGTGATAGCATATCCATCAGCAGTCATGCCTGTTTGCGAGAGAAGGTCGTCGCCAGTCTCAGCATTGAGAACTCGAGAGTTGCCCAGGTTGCCACGGTCTAAGAAATTCAAGAGATATATCCAGCAGCAAAGAGGAAGAATGCGAATATCGAGTCGTTGATTCAGCTTTCTACTTCTCTTTTCGTACGCAACGGAATCAGACGCGTCGGAAGCAGATTTACCAATCTGCTGATACTGCTATCAAGTTAACCAGAGCTGTCGCAATAAGTGTTCGTGGTTTACGTACCTCACGAACACCGTCTTCCAAATGGTCTGGCGGGTGTGTTTTCTCCATTGTTGCGATGTTTGGTGGCAGAGACTAATGAAAGAGGAGACGAACAGAGAATTATGGCAGCATAAATCACCCTAGATGCCTAGTGGATGTTGATTCCGTCGGTTTAGAAACCGGTTCACCGACATGGTCGGAGTCTACACCGTCCAAATCATATCAAATCAAGGCCATTAAGCAAATAGCTTATGCGGAGTATACCCACGTCGGCAAATCATTATACCAATGGCCAGCCTCAGAAATGCAACCCCCGCGCGGAGAACCTGGCCGTATGATGATCTCAGGCTCTATTTGAAAAGCCTATTGGGTGAGCTTCTCAGGTAGCTGCAATTCAAGAGTTCCGGGTATGTCCTCTCATGGATGCCGGTAGTAGATCATTTCCTCGACTCTTGTTGCATAGCTGCTGCAACCCTATGGAGTGCCAACGCACAGAAGGGAAACCCGGTAAGGACGGACTTGTAATATCCTGTACCCCGTCTCAGCCCGAGTTCAGGCGCTCCCTTCCCGTCCATATACATTTGGCGAAGGAAAATTCATGTATAGGTACGTTATTCAGTTTCCCTGTGGAAAGCACCACGCAAGTCTGGCTCTAGCCAAGTGGCCAAAAAATGGTTCGGCTACATAATGGGTGGGTGGACAGATTCAGATCACGTGTCAGGCCAGATTGTTCAGGGGTTCACGGGGTCATTATTACCAGTATCTTCCCCGCTTTGTATGTTTTTTGAGTATGAGATGCATCGATTACTATGAGCCGTCTACCTATATACAGCACGATCATACTGCTCTGTTGTCAGGACTCGAATGGTAGTATATGCTGCATTCTCCCAGATAGCATCATTTTCTTCATTGTTCAAACTGAAGGACGCATAGAGATCCCCTGTATAGCTGTGTCGTTCGCCCATCATTCGGGCGATTGGCCTACTTAGAATGTACTAAAATGTACAACTAACCCTAGGTCGCCTACATAGCAGCAAGACCTTTCCCCTAGGACCCTTTCTCCATGATAGTCTCCTGAGCTTAATTCTCTCAACGGCCTCTTCTCTACAGTACTCTCCGAAGGGGACTTCTCTATAGCACACTATATCTAGGTAACTCTCCCTAGGGCACTCCTCTCTAGAGTATCTTCTTAATGGCACCCTCCTAAGGACATTTCCTCTAGGGTCTAAACCTTAGGGCACTCTCCCGAGGGCACTCCTCTCTTGGGCGTTTTCTTCACGACACGCTCCCAAGGACACTTATTGATATGACCTCTTCTCTAGGGCACTTTCTACAGGGTACTCCTCTCTGGGGCGTCTTCCTCATGGCACCCTCCCGAAGACACTTATCGATAGGACCTCTTCTCCAGGGCGCTCTTCTTGGGGCACTCATCTCTAGGGTGTCTTCTTCATACAACCGTACCCAGCACACTTTCTCTAAGGATCTATTCCTTAGGGCACTCTCCCTGGGGCACTTCCCTCTGGGGCCTCTTCTTCAGGGTACTCTCCTAGGCACCACTACCTATGAGGGGGAAAATTCGAACTTTGAAATTCTATTTGTTGTGTGGCACGATGATATGAGACCCATACCTAGATAACACATTGTGCTCTATTCATGGACCGATCAGGCGCTATCTAATTACTACTTTACTTGTCACTTGGCGACAATGCAGAGTAAGAATAGGGCTGACCATAGGATGCTCGGTACCGTGTTGATGTATGGTAGCATCTTGCCAGTACTGGATATCTGAGAAGGCCGACAATGCTTGCGCCGTTGATGCCATTCGTTGATGATCAGTTAGATCAGATAGATGCCGGCCAAGGAGTGAGATGAAATGTAGTCCAAGCCAATATACATGCATAACCAGTATGTGCACGAGAAGGCTGTTGAAGGTCGAGAGACATAGTTTATGTCGTTGAACCACCTCAGATTCGCATTGATGTATGCGCTGCAATTGTAGGGGCGCCGGGGGCGGTGTGAAAGGGACTCTATTGTCGCTGACAGGTCCCAAACTGGCGGGCTTCGGCAAGGCCTGAGGGCTCACGGAGCAGTTGGCATCACTGCTGACCCTGTCTCCCCGGGATATCCTGGGTATTGATGCCGTTGAATATAAGGTAAAAATGGTTATGGCCTTGAATAGATCACCGCTGAGGCGTTCTGGGTATAGTTCTCACTTCTTCAGCTGCAGCTTCCCGCTGCAATTCTTGGAGCCATCCACTGTGCATCACAGGATGCGACCAGACACCAGCTTGCTCCCCTTGCACACCAATCAGCGGAGGGTTGTGACCAGACAGCCGGGTGACCGATGCAACAGGGCTGGGTGCTCTGGGCATGGTGTCCACATATGACGGCGGTCTCGTGGGTCGGCTGGCCCATCTCTCTAAACTGCCTCTTCCAAGCACCGAGTATGAGATTGTTTCCCCAGTTGGCATGGCAGTCAAGTCAGTTAGTCGGGTTGATGGGATCGACACCACTGAGGATCTGGGCGAGAGGGGAGGTGGTGGAGTGTTATCGTCGTCTAATGTCCGGAAGGTGGTATGTGCTTCGGGCACATCGCATTTCTCGTCGACTCTTAACAACGCCGTATGGGCTATATCCGTGTACAAAGGAGGATTATCGTCATGCACTAAGGACCGGGGACGATGGTAACTGGGTCGATGAGGAGACTGGTAGGTGGCGATAGCGTTGGCAATACGAGCATGTCTGGCATCGGCATCGGCATCCGTCTTTGCAGCTGAGGGGACTGAGTTGCAGCATGAGAGGATAGAACTGAGCAGCGTCATGTTTGTAGGCTCTTCCTTCTCATGCAGATGTTCATCTGAACGATCGACATGATGGGTCGCAGGAAGCCCGAGGGGCCAGTTGTGAGACGACGACGCCGACGCCGACGCCTGGCCTTGGCATGACCGGTCAAGTCTATTTTAGGACGCAGGTGACGCTGCCTTGTGCTCGGAGGTTGCCAAGTAATACGCAATACTCGTAAATCACGTATTTGGGATTGGATTATCTTATCTGGCGATAGCCACAGATAGTCAGCTGCTACATGGCTCTCTGCCACTCTGGATTTATGCAGCATTTTGCAGATAGGATCATTAACATATGAAAGATGCTTAGCTATTGAGTGTTCTATCTATGCCTCTCCTGCGTACATTTTCATTATAGGCATGGCTCCTTCCTTGATTGCCTCGAAAGGAGCCTTCTTGGATTTCTCATAGATGCTTTTCGTCGACTGCATCAGTTGCTCCCGTACTTTCGGCCAATCGACCCCAGTTAGCTTGCCCTTTTGCTTGACAATTTGACCATCAATGAACACTGTATCAATATCTGATCCGTTGGCGTACAAGACCAGAGCCATCACTGGGTCTCCGGTGGGAGATAACCTAGTAGACGTACACTTGGTAAGGACCAAATCAGCTCGTTTACCAGGAGTCACGCTTCCAATCACATCTTCAAGGCCCACAGCACGTGCACCACCCATAGTCGCCAGTTCCAAAACTTCTTCACATCGATGGGAGATGACGAACGGAGTCTTCTCTGCCGCGTGGTGCTGTAGATGTCGCTCCGTCTGAAGCATAAGCCGCATTTGATGAAACATATCAGCAGGAGTACTGGATGTGACATCGACACCAAGGCTTGCATTACAGCCACGTTTGTGAGCCTTGAATGCAACAGGGTGACCCATCCCCATCTGGATCTCGGTGTCAGGAGTGCTTGAAATTCCAACAGCATTCCCGTAAATTGCTTCCAGCTCATCGTCCTGGAAAGTCGATCCATGGCTGAACAACATGTCAGGTCCAAGAAGGTTGCGATCATTCAACTGACGGACGACATGTAAGCCACGGTCCCACAGGTCCATGGCGACGTGGCCTGTCACCACCGCAGCTCCTAGAGAACGACCATATTTAATCTCGTCGACCGCCTCATCTATCGTGCATGCCTCGATTTCTGCAGGGGCAAACCCGAATCGGAGAACATCGGTCTTGGTATTAGACTTGAAGTATGTCTCTCGAATCCGCTTTGCATCCTCTAGCCGCCAATCTGGCGTCTTGCTCTCCCTATCAGCATCCATGGCAGATCCAGGCCAGGCAGGATTTTTAAAGAGTCCATAGCAAAATGTACCTCTGACTTTAGCATCCATTAGAGCTTGGACGGCGGCGTCAGAGTGGGCTGGAGAATTCATGATATGAGAGTGGTCGATGATATACGTAATGCCATTGTCGATGCCCTCCAGCGCGCCACAGTAGTTCCCCAGGTATGCATCCTCTGCCGTGTAACAGGAGCCATACACGCACCGAATATGCAGAAAGTAATCACTTAGAACGTGATCTGCGCAAACAGTGCGAAGCTGTGTCTGCCATGTATGGCGATGAGTATCGACAAACCCCGGGGAAACAATGGTGTCAGTTGCGTCAATGACGGTGAAGTTTGTCGGCGTGCTCAGATTCGGCTCGACCTTGGTGATCACACCATCTTCGATGAGCACGTCACAATTCGGCACCACACCGATGGACTTGTCCATTGACACGACTGTACCATTCTTGAGGTGAAATTTAGCACTCATGGTGGTGGGGTTTGTTTTGTTGCTCTGTCCAGTGTCTCTGAAGAGGTGCAACAAGGTATATGATCTAGAGCCAGACTCAGGATCGCTCTTGCTCTGTCCAATGTCTCTGACGGATCAAGTCCTCGCTATATAGTTGAGAGTCGGTCCATTTTTGAGGGATCCTGACTCTAGCTCTAGATCATATACCTCGGTGTACCTCTTCGACTTTTCGTCTGGACCCACAACTGCTAATTCTCTCAGTCTAGGCAGCTGCGTGGTGACTGCAGCATATATCGTAGGAGCCACCTCTCGGTGTGCCTTAATGTCTGACAGCATTGCTTGCCTGAAGAACTCAACCGCGGGGATGATGCTTGGCTGGCATATCATAGGCGCAATGCTGTCGTAAGGTTCAGTGGCACCCCAAAAACCGTCAATAGGTACCTCGGAGAATCGGAGAATTGGGAAATCCCATTCTCCGATCGCCAACGCTTCTGGGCCCCCATAGTAGACTCGGGCTGACTGGCCTTTAGCCGCCAACATCATCATTGCAAAGGCAGACAGCATAGTTCATCGCCTAGCTATTCCAGTCCATCCTCCCCTTCCCCTACACTACCAGGTGTGATCTGTGACTATGTTTGTCACAGCTGGTCGACCTCGGAAGGCATGCGGACAGTGCAAGGCTCATAAGGTGAAGCCCCAGTGTTCTGATAGTGCGTCAGGGCTGGAAGCTGATGGTCGACCAGGTTCGCTGCTCTGGGGAAAAGCCCATATGTAAGAGATGTTCCCGCTTGCATCACCGTTGCCGCTACGAAACGATAACTCGAAATCATGGAGAGAGAGCAACCCAAGATCCAAACTGCCTGTTGGACCAGCTATCCCAAGCCGACACTTCAGACTCATGGTTGGCAAGCCAAAGGAGGGCACCGGCGGCATCCATTGGACACGCCGAATTCACGCCACCAGCGCCGCGATCAATGTTCTCACATGCACAATATCTTGGAATACCTATGCCGTATATCTTGAAACTTGTAGAGGCCTACTATTCCAATGTATACAACGCCTCTTTGTTGTTACACAAGGATTCTTTTCTGGCTGAGTTGGCCGTCGGGCGTGCTAAACCTCATGTCGTTTTGAGTGTATGTGCGTTTGGCCTCAAGTACGTTTCCATTGAGAGGGGAAAATTTGGTGTGCTGATGGAACTAGTTTTCACAACGATCCAAACAAACCCAGTGAATTCCAAGAATACGATTTTAGTGGTTCGTGGGCGCATCAGGCCAGCAGATTGGCATTCGAAGAGATTGAGGATCCACACAGTGATCTTGTTGTGACTTTCCTAAATCTAGCATTATATTCTTACAGTCAAGGTGAATGGAGGAAGTCTTATATCTATAAAGGTGAGGATACAAAGTGAAATTCTCTCCATAATCTATATATCTGACCGGGGTGTAGGCAATGCTGGACAGATAGCTCATGTGCTAGGAATGGGATGCTCTAGATCAGCATCTGAAGACTCTTTGGCCACCGAGAAAGACCGGCATCGATTCTGGGCCTATTATCTGATGCAATGTCATACAAGCGAACCCATGTCGCTAGGTGTTTCTCCAGACAAGATCAAGGATCTCACACTACCATGGAGGGAAGAAAAGTTCGATTCAGGGTTGCTACAATCAGCAACAACAACAACACTGGCATCTGGGCAGAGCAACGGCGACATCTTTTGCGAGCTTATCAAGGCTTTCACTCATTGGTAAGTGTATTATGCCCCGGAATTGGCTCGCATCCCCAGCTACGTCCCCTACTCATGCTTCCTTGATCTTCTGGCTACATAAAGAGAGCAATCCCCAACTGCTGTACACGTTGGATGAATTCTTAAGGCACATTCTGACCTATGATCGTAGGTCCGATGTGAATGCCCTCGTCAAATCTCCAGAAACCAGCATCAGTGAAAGACTTCATGCCATCCACGGACTGGAAGAAAGACTAAGTAGCTGGTGGTCCCAGGTCCCAGACCCGCTTCAGCTCACACGGTCGTCCATTGCAATGGTCCCACAGGACAACCTCCCCAATATACTTCTTCTCAACGTCGCATATCACCAATCCATGTGTGCGTTGCACGCTTCAATTGTTCCTCTATTCAGCTGGAGCTCTGAACAGGCGACATGGCCATCAGCACGTCAAATCTCCGCACAGAAGGCATATGAGCATGCGTGCGCTGTCTCAGCCTTATTCGATGCTACCCTGGCCACCTTTACTCGGGTATCTGCTATTCCGAGCTTCGTGGGATATGCTGCATATTGCGGATGTGCTATTCAAATTCCTTTTATGTGGGCTGCGGAGCCTGGTGTTCGCCAAAGAGCATGTGATAACGTCAAAGCAAATCTTCGCATGATACACATTTTATCCAAGTACTGGAAATTCACCTCAATCCTTGTGCGTATACTTTTGATTCTCACTGAAGGCTACAGAACTAATTCAAGTTGTGTCTGTGATAGAGAACTCATGTTCGATACATGTACAAAATCCATTCCAAGTCGGGCATTGTTCTTGAGAATGAGCCCAGGCTAGCGGATGTTCGCAAACTTATCAGGTTTAAACCTGCATCCACACGCGCACGAATCTACATCCTTGGCCACAATCAAATATTGTGGGAGGAGGGCGATATTGAGAAAAGAGCCGGCGTGGCTCCAGGGCTCGGTGGAGACAGCGATATTAACGAATCAAGAACTCCCACCCCGTTTGATGATTCTGGCCGCCTAGACTCTGACGCGCATCGGAGAGCCTCAACACTCGAGCAAACCACTAATATCGACGCTTCCCAGCCTAGCTTGTATGTTCACCATATGCCCAGGGGTCAGATTAACAGGCAACAACATGCTTCACAGCCTCTAGATGGACAGGAAGAAGAGACCTCTGAACTTTTTCGTCCGTTCCTCGATCCCGAAATGTTGGACCTTTTCCCTGACGGTCAGGCCATGGACTTCTCACAACTCAGGATGCCTTCCTCCTGGAACTTGGACTTCTTCGATGCCTGGGAGACGCTTGCTGAAGCTCCAACGATGGAGAGCCACCTCAGCATAAGTTGATCCTTCAGAGTTGCATAACCTTCCGTGAAATTTCATCAAAGGAAGCGCCGAAAATCTCACTAGCCGTGGTGAAGTTTACGGAATTCCTCAAACACCAGAAGTTTCGAGGATTCGACACACAGAGAGGTCACAAACACACCCCAAAAGGTCGTGCAGAGCTATGGATGACAGTTGTAGGAGCAGCTTCAACTTGTTCGG